CATCCCAACATAAAAAAAAATCCTAAACTTATGAAATTGTAAGAAAGAGCAACAAAAGTCTCGTAGGACTAACGTGCAAGTTGCTGCTAATGTTTGGGGACATTACAATTGATCGCAATTAAGTGACCATTTGAATTTGGAAATTCGTAAAACGAATGTCCATATCTTGCCCCAAAATTAGGCTACAACTAGGGATTGGGCCGTGGTTGACGGGTGAATTAATTGTTCAGAGCCATCGTTGGTTCACAATCAAATTAAATGTGTGAAGGAGGAGTCATGCGTGGTTGCTTAGGCGTACTCGAATTACTGTAAAATCATATCGGAGATTGTACTGAAAAAGTCAGTGGTAGGGGTATTTTATGTTGAAATTGTGGTCTAATCGTTGTTCAACCCTTCCATATCAATAAATACCTCCTATCGATTTAGCCTCTAATTATGAGATCCTTCTTATCGAACCACCGATACGATTTTTCAATCCTTTGTTCAGTAGAGGAAAAAGCGAAAATCACGAAAATAGTGTATTAGTGCTGGATTAGTAGTAGTTACACCCACATCTGCGTTTCGAGTGAGAGTGGGAGAGTGGACTAGCAATGGTCAAATTCTCATTATCGTCACTCTTCTATTAGTGGTGGAAGAATTGGTCATCTCCATTTCCAAGAGTTAGTGCGGATTGGGGAGAGGGAGTGATGGTTGATGAGAAAGGTCATTTTCATTGCATTCATTAAAATTGAAGAAAGTTAGATTGAAAGTTTGTGTTGGAGTCTTCGTGTCTAACATCTATCTCGGTTTAAACATATCTTTGATTGTTTGATCATGTCTAGTTATTGAAAGAAAAAATAACCTAGCACAAGAACAATTAATATTGACTAATCAAAATTCTAAACATCTACAAGATATATAAAGACAAAACATGGGTTGGAATTCTCCCATTTCAAATTTCGTGGTCTGAGAGTGATTGTAGGAAGGTCATTTTTGTCATTGCACCCACTTTATCTTTATATATTAAAAATGTTATCATTGGAGTTCGAACCTGGATCAATTAAATGAAGAAAGAGCATTATAACCAACTAGGCTACATTATATCTATTGTTATTTCTTTGATTAAACTCTAGAAATATGTTTGGTGATTATGCTTCTATATTTATATTTTATCTTTAAGTTATTTATATTTTATAGAATGAGATTAGTTCTGAAATCGGAACTCAAGTAGTATTGATTCAAAAATTAATATTAAATTGTATGTGTAGTTTAGTTTAGACAAACTACAGAAGTGTAACCAAAACATGGACCTTTGTAACGAGTATAACATTTTTTTTGTGACAAATCTATACATAATATAATGATAAAATTGGAAAATGAGAGTCTTCTTTTAAATTTCGTGGCCTGAGAGTGATTTTAACATTTATGATTGTTTTTATCTTGGTGTTGTGAATAGGTAAAAACTTAATTATTAGAATGCATGTAACTATACGCAGACACATGATCGAGCTAGCATGACACAGTTAGAGCATACAATGAAGACAATGTATATGGATCGACCCTATACAAGTATGAATGCTTCATGGGTCATACCTGACTTAAACTTCAAGCGCTCGCGCACAAGTGCGAACACCACGTAGTCTATATTGGTGCACTCATGTTTTATGGAGAAATGCGCCATTTGAGAGGAATAAGCGGCCATTTGGTCGCCAGGTTTCAGGTCCTCTGATTCACACTATCGATTGTGAATGGAGAAGAAGCATTTCGAATGCAAAATTGGATAAGTAATTGGGATGTTTCTAGGTTTCTCTCAATTTCAGGCGGTGGGAAGAAAGAGGAAGGAAAGGGGGAGAGTGGTGAGATACAAAGCTCAAAGAGAGAGAGAGAGAGAGAGATGGAAAAACAAAGAGGATTATTGACGACCCGCTGGGCAAGTGTAGCCATCACTGTCTCATCCATCCTAATCCACACCTCTGTTGATATGACCTCGAGGATCTAAGCCTTTGAGAATGATTAACTTAGCGGTGGAAGGGTAATACCTGCTGGCATCTCAAAGCAAACCCGTCCTTCGCCGCTGGAGCTTCGTCGACTAGAGAAGGAGTTTCGTGGGATCGATCTTCTCTCCCTCCGCTAGAGGAAGAAGAGGCGAACTGTAGCAGCTTCGTTTGATGGGGAGGTCGAGTTTGGGGGAGGCTGGGAGAAGAATGATGGGAGCTGGGGTTAGCAAAACGACGTCGTTGGTCTAAGTGAACAAAAGGAGAGAAAATGTGGCAAAGGGATTCGAACGCTGAGCTCATTAAAAGGAATGAGGTCATAACCCAATGGGCAACGGGAGGAAATTCGTCTCTCATTTTCCAGCAAAGGATGTTTTATTGTTTCCGCCCAATTGCCTCTTTTATTCCCATGATTTTTTCCAACGATAATGAAATTGCAAGTGAACACATTTCTTACAATTTGTTTTTATTTTATTTTTGTTGTCACAGCAAAAAACAGAAAACAAAATGGCAAGTGAACGAGGCATAAGAGAGAGTGAGAGAACATATTCAAACGAGGGGGGGGGGGGGGGAATGAGGTAGTGTGAAATAATTGTCCTTCTGCTTTGCTTAGTGGGTATTCTTTGCCCTGTTGAGTTTTGATTTATTTTAGGAGATGACATTATATTTGATAGATTTTTTTCATTTCGATTAAGGGGTCGTTTGAAAGTTGCGATTGTTTTGTTGAGATTTACTATACATGTATTGTTTAGAATTCATCATTTTTTATATTTTTTAGTAGAACCAATACATGGATTACATCTGTGATGTGACCGAAACTATCAATCAAAATGAGTATTGTTAAATCTCAAATTTTAGTTGTTATTGTTGAGATAGTTTAGTTGGGATTGTTTTGTCTAAGCTTTTAGCTTATGTGACACACACAATGCATATAATCCGACAATACATATATAATATTATACATGCATTCATAACACAATATCTATTTAACAATCACAACTTCCAAATGACCCCATAAAATCCTAAATCAGTATTATCATTTGGATGATTTTTTCCTTAATACGATTATGGTAATTTATGAGATTTAAGGGTATTTGATCATGCCAATATTTTAGTGGTTCTTTTATTTAAAGTTTGAATTGAAAGATCGTACATACTGGCGGTTCGACCATAAAACTTCACACCATAGGCTAAATCGATAGGTGATATTTAACAATATGAAACGGTTGAACCACAGTTAAATTATGATTCAGTATAAAATACTCTGCTGTCAAAATTTTTTTATACTATTGTAATCATTTGGTTCAAACAATTCTTTTACACTGGTGGAAACAGAAGTTTTAAGGCACATTTTGAACTACCTATTGCAAAAAAACATAAGTCAGTTAGCGATAATGAGAATATGCGATCTTATTCAACCCAAAAGACACTTTGCAACTTCTATATTTTTAAAATAGATGTATGTTACTTATACCCTTGCTCATTCATCAACTTAATGAGTACTATATATTTCATGTAATATGATTTTCATAGGTTTTTATTTATTGAATTATTTCATGAAAAAAATATTTGCTGCATGAAAATTACTACATTGGTGTTAAACATGTCTGCGATTTGAGAATAATTTTGGAAATCCATACACAACACATTCTCCAACTATTAGCGACAATTTAGCATCTTGTCCTATATATATTTCAAATCAAGCAACTTCAGATTCATTATCAATAGTGTGGTAAAAAAGAATGCTCTATATTGGGAAAAACTTAAAGGACATACTAAACTCTATGAGAGACATTGTCTTTCATCTTAAAGGTTGATTATGTATGTATTATGATAAACAACTCTAATATTCAATTATATGGTTTAATTAAGTAATTGATGATAATTAGTTATATTTATTTCTTTTTTCATTCAATAATTATAAGTAATGCTTATATTATATTTTTCTCTTTTCATGGAGGTCTAGACATATTATGAATAGTTGGATCACTTTCAAAAAATTTATGTGGATAACTAAGTTAGAAAACAATCATTTTGTACATTTCAAATCCTCTATTATATATTCATTATTATATATCATATTTCTCGACAAAATTCTTCCGGCCAACGAGCCGGGTCATGTGCTAATAATAATAAAAAAGAGACTTTCAACGAATCATACAACGAGGGAACAAACATAATCACAGGAAACTACCAGAATCCCGAAATGCTTGTTTTGTTGGCAACCAGCAGTAAAAAAAAAAAAAAACCGATCAAGGTGCACAGACGGGTTGGGCGGCCGCAGCCCGCTGGATCTGGATTTTGGGTCGAAGGGGGAACTAGGCCGGAATGATTCAACTTGGGCTTCACCTGTATTAGTGTGGGCCTCTACACGAAAAGCTCGGCCCAGTTGTTGAGTGTAAGTACTCACGCTAATCTCGATATACTACAGAAAGATGGAAATAGGTCAAATGTTTAATGAGTTGATACTTTGATAGGGAGTTTAGCTTTTAATTTTGAGAATATCATCTACCTTGCTACATTATGTATGAGAAGTTTGTAAATCAATTTCAAATATGCTAAAGCAAAAGTTAAAGTAGAAATTAAATAGGGTGATTGAACTTATAATAAGTAAATATATTTATTGTTAATTAATTAGTGTTTTTTTTAGGGAAATAATTAATTAGTGTTAACATGGAGTTAATGAAGTGATAATAATGCCAACCACCTTAGTAGTAAACTGACACCTACTATCTTTGAATTGTTTCTCAATTTTGTAAACAGTGGACAGAGACAAACCGACAGTTGGAACTGTAGCATGTTCCTACTTTCATCTTCTCCAATGTCGTGCATTCTTTTTCTTTTTGTGGCTTCCCATAAAGCTCAGTCCAACCAAGCTTGACATGCATAGGCGCAAATTCCATGGCAATCACCATATTGTCATTTCACAAAATATCTCTTTGACTCGATTTTGATTTTTTGTTTTTGTTTTCATTGCATGGAAAATTGTATATATATGTGTTTTAGTCTCGTTCCCATAATGCATTTACCCAATGACCGTTGAACATATCTTAAAATTGTTTTAGGGGTAGTTTGGAAGTTGTGATTTTAAATGGTGTATTGATCTAATTTTTGTATTTGTGAGATTAAGTCGTTTTATTTTTGTTTATATAGAACTAGAATACATGCATTTATTTTTTAGAGGCCCCACCACAATCACTCAATGTTGAGGGATTTACAATCTATACTTTTTGTTGAGATTTTTCACAATCACTCAATACTAACTTTTTTACCTTTGGAACAAAAACACAATCTAAACCTCCAAACAAAATATTTACCTAATACATCAATTGATTCAATCCATCAAATGATAATACACTAACTGTCCCAATACATCAATTTGAAGAATCACAACTTCCAAACAACCCATTAGTTAGGCTTTGCTAAAACCAAAAATTGATGTTCTCACTTTTGATCGAGTTTTCCCGGTATCTGGTTCGAGAATGGTGGTCATTCAAAGTTACAACGAGGGATTGCGTGTGTGAAAGAGTTGAAATACTGTATGCATGTGTGTGCACCACTTGATGGTGTTCGTTTTGCTATTACGGGTCTGCACTAGGTAAAGTGTAGTTACATCCACATGTTGCAAAAACCAAATTAAAATAGAAGAAGTGAAAATGGTCGGATATGATTGATTTGAAACACAATCGACTCAATTGTGTATAATGTGAGTTTGACTTGTATACATGAGATACAATTTTTGATGTTCGACGATGAAACATGTGATGATGTGATGTACACAAATGCAATACATGATGGATGATGTAGAAAACCATACTCCCCAATAACCAAAAAGTTGTTTCCAATTTGATCAACGGATTGGATAGTAATGTCATTTTTTTCGAGCTAGGGGAAATGCATCTCAAGTACAACTATTAGTATGTACTGTCCTGATTATCACGGTGATTTATTTTGAGTGTTGTTCTTATTGAAATATTTAGAAAAACTTTTGTACAATTAGCTTCGTGTTAGCCGTATGATTTTAGGATCGAAACAAATTGGAGACGGATCTCAATAAGAACCGTACTTGGTTCGGTTTTGAAATCCGTTGGGTCCGGTCCATCGACCGATCGGAAGTTGAATGCCCGCGAATTTTGGCTGACCGGCCGGCGGTTTCTATATCTTCATCAGAAAAGAAAAGAAATTGAAAAAAACCCTTTGGAGCGACCCAAATCCTATTTAAACCAGCGCCACAAAAGTCCACAGCTCGGTTTCAGAATTCAGATTCCCCCTTCTGCGCCGATTTCGTGTTCAGTTTCCCCGAACCACCACCACGCCCACGACCTACGGAGATATTACCCTCATCCCACCTGCTTTTCCGCCGACCAGCAAGGGGGAAAAAAGTCGCACTTTTCGCGGACCCTCTCCCCGAAGAAGAAGAGAAGAAAAGAAAAGCCGCCTGCTAACCTAACCCGGTTTGAAGAATGCGATTTGAATCGTCCCGATCGGAGCGTTCTTCTGCCTCCCCCAATTCGAGATTCGCGGCACCTTTCGGTTGAGGGTTTCGCGAAGCTTGATCAAGAAGAGGGAATTGTGGGTTTTGCGAGGTTTCTATTTTTGGGCTTGTTGTACTTTGTTTACCTCCTCTGCTCTGCTGCTACACGTTCTGATTGAAGGGGAGAAGATAATGATGATGGCGGACGGGAACTCGGGGATGGAGCAGACAGGAGATGCTGTTACTGGGTTTGAATTGGGTGACGAGGATGTTTCCCTCGATCTTGATATGATATTTGACATTCTCGAAGAGTCTGATCCTCCTCCTCCTCCTCCACCTCAATATCACCAGGTGAGAGCCGCTCTATTTTGCCTGAGTGCTTAGCTTTTAACTGAGTTTCTTGATGGGTTGTAGTTAGGTTACTTGCCATTTCTATTTGGAGGGTTTTGATTTCTAATCGAGAATGGGGACTGAATTTGGCCCCCTTGATTGCCAGTTGTGAATGGAACTAGTTAACATTTTTAGTCTTTTACTCTCCAGTTCCTCTTCCTGGGTTGAAATTTACTTATAAATTAGGGTTCCATATGCGACACCAAGTGAGCATCAGCTTGTTTAGTTTATTCAATTCTCATTTTGTGTCGTTGTTGTTATGCAACTTCTGTCTATCTGTCAAACTTTAGGAGGATCCGCAGAATTTTCTGAATAATGGACAACAAGTTGGGTCTATTCCTGGTTCTGACAACCAATTGAACTTCCAGCTTCAAACTTCAGCAGACATTTCTTCCTCCACTTATGAAACTGACGCTCAGTCCAGACATGTTGAAGGGGACACTGAATCCGGCGGTATGTTAAAGCTGTTAACCCTCATTCATTTTTCAGTACATACAATAATATCACTCCAGATTTGTTTCGTTTGTTTTGATGATGTTTGCACGGGGCAGTAGAGCTTCTGTTATAACAACTGATTGGTGATTTGAAATGAATGCAGAACATTTTGACTGTTGGCTTGATAGCTCAAATAATAGTTTCTTGAATGATGGAGCTATGATGGAGAACAGTTGGGAAGTTTCAGGATCTGAGAATGGAACTGAACAATTTATGAATATGACCATCGGAGATGTAGCTGGACCTTCGCAAGACGCGATTCCTTCTACATCTTCATTCTCTCTTAATTCTGATCTTAGTAGCGATTTCGATGGGTTTTATCCTAGTAGTGGTTATTTTCCACAGCATGGTCTATCTGGCGAATTCAATTATGACAAGTTGCCTGGTAGTGAAGCACTAATGATTGGTGGGATGAGTGAGACGAGTATACCACCAACTGAGAACTTTGAGTCGTCTGGTGTGCCTTGTAATGAAGTACTGATGATTAATGGGACGGGTGAGAGCTTTGGGTCGTCTGGTGTGATTGGTTTGGATCCTGAAGGCCATGATTTTAAACAAGAATCACACACCAACTTCAAAGTTGGGTCTTATGTTTATGATGGAGGCTCTAATTCATTGGGCCACAGGGGGAAGCCACCAGTTTTTGTACACCCAAAGCATTCTCCATCTAGTGCCGCACCTCCAAGGTTAAGCCATAATCACTTGATTATGGCAGAAAAAGACAGAGGCTATTTGAAGGTTGAACCAAGGAGTTCTGAGGTCCATGCTATGTCATATCCCAGTAAGAATAGAGACATGAATATAAAATCCCGGGACCTGCACTTTGCTAGGGTGCAGCCATATGGCACAAACAGTTACCAACAACATGGGTTTAAGGATGAAGTGAATTCTCAAAGGAGCTTTGCTAGCACTTTCTCAAGAGTCAGTCCTGAATCAACTCACAGCAATTCATCCGGTAGTCAATCTATTGTGGATGATGACTCCGACCTTTGTATTCTTGAAGACATCAGTCAACCTCCTCGCTCCAGCCACTCTCAACCATACAAAAAGCCTGCTGATTCATTTCAACCTGTTAGTCACAGTGATTCCTTTCATTACAACGCAGCTGGAGGAGTGCGACCTAGGGTTTGTGATGAACGAGTCTTATTTCGAGTTGCCTTGCAGGTTAGAATTGCTGAATGCATATTACATAACTTTCTTGTTGCTATTTCTATCTTGTTTGGATCTTTAATATCTTCTGAGTCGTTCACTATGATGAGCTATGATGAAGTGCTAGAGTTTTGAATTGTCCTGTTGCCACCTTTCTTTGATCTACCACTCTTTTGAATACCTGGAAGAGTTTGAATGGTAATTAGAATGCTAACTCCAAATGTCTCGACTTTGACTTGCTTCTGCCTTTCTTTCTATAGTATTACCGATTATATGTCTTTTAGTTCCCAATTTGTTAATTTCACTGGGTACCTGAAGGGCTGGAATTTTGAGTGCTTTGCAGGACCTTAATCAACCAAAGACTGAAGCAATTCCACCTGATGGCTTTATGGCAGTACCTCTTATGAGGCATCAGGTTAGCGAGCATCCTTTCTTAAGTTCATGCAGAATTCATGGGGGTTATGTTATGAATAAATGAATTAGCAATGGTGGAGTACAGAGTATTAGTGACTTCTCTAAATATTTATCTAATGAACATTTACTACGTCTTAAATTTGGGAAATGACTGCGTCTTGTCTGCAGAAGACCCTGTTCTTTGTTTCCAACATGAGCACTATTCACTCTATGAATCTTGGGCAAGTTAAAGCAACTATTTCTGTTGCTTTGATTGTCCTGTTAATGCAACTCTTTTTACATTTCTCCTTGAGTTTTAGGCCAAGTAACATTTGCTGGGAAATCTGAGCGCATTCCTTTTATCTAACTTGTCGGATGATCTATGCAGCGAATTGCTTTGTCGTGGATGGTTCATAAGGAAACATCTGGGATTAATTGTTCTGGAGGAATTCTTGCTGACGATCAGGTTAATGTTTTATTTTTTTATGTTGCTATATACTCTTGGATCTTTTCTGAAGAAAGTTGTTTTATCTTATCATTCTTCTTCATGGGAATGTATTGTCATCCAGGGTTTGGGAAAGACGATATCAACCATTTCTCTCATACTTAAAGAAAGGGCTCCATGTCATGGAGCTGATAAAGCTGTAATTAAAAAAGAGAAGTTTGAGACCCTAAATTTGGACGATGATGAAGATGAAATTGTTGAAGTTAAAGGAATAAAAAATGAAATCAGTGATTGTGGAGCAGGATTAAAGAAGGAAAGCAGTGATTGTGGAGCAGGAATAGAAAATCAAAGCAGTGATTGTGGAGCAGGAATAAAAAAGGAAAGCAGTGATCGTGGAGTTATTTCCTGTCAAAATGCATCAAAAAGTATTAGTCTTCTGGGTCAGTCCAAAGGAAGGCCAGCTGCTGGGACTCTTATTGTTTGTCCCACTAGTGTCCTACGACAATGGGCTGAGGAGTTGCATAAGAAAGTAACTGCTAAAGCTAATCTATCTGTTCTGGTATACCATGGAAGCAATCGAACAAAAGATCCTTATGAACTTGCAAAGTTTGATGTAGTCCTCACAACGTACTCTATAGTGAGCATGGAAGTCCCAAAGCAACCTTTTGCCGATGGGGATGATGAAGAGAAAGCAAGAGCAGATGGTGATGATGGTCCTCATCTTGGTTCATCCGGTAAGAAAAGGAAGTATCCACCAACTTCTGGCAAGAAAGGCGGTAAGAAGAAGGAATCTGATAGTGCATTATTTGAAACTCTTGCTCGGCCACTGGCAAAGGTGGCATGGTTTAGAGTGGTTCTGGATGAAGCTCAAAGCATCAAGAATCACAGAACTCAAGTAGCCAGGGCATGCTGGGGTCTTCGTGCAAAACGCAGGTGGTGCTTGTCTGGGACTCCTCTGCAGAATTCAATTGATGATCTTTATAGCTATTTCAGGTTTCTAAGATACGACCCTTTCACATTGTTCACCGCATTCTGCAACGGAATAAAACTTCCAATTCAAAGAAGTCCAGTTAAAGGTTACAGAAAGTTACAAGCTATATTGAAGACAGTAATGCTTCGTCGTACCAAAGGTAGCTCAATTGGTGAATGCTATGCTTATTATTGCTTTGGTACTGTTTGATGGAATTCCATATTATGCTCAATCACTCTAAATACTGTCTGTAATTTTGACGGGAAAACATTTATCTGTTGCATGATCATATGCTTTCCACTTTTGTTTTTTATGTATATAATACTTAGCTGGGATGAGATGACATGCATTTTCTCTTAACATTGTTCTGATATGTGGTAAATGCTTTTTGTAGCTACGCTACTTGATGGTGAGCCAATCATTACTTTACCTCCGAAGTTCATAGAACTGAAAAGAGTGGAGTTTACAGATGAAGAGCGTTGTTTCTATTCCAGACTAGAGAGTGATTCACGTGATCAGTTCAAGGTGAAGTTAACTAGATTAGAAAGAAGTTACTTTCTTCAGTTCTTTAGGTATTGATTGTAAATTTGTGCTGCCGTTGCCTGATTCTTTGAGCCCTCCCATTTCTGTTCTTCAGAAGTATGCTGCAGCAGGAACTGTAAAGCAAAACTATGTTAACATCTTGTTGATGCTCCTCCGTCTTCGTCAAGCATGTGATCACCCTCTTCTAGTTAGAGGCTACGAATCAGTTGCATTGGAAAGATCTACAATTGAGATGGCAAAGAAGCTTCCTCACGAGAAACGAATGAGCCTTCTGCACTGTTTAGAGGCATCTTTAGCGATCTGTGGCCTCTGTAACGTATGTGCTCTGTTCTTCATGGTCTTCTCTCGTATTCCCTTCCTCTCCCGTCAACTGATTTTCCTTTGCTGATCCTTTCTCTGCCTGGCGGAAATCCTTTCTATTTTATTAATTTTAGGATATCAGTTGTAGCACAAATTAGCAGCACTTCTCTTTTGTCTGCACGAGGCCAATATTTTTTAGAGGCCAAATTGAAGGGTGATCATCTGGAGTTCTGTGATTGAAAGACTTAATCTGTGGTTGGTCAGTTGTAGTATAGTTGTATGCTTCTTTGCTTTAGTTTGTTCTTTGAATTGGTCTCTTGCTAGCTTCAGTTTACTTTCAGCTGAAGTATGGGTGTGGAACGATTTGGTTCCAATCAGGTCAAATTCAGTTTTTGGATTGAATTGGATCGGACTGATAGAATTCTATTCAGTTCTGATTGATTATTTCCGGTTCTGGTTCTGTGGGTCCTCTGGAAAACAAAGGAAAAATTGTACTGGATGGTTCCCCATTTCTCCTTTTTTAGTCGGTCCGATTCTGGACCTGATCAGACCAGGCACACCAAATGTCGTTCTGCTCGTGGGTCCTTTCCCAGCCTGTCTTATCTTTTCCCAACTTCCCTTCTCTGGTGATATTTCACTTTTCTGGCTTTGTTTTTCTCTACAGCCTGACACTCTGCCCTAACGGTTGTGTAGGATCCACCTGAAGATGCAGCTGTCACAATTTGTGGCCACGTTTTCTGCAATCAGTGCATCTGTGAACATCTTAACGGAGATGACAACCATTGCCCTAATTCTCATTGTAAAGTTCGACTAAATGTGTCTTTAGTGTTCTCCCAAGCCATTTTGCACAGGTCTCTTGCTGACCAGAGCAGTGAAGCTGTTTTTGTTCCTCCCTCCAATGCTGTTGAGGAAGTCAATTCTCAGGCTCAAAGTGGCGGACCATATGATTCTTCCAAAATTAGGGCTGCTCTTGCTGTCCTGCAGTCAATTTCCAAGCCTCAGCAGTCTGCTCCAGAAATACAGTCTGAACAGGATTCAGCCAATGATGCTAAAGGAAGCAGGACTCCTGAGAAAGCCATAGTATTTTCCCAGTGGACGAGGATGCTAGATTTGCTAGAAGCTTGTCTTAAGAGTTCCTCTATTCAGTACCGTCGACTCGATGGGACAATGTCAGTAGTTGCTAGAGAAAAAGCCGTCAAGGATTTCAACACTCTACCAGAGGTTTTTGGACCCACCGCTCTACTTTTTACGGTTTGTCTGCGTTGTTCTTTCTTGTCTTTCGCCTCTGAATGTTAGTCAATGTTTCGCAGGTTTCTGTTATTATCATGTCTCTCAAAGCAGCTAGTCTTGGATTAAACATGGTTGCTGCTTGTCATGTTATGCTACTCGACCTGTGGTGGAACCCTACGACAGAAGATCAGGCTATCGACAGAGCACATCGCATTGGTCAGACACGCCCCGTTAATGTTTTGAGGTTGACTGTGAAAGACACTGTGGAAGATCGTATCTTAGCTCTACAGGTATCATTACTGTCTTTCGTGCACCTAAAACCGGGAAATTTTTATTTGTATATCAGTTAAACCTAGTCAACCAAACTCCCTTGTTTTATTATATAAAAAGTAAATGATTACTTGTCCTTTGGGTTTGGTTAGCCAAATCAGTCACCGATCCCACCCCCTGTGTGGAGCTTCTTGATTTATATCTGCTGTTGTTAGCCCATCTGATAAATGGCTCATTTCCTTCTATTCTTCCCGTGTTCTTCATTTTTTGCCAATCAGTTTAACTGAACAGTGGCTTTGAGTTCCTTTGAATGCAGCAAAAGAAGAGGCAGATGGTTGCATCTGCATTTGGCGAGGATGCGAATGGTGGCCGTCAGACACGCCTAACCGAGGAGGATTTAAGATACCTATTCATGGGTTGAATGAGTGAGAGAATGGAAGTTCCATTTGCTTCTCTCGTTCGATCTAGATTTTTTCGCAGTAGATTCAAGTTCTTGACATGGATTTTATTCGTCGTACTTGGGATTCTTTTCCTAGGTTTAAGTTGAGAGGATGACCGAAAGGGTGTAGCAGCAGGTTGTTTCTTCTGATCGCCGAGTTTTGTTCAGTCACTGTATAGCCAGGACATAGCTGTAGAAAGATAGATAATCAATTATAGGTAACCTATATAGTTGAAGAAGATTGATAGGAAGGTCTACATATTTCATAGTTCTGTTTATGCTTTTCTTTGCCCACTGGACATTTTCCTCGCATAGTCGCATGTATATGAAATGGAAGGGCTCTATTCCTGACAGCTCTGTTTCTCCTCTTCTGCTTTGTGTGGATGGAGTGACAGAAGTTTTGAGAATTCAAGTTTTAAGTTTGTTTAAAAGGTAATCCGTGATTGTGTATCAGCTTAGTCGCGTCTTGTAACACTCGATGATAGATTGTGCGAACTGCGAACCTAGTACATACCATTCAATTCATGATGTGCCACCCACGCTCATGCTACCTCGACTCGTGACTAGAGTCATGCTAAATGCGCAATGATTGACACAGGGAGCACACATTCGACGAAGAAACACTAGTAGGTTTTCGTTGTACAACTAACATCGATATATCACAAGTGGTTGAGTTAGAGACGTGACCGAGGCTACCCATGACCATGTATTGGAACTTTGTAAATCAAACTAATGTTTAACAATTGTATCATTACAGAAGAAGCAGGTGAACAATAAGGTCCCATGGTCTAGTGGTCAGGACATTGGACTCTGAATCCAGTAACCCGAGTTCAAATCTCGGTGGGACCTTTCTTTTTTCATCTCTTCGCTCTTTCCATTTTGCCAGAATATGAGAATTGAGAAGAACGAACACGAAAACAGTGAAGAGGGAACAAATCCACAGATCAAAAGCGTCGTTGGCCAAGACCATTCAACAATCTGCATCCGCTTATCCTAAATGTGATTCAAAAGCACTCAATCAAAGCACAATTGAACCGCCGAATGGAGCAATTTCCAGCAAATTTCCCGCCTCGATCGTTTGTCTTCACTTTGTACTGCATCTATTGCTGAGCCAATTCACAATGTCCCGCCGGATCATCGCAATATTCTCATCCGTCTCGCCGAACAGCAGCGAATGCAGCATCCCGTCGTAGATCTTGATCGTCTTGTCCTCGCTCGCCGCCTCTTCGTACAACGCTCGGCTAACATTCGGATCGGTGACCACATCCGCGCTTCCGTGGAGGACGAGGAACGGAACCCTAACGTCTCGCAATCTGTTTCCCAGACAGTCCGTAGTCCTAATCAGCTCCACCACTGTCCCGAGCCGCGGCTTGCCTCTGTACCTCATCGGATTCATCTCCGCGACCTTCAGCTTCTCTTTCACTTTGACGGATTCACGGAGTAGGTCTCCCGTGGGGACGATGGCCAGCGTCGGGAGGAATTTGGCGACGATGGTGAGGACCTCGGGGATCGGCCAGCGAGGTTTGATCTCGTCCGCGATTCGGCACATCGGGGCGACGAGGATCGCGCCGTCGAAGGCGGTAGGGCTTTGGAAGTGGATGAGGAGGCACATCGCTCCGCCCATGGATTCGCCGTAGAGGAATGAAGGGAGGCCGGTGAATTGCGGGTCTCGTTTGATGGCGTTGAAGTAGGAGAGGCAGTCATGGACGACGAGGTCGATGTTGGGGACGTAGGCTTTCAGGCCTTGGGATCTCCCGTGGCCTTCCATGTCGAGGCTGAAGCAGGCGAAGCCGTTCTGGGCGAGGAAGATGGCTGTGGATTGGAAGGTCCAGCTGCAGTCGTTGCCGTATCCATGGACCATACAGAGCAGGGCGCGAGGTGGTTTGGAGGTGTTCGGCAGCCATGAACGGGTGAAGAGCTTCAGGCCCCTGGGTGAGGTGTAGAATGAATGCCCTGCTCGAATTCCTTGCTGTTTGTAGTACTCTTGCTCTGGGAGATCGCCCCAGTAGTGGATTTCATCGCTGCTGGTTGGTGGAATTTCTTGCTCCTGCATTCTTGGAGAGGATTGGCCGATTGGGATGAATCGTGAGATAGTCCGGCGTTTTTGTTGCTTCTGCTGCTGCTTAGGATTGTGTGGTGGATTGGTGGCTGGATGGTCAATTTTGTCACTTTTCTGATTTGTCGACAACAGCCAACTGTCATAAAAGTTTCCAACTTTCATCAAAGCTGAAGGTTAGTGCTTTCTAAACTGCGATTGCTTTCCTTACACGCAGCCAATAAAATTACATTCCAACTTGTACCTTGTTCTTTTGCAACATCAGAATTTTAGGGACTCCCTACTAGATTCTGTTGCTGGTTTGGACGACAGTGCCTTCGGCAATGAATAATAAAATGAGCAAAACCTTTTCTAAACGCATAGAATACTTCCTTCAATGCAAATTTGTCTTTGCGATTAACTTGGTTACCTTTTTTTTTTTTTATAGTTTCAGGAATATGCTGGGGCAATGGAATCAAGTGTGGGTCTCATGACACTTGGACAAAGATGGAGAAGGCAGCTGTACTCGAAACTTGAGGTCAGTTTACATTCGCAAATACCCTTCATTTGAAATCATTTGATGCATCCATGTCTTTCTTATCCTTTCAGTTTTTGTCTTGGGTGTGCAATGACTAGTTTCATGGGTGAACATAGAACCGATGAGATGGTTAGTTGACCCTGTCTACAGTATGAAAGATGCTCTTCTTTTCTCCCCAAAAACTCCATTAAAAAACCCCATGTGGTCTGTGGAGTTTTGTACCAAGAAGGATAAAGCAAAACTACTCATCGTCGATTTGATCTCACTGGTCTTTTCTGGGGCTGATCGACTTTTACACCCATAAATTTGCGGTTGTAGGAAAGACTAGGCCATCTAATATGCTTCCTCAAATCATCGAATGGTTAAGCTTTGACTGCTTGTTTGGCGTGTTATGAAAAAGCATTTTCCCTTTTTTGCCTAATTCCAATAAAAGCTCGTGCACTAGCACTTTTTATGTTTGGTCTGGTATTGCAACCATCATTGTGAATGCCAATAAGTATTGACGAAGCCACTGCCCTGATGTTCAACCATGAAATTAGGTTGTTTTAGACCATAGCTTTGCCTCTCAAATCTCATCTCACATGCTTTATGCCCCCCTTGGTAGCAGGAAGGCAGGGATAAGTTATTGGTACAGTGGGAGCGTTGACTTGCTGTGAATTTTCTTTTTGTTTGTAAACTCTTCTTGATATCTAAGGGAGAGCAGATTTAGGTGGTACCTAAGGATAGAGAACTAGGCTATATCTGTATGGCGACAATGTAAAATAGAGATAACTAGAACGATAGGCCACTAGAAGTCCAGCCGTATGTCGTGTTTTGGTGCTGTAAATAAGATGTTCAATATCGAAAAGTTGGAGCCAGAAAACTTTGAGCATGAGATTGGTAGAAGATTAACTACCCAAGAAGTAACTCCCAACCTGTGATCTCTTACGTCTCCTCCTCTTGCAAAAGGTGTCCTTATCTTGTTGTGGTGGCCATGTACCACCAATAAGAGACGTCTCCTTCTCTGTGAAACTACAAAAGTGAGATTCTTTTATTCTATTTATGTTGTCTAGTTAACAGAGGTCCGCTGGTATTTGTGGCAACATGGGAAAATGGTAATGGAAAGGCATAGAAAGCACGGAACTTAATGGCTTATTCTTCAAAAAATGATAGTCATCATTTAAGTAGGTGCCATTGGTTTTTATCTTCAATTGAGGCAACCGTAAACAAGAATATAAAGTCTATATACGAAAAGAGAGACGAATGAAATATTAAAGAATGATGGGTGGACAGTTAATGAACGTTCAACGGGAAAACAGATGGAAAGGAAGAAGAGGGACAATTTGTGGGGTAAACAGTGGAAGCCACTTTCTCCTTCGTAGAGGCGTTTGTTTCCTTTAATTTCAGAAACCATAGATTAATAGCAGTTGCAGGTGCAATTAAAATTGCCAGCAGGTATAGAATAGAATGACTGAACTTTGCAATTGATGTGATCCACCACTTGAGTCATGCTTTGCTTATGCTATTCCCTCCTCCCTCTTCTTAATTTTCTGCTCATGATTATGAGCAGATAATGAACTCTCCCACCTAGTGAAAATTTTGGAACTTAAGCCTTTATGTGTTTGACGCAAATCTTCATTGGCCTATTCAATAGACTACAGAACTAAGAATGTCCTATTTAATGGAAGAGGCTTCTAGAAACCAAATTTCTGCGTAGTTGTTCTGGCACAATTTCTTCTTTTTCCCAGGTTTAAGATTGATCAGTTCTTTTACAATAAACCTGATTTAGGTTCGCCTTAATGATTTACCTATACTTCTTGGTGTTGTTGGTTCGTCGCTTTTAGATATAGCCGTATAGGTCATTGGATGTTCAAGATTTGTTTTCTCCTGAAGAATGGCAAGATTGCAGATGTATTTGTTGTTTTGTTCTGCATGTCAACTAACTATTTATGAATGTTGGAGATTAGGATGGGGTCATTATTTATAGATGAAGATGGCCCTGAACTGATTCCTTCTCCAATTATGCGCTTTATCAGAATTATTATCACATTATCGACTAAATGATCTTTTTATCTATCCAACCGAGACACATAAGCGGAATTTTGAAAAAGAAAAGATGTAGAATTAGGAGACTGGAATCATTAGGTTGTCTGTTCTTGGGAATGAACAGTATGTTTTAAGGTCTGATGCAAGACTGGTCACAATGGATTAATGGTGGGAGCACCATCGCATATACGTGTTTAATCCTATATGGTGATAAGTGCATACATCTTTAGTTAAAATATTCACCATTCCTTCTGGGATTTGGACAGATTTGTATTTTTCTTTCTTTAGAGTAACCACATCTGGAATAGTGAGTCTGAAACCAACCAAAAGGAGAAAGACCTAATCAATTTGCTAATGCAGTTGGAGATCCATTGGCCATCATAAAAAGTGGCTTCACTTTCTGAGAGAGGGTGGTTGTTGTGCCATTATCTGGTGGCAAATGTGTCAAACATGGTGGATAGATGTCTATACATGCAAACTAGAGATTTACTTGGCTATAACGCATGAATATATAAGAGTAGTATGGTTTTATTGTGTGTGGCTCCTGTATAAAAGTTATCCATATGCATGATAGAAGTCATTGAACGCAGGGGAACCATCAGATGGGCACCTGTAAAGGCTTCATTCATTGGTGATTCGGTGATTGTTGGACTTAGATGTATATTTGGAAAATGGGATGAGGAAAAAACAAGAAAAAGAGAGGAAGAGAAGCAAGTATATTATAAATGGAACATCTGAGAGATGTTGTCCATCTCATTATCGACTACATTGTTGGATCCAAGTCATTGTTCAACGACAACCTGTATTTCCTTTCCTACCTTTCGCCATCTAGGGAGGAGGGGGGTACATCACCAGATTCAATAGTCACAAACTACAAGGTTCGCCACAAAACTTCAACTTTCTACTTTGTGATGATGAGATTCCTAAAACGGTGGTCTTTTTCTTTTTTATTATTCCACCACTAATTTGGTATGGGAATATGTACCACAGCGTCATTTCCACTTTGCCACTTTTATGACATGACTGTGTTCAGTGTGTTGTGATTAGCAGCAAAAATATTGTCAGTGTGCAGAATGTTAGAACACCCTCTCTGACCATGGGTTACCCTTTCATGCAATTTGTGGACGTTTTTGTCCTGTATTGCTGACCTTGTAACAGGAGTCCAATTTAAATATTTTGCCCCTACTCCTATTATAGAATAGTGTTGCGGACCCTACATAGTTTCAGGCAGTTTTCTATTGGTTAGAAGTTCCATAGACAAATCGCTTCAAACTCCTCTATGACCCACTTGTCTGCAAAATTGTGGAAGATCAACAATCCCTACTATTCCCTCTTACGTGCAGGAACAAACAATGACTATTTATACTGGATTTGTTAGTAATTCCTGGTTATTTCATTTGATGAGAACAAAAGAAGGATGACCTTGGGTTATACCAAGTCTCAAGCCAAGTGGATGCCATTTTGAACAATTTTATATTGAAGAGATGTTCCGGTCACTTTGAAGCTAAAGAAATATGGATTTGTTACTAATGCTTCTCTAGTTTGATATGAATGGGCTTAAGCTCTTTATTGTTGTCATTATCTTGATCTCAAAACCCTGTCATCTAGATTAGCTACATCTTTTAAGAGTGCTGATAATACAGGTAACACTAAACAAAATATTCTGTTCACCATGTTATGTGGTTTATGTTGCTAACAGCAGTCATTATCACTTATTTCCCTTGAACATTTCCTTTTCATTGACAAGACAGCTTGATAGAGTTCATATCGTATGACAGTTTGTTCTTTGTGTAAAATGGATTATGCGCTCATATTTCATGACAGTTTGTTCTTTCTGTAACATGGATTATGCACTCATATTCCATACTCTAGGCTAGTTGATCAGCTTGATGGAGAGGGGCTGGGGGCTCGTGCGAATTAGATGATGTATTTGCATCCAGGTATATTTTTAAGATAACATGTAGATAAAGTCTACCAGAGAGAACATTTGGCATAGTGGATGGGAGAAAACAGGTAGGCAATGAACCATATGGTGTATGAAAATCATACACAAAAGTAGTCAAAGGCAAATCAAATCTATTTGAATATATGCAGATTGTTAGCCACTACTGTGATGGTTATCCTATCAACATGTATTGATTCTCCCTCTTCAATCAGCAATATTTCATTTTCCCAGAAAAAAAAAATAGTCTGACTAGTCTGCTTAAGAATACAAATCACAGACTACAACTGCATCATAATTTTTTCTGGTGAAATGAGTGCCAATGCCTCTTTACAACTGCATATTTATTCACAAATTCTTGCCTAATTTATTCTCATTGAGCCAGGAACATAACTAATGATTGTTAAAATTGGATGTCTGATAGATAGGAAATGGTTTTTCTGAAGATGGATTGGATATACTGTAGGAAGTTGTATATTTTACTTCTACTAACAACCCACTCATGAGTGGGACATCCACAGACCCTGAGCATGCAAGAAAGCTCTAGAACAGTTGTAATGTGCCATGTCACAAGCTACAAGGTTTGCTAAACTGATAAAAATTCACCATGCCACATAGGACCACTGACCCACACCTAGCTTTTTTCTTCCTCTCAAGTAGTATAAATAGGGCATGCTTCTTTCTTTGATTCATCATCTTTCTCTTCTGTAAGCTTTATCTGCAAGAAGCTCACATCTCCAATATGGATTTTGTACCTAAACTGGCACCTTTCCTGTCTTCATTTCTCATTTCTCTTGTATATCTGGTGCCTCTTTTCAGTGCCAGACAAGGGCAGTATGTTATTGAGAAGAGACTGAACACATTGGTCAATGATCATCTTGTGACTAATTTACCTAACCAGCCAGAAGTGGACTTCCGCCACTATGCTGGATTTCTTACTGTGAATGAAACAAGTGGGAGGGCTCTGTTTTACTGGTTCTATGAGGCAGCCACCCGTCCTGATGAAAAACCTTTAGTTCTCTGGCTTAATGGAGGTAATCAAGCTTACTTACTTTGCCATTTTTCTTTTTCTTGAATCCTCACAAATTCACAAAACAATGGTAAGGTCACTGTGGGAATGAGTGTTGCTCACCAATGGGCAAAGCACTGGAGTGGTTGCTTCTCTGTCCATTGTATCACTCTGCAATACTTTCAGCTAGATAATTGACGATTGTAATGTCAGGTAGAAAGACTTGAGTGGCCCTTAGGTAACCTTTAGGATGCTGGATTTATCTTCCATGGCTGTCCAGATCAGAACCAAATGCGAGGCTTTTGGCCAAAATGATCTCTCATGCATTTGAGTTCTATATAACATATAGTTTTCTGAGTGCTTTGCCTTGTCCAGTATCAAATGCTCTCCCTTCGTAAACATGCGTTCTGAACAAGAAAGTACTCTGAAAAAGTTCTTTTGTGGCAGATTAAAGATTATTGTTCCTCTAGGCCATAATGGGTGTCATCACCTTCCTTAATCTCAATTATTGTCCAAATAGGTTCTTTTTCGCGATAAGTACGATTGTTATTAATTGTATATTCTATGCCCTCTAATAAGGTGACAAGATGCTTAATGTTTCAGGTCCAGGATGCTCTTCTGTGGGATATGGAGCAACTCAAGAGATTGGCCCTTTTATAGTGGATGCTAATGGAAATGGAATTAAGTATAATCCTGACTCATGGAATAGAGGTATATAGGGCCTACCACTTAGCCTATAACATAATATCTATCTATGCTTAAACAATAGGGCAAGGTGCAACTATGGTTGGATTTCCAAAATTCTCCATTATGGTATTATCTTTATCTCTAAATCTCACCATTCTGTATGTGACACAGAGGCCAACATGCTATTCCTGGAATCCCCAGTTGGAGTTGGATTTTCATATTCAAATACAAGTACAGATTATAATATCCTGGGAGATGAATTTACAGGTAAATCACATGACTTATGAAATCAACTATCTGTTTATTCAAGTGCCAGTTCAGGTTATGATATAGTCTTTTGATCTGATTAGTATTTTTTTCTTACCTCTGTTGGTAGCAAATGATGCCTATGCCTTCCTGCATAAATGGTTTCTCAAGTTTCCATCGTACAGAACTCGGATGTTCTACATAGCAGGGGAGAGCTACGCGGGTAAGAACAATCTCTCTGAACGATTTTTATAGAAAATCTATGTTTAGCATATAATTTCCCCTCGTTTCCCTTAAATTGCAGAGCATTTTCAACTCTTCTTTTACTTAAAAAGTTTTAGTCTTTATACTTGAAATTTCTGTACAAATTCCTTCTAACATGGATCAATACAGGAAAATACATCCCGGAGCTTGCTGAGTTTATAATTGACAGGAACAAGGATGCTTCACTTCATATAAACCTCAGGGGTATTTTGGTATGCCACACATAAACGTAAAAGTAGTAATGGAGATCTGCTTGAGAATCTACAACCGTTCTCTAACGTTACTGTTTCCTTTTCTCAGATGGGTAATCCCGAAACAAACGATGCCGAAGACTGGAGAGGTATGGTAGATTACGCGTGGAGCCATGCCGTGATCTCAGACGAAACCCACAAAGTAATCGGCCTGAGCTGCAACTTCAGCAGCGATGACACTTGGAGCAACAACGACTGCAGTGATTCTGTCGACGAATTGCTGAGACAGTACAAGGAGATCGATATCTACAGCCTCTACACCTCGGTCTGTGCAAGGAATTCCGCTAGCTCGGATCAGAAATCCACCCAAGTTATGTTCACACGTGCTTCAAAAATGGTGAGTTGAAAACTTGAAATGAAAGGGAGGGGCATTTGATAGGTGTCCCTGAATGATTGACGTCCTTTTACGACAATCAGAATTGGAAGGACATAGACAAATAATTAAAGCTTTCTCATGAATAATTATAACTTTATTGTCAGATGCCGAGAATAATGGGTGGGTATGATCCATGTCTGGATGAATATGCTAAGGCTTTCTACAACAGGCTCGATGTCCAGAAGGCCCTCCATGTGAGCGATGGCCACCATCTCAGGAACTGGAGCATCTGCAAGTAAGTAGTTCGATTAACTTCGTATATAGATCACAAAGTTTGTGGACGATTTGGTGAGAGATTCTTGCTGCTTAAGAATGCACCGTGCTTGAGCTTAGCCTTTAGTTACGACTGGCAGTCACATACAGTCGCGTAGATTATTTTCTCTGTATTGTTGCGATAGATGATTTTTTGTTGAGTATTTTTTTACCTAAAAAAATAGGAAGATGGATTTTTTCCATCTCTTTGTAACTTCAGAAGAGAAGCTTTGGTTAACGTGAACTTGAAGTCATGTCATGTCACGTCAATTGTCAATTGTCATATGACTGTCTTTTCTGGTCTCTGTGTTGGCAATTATTGTAACTTGATTTTGCATGGCCGGTGATATGATTGGTGTGCAGTGAGACGATATTCAATGAGTGGAAGTACTCCAAGCCATCCGTCCTTCCTATCTACACAAAGCTGATTGGAGCAGGAATCAGGATCTGGGTCTACAGGTATAAACAAAACAAACTGTCCCTCTTCAACATTTTACCTTCTTGGTTACTCTTTACTGGTTGCCCTTTCCCATTTGATATAAGTGTGGTTATGGTTCTAGTTACCTATGTGTCGATTCGACGATAACTCATCATGCTCTTCGTCTTTGTTGCTTGAGCAGCGGGGACACGGATGGGAGGGTACCTGTGCTGTCGACTCGATACAGCATAAGCTCGCTGGGGCTGAAGATAACCAAGTCATGGAGGCCATGGTACCACCAAAGGCAAGTCAGTGGGTGGTTTCAGGAGTATGAAGGCCTGACATTTGCCACATTCAGAGGTGCAGGCCATGCCGTCCCTATCTTCAAACCCAGCGACTCCCTCGCCTTCTTCTCTGCCTTTCTGCTCGGCGATGCTCCACCTTCTGCCCGATGAACCCTACCTACAACCCAGAAAGGAGAGGATACTACTAATTATTAGTTTGCATTATGATATATCATTGCAGAGTTCCCTTTTCTGATTGTTCCCCTTCTTTCCTTTCCCTTTCCAGCCACCAGCCTAAAAGGTTTTTGCTTTGCAGAGTATGTGATAGAAAAGCAAGGGAATGTAGTAATACTCTTACTAGTAGTAGCTTTTATTGGAGCGTGTAAATAAACGCCCCAATAATATTGCAGATTGCTCCAAAAAGGATGTTGGACTTTTCGAACCCGTAGTATTGGGGCCTAAAAAGCCCAGCTGGAAGAATGAATAGTATTGCAATGACCATTTGATGGCATCATATCCATTTCTTAAAGCCCAGATCCAAATATGTTTGTATGCTACACAGACAATAATTATAACATGTGTTGGGTTGGGTATTTACTATTTACGGGTTGAATGTTCGAGAATGCTCACCCAATGCAAGTTCAACCTTATTTTTTTGAGCGGTAAATATGAGCGAGTTAGATGGGGTTGGACGGATGGGTTGGTTGTGTTTGTTCATCCAAGTGAGATAATAACTAAACAACGCGACGATGAACAGTTTTCGCTATTATGGACATTGCCGATTTTGACAACGACCCTTGAAATATTTCGTGACAATATTTTGCTATTTCCTGACGCCTATTACGTCGCCTGTAGCCCACATAAACACAAGTACTTTCGGCCATTACCGTTTCTCCTTTCTTGCAGCAAATTCCAACCTCTCCATTAACTAATTAAGAAACAGAGTGTGTAAGTGGATCCATGAACAACATTCGAAGAAAAAGCAGAGCCATGACCACTTCTTATTACATAGCTCGATCCTTATACGTTACCAGAAACAGCGAAACCCAAAACCATGATGCAGCGCAGCAGCTTGAAATGAGTTATTTCCATGATCCTCTTTCACTTGATGGATGAGATCTTTTGATATTGCTTTTTTTTTTTTTCCAGCTTGAAACCCAAAACCATGATGCAGACAGAGTATTGATTGTATAGCAGGGGATTGCATGAGTTACACATTGCAGTGGAAGAACTACCACTTGGCCACCTCCAAATTAAAAGATAGTGTCTTCTTCTATTTAATATGGAGATTAAATGAATGCAAACTTATTTAGAAAGATGAGAACTCTTTGCTTGATGGTAGTGATGGGTCATGGAACCTTTTTTTTGTTCCTCCATTATGGCAGCCTGTCTTACAAAGACACAAAAAAATTTGCTAATCAATTTCCTTTCCCTTCTACTTCTTCGTGTCCTCTGAAACCTCCAACCAGTCGCTCTGCATCCAGAACTTGCTTGGCACAGGAAGAGAAGCAGTAGTCGATACACTCGCAACATTCCGGCGGACCACAATTGGCCACAGTGTTGCACGTAATCTGCTGAAGATTCCTACCTTCTGCTCGACTGTTCTTCCCACCTGCATTGTTCATTTTTCATTTTGAACAGAGCACAGTTCGGTCATCAACAAGTTTCTTTTTTTCTTATAGAACAGGTCTCTTGACTATGTTAAGAACAGAACGATACATGAATTAGGGCGAAATTATATACGTACCAGAAACAGAGAAAATCAAAACCGCGAGGCAGAGCATCAACTTGAAATGAGTTCTTTCCATTATGCTTGGGGATGGATGGATGAGTTTGAGATCTTTTGAACTTTTTTTTCCCTCTTTCTTTCTGGTGGGTTGGGGAAGAGAATGACTCTTTGTTGTGGAAATTGTTCACGTATACTATTTTCTTGCAACACAAGCAAACACATAAAATTAAGAAAACATGCAAAGACACATGCAAGCGTCCTAGCCGATAGAATTCACTATCTCTCCTTAAAGAATCTTCTTTCCCTCAAGTACCCAAGGTTATGGAATGATTCCTCCCAGGATAGAAAGGACGTACCTTTTCCGGTGTAGCGGTACCTCAAACCCCGGAACCCATCGAACGCAGTGCACCGGCGAGAACCACACTTGACTCGATTTTCTCTTTGAAAAGAATGAAGAATACTAGTTTTGGATTTTGACAGAATTTTGGTACCGGGAAAAACCGATGTAAAAAACCAGAGGGGGTTAGGTGTTATTTATAGAAAATGAAGGGGTGCGTACGAAGGGAGGCGACTCTTCATATGGGTGGTTACACCCCAACCAAAACATTGGTTCATGTTTGAAATAATGAACCATTGCATCGGCTCGGCCCAGGGTAGTTGGACCGGTTTGGTTATTCCAACCGCCACATCGGTTCGGTTTGATTCGGTTCAACTCGGTTTGGTTTGGTTCGTTTGGTACACAAACCAATTTAACCAATTAACCACATATTACATCAAATCGATCGAATTCGAGTTCGTGCCTTCCCACATCTTACCAACGTGGTACTTCAAGAGACTCTCTTAAAACTTTCCCCTTTTATTTCCATTCACACCACTAAAAATCCCAACACTCTTTATATCAAAAGATAGTGTCTTCTTCCATTGAATATGGAGATTTAGTTTCCTTCTTTGCCATTGTTTGATTCCTTTCTTTCAAAGATATCCCATAAGAGGGAAAATACAAGGGAGGAGAATACATATAAGATCTGTGTACGTCTAATCACAAAATTGAAACGAGATGGAAACATTAGTCAACTAAAAGTAAAAAGGGTATTGTTTTATCACAATATGGAAAACCCAATTAACCTTACGAGATACAAAAAGGGTGTTTTTCTTTTCTACCCTTACCCATGTTTGGTATTGGGCTAAAAAGCCTAGTTTGCACTGGAAGGACCATTTGATGGCACCATGTCCATTTGTTGGAGCCCAAATCAATAATTGATTGGGCCGTAGAACGAATTTGCATGAGAATTATGGCTAGTTACTACCCATTGACATAACCAACGTCGCCAAATAACTTTACCGACATAAATGCCAACATAATCTTTATTTTGTTTCAAAGTACTTTGATTATGCATAATATAAATGTTACCAACTCTCTGGGGTTTACGTGATGCGTGTCTGATGGAATTATTGGCTTTATCGTAATGCAATGGATTGGTGTTTAACTCGTGGTGTGTACTCTGTTTGTTTTTGTGGTGATTCGCAACTGGTGATTTGACGAGCTATGGAGAATGATGTTCAACATGACCGAGGAGGAGCAATCCTTGAGGAAGTGCTATTGATGAAGTCCTCCTTCTCATTGATTCGATTTGTTTTTTCTCCTCGTAGAACTAACAGGGCTGCCCATTGCGTGACGAAAAAGGCTCTTGCATCGGTGGATCGACATTTGGCTTATTACCATTTTTTATTTTCAAACTGATTGTAATTCCCTATCTATTAACTATCTATCTAAGGCAACAAAAAAAACTCTCTAGGGTGCGATACTGCGATTCTTTGGTTTCATTATACTAAGAATGACTATGGTGTAAAATATTGAAACCTCCCATGTATTAACATAAGGGTATCCGTCGCGAAACGCGGATAAAATATCATATCCAACGATTGCTTTTTTTTATAACTTTTATGAACAACAATGGGTTAAATTAGATACTCAAACTTGTCTCATAACCGGTCGTAGTTAGATCATATATTTTTGATTTGAGAGTGTTGGGAACTTGGGATAGATCAACCCGGTCAAACATATATTAATTTGCCTAGAAGTAATTAAGACAACGGATCGAGAATAATTTGGGTGAAACTGGTTACTGAGTACTTTCGGCCATTACCCTTTCTTGAAGCAAATCTCAGTTTCACAAACTGAAAGAGAGAGAGAGAAAGTGGAGCCATTAACACTTTTTTTTAATATATTATGACATTATTTTGTAAATTAGTTCCCTTTCCCTTCTACATCTTCATGTCCTCTGGAATCTAGAACGAGGCGTTCTGCATCCATGTCTTGCTTGGAGCATGTACAGACGCAGTGAAAGACACACTCGCAACATCGTCGCGGACCGCATTGGTCCACAGAGTGGCACGTGTCAATCTCAAAGTTTCTACCTTCTGCTCCACTGTTCTTCCCACCTGCAGTAGTGTGTTCATTTTCATTTTGAACAGAGCACAGTTCGTTCATCAATAAGTGTTTTTTTCTTCTTCTTCTTAAGAGCATAATGATATAGGAATTAGGGCGGAATTATGTACGTACCAGAAACAGAGAAAACCAAAATCACGATGCAGAGCATCAGCTTGAAATGGGTTCTTTCCATTATGCTTGGGGGGATGATGAATGAGTTTGAGATCTTTTGATCTTTTTTTTATTCTTCTTTCTGGTGGGGTGGGGGAGAGAAATAGAATGACTCTTTTATATATAAAAAAATGCCTGTGTCGTCTTTCCATTGAATATGGAGATTTGGTTTCCTTCTTTGCTATATATGATTCTTTTTTTGTTTTTTAAAGATATCCCATAAGAGAGGGAAAATACAAGGTACGTAGGAAAATACATATATATATATATATCTAATTACGAAATTGAAAGGCGAGACGCGGGAACATTAGTCAATTTCTTAAAGCACGTTCATCGACTAAGTGGTATTGTTTTGTTACAATATGGGAAATCCAATTAGTTCTGACAGATACAAAATGCAGCGAGACACGTTTAAAAGTTAGAGAGAAACCCAACCCTTAAATCTCTTTTTTCTAAAAAACAAAAATTGTTACTACTTACTACCCGATAAATGCTTCACATTATCCATCTGAATGACCACCTACTTATCACTAATAATATTAGTGTTGAAACGAATTGGCTCAACAATAATATGCGAATAGCCCCAGATAGGGTGGTAAACGGTAATTCGGTAAACGGTTTACCGTTTTACCGAACCGCTAACCGACGGTAAACGGTAAACCGTTTAACGGCGGTATCGGTAGCCGAGCGGGAAGTTGGGGGAGTCGGTTTACCGAACACGGTATCGGTAAATACCGACGGTAAATCGGTATTACCGATACCGAATCCCCCCTCCCTACTCCCTAGTGCTACACTGCGTTTTGTTGCTTTACCACAAAAAACATAAAGTATTACATGCATGAATGTAAGTGTAGGCCTCAAAAATATTGTAAATAAGAGTTAACAATAAATTATTAATTACAAAAATGATGAAAAAAACTCAAAAAAATCAAAATATTACAACATCACCTCACTTCCAGAAATTCGGTTCGGTAAATATTCGGTAAACCGACCGAAAAACCGCCCGAAATCGCTTCTCACGGTATTTCGGTAATACCGGTTTGTAACCGTTTACAGGTAATTCGGTAATCGGTAAACCGGTTACAAACCGGTATCGGTAATCGGTAACCAATTTGGCCAACTTCGGTATACCGAAACCGGTAAATTGTTTACCGACCGAATCCCACCCATGGCCCCAGATGAGTGTGGTGGTGTTTTGGGCCTTACTTACCCATGTTTGGTATTGGGCTTAAAAGCCTACTTAGCACTGGAAGGAAGGACCGTTGATGGCACCACCATATACAGTAGTGGAAGCCCAAATCAAGAAACTATTGGGCCGGATAACGAATTTGCATGAGAATTGTAGCTAGTTGCACCCATTGACATACATAACCAACGTGGCCGTCATTTTCCTAATTTCCCGACGCCGTTTTCCTAATTTCCCGACGTATACTGCTATCCCTATTTTCCGTCTATTGAATTGAACAACTCTCTGCAGCCAAGTTCTTTAATTTGCAACCAGACAACTATTCTCCCTGCAAATTTGAGCTTCACCATTAACCATTCGAAGAAAAAGCAGAGCCATAAAAACTTTTTTTTTTATTATTATAAATGATCGCAGAGAGCACCCTTTATTTCATTCATAATCAATAAGGATTCGGAGAACTCTTGCGTATCATACGCGTAATCAAATAGTGTAACACAGTACTGGTTACATACACGATGGGACAGGGACAATCAATGATCAATTGTTTCTTAAACACATATTTGGTTTTGGATTTTTGTTATTACGTACACAGGATGGAGATTAATTTCCTTGTTCAACTCTTTTGGAATTTTGAATGAGACGTTCTGCATCCAGTACTCCTTGGGGACAGTTACAGACGCAGAGACCGGTACACTTGCAACATGTTGTCGAAGAGCAATCTGCCACCGTTTTGCATGGATGTGCTACGTTTCTACCTTCTGCTCCAATGTTATTCTTCTTCCCACCTGCATACAATATCCATTTCTAATATCAACAGCGAGTTTATTCGGACGAGAAGATAAGAACAAAATACAAAGACTCACAACACATGTATCACGAAAGAAGGACGAGAAGATCGATAAGTACCGGCCGAAGCAGCGAACACGACCAAAAGCACGAGGCAGCAGAACATCAACTTGAAATTAGTCTTTACCATTATGCTTGATATGCTCTTCCACTTGATGGATGAGATCTTCTGATTAGTGATTTGTGAAGTATATATAGAGCATATATGACAACGTTGCTTATTATTTATATATAAGAAGAGGATGTAGTTATTTAGGAGAGTTTGGTGTACCATATTTCTCTAGCTAGGGTATTTTTTTTTTCTTCTTCTTCTGGAAAGACGTACATGGTGTTCTCAAAAGATTGATTTTCTTGTTCAGGAATTCATTTCCAAAAATCGACACTACAGTTATAATGCTTTCTTGGGCAGAAAAAACAACATTAATGTATAGTCTTTTGGTTCTTTGAATGTTACAATGCACTGAAATATGAATTCGTATAATACACGGAAAAATGCAATTCCATGGAATGTGACAAGAATGAATGTATTTTTATTAACACCAAATTTTGATTAAATGAATCTAACTTGGAAGATAAAATTCCAACCTTTTTATTAATTACAAATAGTTTATATATAGGGGTAAAATATAAGTAATAAAATTGAAACATTAAATACAATTTTTGAATTTAAATCATTGTGGAAAACGGATTCTACACACTCATATAAAGCGTACATTAATTCCACAATGTCAACTGTCCGTCAATTTTACACGACCACACAAACAATTGAACATCATATAATTTTTCCACCACACATTAATTCCACGATGTCAACTGTCCACCAAACTTCCGTTGGTCTCCGGTTCAAAGCCTCGGTACTGTCTCTCTCTCTAGCCTCGAACTCGAACTCGATCCAAACAAACAATCTATCATCGAAACCAACGCTGAAATTGGAACGACGGAGAGTAGATTCAAATTGCCACACCAGTCTAACCTTTCCACGATAATATCACTACCGAAATGATTAACATCACCCATTAGTGTTTCAACATTCAATTAGTTCTTAATGGTGGCAAAAGTGAACACATATAGCGACGGACGAGCCAATGCGAAACCGAAACATTAGCGGATGAGATAATTAACTTTGGTCTTTGAGGATACACAGAGAAAAACACCTATGGTCCCATTTCTACCCTTTTTGTACTAAAAAGTTCATGCAGACAAAACACTACACAGTCCTCTCACGTTCTCCACGTTTGACATTTCACTCCATATGAACATTTAGAGTTAAAAAGAAAAAGTTAATCTTTGACATATGGGTCATCTTAAGTTCTTAACCACGTAATTGATTCGTTGTTCTACGTTAAATTGTATACAGGAGATCTGCCTACAAATTAAATGGGTTGATGTTCACGAGCGACTCGATATTTGGTTCGAAAAAAAAAACTAGTTCGGAATTTGACTTGTTTACTAACGATCCGAGATTGAGATAAGCCATGTTGAGCTCGTGCAGGCTCGCGAGCCAGCTAAATTCGGTGGTTTTGTTTAGCTCAACCTGCAGGCTGATGACTTATTTTGAGCTCATGAGATGTCTTAACATTGTGGCTAACGCGAGCCAACTCGACTACCGACTTATGAGCGATTCAATCTATATCTTATGAGTTGGTAATTTGTAGGTTTGTTAAATTATCTATCTCATCCCATAGGATGTTTAAGACTTTGAGTAACGTGAGCAAATATCTCATTTATAATTTAAAAGAGAAATTAGGTATCATATATTACTTAGATACAAATTTCTATGAAATAAAATGATATGGACTAGTCAAAATTTATAAATTAAATACACGATACCAACATAGTATATAAAAAGAGCCATGCTTGAGATTGATCTTGACCGACTCACCTCATTAATAAACGAGTCGAGCTCAAACTCTACTCGTTTACAAGCGAGCTAATCCCGAGTTAGGTAAAACTCGGCTCGACTCGACTCCTAGAAGAACATGCCTCACCATGTATATTATGTCATAATTATAATTCTTTTACGACTTAGTGTGATCTCGATTTCAAGACTGACATTCCATCTCAATAGCTCGACTAGTTGAGAGCAAGACCCAAATTAAAATTGAATCTTATATACACAAAATTCCCCGCCCACTCATGATCAAAAAAACCATCCCATCAGTTTGAAGTTTGCAATTTTCATACTATCATACAACATAGTTAGTATCTTTGACATTAGAGCACAAAAAATCTTTCGATCAAAGCGTACTACGATATATACTCTGAAAACTCGTTTTATCACAATAACTTGATCGAGTGGCGGGGAGAGGCACATGCATGCATATGTTATCTTGAATTAATCCAGCTTTGACATGACAATATCGTCGTCAAATGCTAGCTAGCTAGCTAATTGCCAGTTACTAGCGTGCTTGATCAGTGTATACGTGGTTCGATTACGACATGAAATAACCGTGAAAACGTCATTAGTGGAGGGGAATTTTGATGACTCTTCTTCCTAGTCTTATCTTTCAGAAGGTTTGGTCTTCCATGATTTAAACACTACCTTAATTAATCATCATCATACTGTTTCCCATCACGCTCAAAATGACGATGCACTTTGTTTGTGGTCCTTATGTTTGACAACAACGTTTTGCTCCTTAATCATAACTTTACTGATTTCTGTATAAGTTTCATGAAATTTTTCCTTGCGTTCATACGATTAAAACGAATTTCTCTTCGTATTCACTGTTGGACCATCTTGTTTACTATACATGAATACTACAAAGCCTCTTAAATGAGAGAATTTTGAGATACCGATCTGATATGGATATCTTATGAATCCCTATTGATACATATTCTTCAATTGAATTGAATGGCACATGACATGTTTGAAATTAATTAATTCATGTCCCAAGGAAGGTTTCATCATCTTATATTAATTTAACAAAGTTTAAGTTTGTTGTTATCAAAACAAACTTTCAGTTCCTGTGTAAGTTGTAACAATGTACTGATCAAAACAAATTATGTGTTGTTTTAAAAATCGGGTATTAACATATTTCATGCATGTAATAGGTGTGAGTATACAATATTTATTTTTATAGACTGCGAGTATTTTTAAGCGACACTTGGATATAATTGTTTATGAGCACTTCTACTATGCTATATAGTATTGATGCTTTAATGGACAACCTAAAGTTGTACCATATAACATTAAATGTATAAGTTTAGGTTGTACCATAAAACAATTTGTACCATTATGTTATGGTACAACTTTACAACTTGAAGTTGTACCATCACAAAAAGGTACAAGTTCAAGTTGTACCATAAAAGAATTTGTACAAAAAGTATAGGTACAATCTAAAGTTGTACCATAACGTAAATGTACAATTTTAAGTTGTACCATAAAGGCAAAATCCTATAGCACCAATACTATATAGCATTGTAAAATTTCTCATTGTTTAAATGTAGTATACAAAATTTCTTAATCTGATTAACTTAAAATTGTATTATATTACTTTTGTGTCATCACTTAAAAAAAAAAGATAAGAAACATAAGTAAAATATCAAGACAATCAAAACACAATATATCACTGATCCCAACCCAATTATGTTCATGTATCATGCACATAATGACATAATTATTCGCCCCCATTTCTGATTAATACTTAATCCAAACAACACAATCTTATTAATTGTAGCTTAACCCCAACCCATGTATAGACATTTCATATATATATTTTCTAAATAATTAACTGAATATTAATCCATATACATAATTAATATAGGTCCCATGCACACAAATCCAAATAATTAATAGTCAACATTCTAATACTATAGTAATTAATTACTAATTAACGTATTTAGCTTTTTTACTTACAGTCAAATCAGCTAGAAATTAACTTGGTGTGTGCTTTTTTCCTCCCCAGCCAAAATCAAAACTCGGCTTCCATCCATCATCCAATGTATGTATGTATGTATATGTATGTAGCTACCATATACCATGAAGAAACGACGCCGCTTCAAGATCACGAGTTCCAGTTCATTCCAGGCAACTGAAACTGCTGCCTCAAAACGACACCGTCTCCAAGCGCCCCTAGAATCCCGCCGCCGCCGCCGGCCCCCTGATTATACGCCGCCGAATTGCTCTGCTGCGGCGGCAGCTGGTTCAGCAGCGAAACAAACGAAGCACTGCCGTCCTCCATCCCCACGCCGCCGCCTCCACCGCTGTTCAGATCTCCATGGAACCGCTTCCCTCCCGGCGCCGCCGCCTCGCTGCCCATACTGTTCCAGTAGTCGTTGATTATCAGCCCGCGCTTCCCCGCCGCCGACGAGCTGGAGTTCCCGCCGCCGTTTTCTCCTCCACCTGTATTCATCATTCCGTCGAAGAAATTATCCTCCCCGTCCAGTAAATTAGCGTAGCTAGCACCGCCGCCGCTTGCCTTCCCCTGCTTCTGAGAGTTCGCCGCCGCCGCGGCGGCCAGCATCGCCTCCATTGACGAATCATTAGCATGTTGATTATGATGATGATGCTGGTAATCTCTCTGATCAATCGGCCTCTGGGAATTATTACTGTTCTTCTTGTAAATCCGGCACAACACCCAATCATCCAACTACAAAACAAAATTTTGTTTGTCGGTCTCAAAATTCGAAATTTAGTCCTACAAAATTGAAATAAAAATGTACAATTTCACTAGCAAAATTAAATTTAAACACGGGATGTTACCATCTCTACAATATCATATGTAACGTTATACGTACCCTTAGCGACGATTTCTTGGAGGCCGGATCGGAGCTCGTTGGAGGCTTGAGAATCGAAGGATTCGAGCAGTTGTTGTTGATGAGTCGATACTCGTGCATGATCCAATTGGTCTTGATTCCTTTCGGCGGCTTCCCGCCATAAAAAACCAGCGCCTTCTTCACCCCGACCTTATGAGCCCCGTTCGAGGTCAAAATCGGCTTGTCGGTTCCGGTCGCCTTCCAGTAACCGGAAGTCGCGGCCCGATTGGGCCGCGCCCCATTCGGGTACTTCCGGTCCCTCGGGCTGAAAAAGTACCACTCCTGCTCCCCAAACGTCGCCTTGCCTGTAAGAAAATTTCGTTCCTCGGATTATCACTAGACCAAGTCCTTCCTTTTTAGAATGAAAATGAAATGAGGTTGGACTTACTGGGGAGCTCCCAGGGGTCGAACTTGTAGAGGTCGACCTCGGCGATGATGGTGACGGGGAGAGGGATGGAGGCGGCTTTCTTCTTGAGGTAGTGGACGACGAGCTCCTCGTCGGTGGGGTGGAAGCGGAAGCCCGGCGGGAGGTGGGGGTGCGCTGATCCCGACGAGGAATCCGTGCTTTCCATGGTTTCAGTGAGGGGAAAGGGGGAAGAGGTTTGATTTCCAGTTTGTTTGTTTGTTTGCTTGGAAGGTTTTGGGGATGATGACTAGCTATGCAGAAATTTTAGGAAAGGAGGGAGACGGTTTTGTGGGAATTTTGTTTTGCTCACCAATTTATTTGGGGAGAGTTGGGGGGATTAGTGGGGAAATTGTTTTTTGGTGCATCCGTTTCTAGAGTAACATGGGGGATTGGGAGGGGGTTGGGTGGTGGGTTGGACCGGGTTATTGTCGGTCGTGAAGTTGTATAGTTCGTAATTCTTTGCATGAATATAATTAATCACTGCTATGCGTTGATCATGTTTGTTCGGTGAATTTTTCTTGATTAGCTGATATTGGTTCTGATATATTACATGATATTGAATGCATTAATTTGATATGTAGAATTAAGGACGAGAGTCTTTTCGACTGGTTATTTTATCGACATTCATAAAATCTTACTTTCTTATATTATCATGGTCGTCCATTTCGTCTTGGAGGATGTTCTTGCTCATGGTGTATCCAAATCTCATTAATCGTCATACTTTCGATCTAACATGTCCTTGTGGATATATGCTTATGCATCGAGTCTACTTTGGGCAAGTGTTAGTTATGGCCACTATGCCTGCTTGATTGCTAGACAATTGGTTAAGTGAGAAGGGTTGTCTTTGAATCATGTCTCGTGATGAAAAGACATTGATGATTTTATTTATTTATTTTGAGATCGAGTCGATACAAAACTAAGTAATTAATGGTTTAAATAACATGTACAATTGTGACAGAACTTTGGAAACTCGTAACATGCAATATTGGCACATGGTTGAATCAATAAAATACGATAGTTGGATAAGATTTTACAAAAAACAAGCTTATTCAATTTAAGTTGGATTTAGCTCCCGCCCTGATAAGGTAATGCTAACCCATCAAGATTCTGAGTTTTCGGTCTTTTGCTGCAAGACGAGTCTGAACCAAATCGATTCGGTTGAGTCAGAAGAAACCAGCGACAGTAATGAGCGTTTGAAAGTGGGTTAAGATTTTTGAACTGATCATCGGGTGACACACGACGAGAGCGGTGGAATGTACACGTGGCATGGAAATGAGGGGTGCATGGTGGGGACCAAGCTTGGGTGTTGGGGGCAATGGGTCCTGAAATTGAGGGAGGGGGAATTAAGGGAAGGTTAAGGAGATTTGGAACTGCCTTGTACGCATTGTCATGTCATGCTTTTCTTATGTAAAGCAAAGTTTGCACCTTTCTCTTCTCTCTCTCTCTCTCTCTCTCTCTCTCTCTCTCATCCCTCCTTCTCTTCACCTCACTCATAAAGTCATATAACTCAACAAACGCGCTTCCACTCCTTAATGATACCACTAAATGCATCTAATCAACTGTATGTAGGGGTGGGCAACGGGAAACGGGTATTTGGGTATATCCGTACCCGTCCCGTTTTTTAAGGGTTACAGGTACCCAAATTACCTGTAATATTATGAACGGATGGGACTTGGGATTGTACATTCTTAATATGGGTACCCGCGGGTTACCCGCAAATACCCGTTTGGGTAATGTGTGTACCCGTTTTACCCATTTGCGAACTCTAATCCATAAAAAGGGAATGTCCACTTTGCCACAAAGATGAAATTTTTCTTAGTAAAGAAACAAAGAACGCTATGTGAACATAATACTTGTAGACTGCCTTTTGTTAAATGAAACTTCTTATTTGATAATTTGGTGCTTAGAATGATTTATTTCTATGCGTTGTGATTGTTCATGATTTGTGTTGAATGAAACTTCTTATTTGATAATTTGGTGCTTAGAATGATTTTTTCTATGCGTTGTGATTGTTCATGATTTGTGTCTTGTGATTGTTAAGCAAGTACAAGTTAAGTTTAAACTTCTGTTAAATTTGAGTGGTTTAAACTTTGGGTATTTATGGGTAGTATGGGTACCCGTTATCCGTCCCGTACGGGTATTGGGTACCCGTTTCCCATATGGGTTTGGGATATGGGATGGACTTTGGCCTCCAAATGGGACTGGGTACCCGTTTAAAACGGGACGGGTATCCCGTCCCGTCCCGTTGCCCACCCCTAACGGTATGATATGGTCCCTTAAACGATATTCAATAAAATTGGAACAATACAGAGAATTTGCGATATAAAGATCAGCTCGAGATCAAGCAAGCTCCTCAATTTACGTGACCTTGAATGGTGATTATTTGGGGGTTAATCCATAAAAAAAATGTTCTGAGTTGATCCTTATCGATATGAGATGATGCTTTGTTCATATCAAAGAATAACTACTATTAGTTACTTGGTTTATCGCAATGTGGTCATCTAGTTACATAAGTTCAGACTTCGTAAACATAACTACTCACAACAATATAAGATTAACTAGGAATGGTCAGGTCGGGCCAGATACCTTAGTATCATGTTTGAGACAAGACAGGTCGGAGTGCATGTTGGGTAATATCGTCTTCTGTGTGCGAGTCGGAGTAGATCAACTCGTTTTAACATACATGAGTTGAAAGGAAATTAAACACTTATTAATTAACTTTGTTTTGTCATGCCTGTTCTGCCCAAAATAGATCAAGTGAAGAGAATCGGATCAAAATGTTTGTCATCCATATATAACAATAATTAACTCCACACCTCACTAAAACTTGATATAGAAAGTCCAAATGTGTTCATGTCACCACTTCCCTTAACTTAACGATGAACTGCCTCATCGATCAAACTGTTTCGGTTCTCGCAGTTTATAGTCGACGAGTCAAAGGAACGCTACGAAGCAGTTTAGGGGGATTTGCATATATAGAATGTGCGTGGGATTGGGATTAAGTATTATGTATCTGGTAACCATAGTACTGTATCCCAACAATATTACAGTACGTATATATATTAGAGTAGTAATTAGTTGTAACACTTTCCTCGGCGGTTTCATTTTCATCTCTCGCATAAAAAGGTTGGCTTGCCTTCCTTTCTTTCTTTCTTTCTTTCCAGCTAGCCGTCGATCCGACCAGATGGCGGCTGATCGATCGATTTTCTTGCTATTTGACGTACGTTACGTAGGCTTATATATTGAGAGTGACGACGTTCTTTTCAAACAGCTAGGCAGACACATGTCTCAGTTCCATAATTTGATCACAGTACTACTACTCTCTCAGCATGACGAAGTAGTGTATGTAGCAAAGGTTGATATATGCTAATATGGGGAGACTATGTACATACTCTGATGTTAGTGATCGGCATAGTAAACACTTATTAATTAACGTAAACTTTTTAGTACGATTAATTAATAAAAAAAAATTAAAGTATTAATGAATGGATTATCTGTGCACTATGTACATACTCTGATGTTAGTGATCGGCATAGTAATCATTAAAGTATTTTTATTACGTTAAACATAGGTTGACGACACCGTCGTTATCGATGAGAAAACAATCATTAGTTCATGAAATGCATTTCATTCTTATGAATTAAGAGCGGGGGAGTCAAGCGTCCATTCGATCTCTTCGTGGCCAAGAGATAAGGCGAAGCAAGCACCACATCGCGCATGGTCTCTTGATTGACGATTTAGTTACAATTCTACCACAATTGGTGTGATTCCATTTTCAAACCTAGCTAAGGGTATCAGGCTTATAGGCTTTTGAAAAGCCAATTGAGAAAGGATATGCAAATTTCTGTGATAAAAACGGATATGGTGGAATGCTGCTAGATGTTTGCTCTTCCTTTTAGGCACCAATATGAAACATTGAAGATGAACCATTGAGAGAGGGGAAGGTGCCGTGGTTTCTGTCCAAAGTCCAAACCTTAACTTTATCAAAAGCTGAGTGTGGTCACTGAATTGGGCCATTATGCATTTCCATTTTTGGGGTAACTTGAAGATATAAATTCATCCACTTTCCTCCTCAATTTGATTCTCTGCCCATTCTAGCTTCAAGCATTTTATGCATATTCTCATCATAAAGAAAATTTCCCCGGTATGGCCAAACTTTTAGGCCATCAAGCTGACTTTTGAACAAAATGCAATGCTCCCACTTTACACATAGTTATCCATAAATCAGATTTTGAACTTCTAATGGGTGGATTTCCATTTAAACTTGTTTGATTCACCTTCCTCTCCTATCTTCTGAAAGGGTTTTAGAAAAAATTTCCTAAAAAATTTGAATATGCGATTTTCTATCAACTTTCCTTCCGCCTTCTTGAATCCAAGAGTTTACGATAACTTTCTCTTAGTCGAACTTAATCTCCTCTATTTTCTCTCATTTGATTAACCTTTCCAAAATTGGCGAAATCTTTGACATGCAATCTAGATATCATCATCTTTCATATTCTTGAGGCTAACAAAAGGGTTTTACTAAAGTAATCTCCAATCGAGTCGAACTAGAGCCTTTCACAAATTCTCAATTCAACATTCCCCTATTGGTACACCTTCCTCGAAAAGTACGGAAAAAGAGGTTACCAGTGTTCGGGCGAGGCAAGATCATGAAGTGGATCTTTGTGACACATGAAGCTATGTCCAGGCTGTGGCAAGCATAGCAAGAGAGAGAGAGAGGGCATCTGGATATGGCTGCAAATGTAGTAATGTATGGCAATTGGCCTCATGACTTGTGATTATCATAGCAGGTAAAGATCTCCATTTTTCCTCCTATAAAAATCCTTAGCCAAATCAGGAGGCTACACAATTAAACCTAGATGGTGGAGACAGAAATATTTCTCCAGGAAAAAAAGGCCCTACCCCTTTCAGCTAACAAATCAAGAGAGCCAACTCAGTTGTTGGTTTGGTTTAGGACAAGTGGGTTGGGGGTTAGCCCGTGAACATTACATGCTGTGTTTCTAGTTTATGCATAAAGAAGCACCATTCATTCCTTCTGCATCATTTAAATCAACTGGGACAGACAACACATTTGCATCCTGTACCAGAACAAAACAAACCTGTAACGAGTCTAAAGCAGTGGTTCAGAATTTGATGTGCCCCACGGCCTCTTCCCCCACTACTATTAATGAATAATAATGCTTAGTGATTGAAATCGTAATTCTGACTATCGTTTCCCGCATTCAGTTTTGAAAACGGTGCATTTTTCACAAGGGTTCTTCCCCCCTACTATTAACCTTCTACTTAACCACAATGTAAGATAGACCTGCACATCTTCAAGTTCCATGCAAACTACCATTCTGAACAATTGGGACGAGCTCAAATCTTATATGCTTTTCTATGTCGGGAAGACTGTGTTTAAATTTTAGTAAACCCTTGATATTAACATCGTCTTCTGACATTTTCAAAACAACTCGAGTTATCAAGACATATTAAATATTGACAAGCTATTAGAGCTTCTGAGGAATGAAGAAGCTGATGCAGGCAAAATCCTCATGACTCTTTATATCACGTTTTTTTTTTTAGCACATGGTTCGAAGATCTTAAGTCAACTTCAAACTAAGTGTACAAACTTTCGGTCGAGGTGACATATCAGAGAATAATACAATATGTATCTCTCTTACCAACTCGAACTATATGAGATCCCAAGAAATAAACAAAGCCTAGTAACCGAGTTAGGCATGCAACTATTTGCCTATGTCGGGTTTGAGTTCAAGCAGTTCAATGTGCCCTCTCAATGGCGTTTTCTAAAAGCTGAAGTATTTCCCCTAAAACATTCAAACGTGGCAAAGAAGTAAGAAAACTTTCTGCTAAAAATGCTAGGAGTCGATCACTTGCCTTCATCTTGGTGGGGCTGAGTATATGCACTTCTTGCAAGCATGGGGAGGGAGCCAGGCACACGTGCGGCTAGTCCATATTGGGTGCCCATAGACACAAAGTTAAGCTGCAACAAACCAAAGTTGTGTCAATATACAATGCAGGAAGAGAATACACAAAGATGATAACATAGTAAGGTACACAGTGCTCACGTACAGCCCACAAGTCTCCCGGAGTATTTGAAGTAGGAAAATCCGCGACTTCTTCAGCGCCAAATGTATTCATCTGTTCAGTTAGTAACTGAAAGGACAGCAGCGGAAAGTCAATCGTACTTCAGGAAGAGCACTAATTCATCCATCTAACTTTATACACTTGTTCTTCCCTGTAATTTCTTCATGAGTAACCTCTGTTCACTCTACTTCTGACAAAGCTACTTCCCCTAACTTTCCTCACATTTTGGTTAAGCATGAGCTTCCTCACTCTTTCAGCATCCTCCCATTTCTCATTCAGAACATATAAATCACATATCTGAGTGTAAACCCCTCCGTCAGTCTCCGGCTTTATGACCGCCAGCACCTGCTCAATCACTTTCTCAACCATGTCGAACCGGTTGTGCTCCTTACAAGCTGACAGAAACGAGCCCCAAACAGTAGCATTCGGTTCGAGTTTCATCCTCTTGATAACACCAAAAGCTTCTTCCACCAGTCCCGCCCTGCCATAAATATCGACCATGCACCCATAGTGATGTATCTTATACTCCAAACCATACTCTTCAATCAAGTTAAAGTACCTTCGCCCAGCTCCCACCATTCCCGTGTGAGCACAAGCATGAAGAACCCCTGTGAAAGTCATCTCATTTGGTTGAACACCTTCTTCTTTCATCATCTCGAACAATGCCAATGCTTCTTCACTACATCCATGCCTAGCTGCTCCACTTATCAATGCAGTCCAAGCTATAACGTTCTTTTCCTTCATTGAAGAAAAAACCAGGCAAGCATACTTGAAGACCCCGCACTTGGCATACATGTCCACAAGAACGGTATCATATTCCACATTCATCTTCAATAGATAGCCATGAATCGACCTCCCAACTACTGATCCAGGAGAACCCATTTGGGCGCAACAAGATAAAACAGTTGACAAAGTTATCTTATCCGGCTTAATCAACAGCCCATCCTTCCCCGCCACCATCATCTCACGAAACAGAGACAAACCTTTTAGCCAGCGCCCACTGTGAACATAAGCAGTTATCATAGCAGACCAGGAATCGACGTTCCTCTGCGGCATATCTTCAAACACGTCTCGTGCCTTATCGACGTCCCCTGACCTGGCATACCCTGTAATCATAACGTTCCAGGTGACAGCGGTTCTGTCAGGCATTTCATCGAGCAACAAGCGAGCATCACGAAACGATGTAGCTACATACGCAGAGAGAAGGCAAGTGGCGATATAAACATTGCTACCGAAGCCTAGCCTGACGACATGGGCGTGGAAGTGGCGAACGATGAGTGTGTCTTTCATACTGGCCGCTGATGTCAGGGCGAACAGTAAGGCGTAGCTGTCGAGCTTGAATGAACACTGGCGGTGCATTTTGCAGTAGATCCCCAAGCCATCGCGAGGGGAGGAGGAAGAAGCCTGCTGGATGGCTGCAGCTGAAGATCCTGATTTGGAGAAGGGTTTCCCGGTAACGAGGCAGCGGTGGTGGCGCCGTGAGGATTTGACGACGGGGTCGACCAGGCGCCAGACCGTAAGTAGCATCGCTTTATCCCATTAACACCAAGGCGATTGTTAACGACTCAAACAGATCGGAAAGTGAAGTCGCGAAGACAGATCGCCGCCTCATCTCCCTTGCAAGAAGAGCCTGAGAGCCAGGTCACCCACGGTGGTGGCGGTGGCGGCGGCGGCGGGATGCTTAACTTCAGTGAGCCCGCGCCAACGAAAGACCTCCTGTCGTCGGTGATACTCTGTTTTCTTCTTCCCTTCATACAGCTGGGACGGGCTTGCGTAATGGTGCCGGATATGTGGGCCTAAAGCCCTAAACACGTAGGTTTGGGCTAATCGTGATTATACTAGACAGATTGGGCTTTTATGACAAAGGGCTTTTCTTCCAAGGGGCTTGACAATTACTCGATCCCTCATCGAGTTGAATAAGATCATGTTTTTTTTTGTAGAAATAAAATCATGTTTCAAATAAATCCAAATAAAACAATGAAGGGAATATGGCGGAAGGAGGTTGTATTAGGTAGGGGTGGCTATACAGTCCGGTCCGGCTAAATTGGTCAAAATTGATCTGATTCCGGTCCGGTCTTTTCGGAAATATAAGGATCAAAGACTAGATCGGATACAGTCCGATCTTGATCCGGTTCGGTCTTGACCCGGTCCGATCCCAATTTGATCTTGATTTTAGAATGAACTTGTGGGAAATTGAGTGGCCTGAGGCCTCAAAGGGTGAGGAGTTGGTTAAGTTTTGAGTGTTGGGTTCTCTTATCCGGTTTTTGGTCTGGTCCCGAATGGTTTTTTTACCTCAAATCTAAACCCGATGATGGGATTGAATTGTTTGCTATCCGGTCCTGGTCCGGTCTCAGTCCGGGTTATACAGACCGGTTTCGGGTAAAACCAAAAAGCCCGAACCAAATAGCCACCCCTAGTATCAGGGACAAGGATGGAGAATGGTTTGGAGGTTTTTGCTGCAACATAGGCACCGGATCAGCCATCCTCGGAGAACTTTGGGGCATTCATAAAGGCTTGGAATTAGCATGGAAAATGGACATCCGTTGCTTGATTGTTGAGACGGACTCCAAACTGGCAATACGGATCCGGTTCATCCTCACGCCACCCTTTTGACCATGATTCATAGGCAGATTGCTCAGAGTTGGATAATTCGCTTGGTTCATACGTACCGTGAAGGGAATAGAGTCGCGGGCTGGCTCTCGAAGCACAGTCTCTTCTATCCCTTTGGTACGCATGAATTAAACCAACTACTGATCTTGTGAGGCTTCTGAGGAAAGACATCATTGGGACAAGCTTTCCCAGACAAGTCATTATCGACCCAAGTTGAGTGTTTGTAAGGTTGGGTGCTCTGTTTGCTTTATTTTGCTGATCTGTAGCAGAGACTCGTTGGGGCTGAACTTCTTAGTTGATGTTTGGCGCCCTGGGTGGTCTGTTGCTTTGTAACTTCCGTTCCTTGGCCTTTCAGCCTCCTACTAATAAAAGTTGGCTTTGGACTAGATTATACGATTTTCTTTTGTTATTGATGATATCATTTCATTAATAGAATTAATTCTAGGTTATACCCTTTAGATCACATATTCAATCAGATCATGCCCACATATACTTCCTGACAAGATAAGCAGGAGCAAGAGTTATGTACAACTGATGAACTAGTTCACATTTTTCTGTATATCTTAGAAGCATGCAATGCCTAAACTAATTCAAGCTGCAAATTACCTCAGTTCTATGATCTATCACTGTACAAAACAGGAAGAGAATAAACAAAGATGAAAACGTAGTGAACTAACAGAGTGATCACTTACAGACCCAAAAGTCTCCTAGAATGGCATGAGCAATTGGAGAAAAGCCAATTACCTCAGGAGCATTTGAAGCAGGAAGATCAGCAACTCTTCATCAGCGCTACACTTATTCATCTGTGAAGTTAACCGCTGAAAGAAGATAGCGGGGGAAGGTCAATCTTGCTTCCAGAAAGAGCACCAATTCATCCAACTTTCTGCACTTGGTTCTGCCCTCCAATTTCTTCAGGAGTAACCTCTGTCCACTCTACTTCAGATAAAGCTACTTCCCCGGACTTTCCATACATTTTGGCGAAGCATTAGCTTCCATTACTTTCTCAACAATGTCGAACCGATTGTGCTCCTTACAAGCCGACAGAAACGACCTCCAAATAGCAGCTTCCGGTTCCAGATTCATCCTCTGGAGAATATCATGAGCTTCTTCCACTAGTCCTGCCCTGCAATACATATCGACCATGCACCCATAGTGCTGTATCTGAAGCTCCAAACCATACTCTTTAATCAGGTTGAAGTATCTTCGGCCCATTCCCACCATTCCCGTCCGAGCACAGGCAACAAGAACCCCTGTGAAAGTCAGCTCATCTGGTCGAACACTTTCTTCTTTCATCGTCTCGAACACAGATAATGCTTCTTCACTATATCCATGCCTAGCTGCTCCAAATATCAATGCAGTCCAAGCTATTACGTCCTTTCTCTTCATTGCAGAATAAACCAAGCAAGCATACTTGTAAACCCCGCACTTGGCGTACATGTTCACCAGAGCTGAATCCTTTTCAACATTCGTCTTCAACAAATAACCGTGAACCGATCTCCCCAGCAGCGAGCCAGGAGAACCCATTAGGGAGCAGCATAATAGAACAATCGACAAAGTTATCGCATTTGGCTTAATCAACGGTCCATCCTTCCCCGCCATCGTCATCACACGAAACAGAGACAAACCTTCTACCCAGCGCCTGCTATGAGCATAAGCAGTTAGCATAGCACTCCAGGAGACAACGCTCCTCTGTGGCATTTCTTCAAACACGTCCTGTGCCTTATCGACGTCCCCAGACCTTGCATACCCTGTAATCATAACGTTCCAGGTGAAGGTGTCTCTGTCCGGCATTTCATCAAACAGCAAGCGTGCATCGCGAATCGATGTAGCTACATACGCAGAGAGAAGGCTAGTGGCGATGTAAACATCGCCACCGAATCCTAGCCTGAAGACATGGGCGTGGAACTGGCGAACGATGAGTGGGTCTTTCACACTGGTCGCTGATTTCAGGGCGAACAATAAGTCGTAGCGGTCAAGGTTGAATGAACACCGGCGGTGCATTTTGCAGTAGATCCCCAAGCCATCGCGGGCCGAGGAGGAAGAAGCCTGCTTGGTGGCTGCAGCTAAAGATCCGAATTCGGAGAAGGGTTCTCCGGTGACGAGGCAGCGGTGGTGGCGCCGTGAGGATTTGACGACGGGGTCCAGCAGGCGCCTGATCAATATTAGCATTGCTTTATCCCATTAACAGCAAGCGATAGTTAACGACTCAAACAGATCGGGAAGTGCAAGTTTCGCGACGACAGATTGCCGCCTCATTTCCCTTGCAAAAAGAGCCTGCGAGCCAACGGCCCACGGTGGTGGTGGCGGCGGCGACGGGAATTCTTAACTTCAGTCAGTATTGTACTCAGTACTCTGTTTTCTTCTACCCACTGGTGCTGCATATGTGGGCCTAAACACATGGGTTTGGGCTGATCGTGATCATACTAGACAGATTGGGCTGACAAAAGGGTTTTTCTTCAAAGGGGTTTGACTACATGATCCTTGTTGAGTTGAATTAGATCAAATCGATATTTAATTAAATCAAAATAAAACAAAATTAATTATCATTTATGACTTTAAATTCTAATTTTTTTGGGTTTCAATTTCATGAGTTCCTTTCAAAAAGAAAAACAAAATCGATCTCAGAGTTAAATTATTTAGGTTCTAAAGTTAGTTTTGGGCAGGTTATACCATTTAGATCGCATTTTCAATCATATCAATACTCACACATACTTCGTAGCAAGATAAGTTGGAGCAAGCAAAATGTACATATTTCTAATTTAACGTACTTTTAATGGTTCGAATCAAGAGAAAGAGAAAGAGGTGAGCATAGTGGAGTCGAATCGATGCACATTTGATTCGATTAGGGCCAACCTATTCTGCTTCGATCTGGTCTTCATTTCTTCAGAGAATCAGTGTAACCAACCTAATTCTTAAGAGTTTAAGAATTGAGACCGAATCGATTAGTTCGTCCGATTCAATCCAAGTGACGACTTGTCCTGCTTGTGTTAGGTCTCGGGATCAAGCACATCAGACTATCAAGAGATATACAACTATCGAATTAGTTCACATTTTTTTTGTATATTTCAGATGGCATGGAATGTGCCTAACAGCCATCTGTTGGCCTGCTTCAAAACATGGCAGAGAGCAGGAGTTCATTCTTTACTTGGTCTTTGGTGGGCTGAGGATGTACATCTTGCAAGCATGGGGAGCCACACGCGCTGTAATTCCATATTGCTTACCCATTGACACAAATTTATGCTGCAAAAATACCAAAGAAGGATCAAATCCACGTCGAGAAATGTGCAGATAGGAGGGGGATGATCATAATTCATAAAACAGTAGTGTTTACTTACAGCCCACAAGTCCCTAACAATGACAGGAGTGTTTGGAGAAAGGCCAATTTCCTTCCACCTAACAGAGATGCTAGCCTCAGACTTACTCCTGTTCCATAAAACTACCACCGCCCTTTTCCCTGCCAATGGCCCTGCCCAAATCTGCACATCACAAGTTATTAGAAGAAGTATCCATTGCCCTTTTAGAACGAATGCGGCTTGGGATTTTGACTACGTTGGATTTTGTACCTCTAGGCCTGCATTTGATCTAATTTTCCTGCCTTGAACTCCCAGAGGGTCTTGATTCACCTTGATGACCTCCTTGTTTCCGAGAATCCTCAGTGTACTTGTACCAGCAGCTCGTACATCGCAGCCAATCAGCAGTGGAGCCTGTTATAGTTCAGGTTTCTTTCACTCCGAGTAAGTTCAAGCAGAACAAAAACGTGATGTATGGAATGAGGTTTATGATCACAGAGACAGACTTTCATTAGAGCCCAGATACTGAAATGAGACCGGTATTCCTCCAAGGTCATCGCTCCGTTGCCCACTTCCAACATATCAGGATCTAGAAAGAGACAAAGAAAGAAAGCCCAGCTCAGCAACTGTACATAGATGGCACAGAACCCGGCATTCATTAACTAGGGATTCAATAGAGTTTGTTATCAGTTACCGTTCCATCTTCCAGGCCCAGCATATCTTCCCCAGATGTTGTTTTGGTCGGCAATCGATGTAATGCTGCAATAATGAAGTTCACCACATTCAGTTCACCATTGCTGCAGTCTAGAAAAATGAAATTTAGACTCGATGAGAAGACCTTCCCCAGGTGTCATTAATATCACCGGTGGTCCTCCAAGCATTACCATATCGACCAGCCCATTTGGCAGGGTCTTCTTGTCCCCTGTCAAAACATTGGGTTGAAAGTGTTGGTACAACTCCAGTTCTTGTAAGCAGAGGTATTCACTCAATTCAAGGGCTTTACCATTCACATATGGAGTAAAGGATGGGGCGGCCAACCTTGAGCAAAGCAGAACTCATCTTTGCATACCTGTTCCACAAACAAAACTATCACAACTCACAAGGGATTACAATATAATGCCAGGGTGAAATACGTGCCTAAATGGTTACTACAGAACGTGCTTGTAACAGAACAAACAACAGATTAGAGCAAATGAGACACACTGGCTTTTTTTTATTAGTTTAGCTACACTTTCTTCACGATTTTTTCTTTAGCGACCATTATGTTACAAACTCCAGTGTTTAGTGACCATTAAGACACTGAACTAATGCTTAATGTGAAACTTAGCAGAATGTAGTTCAAGTAGAGATGTAACTACTGAATTTAACTTGTCAAAACACACTTCTTGGATATGCACATACACTTAAGGTACCTGATATGAGGTTTGGAACCATCATGGTAGCAGTTATCATACTTCAAGTAGTCAACCCCCTGGTATATACATACATTAACTGCAGTGTAAACTTCCCTCATTTGAATAATAAATCAACCAAAACTCAGCTGACCTTAATAAGACACACTAACCCATTCAGCAAAGGTTCTCGCGTCTTGCTCCTCATAATCAAGAGAGCCAGGCATTTTCTTGCTACAGGTTCTGAAGCTGTGGAAAAAATGAAAACATGGAGCCTCTTGAGTTAAACTTAATAAGAGCATGTGGCAAAAGAAAGACAAGAAGGTTCTTTACCCTGCATCAGAATATATGCCAAGTTTAAGGCCTTTGGCATGCACATAATCAGCTAGGGCCTTGATCCCGGAAGGGAAAGTGGATGCTTTGGCCCTTAAGTTACCCTTTTTGTCCCTTTCTAGTTCACCCCAGCAATCATCTAACCATGAACCGAATGGAAGCTTTAGTGTCAAACTACTGATAGTAAGACTGTATAATATACTTTTCACTTCAGTGAGTAAGAAAATTTTGATACCGATGTTGACATATCTGTATCCAAGAGCAGCCAAACCAGTTGAAACCAACGCATCAGCTGTTCCCCAGAATTAAACACAAGTCGATGAAAGGTCAACAACAAACATAACATGACAATATCAACAATTCCCATCATCTCATGATTATTAGTTAACTTTGGTCCATTCCATCACAAATCTGAAAACTTTCAAACTTCAGACATCAGACAAGTCCAACAAAAAGTCCAATGACATGCTGCTGAATGTTTGATCTCTGAACAATAAAACCCCTCAATATGAACTGGGATGTTGTTGGACCAACATTGGTCCATTCAAATTACCCTCCATCCAAAGCAATTGGACTAGTTCTTCTTCTTCTTCTTTCAACAGAATAAAATAATACCCTTAAACTTAGCCATGCTTAGATCAAGGAGGGGTCAAGAGACCACTAATACATACAGTACGGCAGAGGCATTATTCAATTCATAAATCAAGGAACTCACACATTAAACTATATTATATTAGATGCCAAATGTGCACTTTAACGCCCAAAAGGAACTTTGATCTGCAATTGAAAGCTTGTTCAATGCAAAGACTATTCAAAAGCAGAAAGTTTGAACCTTTGAAATCTAGTCTCCCCAAATGAGGAAACTCGCTTGAAGAATTTGTAGTCAAATGCAATTTTGACTTCAAAGTACAGCTGCAAATTTTAACTGTAAATTCTCAATTGAACCCAAACCACAACCGCTTCAAACAGCTCGTGGGTGGGTGGCAAAACTAGTCAAGCAGGCACTCCCAGTTGAAAGATTCAAAATTGTGAGAAAATTGCACGACTACTCAATAACAAACTTAGTAAAAGCTCATGAATTTAAGAGTGCTGAGTGGGGAATGGGGGGGAGAGAATGTACGGACCGGTGGATTTAACCATTCCCTCGTCCACATTGCACTGGAAATGGTTCCAGCTATTCCAGCTGCATATAGAGAAAGATTCAAACTTTTGACATGGGTCTGGGAGAAAAAGGAAACCAAGGAAGAAAACAGGGGTTTGGATTAAATTTTTTTTTTCATAGCTTGAGTTTACCCCATTGGCGGCGTGCGAGCAACGCCGTTAGCGAGAAGGAACTGGGTGTATTTCTTGTGATCGCCATTGATGCTGCTGTAATTGGCCAGACCCACCGTGCTGAGGAAATCAACTGCATTGAGAAGAAGGATGAGAAGGGTAGAGGTGGCGGTGGCGGCGTAGTGGGTTTTCATGTTTCGGAATTAATTGGAAACAGGGGAATCCTTTGGCGAGAAAGAAACTGGGGAAATGGAGACGGAAACGGAAACGGAGCGAGGTGGTTGTCGCTTGTCGGTGCGAAGACAAATTTTCCGGTTGAGCTCTTTTGGCTTTGAGCTTAAAGATGAAAAAGAGCAAAATAATCATTACAAAAGAACAAAGTATTATATTTCGCCCCTACACTTAGATATGTTTACAATTACAGCCCCCAAACTTTTTTTCTTATTAATCATCATCGCACCAAACTAATAGTTCATAGTAGAGATTTAAAAAATTACCTAAATTATCTCTGAAAATGACTCACAAAAGAAGTAAGATTCAGACATTGTAGTTAGAATTACAATTTGATGATGCATGGTAAAATCGAAAGTGAGAAATTTAATATATTATATTTCAAAGATTAAGTGGGGTGTTGAATTAACTTTCGTTTAATTGATATCAAACATCGTCGTAATTAGAATATTTTATCATCAAATCAATCAAATTTCAATTGGCCGGGGCCTTGAATATTGATTAAGTTGTTTGTTTGTTTTCAGGTTTCTAGTTGATAAGATCGAAGCTAGCTAGCATAGAAAAATAAAAGACGAGTGAATCAATGTAATCAAACCACTTCTTCTTCTAACCGAAACTTCCATCCCAAATTCCCCCACGCAAGGATTGGATCGACGCATGAAAGTTTCGCCAAAACTTCTTGGTAGTTTTCTTAAATCTCTTCAACGCGCATGTAGGGGTTTTTGTTTGTGAACGGATTTATTTTATATATCACTCGGAAATATAATTGAACATCTCTCAACAAATAGAGTTATTAGAACTACTCGGAAATATAATCGAACCTTTCTCAACAAGTATAGTTATTAGAACTAATTGGTTATTCTGCCATCAAAAGGTTCTCTGTTCAAATCAAGATTGCCTCAATTTGTTAATCACATGGTGATGGTATTCATTACATGTGCAAACTTCAAACCCATATATGGTGACATTCGTTTGATGGGGTGTAGTAGTAAGTAATATATGATCCAAACGGTGATTGACAGACGTATGTGTCAACATATAGATCTTATATTGTGTCACAACCTGCAAAATAATTTTACAGTGTCATACTCAAGCTAACAACGTAAACATGTGCACGTCACTGGTTCGTAAATGTTTCACGATTTCAGTTTTCGAATGTACATGGGCAGTGGCAGAGCCACTTGAGACCAAAGGAGGTCCCTTTTGCACCACCTTGGCCCCAAAAATGTAGTAGTTTATTTGTTAAATGTTGTGATTGAATTGGGTTGTTGTTGTCGCTAGGAAAGCTACTAGTGCGATGTTGAATTTGGCTGTTGCTCATGGAAAATTGGATAAAAATCAAGGTATGCATTGGCTTAAAGACAACTTATGCAGGTTGTGAGTTGTACTTTTGTTTTTAGTTTTCTGAGATCAATCCTTTTGATCTCTCTCATCTGTACTTTGACCTGGGTTTTTTCTCTGCATTTTTTAATCTAGCTCGCCCTTATAAAAAAAAATTGTAATTAAACAACTCCGCAAAAAAGCAATGTTTTCTTATCTCTATTTGAATTCTTAATTAACATATTTTGTATAAGATAGTTTAATATAAATGGAAAATAACTCAAAATTCAGTGGCATCGGTTGCTGCAATTGCTACCGCAAATGTTGAAAGAGCACTGCTTATTGACTTATACGCTGCCATAAACAGCGTGAAGAAACACTTAAGAATCATTTGAGTGATGAAATCGTGAATGGTTTTCAGGTGGGATATATCTTAACACTGACATCTCTCATATTTGCACGAAGAATATTTTTTTGAAAACTTTTCAAAGTATGAAAACTCATTTTTGAAACCACCCACATATATATATTTGCATGGGTAGGCAACTAGGCATCGGTGTACCCACTAACCCCCACATTTTAGTCTCTTGTGAATAGTGATATAAGTCTTTGAGAAATTTTACAATGCTATATAGTATTGGTGCTATAGGATTTTGCCTTTGTGGTACAACTTCATATTGTACCTATACGTTTTGTACAAATTCTTTTATGGTACAACTTGAACTTGTACCTTTATGTGATGGTACAACTTCAAGTTGTAAAGTTGTACCATAACATAATGGTACAAATTGCTTTATGGTACAGCCTAAACTTATACATTTAATGTTATGGTACAACTTTAAGTTGTACATTAAAGCACCAATACTATATAGCATAGTAGAAGTGCTCATAAGTCTTTGGGTAGTTCAGATTAAGCAAGCAAAAACACAAACTTCCCATGCATTAAAAAATCCTGTCATACTCAACATGCACCGACTTCTATAGCCATGCATCAGATGTATATTTGGATAATAAGCATTTAATATTTGTAAGTTTAGAGTAATTACTTACATAATGTATCAATCGTAATCAATATTTCCAACTATACTTTTATTTCATTTCATCTCCCACAGACCGAAGGATACAAAGAATGGTTTCAGCAAATAATTACATACACTACTGTGACAAATTGATATACATAATTAGAAATGAATTAGGTTTACAAATGATTTTTTTTAACAGTACATGATTAGATTATGACAGTTGGATCAATTTTAATATCTCTTTTCCTTTTTTTTAATTAACAAAGAAATGAATTAATTATCAACCTATCTATGTACGTACCAACAAATTAATCAAATTTTGTCTGAAAAAAGAACGAATCGAATGCATGCATTGCATGCAAACTCCTTATTCTGTCAATAAAAGAATTTCTCGTCATTTTTAACTTTAATTTACTGGACTTCGTCCGTTCGATCGTTCGCAGGTGTCAAATATCAACGGCGGCGATTCATCCTCTGCACAATGTATTTACGGTTCTTGTCGGAGTACCCAAGCTGACGATGGCGGCCTCCTTCCACCTCCATCAAGTTCTTCAACACGGCGTCCGTCGCCGTCCTCATAAATTCCGACCAGTCCCTGATTTTCCACAACAACACATAACATTATTCATCAAACTCAAATAAAAGATGGGGTAAATTTTAATAACTGGTATATGATTCATAATCGAACATCTTTCAACTATTCGAGTTATTGAGACCAACGATTTTTAACATAGGATCATGAACTTTCATTTGAAGGAGTGTGTTAATAACAGTCATATAATTAATATTCGAACCTCCCAAAAAATTCGAGTTACGATGACGAACTGATTCTTTAATACGATCGAAGTATAATAATTAAGCGGTGATATAAGATGAGTACCCTGAATGAGTGTCGAATGCGAGACCAACGGTGTACTTGGCCTCCTCGAGCGCGCGGGTGAACCGCCGGAGCTCCGTCGACGGGCAGTCGCCACGGTCCTTAACAAAAAGCTCCGACGGCTTGACGTCGCAAAAAATGGGGACGACCCTCTTCCTCGACTCCATCATCAGCGCCAGCTCGTGGAGACAGAAGTAAGAGTCGCAGTACCGCGGCGAAAACACGGCGACGCCGACTTTGCACCGTCGGATCGCCGCCTCGATGTTGTCGAAGAGCCGGTCGCCGGGCTTCATGTTCTTGCTGTCGAGGAACGAGTTGACCCGGAGCCCCGCCGACAGGTGGTCGTACAGCAGCCCCGACACCGTCCTCTTGGTGTCGATCCCGCGGTGGTTGATGAACACGTCGACGTTCGGCACCGCCACGTGGCTCCGTCGCATTAGGCCGCCACGGTAAGCTGACGATGAGGCCTTGGCTACGGCGCTCGAGTAACGCTGCATGGCCGCTTTGGGAGGGAAGAAAAAATGGGGAATAGTTTGGGTTGATTAGAAGGGTGATTAATGATGTTAATTGCTTTGGTTAATATGGGTTGAGATTGAAAGAATAATTAAGTGTCTTGAAGTAGAAGGGATTAAGGGTATTTATAGATTGGATAGATGTAAGGGAAAAAAAAGAAATTTTTGTATAAGTCGTAAGTTTTGGAGGGTTGGACCCGGATGGTGATGAAGGAGGATTATATTTCGAGGAAAAAAAGATTTGTATGAGTCTAAGTAGAGAGAGAGAGAAGAGGGGAATTGAATATTTTGACTCTTTGTGTAGGAGGGTGCAAAATGGGAGAATAATCCTTCAAACACGTTTGGTAAATAAAAGTAATAGTTTCTTGCTACCAAAGGGGAAAAAAGAAAAGGAAGTAATAAATAGCTAGTAAATTCATGTGAATATTGATAGTTTCTGAACATATTTATCAACATTTAGAATGCAACTCTCTATTATTTTAAAAAATTAAAATTAACTTGTGACATTCTGTATAAAAAAAGAGGAGTTACGTTGTTGGTATGTGATCTGCTTATATAACTCTGAAAACTTAAATGTCCCCCCACAAATTTTCATTTATTTTTAGGTAATTATATTATCGAACATGCTCCTCGATCTTAAGTTTGCAATATAATTTGCAATAACAAGGGTGAAAAATCAATATGAATTATTGAAATGCAGCTATGATGGTGACAAAATGAAATTTTGTAATTTTATACTACTGTTGTAGTTTTTTTTTCGTACAAATGGCTCGTGACACAGTTTGATCATTTCCGATGTGTCAGATCATAGTTTGATCGTAGAGTTAATTATATTGGATGGAATATTTAATAAATTGGTATGTTTTATAATATATTTATCACAATATTTAAAATTCATGAAACACATATTTCATAAGTTTGTATAGTAGAAGAAGAGCAAAACCTCTATCCAATAAAATAAGTAAACACTTTTCCTTGGCTGAAACAGTCCAGTTTGGAATTTCTTTCCTTTGTCTCGATGTTTTATTTCTTTTTTGCCAGACTTTGTCTCCAAGGTCTTTACTAATATTCAGTATTCACAAATTAAAATATAGAGTAACAAAATGGTGAGCGAAATACCAGACTTTTGAACCTTCACTTTTGATTCACTAGTATAAAATATTATGTTTTTTATGAATAAATATACCATATATTATTCTGTCTATTAATTTACATTGATTTAGCGATGGTTGAAGTCCAATGTGTTCAACTTTCTGAATGATAGTTATGATACAACCATTCTCAGGTTGGCCACTCAAGTTCGATAATAACTCGATCGAGTTAGTGAGATTAGTTAAATGTTTGGTTATGTATGTCCGTGATATGAAAGTAATTGTGTTCTTTTTTTACTATATTATCATTCTATCAATTTGTACATATTGTTCCCTTTAGACCAAGTCACGTTTTTGGTATCATCCCATAATGTCTCGTACATCATATCAAAAAAGAAATGATCCTTATATATATATATATATTAGTGTATCATTTCTCTTTTATTTTCAATGTGGAACAATCCTTCCCTCAAGATAGGGGCCACAAAATTTGTGTCATCTCCTCAACGATTATCTCGATCCGCCAGAAATCTTGTATCAACAGGCTCTTCGACACAAGAATTTACCTAATGTATATCGCCACTAATACGACAAACAGGCACAGATCTTCCTCGATATGCCAAACAGACGCATATCTCATCAAATCCCAACACCACCTAATGATGGTCGCACCAAACTATCATCCACTATCCTAGATCCAAACCGAGCTCTGATATCATTTGTTGATATTGTGTGGCTCGTTAGTACGATATTGTTTGCTTTGAACCATGCCCGCACAGATTTACTATTGGCTTCTTTCCCAAAAGGATTGATACTAATTGGGTTAGGTGGCCACTAATATACAGGAGAGTCTTCCCATGTATTTTCTATGTGGTACTTGGACTGTACTCTAACAATCATCCCCTTAATACAAGGACCACGAACTTACTTGATCTGACAAACAAACGCAGCTTTCAAATCCAAAGATCATCGAATTAGGGTCCACCGACCTGATTTCAAACTCCAAAACCAGGCTCTAATGCCACTTTTGAAAATCGGGTAGCTACTTTAGTATGACGTTGTCCGCTTTGGGCCAAGCCTACACGAATTTACTTTTCGATATCTTCCCCAAAAAGTCTCGTACTAATGAGTTTGGTGGACACTAATATACAAAGTCATTTTCCTTGTATTTCCGATGTGCATGGTAGTTGGATTGTCTCATAACCGCTACTAAATAGTCACATATCTCTCTATCAATTGGCTATATAATGATACTTGATCAATTATTAAAGCAAGGTGATTGAGAAAACTATTTGCTCCTCAAAATTCCAGCTCCATCGATCTCTGATCATCCATGGCGGATCTTTCCAACCAAACTGCGAGGAAACTTCATTGTTAACTAAATAATGTTCGTGCATGTTGATTAATATTACTATCGTTAATGTATACTTTTAATTTTGTGTTAGTCCAACGTTAAACTGTTCAAAAATATGAAGAAGAAAAATATAGTCAAATATTGTTACTGCTGGTTGGTCGGGTAGCATGGCATGATTGTGATACTTATCAAATGGGAATGCAATTAAATCATGTGTGCTTTTACTCGTACGTGGTGAAAGTGATAATTCAATTCATTAAGACCGTAATTAATTAGTTAATTATATTAGTAAAAAGTAAAAACCCCAATTCGATATGCATTGTTACTTTCAGTCAACTCAAAAGTCAAGCAGGTTTTCATAAATAAATAAAAAAAAGTCAACTCAAAATTCCTCCAATTGGCTATGGGCTATGGCAGAAAGAAAAAGAAAAAAAAAGTCATCCGTTTGGTTTTCTTTCCTAATTCTAAGTTTCTTGGGGAACAAACAAAGGCCGGCGAGAAGGTAGGGTCTGTTTGGGACTGGGGGAAATTTGCCCCGAAACTGCGAGCTGCCGGCTAACACAGGGCAAAAGCTATGGCCCATTTGCCAAACACTGTCATCAACATTAAGGTTAATGTTGATCTAAAACATTGTCAGCCAAGTAAGAGAAAACCATATCTTTCATATCACCGGCCAGGACCAGGAGTATCCTTCCAGTATAGGAAATTCGAATGTTAGTTATCCGATTGTATGTTACGGGTTGAAATTGTAGTGTATGATTAATTGACCATGATGACTGGTTTAATTAAAGTTTGTTAAGTAATACTAGTGCTGGTCATTGGTTACTATTTTCATCGGGTACAGCCGTATATGTTGAATTTGTTAGTCAATTAATTCGCACAACTCAGGTAGAAGTTATATTTATATTATGGAAGTCCTATTTGTGTTATAAAATGACACAAGAAAACCTGAATGAATCAACTCTGACGATGATTGGAAATAATTACTGGAGATTACCATTTGTTTCGCCAAATATATTGGTCACACGAGTAAGGAAATATACTTACTCAGATTCATACAGTTTCATTGCAAATCGTAATTTTGTACCACAAGACACTTTTTTTTTTTTTGAAACATACCATAAAGCATAAACCCTCAGATCTTCGATTGATTTGTTGTTGCGCCATTTTACCCTTCTTTGGAAGAACTAGAGGACCTACTTTCTTTCCTTTTTTGGTTATTCAGGCTTCGGATTGATTAGGCCCAACTGTTCTCGGAACTAAAGGAGTGGACCTACTTTCTTTCCTTTTTCGTACTAAACTATGGCCCACTAAGGCACAAAGTAGCCAAGCTGGGCCGAAGGTTTGAGCCCACCACATTCTTGTGTTCTATTCCAATTCCACGCCCTCGTTTAGACGAAAGATTTCATGGCCGCTCACTCCCACCCCACGAATTTAATGACATGACATAATTTTTTTTGGGTGAAAATAGGTTGACTGGGTTTATCTGTTATCCACGTTAGTAAAAAAACTGACGACCTTAATGTAGACTGATAAAACATAAAAGGTAATGACCGATGATTAAATTTGAACTATTGAATCAATTTTAGTAATCACAAATGAAATAAATATTTTTAAAGACAAATATGAAATATTTTGATAATCTCAGTAACCAAACCTGTAATTTACTAATTTATCTTAGAGGTGCAACTTAAAATTGATTTTTTGAAATTATTTTTATTATTAGATATATTAATCAACAAGTTGTACTTAAGGAGTACTACAGATAGGTACACCGTAAGCCCATGTACACCTTTTTTTCCCGTCCCTCGTCATGCAAATCGTCGAAGGGAAATATAAAAGGGTGAAGATCAGAAACTAAAAGGATAAAATCAGTTTTAAGCAACTTATCCATAAACAAAGAATGTGATTTCGTGCAATGGGGAGTTATTTTGGTTGCATTGGGCGGGTTTTGTTCGTGTTTCACTTGTTGGGTTTAATCCTTTTCGCACCGACATACCTCCCGCTTCAATAATTGACCTTCCTGCGGTGGTCGCGGGGAGGACCCGACTATTGGATATATCTGTCTTGCAAGGTGGTGTGCACATAATTCGTCTTCCTATTGATGAACACAACTTTACACCTACTAGGGTTGTGTTCATGACTGTTTGGAGACTGGAAGAGGACCGCCAAAGTTTGAGGAAATTGTACGGACTAGCGTTGTCGTCGAGTTGGGAAATCCCTTAGTGTTATTATGTGCTTAAACTGCATCCAGAGTGGCCGAAAATTGTGTTCGTACAGGGTGGTCGTCGTTATCGAAATAGGACGACTGAATTTACTCCAGTTGTCTAGAATTTCAGTGGGCAAAATTCTTCTTTATAAGGACGACCAGTATATACAGTTTAACCTATTTAAATTAATAATCGTAAATTAAAAACCTAGTATAGATTAATAATTACTTCGATCTCTACTTGAGCCAGTGAAAAAAAAGAGAAATTTTAATAAAACAATAAGATAATAATTTTTTAGAACCAACTTACATAAATACATGTATTGTTAACTCTATAAATTAATAATTGTAAAAATACAATTCATCTATAAATGTATAATATAGCTAGGATAATCTAGAAAAATATGAATATATAGTTGTTTGTTTATTCTTGAAGTTCAAATTCAATAGAAGTTCATCTTGAACTTTCCTCATTGCACTCAGAGTCCCCGGTGTTGTTTTCTCTGATTGTATCAGGTATTTTTTAAGAGTTGATACGACTTTAAGTGCTTTTTTTTCACGTGACCGGTTTCAAAGGTGTTGAATCATCATCTCTTTCATCTCAATTGAACCCCCCCAATGACATTAGGCACAATTTCTTCTAGCGTTTGTGCCGCAATACATTCACCATATATTTGATGAATCATATTGAATGTATGATCAATGAATATAGGGGTGCAAGTAATTTAAAACATGAATCTAGAGACCATCTACAAGAATACATCGAATACATTTATCTTGGAAGAATACATAATTTCCTTCTTTTAAATGTTAGTACAATGAATACGTAGAATGTGATAAGTTATAGTATGAACTTGAAATGTTTGGAAGATACGATAATTGGACATCAAAAAATACCCTTTTAAATTAATATTTAATAATTTATCAATTAATTAATAACTACTATAAATTAATAATTTTTATGCTTCCGACTACATTAATTTATAAAGGTTATACAGTATTAATAAAAATGGAAAGGGGAAGCAGAAGTTGTAGTTCACAAGGCCTCAACAAGCAATAGGCAAGAAAGAGAGAGAGAAAAAAAAAACAGTTAGTTTGACCAAGTCGTCCTGCTCAAACAAAAATTCAATTAAAAGAAACAGAGCATAATTGTAAGTTGTAACATCAAACTCTCTTTTTTATCAAAATTTGTAGACTTAATTTGGGTATAGACTCGTCGAATGTTTTTTTTGTCTAGGGGTGCATATTAAGGCGATTTTGTGAGAGGATTGGATTGAGGTCGGCCTATAATGACATTATGTATTGGGTATAAATTTTTCTGGGTGAAAAATAGATGGATTGTGAGTTTTTGTTAGTCACATCACTAAAAAATTGATTCCGTTAACGCAGACTGCCAGAAGGTAACGATGAATTATCAAACTTGAACTACTAAACTAATCTTAATGACCATGAATAAAATAAAATATTTTTCAATTACAAAACATTTTTTCAATAATTCCTAAGAGGCTAAAACCAGTTTTAAGCAGCCTCACCATAACAAAAATATATTTTCATGATCTAAGTCCTATCAAATCACGGCTCATGTTTATCAAGAAGATTTCACGGCCGCCCACCCCACCCCACGAATAACAACCGCCGCCGGGAGATGCACACATCATGGCGACGGGGAACTGCAGCAGCTCGAGCTCCGCGGGTGGAAAACGGCGACGATCGATCATCATCAACGATCCAGAATCACCGGTAAGCCCTCTATCCCTTCCTCTGATCGCCAGACTCGGAGACGATCTCCTCTCAGAAATCCTGATCCGCACCCGAAACCCTAAATGCGTTTGCCGATGCAAAGCCGTGTGCAAGTGGTGGAAATCCCTCATCTCCACTCCTTCCTTCACCCGCCGCCTCATCTCCACCTTGACCGCAGCCGGCGTCGACGACGGCTGCTGCTTACCACATCATGATTTGATCGTCTCAGACTCTCCTCCGAAATCCATCACGAGCTCTCTCCCTAGCCTGCCCGCTAATATTCGATATCGTATCAGAGTCTTCGACTGTTTCAAGGACCTAATTCTATGTGGGTTCCTCGACACTAAAAGATACAGCTATCTAATCTGCAATCCGTTTACAAAGCAATGGATCGCCCTTCCTTTAGCGCCCGAGAAGCCTCGCAACCTCGGAATGGAGATTGCCAGGCTAGTCTGCGAGCCACGTGGTTACAATAACTCGAGTGACGACGATATCAATGTCGTCGACTATGATCACCACTCCGGGTATAGATTCCGGGTGGTGTGTATTTATCAATGGCCGCGTCGTTGGGGGAACTCCGCAGTAGTAGACGTGTTCTGTTCGGAGTCCGGAGAATGGACGGAGGCGGCTCGTGTTCTGGACCCCGATCTAGGGATACACCCGCAACGTCGCATAAGAAAGAATGTGATTTCGTGCAACGGTGAGTTGTTCTGGTTGCGTTGGGCGGATGTTGGTCGTGGCGTTTCGCTTGTTGGGTTCAATCCTTTTCGCACCGACATGCCTCCAGGTTCGATAATCGAGCATCCCGCGGTCCTGGGTGCGACCCGACTGTGGGATATTTCGGTCTCGCAAGGTGTTCTGCACATAATTCACGTCTCCGCCACAACGGATGAACGCGAATTATTCTATTCGAGGAATGCCTTGAGTGTTTGGAGACTGGAAGAAGGCCGTCGAAGTTGGAGAAAATTGTACGAATTACGGTTGCAGGAGATCCCTTGGTGCTTGGCGCTTAAGCTGCATCCGGAGAAGTCGGAGGTCGTGTTCGTACAAGGGAATCGTTTAGAAAACAGGACTGACATCTCCTCCTGCAATCTGAGGACGGGAGAGTTCGGAGTTTTCGCCGAAGTGAGGCAGAGTGCAACTCGTTGGAACGTGTTGCAGCCTCGGATCGATTGGTTCCCTACTCCGATTCCAAGGTACGAGGAATTACGAGGTCGTTATGATGGAAGTCTCGACTGTTTATTAGCTTCGTCTTAGTCAGCGAGTGACGCTGGCAAACCCAATTCTGCAATACACGATGAGTTAGTTAAGAGGTCGTTTATGCTTGTGGTGATTAGGTGCTATGATTGCATGAGTTATTATTTTTTGCATTATCGTAATCCATGGTGATGAGAGGCTTTTTCCTACATTTGTGTTGCACGATTTGATGTTGGTGCATGTGATTCGTTTTAGTTTGAGGAGTTTGAATAAGTTCAGTTATGATGGGTAGTTTGGAATCAAGGAAACGAAGATAAAAATGGAATTTTTATTTATTGTCCAAAGTAGATGCCTGCTTGTCATGATATTAATAGTAAAGGTTATCGCGTTTCTTTATTTGTATATAACGAATTTGACATCTTGTGTTCAAATCCACTCACCTTCCTATATATTTCGAGTAGAAGATTCACGTTTAACAGTTTCAATTGTCGACAGTAATACGATAAACAAGAAAATAGATGAATTTGTATGAAAATCATATGAAATTACCTGACTTTTTAGGGGTTAGTCATTGGTGTTTACATTAGTTGATACATCTTAAAGTGCTTACAAAGTTTGACCCAAAAACGTGCAAACGTGAAGTTGAGCAGCTGTGGGTGACAAGTCTGCAACTTAAAAACAAGGTGTCAAACTAATTCATTCATAATTTATGTATCTTTAAGAGCATCTCCATTGGTGCAATTGCATTTGTGATTTTTTTTTACACAACATTATTTTTTCAAGCCAACTCACTTTACATTTATTATACCTATATCAATGCAATTGACTTGCAATTGCAATCCAAAAATAGCACACCTAAAATATATTTTATAGTATTCAAATAATATTAAAAAAATAAAAAGAAAGGAACAAACGCCACTACCAGCCACGTTGAATTGCATCCAGACTTTCATTATATGAAAGCTTGCATAGTTGCAAGCACTTCATACATCAGTGAAATAGAATTTACAATTGCAACACAATATCCACGTCATAATGAAAGTGGAAAATGAAAGCCGATGGAGGTGCTCTAACAAACTAATAATAATTCAATTCGATATAAATCCGCCACCTTGTCTAGAATCCATTTTGTCGGTTGGCACCGACTATGGAAATACTTGTTTCCATGCTTGCAATCCTTAACATTATTACAGGGAAAGCAGTGTATTCTCTGGAATACATGCATTGCAGAAACACACAGAATCCAACAATAACATATTACTTGTTTGTTCCATTTTCTTAGAAGCATATGATCTGTTTGATTTAAACTCGAGTGGCTGTTTGTATCTTGGCGGTTGTTCATATCTAATCATCGCGTAGCCGTTTTTCTGGATTTTGACTGACGTGAGGACCCAAGTATGCTTTTATCACAGCTCAGAGTAGGTCACAAAGAGCCAGATGCCAAAATGTCCAAAAGGCCCTACATGTCTCTTCTGATCCAAATAAAAGGTTTGCTTGGCTTTAATTAGCTGTTTTTTTTTCTTCTTTTAATTATTGGCAATTCATTGAAATGGTTCTTAACCTAGCTTAATTAATTAGCTAAACCTCCTAATGGTCCTCTAGATGCTTCCCACAACTCCAACTACTCCGACCGACGCAAATTCATCACTCTCTCGTACTTTTTATAGTTAGGAGTGTGCAACGACGACTTGCTTCACACGAATCACGTAATATCGAACATGACATGGTATGGTTTTCGTTACATTAATTCACTTTATACCAAAGAAGAGAAGTATGAATCAATGTTTACTTAAAATTGAACAAACACACTTTTGATTCGATTCTCTTCATAACATGTTCTTTTATATCTGATCCGCGGCTCGATTTCAATTCATAACGGGACAAGACCAAACAATTGCATGCACACATTACCTATGAAGATCTTCATGTGGGCTAGATTTTAGTCAATTTATCAACTATCTCCTACTTAATGGTCTTTGATCACCGGCCAATTTAACCCTAGAGAAAATTAAGTTATTGCCTCAATGCACCATAATTCATTATTAAAAGTTGCTAAGAAAAGCTTGGTGACTAATTAAATATTAAAATGCATATAACTTGGACCTCAGTTGTCGGTGAGAATCTTTCTATTGGTTCATGTCTAATTATTCGCCAACTTTAGCAAATGTCAAAACTAATTAGAAAGTTAAAGACACCAAACCGCATAGTTATAAAACTCAATACCATCCGCCACCTTTGGAAGTAGGCCATTTGTCGGTTGGCACCGGCTTGCTGTTGTTTCTCTGTATTTTCAGCGAGGAAATCGACTGAACATTTATCGTGTGACGAAGGTGAAGACTTGTGTCATAGACTTATAGTGTTAACTAATGTGAAATACATGAATTTCATAATACAAAGAATTCCTCAAATCGCTTCTTTTAGCTCATTGTCCATTTTACGATGCGTATTTGTTAATATCTATTTATTATAGAATAAGTCGCTTTGTGAAAATCTGATTCGTGATAAATCGAATTATCGTGCTAACAACACAATCCGTTAGTACGTAATGTAATAACAAGGCCGTGTTAGCACCCTGATTTATTGGTGGCGTTACTTATACAGCTCACGAGGCACAAGAGAGGCCAAAAATGTGCTGACGGGCCCACATGTCTATTTTTGGCCCAATAAAGATTTAGCGGGCTTAGCTGTCTAATGGCTGGCTGCCTTCTTCCCACGGTCCCAACAAATTATGCTGATTACGATGGGATCGATACTGTCTGCACCCATTCTTTTTGGGGTTAGGTCGATGATAATTGTACTTAAGCTTAATTAATCAAATTGCTAATTGTCTCCTAATACTTTCCAATTCCAACTACTCCAACCCAAATTCCACCACATTCTCATTACTTCATTGGGGGTTGGATACTTAGGATTCTGTTCTCCCAACCTCAGTTAAACAAACTTATTAATTAACGTACATGTCTTGCTACTAATCTTCCATTCACATGGCATATATCTTCCTGCATATGTATAAGAGTTAAAAGACCATCATCAAGATTCAAGTGAGAGAGAAAACAAAACTAGATACATTATTTTATGGAGGATGGTATATTGCTATATTAGAATGGTTAGTTCGCTTAACCGGTTGTGTGGTATTCGTCGTCAATAGATCGATATTCTTCTACTTTTTTGTGTGTGTAATAATATGATTTACAAGTTCGTGCCTATATCTGATTATTGATATTGCAATGGTTTTTGTTTGGGAAAGAAGAGCTTCATTTTTGTTTAGTGTGGTTGTCACCGTAACCCCCCCCATCCCCCCAAATATAGACAATACGATTTAGTTACTTACAATCGGAGGATCCTACTTCTTTTCTTATCCAAAAAAATTGTCTGTAAACAAATTCAATTTAAACCTGCTTCTTGTTTTTTTATTTTTGATTAAATAACACTCGATAGAGATTAATTGCTTTCAATGAAAAATCTAAAATCAGATGTAAAAAAAAAACTATCGTATCACATAAAAGAACATAAGTATTTAGTATTGACATCAAATCAAAATCGTATCACATGTAGGTAAAAGGCCCGCATCATGGATTATGATAATGCAAATACCACCACATGCACCTAATTACCACAATCAATGAGTTAGATTAGTGACTAAACATGAATTATTGCCCACCCTAATCTCAAATCAATAAGAAAGAAAAGTCAGCCAAACCAAATTAAAAAGAAAACGGCCACCTTCGCCATGGGAGCATGTGCCCCACTCACCGTCACCATCATCTTCTGCTGTCTTTCCTTTCCTTCTCTCTCACTCTCTCTTTCTTTCTTTCTTTTTCAACTCCTTCCTCACTCTCTCATCGCCTCCATCCATTCAAGCCAGTTCATCTTCAGCTCAGCAGAGAACAAAATTCCACACATCCCCCAACCAACGATCACACTCTCCTTCTTCTCACCCCACGTTCCTTTTTCCTCTTCCCCCTCCCATAAAGCTCATCTCTTTCTCTCCCATCCATTCTTCTTTACTTGTGAATCAATCAATAGTATGCCGCTCTGAAGAATCCCCTGTTTTTTTTGTTCTTTCTCCTTTCCCTCCCCTGTTTTAGTTTCGGTTCGAGGCAGAGGAACGGTTTGGAATTTGGATTATTCTTCCTCCCCCAACATCGCCGATGGATTCCTCTGTGCTTCTGGACTATGCTCTCTTCCAGCTCACACCGACTCGAACCAGGTAATTATGGAGGGGAAAACAAAGGGTCACTGAGATTGTGAAATTTGGAAGTGAATTTGGGAAGCGTTGACTTACTCTGTTATTAATGCTCTGTTTTTTTTTTTGTTTCCTGATATTGGGTGGTTAATCTCAGATGTGATCTGATCGTGTTTTATGGGGGGAAGCCTGAGAAATTGGCTTCTGGGCTTTGCGAGCCTTTTGTTGCTCATCTCAAATTTGCGAAAGATGAGTTTGCGAAAGGTGGGTACTCCATCAAGCTCTGCCCTCCTTCACGGTTTGCACCGTGGTTCACCAAATCCACTTTCCAGAGGTAACCCGCTCTATAAAAAATTTCACTTTCTTCTTTGATTTTGCAATTTGATGGGGATATTTCGATTGTGGATGATATTTAGCATCTGGGTTCCATGATTATCTCTGCAGATTCGTGCGGTTCATTAGTACCCCTGCAGTGCTGGAGAGGTTTGTTAAGTTAGAGAGCGAAATTCTGCAGATTGACGAGAGTTCAGCACAAGCCAACGAATCACTCTGTCAAAATGGCGAACCAGATGAAGGAAAAGGAAAGAAAAGAAATGAGGAATCCCCTGCTCCTCCCCCTCAGGAGAATTCCAAGTAAAGCCCGAAATTTTGCTTCAAAAACTTCAGTTCTAATTCTTCAATTTCCAGCTAGTACAAATTCTGATTGTCGTCCAAAACAGAGTTCAATTCCAGCGGCTTCTCGAGACCCGGAAATCGATGCTTCGACGAGAGCAAGCCATGGCGTATGCCCGAGGGCTTGTGGCAGGGTTCGAGCCCGATAGGCTAGACGATTTGATTTCCTTTGCGGATGCATTTGGAGCTTCGCGGCTAAGGCAGGCTTGTGTCAACTTCAAGGATTTGTGCAAGAAGAAGAATGGAGATGGTCTCTGGATGAAGGAATTGGCTGCAATGGAGGCTTACTCGCCAGCTGAACTTGCGTTCTCACCGGCTTCAGGGATTATGCTGACTAATGAAGCCCTGGATGGATCAATGGCCGCCGATTCATCTCCTGCTCGACAATCGAGTTTGGACAGCCAAAAAGGTAACCACCATATATCCTACATAGTAAAATCTAAGAACTTAGTAACAAAATAGCTTTTTGCATAGAATGGAACTAATTTTGGAAGTTGTCTTAGGGTTTTGACTATGCTGCAGAAAGTGATGAACTTGATTCAGGTTTTTGTGGAATAGCAGACAATTGAATGGTGTGTTTATGTTAAATGTACAGATGAAACTACCAATGCAAAAGCTCAAATGGGAATGCCATGGCCGAATCAGATGATGCCTCCTTACATGTACAATTTCCAGCACCTGAATCATCCATATCAAGGCTACCCATATCCTCCTATGCAGCCTTTCCCTCCTCAGTATGCTATGAATATGCAATCCCCTCCAACGAGCCGGAGAAAATCAAGCCCAGGCAAGCATCACAGCAGGAAAGGAAGAAGTTATTCAACTGAAGAGAGTGAGGAGGAGGAGGACGAATCCAGCGGTTCTGAATCCATCAGAAGCGATTCAGAATCCGAAGTTCGGTCAGACAAGAAGCAGCAGCAGCCTTCTTCTCCCGGAGATGATGCTCCAGTCAAGAAGAAGCACCACAGGAGGAAGTCATCGTCCAAAACAGTCGTCATCAGAAATATCAACTACATCACATCCAAGAAAAGGAATGGAGCCTCGGATGATTCGTTTTCGGGCGAAGATGAAGGAAAGCTTGTGAACCAAGTGGTGGAATCATTGGAAAAGAAGATGAACTCGTCAAAGAACGACAACTGGGATGCTTTCCAGAATCTCCTGATGCGAGATGAGGAGGAGCCACAGCAGCAGACGGTTGTATTAGCCATCACTGGACCAGAATGCCCTGCCACAGATTTGGAATCATCAGAGAAACTACCAAAGCAGAGGATTCCTGCAGGGGATTCATTTCTCATGGCGAAATCGGATGAGCCACGGGGAGAGAGAGCTGGCCTAGAAGAGGATTTCATGGTGGGGAACCAACAACGATCAATCGTGAAGAAGAGAATGGATTCTGCAGACCAAGATTTGGTCATTTCGCGGGGAGTGTACGAATCAGGAACAGGACTAATAACTGATGAAAATCTATCTTCATCCACGGTGAAGCCTGGAAAGAGAGGAGGTGAAGACTGGTTTGTAATCAAAGGTGCATCAGTTAACAATGAAGCAATGCTCAATGGAGATTACCTGCAACTGGAAAGCAGCAACTCTGGTAAAAGAGAAAGTTCCGAGAGGGACAGATTGGCTGTTGATGATTCCTTCATGTTAGAAGCTCGACCACTGGAAGTTGCTTCTCATCAGTACGACGAGTCTTCATGGAGAACCGACATAGCCATGTCTGCGGATTTGACAGCACTGTCTTCCCCACTGGAAAATGGAGATAAGAAAGAGATGAGAAGCTCGATTGACGACCTTTGCATGGTGGTGGAAAGGGAAGCTGCTTGGTGTGCAGATCAAAGCATGGACTTATCATTCATGGAAGCAACTAGTACCACCAGGAAATCAACTAGCGATAATCCCATCAAGGAAGAGAATCAAACGAATTCGACAAAGTCAGATACCAAGAACAAGAAGAACACAACGGCGAGAGTTCCTGGAAGAGCGAGAACGGGGACGATCAACTCAATCACGAAGAGAACAACTCCGCTGCAGAGTCGGCCATTGACTCAGAAGAGCAAGCTTGAGAGAGTAAGTTGCCATGAAAATTGAAAACACTGCAACAGTTCCAATCTCAACTCTGTTCATCTTTGTGCTTTTATATCTTAACGTGAGTAAATGTGATCCTGAAACAGGAGGAAGAGGCGAGGAAGAAGATCGAGGAACTAGCACTCCAGCGGCAGAAGAGAATTGCGGAAAGAACAGCAGCAGCAGTAGCTAGTTCAACCCGAAAACAGATCCCGAATAGAAGATCGTGAAAGAAAATCTTCCTACCAAGCATATAGCTAAAATTCATCAAGAACATTCAGTGTTTCGTATTCATTTGTATATTCAATCTATATATTCCAAGCTATCAAGAAAGAAAGATTGCTAATAATATGAAAACCTGCGAGGTGTTTGCACAATTTTTCTTCTTGTTTCATTCCCCTTGGTCGTCATCACTGGAGACCTCCCTACTGATCTGAGCCACCGCTTGGGGGAAGCGGACGGGAAGTCCACCGCCGCCAGAGACACCGGCAGAGCCGCCACAACAATATAGAGGCATGCCTTGATGAATATCACAGCTGCCATGAAAATCACTTGAAAGCCAAATGGTCAGGAATAACTTCACAAGTATCAACTCGGAGGGGTAGAGATTAACAGAGGAACTGAATGTCAGCACCGGCATCTGTCCTACTAATATAAGTAAATACGACCACAATAAGCACTGAGCTGCTATGGAGAACAGGCCGTCGCCGGCGGAACTCCGGCTGCCTCCTCTGTCGGCGGCGCCGCCGTCTCTGAAGAAGCAGATGAGTGTTACATGTATGTTATAAGATCAGGGGCTCCGATATGGAAATTACTCATGAGATTTTTTTGAAGGCTTACCCCTCGCCGTGGTCCGACCCTGCCGCTGCCGCCGCCGCCGTAGCGAAACTTGTTCTTCCGAAATTGGTCCGGGGGGATATTACTCTTTTCCCTGTGTTCCGGCAGCGATTCTGCGTGGATTGCTTTGGGTCGAATGGGATTGATTCGTCGAGACACAGATTGAGATCGAAGCTGGAATCGAGTGCATGATGATCTGCTCCGCGGCGAACCCTAATTCCGCCGCCGCCGCCGAGGGTAGGGGAATGGGTTGGTGGGTTGTCGGGCGGATGGTGCAAGAGATGGAAATTAATTGCCGCCGGCGAGAAAACTAGCCTTGGTAGAGCAAGAGACATGGCGGCGGTGGGCGGTAGGAATTACGGTTTCCTGTGAAGCATTAGGGTTGAAGCGAGGGAGGGAGACTGCTAGGGAATGGAGAGTTGCCTTGTGTCGCACGCTGCCCCTTGTAATCATAGGAATTAGGGCTTCAGTGAACATAATGAAAAGGGTAAGACTCTAAAGGGAGACTCTTACACTATGTTTGGTAACAATGGATGCAAATTTGAGTGGTGAAAGTTGAGAGATAAATTATAGAGAGTGTAATTTGGTGGGGTGTAAGTAAATGAATAAATTGTTGTTTGAATGAAAAAAAATAAGAGGTGCAAATAGAGTTAAAAGTAAGTAATTATATTATTATAAAATAAATTTATCGAATTTATAAAATATTATCACAAAATAAAAAATATTATTAGAAAATAATAATAAATATACTATAATGAAAAAAATTATTCTATAATAATGCTAAAATAATAATTAATTATAACAACGGTTATAATCATTGATCGAGCGATCTCAAAGCTCGAAGCTCAACTGGTAACTGGTCATACTATAGGGTTCTCGTGTCTAGTTGAACTTTAAATTGTCAAACTCAGTCAAACACGTTCGAATCTGTAAGTTTTTAACTATTTCGTCAAATAAGTTGAGTCAACCAAACAATTCCTCTCTACATTTTTCACAAACACTTAGTATCTCTAAATTTCAATGTAAATTCGAGTCAACCAAGAGATCTAAATTTGACTTCACGAACATTGATAAACTTGTTTACGGTTTCCTGTGAAGCATTAGGGTTGAAGTCTAGCACTCCAGCGGCAGAAGAGAATTGCTGAAAGAACAGCAGCCGCAGCTAGTTCAACTCGAAAAACAAAACCCGAATCGATGATCGTAAAAGAAATCTTCCTACCAAGCACAGCCAAAATTCACAACATTCAGAGTTGTATTCATTTGTATATTCTATCTACATTCCCAGTTATTAAGAAAGAACGATTGCTAATAAAATGGGGGAAAAAACTGCGAGGTGTTGCCTACCGCCATTTTTCCTCCTTGTTTCATCCCCTTGGTCGCCACCACTTGTGGCGGGAAGTCCACCGCCGCCAGAGGCACCGGCAGAGCCGCCACCACGACCATGCTAGCGGCGGCACCAGGGCAATATAGAGGCATCCCTTGATGAGCATCCAAACCATCCGGACCATCACATTAATCCAAACGGTAAAGACTAGCAGAAGCAAAATCTCGATGATGCTCCCGGACATAGCAGAGGGAGTGATCATCGGCTCCGGTACCTGTCCTACTAATACTAGTAAACACGACCAAAACAGACATTGTGCTGCTATGGAGAACAGACCGTCGCCGGCGGAACTCCTGCTTCCTCCTCTGTAGGCGGCGCCACCGTATCTGAAGAAGCCGATGAGTATCATATATATATTTATTAAATATTGTCAGGGGTTCCGATATGGAGATTTCTTTATGAGATTTTTGAAGGCTTAATTACTTACCCTTCGCCGTGGTGTAGCACCTCCGTCAGGCCCGACACCGCCGCCGCAGCCGCGAAACTTGGTCTGCCGAAATTGGCCCGGGCGAACGTTATTCTTTTCAATGTGTCCCGGCAGCGATTCTGCGTGGAGTAATTTGGATCGAATGGGATTGATTCCTCGAGACACAGATGGAGATCGAAGCTGGAATTGAGTGGATGACGAACCCTAGTTCCGCCGCCGTCGTGGCTGCTTCCCCTGAATTTGTAACGTCCCAGCGTAAGGATCGGACTCTCGACGAGTATTCTAGTGGTTGATTCTGGAAAATACAGAGAAGATGCAAGGAAGAGGAATACTCTTGTCTATGGCACAGCTGGAACAGAAGGGAAAGTGAAGAAAGAAAGGGGAAGAGAGAGAGAGAGAGAGAAAAGGGAGGGAAAGATTGTTTTATTTCTCTAATTCCCTTCTGACACAGGACGCTTGACTACTTATAGTCGGTCCTGGCTTATTACAAATTGGTACCCAGTCATGGCTAATTACATTTCAATCCGTCTGTTACAACTCCCTCCTCCTTCAGAACAGTCTTGTCTCAAGACTGAAATTCAGAACTTGAAACTGGGAAATCGTTCCTTGAACTCCTCCAAATACTCCCAGGTAGCGTCTTCCTCCGTTTGATGCGACCAATGAACCAGAATCTGAGTGGCAGCCACATTCCTCCTTGCTACAACCCTCCTAGCCAAAATGGCCAGTGGCTCAATCTTCATTTCACCCTCGACATCCAATGCAGGAAGTGTAGGCTGTGTGGTAACCTGGACACCTGTAGCCTTCTTTAACAAGGACACATGGAACACAGGGTGTATGACTGCATCAGTAGGCAATTGTAACCTATAAGCGACCTCTCCAACCCGTTTAATGATCCGAAATGGTCCATAGAACTTAGGTGCAAGCTTCTGGTTGGACCTTGTTGTGACTGAAGCTTGTCGATAAGGCCTTAGCTTTAAGTACACCATCTCACCCTCTTGGAAATGCCTCTCGGTCCTGTGTTTATCAGCCATTTGCTTCTGCCTGTTCTGAGCCAAGGAGAGATTATGCCTTAGTAATCCAATCAAACGTTGCTGCTGTGTCAGTCTCTCAGCTGCAGCAGCTACAGCAGTAGATAGCGGATTTTGGATCGCAAACTGAGTGGGTGAATACCCATAAAGGGCTTCAAACGGAGTAAGCTGCAAACTGTGATGGTAATTGGTGTTATACCACCATTCAACAAGAGACAACCACGAAGACCATGACTGAGGAGAGTGATGAATCATACTGCGAAGATAATCTTCCAAACAACGGTTGAGTCTTTCAGTTTGGCCATCCGTCTGTGGTGATAAGCCGTTGAGTAGTGTAGTTTGACCCCTTGCAGATCAAATAAACAGGACCAGAATTGGCTAGTGAAAATTGAGTCTCTGTCACTAACTATGGTTCCAGGCATACCATGGAGTTTAAAGATCCCAGCAAAGAAAATCTGGGCCACAGACATAGCTGTGTAGGGCTTTGGAAGACTGAAAAAATGGCCATACTTTGTAAACCTATCCACCACTACCAGAATGGCCTCCTTACCTGCAGACTTAGGTAAACCCTCAATGAAATCCATGGACAGATGCCTCCAGGCTGTCTCAGGCACAGGTAAAGGTTGAAGCAGTCCTGGATATGGTACATTTTCCACCTTGCATCTATGACAAATATCACATTTATCCACAAACTCCCTTAGCTGTCTTTTCATACCTGGCCACCAAAAGAATCTTTTTAATCTCTGATAAGAAGCTTGAACACCCGCATGACCACCCACAGGAGAGCCATGGAACAATTGCAACAGCTGTTCCCTCATAGGTCCAGCAGAACCAACATACAAAGCTTCACGATGATACAACAAGCCATTCTTCACAGAATTGATCCTTGGTCCCACAAAGGGAACCACAGCCCCAGTGATTAAGGACTGCACTTCAGTGTCACCAACATAGCTGTTTTCAACCTCTAGTAACCAGCTTGGTAGCACAGTAGTAATAGCATCACAACTCCCATTAACAAAAGTAGGATGCCTGGATAATGCATCTGCTACTTTATTGAACTTTCCTTGCCTATATCTGATCTCAAAATCCAGACCAAGTAGTTTTACCAACCCCTTCTTCTGAAGCTGTGTATGAATTTTTTGACCAAGCAAGTACTTTAAACTCTCATGATCCGTGAGTATAGTGAAAGGCCTGCCCTCCAAATAATGTCTCCACTTTGTAACTGCCATGATGACTGCCAAATACTCTTTTTCATATGTAGACAGACCCTGTTTCCTGAGGCATAATGACTGACTCAAATAAGCCAAGGGTTTACCATCCTGGGACAAGACTGCTCCAATACCAATATCACTGGCATCTGTTTCGAGAGTAAATGGCTTATTGAAGTCAGGTAAGGATAGAATGGGAGCCTGGGTCATAGCAGTTTTAAGCAACAGAAAAGCCCTTTGAGCTGATTCAGACCACACGAACCCTCCTTTCTTCAATAAATCAGTCAGTGGTTTAGCAATCACCCCATAGTTCTTTATGAACTTCCTGTAGTAGCCAGTAAGACCTAGGAAACCCCTCAACCCCTTGATAGAAGTAGGCACTGGCCATGATACCATGGCTTCCACCTTACTGGGATCTGTTGACACCCCTTCTTGATTGATTACATGGCCCAAATAGTCCACCTGCAACTGGCCAAATGAGCACTTAGAGGGTTTAGCATAAAGTGTGTTCTTTCTCAAGACTTCCAGAGTCAGCTGCAAATGCTCCACATGAGTTTCCTGAGTGGGACTGTAGACAAGGATGTCATCAAAGAATACCAAAATAAACTTCCTGAGATAGGGTGAAAAAATCTCATTCATCAATGCTTGAAATGTGGCTGGGGCGTTGGTAAGTCCAAATGGCATAACAATGAACTCATAGTGGCCTTTATGAGTTCTGAATGCAGTCTTGTACTGGTCCGGTGCGTGCATTCTGATCTGGTGATAACCAGATAACAAATCCAACTTCGTGAAGTACTTGGCCCCTCTCAATTCATCCAACAAATCATCGATAACTGGAATAGGAAACTTATCCTTTATAGTCATAGAATTCAGCTGCCTATAGTCCACATAGAATCTCCAAGAACCATCCTTCTTCAATACCAACAATACAGGGGAGGCAAAGGGACTTCTACTCGGTTGTATGTACTGGACAGCAAGCATTTCATCTACCAACCTATCCATTACAGACTTTTGGGGTAGTGAATACCTGTAAGGTCGGAGGTTAACTGGTTTTGCATCTGGAAGTAAGGGAATCTGATGATCACAGTGCCTGGCAGGAGGTAGTGCAGTGGGTTTCCCAAACACATCAGCGTATTGTGCTATAAGTGGAGCCAAGAAGGAAGGCACCTTTTGCTTAACAGGACTTTCAACTTGCAATGCAAACAACTGCCCAGCCCATATTGGCACCTTCTGTCTCAAGTATTTCTGTATACCCTTACCTGTCATAGCCTTACACTCACCCATTTCCTGAATCCCCTTTAAAGCCACCTCTGTACCCCCAAGATCAAAGAACAGTTGTAGATTGACAAAATCAAATTTGACCGGACTAATGGTTCGCAACCAATCAAGACCAAGCACCATATCATTTGTTCCCAGCTTAAGAGTTCTCACATCATACGAGAAAGAATGACCCTGCATGTCCCACTTGAACCCTTTGCAGATTTGTGTACTCATAAGCACAGTTCCATCAGCCAACCGTACCCTCAAAGGCTCTGCTGACTCCAACACACAGTTCAATTCAGCTGCTTTAACCTCATTAAGAAAAGTATGTGTACTGCCAGTGTCAATGAGAATGAATAATTTGGACTTCCTGACCTTGCCTTTGACCACCAGTGAATTAGCCTTGCCACCGCTGCCAAGAGCCTGCATCAACACTTCCTCAGGTTCCTGAAGAGGTAATTCTAACAATCCCTCTGACCCCTCACTGCCATTCTCATCGTCACTCCAATCTAAAGGCGCCACTACACCCAACTCGTCGGCTAACAGAGAGTTAAGCTGACGTTTAGCATCACACACATGACCATAGAAATAGCGATCCCCACATTTATAGCAAGTCCCTTTTGCAGGATTAGCATTGCCAGAATTCCTACTCGGACCAGCAGCTGCAGTATTATTCTTAGGCAAACCTGGAGGTTTAGCAGCTTCCCACCTTCGGTTTGGAGCACCAGCATTGGCCACGTTTGCTGGAACGGGACGAGACACAGCTCCCCTGAGCTTCCTTCTCCGAGCTTCATTCGAGATTTCTTCCAGCTTAGACAATTGAAAAGCATGAGCCAGGGACTGTGGTTGCCACATGGATATGGCCGGTCGCAGTTCTTCTTCCAACCCACTGAGATAACTAGACACGAAATACTCTTCATCTAAAGCCGGATTGTACCGCATCATCTGTGATTTCAACTCCTCAAACTTCTCCTGATATTCTCCCAACGAACCACGCTGCCTTAGTTTGTTAAATTCGCCCACTACACCGCCATAAGACCAATCACTAAACCTTCGACAAAAGGCAGGAACAAATTCCTCCCATAGCAACTCAGCTCGACCTACTTGCCAACCTTCATACCACAAATCAGCTCGTCTATCAAAATAAATGGCAGCCAGACTCACGCGATGATCGAAAGGGATCCTGTAGATCTCGAAAAGTTTTTCACACTTCCTAATCCATTCCCGAGGATTCTCACCAAAAAAAATTGGAAAATCCAAACGCGGAAGTTGATACTGATTGTTACCTCTCGCATTAGGAAGAAACTGCTCCAGATCTGCAACTCGATTAACCTGTACTGGAGCACGCTGTGGTCGAGGATCATCCGGAGTAACCTCCCGGACCACAGGACTGATCCCCTGAACAGGCGGATTCGGCAGGATACCTCGACCGTCGTTCCGCTCCACCAGCGGAGCCTCCGCAGCAGCAACGACGACCGGTGGTCGTTGTTGACCTAGCACATCCAAGCGCCGCATCACCTCATCGAACCGTTGATCCAACCCCACCATACGAGTGTTGAGTGTAGCCAGCTGAACGGAATGTCCATCCGCCTTTGTTGCCAAGTCCTGAAGATGAGTGTCGTGAGCGCGAAAACGCTCCGCCGTCGAAGTCATGTGCTCATCCATCAGAGTAGTGTGTTCGCGCAGATTAGCACCAATTTCTTGCAGATTCGTCTCCACCGCCACCGTTCGGTTGGTGAGGGAGACCAGCCGTTCTTCCGTACGAGTAGTAGCCATTCGGTCGAGAGAGAGCTCTGATACCAAGTTGTAACGTCCCAGCGCTAAGGATCGGACTCTCGACGAGTATTCTAGTGGTTGATTCTGGAAAATACAGAGAAGATGCAAGGAAGAGGAATACTCTTGTCTATGGCACAGCTGGAACAGAAGGGAAAGTGAAGAAAGAAAGGGGAAGAGAGAGAGAGAGAGAGAGAAAAGGGAGGGAAAGATTGTTTTATTTCTCTAATTCCCTTCTGACACAGGACGCTTGACTACTTATAGTCGGTCCTGGCTTATTACAAATTGGTACCCAGTCATGGCTAATTACATTTCAATCCGTCTGTTACATAATTCCGTGAGAACTCTGAGGGTGGGGGAAAGGGTTGGTGGTGGGTTGTCGGGCCGGTGGTGCGCGCGATAGGAATTAATTGCCGCCGGCAGGAAAGCTAGTCTGGATAGAGCGAGATACATGGCGGCGATGGACGGTAGGAATTACGGTTTCCTGTGAAGAATTAGGGATTGAAGTCAGGGAGGGAGACGATTTAAGGAACGGAGAGTTTCCTTGTATCACACGCTGCTACTTTCAACACTAGGAAATAGCCAAATTGGGTTTCAATAAACAAAAAAATAAGTAAGTGATGAAAATTGAAGCACTTTCATAATCCGAAAATTACAGGGCGTTAAGAATCAAGTTGTCTAAGAAATTGTCTCAGTAATTCGAGTTGTTAGAAAAAAAAAATTGTATATGAAATTTAACTACTTTCTTCAAATTATTTCAGTTAGTTCATACACCTGAAAATGAAATCAGCGGATGAGTTGTAGTTAGAGATAAAATGTGTTACCTGTATTTCTCCGGTGAGAACCTTCACGCAATGTGCATCGTAGTGATCGATAGATAAACGTAAGAAAAAGACTTAGAACGAAGAGAATTGAGATGGAAGAGGGATAAACTACCAACTACTATTGAATTTTCAATCTTCTCATAACATTAAACGACTGAACTAGTCATTTTTTTTTTTGACAAAAGATAATCTTATATAGATTGAAACAAAGGTAGTTACATCTTGGATCTCATTCAGGTCTGAAAATCAAAAAGACGACTCATAGTCGGGTACAAAGAGAGGGCTTTCCTAGTCACCAAATGGGCTACCCTATTATTACGCCGACCTACAAACCGAACACCAAATCCATCGCACGAGTCGAAGAGATGAACAACTTCTTCAAGAATGGCCCCCACCTGGCTATCCGCAGTGCTACCCTTTTTAATCTTGTCAATAAGCACCAAAGCATCCCCCTCAAAGCGGACTGTTGTCAACCCATGGGCAATGCACCATCGCATAGACTCCCGTAAACAAAGCAATTCCGCCACCGAAGGGGCATCCACTCCAGGGAACTGATATCCTTGTGCCCATAGGACCTCCCTACCAAGTCCTAAGAGGACCATCCCACCCGCGGAATGAGAACCATTCCGAGTTGCCCCATCCCACAAACACACCAGGGAACTACCGTTCACAGGAGGATCTGGGGCAGACTGGGGGTTAGGGAGACTGATGCAAGATTCTTTTGGCAACGAGACCCACTCCTCATACTGCTGGTGAAATTGACGCATTAAGGCCGGAATCCCCACCTGTTTTCCTTCAAAGACCACCCAGTTTCTTGACCTCCAGATACGCCAGAGAACGGCCACCACTGCCATAAAAATAGAGGGCTGGGTTATTAGGGCCATCAAACGCTTCAGGAATCAGTTTGCCATAAAAATAGATCGACTGAACTAGTACATATTTATAAGTATGAAATTTTTCTATTACGTAAAACATGAGTACTTCTACCACAAGGAAACAATAACTAACCCTTAAACAAGTACTCAGAGGTAATCCCAAACCTACTAGAACAATGAAACAATGAAGCATACTAATAACAATAAAATACTAATATAATAAATATACACAAACTCAGAACGAGGCCCAGTTATTAAGATGACTTGATTCTTGTAACAAACTGTCACTCGAATCCAGACCTAACTAGTTCTCCCTTATGCTAACATGTCATATCAATGTGCTTTAGATTCACAGTTGATATTAGAAGTTGGTAGTACTTGACACGTGATTTCACAACAATATAAATTCTCATATCATGTTATGAATCAACTAGTTTTAATAGATTGAAAAATGTTCATAATTATAACTGACTTCCTCAATCAAATTACAGCGAAACAAGGCAATAACAGAACCCGTTATGAAAAAACAGAAAAACACTACAGGCCTTCAATGAAAACTAACTAGTAAAAGGGGAAAACAGCTACGATTCAATCTTCATCGCCGTCGTAATCATCCTGAGAATGTTGACCAACAACGCTGTCGTCTCCGGCGGAGTCAGTGTCACCACCGAGGTGGCACCGCCAAGCCCACCACCACAGAAGCGCTAAGAGCAGCAGAGATGTGCCCGACATCAGTAGAAGCGTGACGGTCATAACATAATCAAACGACTTATTGAAGTACTGAATGAAGGCAATTGGGTACGGTACGAATGGCCGGAAACACTGCCGGTAAAACCGCCGCGATGCTGGCTCCGATATTAATATGGCTGTCCAAACGAATGGCAATAGAATTGCTTCCAGAAGAGTCTCTGGGATTTTCCCAAGCGCCTTCTTCAGGTTCCCCAAAAGACGCCGCCACCACCTCCGCCGCTCCTCGCCTTTGTTCGAATTTTTTCCCCTTTCCGAAAATTTCTTCTCCGGCCGCCACCCAGTTTCGATCGGCATATAAATTTCGAACCTTTTCTTCCCAGTTTCGGGTTGCGACTGCCGTTGCCACCACCACCACAGCGAAAACGCTTCCAATTTCAAATCGCCGCCGTCAAAACTCCCACCGCTGCCCTCTTTTCCTCCACCGCCCCCGTCCCCGCCACAGGAGCCACCATCTCTGCTGGCAGCTAACTAATTGTTTAGAAATAACAAGAATTCATTTTTTCCGATTCTCAATTAGACTGAGATCTCAAAACCCTTACCCGTTCAGCTGAAGATCCGATTCCTCCGCCGGATGACCCGACCCCGCACCACCGGCCGCGGCCGCGAAGCTCTGTTTGCCGAAATACATCCGGCAAAACCTTTTCATCATCTTTCCGCAGCTACCGGGGGTCTTACTCGAGTGGAAGGCGTGAAGACATAGGCTGAGGCCGAAGCTGGAATTGATCGGATCTGCTTCCTGGCGTGCCGTAGTCCCGCCTCTGTGAGTGTTTCCCGGGCGGTAGATTTGGGCGGGCGAACTGAGAGTGGAAGAATTTGTTGTGTTCTGAGGCTGGGGAGGAAACAAGAGATCGGAAGTAGTTGCTGGCCGGGAAATCAGCCTTACTCCTAGAGCAAGAGACATTCCGGCGGCGAACGGGAAAGAGTCGATTTACCGATCAAGTAATTATTAGTAAAGGAGGATTTAGCAGCTCACTGGCAACTTCGGATGTGATCAAATTCAGAACAGGACTAAAGTATATTAGCGATTAGTCTTAAGATTACTTTTTAATTAAAAAATTATGACACGCTGTATGTCACCTTAGGGAGAATTAATAATTTTAAGCCCACCTATTGAGAATTATTAATTAATGACTTCAGTTGAACACTCGGTTTTGTCGAAAGGCCAAAAGCAAACATATAATACAAAAGCCTACTTAATTTTTTTTTCTCCAAAAAATATCATATATTGATCAAACCCATAGACAGTTACACCCTGGAAACCAGCCAGGTCTGGAAATCAAAAAAGCGACTCATAGTCGAGTACAAAGAGAGGGCTTTCCTAACTACCAAATGAGCTACCCTATTGTTATCCCAACCTACAAAACGCACACTAAAACCAGGCTGAGTACGAAAATAATGAACAATCTCTTCCAGAACTGCATCCAACCGGCTATCTCTTGTATCGGCCTGATTAATTTTGTCGATAATCACCTTCGCATCGCCCTCAAAACGGACCGCCGACAACCCTTGCTCTACACACCAAATGATAGCTTCCCTAAGCACAAGCATTTCCACCACTGCTGGATCATCCAACTGAGGAAACTGGACCCCTCTAGCCAACAAGAGCATATGGGTTTGGTCAAAAAGAACCACCCCACCAGCTGAATGAGACCCACCCTTAGTAGCCCCGTCCCACATGCAAACAAACTGGGCATCACCCACTGGACCATTAGACAGCCTATCGGGGCTTGTACCATAGGTGTCTGATCCGCTGGAAGATCCATCCACTCCTCATACTGTTGGTAAAACTGTCGCATTAGCGCCGGGATCCCAAATTGCTTGCCTTCAAAGACTACCCAATTGCGAGATCGCCAGATCCTCCAAAGGATTGCAACAACCGCCATAACCACAGACGGTTGATGGATCAAACCCAACAGACGCTTAAGAAACAGTGAAAAGGTATGCCGAGGCAAACCCTCTCCCAAGTACTCCAGCCCAGAGTAATCCCAGAGAGCCCGCGCCACCGGGCAATAAAGGAACAGATGTTCCATCGTTTCCGGGGCGTCCCAGCAGACTGGACACCGAGGAAGCACCTGGACCTTTTTCTCAATAAGCGCCTCCATAGTCGGCAAAGCCCGATTAAGAATTTGCCAAAGGAAAACCTTCAACTTCGGCGGGATCTTCGCCTCCCAAACTCTAATCCAACTGGGCTTATCCATCCAGCTAACCGAGGATCGCCACCCACCCCGCCTCCTGTCCAACTCAACAGCCAGATGATAAGCCGACTTCACCGAGAAGACCCCTTCAGCCGTAAAATGCCATATAAGCTTATCTGGCACATCCCAACGCGGAAGAGGGATAGCTTTGATAGCCTTACAAGTGGATGGATCAAACCATTGACTGAGCAAAAGCCTACTTAATTAGTTATGCAGAAATTAATTAATAAATAATGACTAGTATACTCTGCTGCTGTTTCTTCTCAGTTATGTATTTTTAATCCATTAATCTGATTGAAGCAACGTGTTGATCATCAATATTACTGCCTATAAATTAGTAATCAGAAGCACCTTCATCAAGGCTGGACGCTTCATATTTGAATTCCATGGACGAAGCTCATTTTCCCTTCTCTCTCATTCTTTTAGTAGCACCCTAATCTAGTATAGTATTATCAGCGATGAGCCTCTTAAGATTTAAGAATCTGATTAACTTTTTAATTGAAAAATGTGAGACGCTGTATGTCACCTCCTGAAGTCCACCTTTTGACTTTTGAGAATCAACTTTAAAAAATTCAACATAAATGGGAATGGGCAAAAAAATTCCCATCCAAAACTAACAATTATTCTGACTTGTTTTATCCAATTTATTTGATCTATTTGGTAATACCCATCTAATAAGCAGACATGAGTACTCTAATCGACCTAACATGTTCTGACTAGTCCCATTTTTGGTTCGTTTTTACATAAACTACATGTAATTTTACTCAAAATATTTAAGATTTTACTTTTTTTATCACTTATTTTAGCTATAATAAAATTATAAATAACTGTGATCCTCAAGTTTTCAAATAATTTAACTACATTTATCATGCTATATTTTGTTTCTTGATTTTTTTATTATAAGAGAAACATATCTAACATTTATCATTAAGTTACGCATTAATAAACTTAGCCCATGTCATAAAAGCCCGCCGGATTATCAGTTTCGAATACACGAAATAAAGAAATTGGTTGGCGGCCCACCCAAAATGCAGAGCTAGCCCAATTAGTTTCCAGATGGACTAAGGGGCTGCTTTATTTTGATCCTTTGGTGCATAGGTCCAGACCACACAAACACACATCTGGATATGTTCAAGGGAAGGATTCACTCTGACACCACTTATTGTAATTAAGTTAGCACAAGTAATCTCTTGGAAACACATCCTTCCTAAATTATCAAGGAACTCATGTACATTTAGTTTCAAGAATTTGATGCGATATTTGAGTGACGATTAATGTAACTAGACCATACTTCTAGAGTGTGATTCAAAAAGTTTTGTGATACTTTACGATTGGCCAACGGGGTCCCTAGTGATCGAACACTAAAGTACAACAATAAATACCAGACCTTATCAGACTCAAGTGTTGAATACGTATCAATATATATTGTCTTATGCAATACCATTACGATATGAATGCATTTGATTGATCTTTGTATCCAAATGTACGTCGTGGTAGTTAGTCTTCTTGTTGCGAGAATCACATTGTATCGCACTTATGATGCTGTTTTTTTTAATTTTTTATTTCGGCGGCTATGGTGTTGGGTGTAGTCACAACATGTGAAGGATGACGATGGGGAGGTTACTTACAATGTCTTTCTTAATGTAGATATATATTATAGGTATTTTTAATATTTTTTTTATCTTGTCTTTTTCTAATAATTACTTGATTAGTTTGTTTTGTTTGGTTTTGGATCAGAGTCACCTCTACAAATGATTTAACAATGACTAGCATACCATATAGTATATTTGTGGTATTGATTAATCCAAGTCTGAGAGAATTTGTGTTGTTTAATTATTGGTTAGTAGCTACTTGCTGTTTTTTTTATATATCATGTTAGTGGAATTATTATAAGCATGGTACAAAATGCTAAGTAATTATGGGGAAATTAATAATAGATAATGACTATAGTAGACTCTGTCTTTGCCGAAAGTCCCAAACAAAACATATAATACAAAACACTAATTAATAAATTATGCAGAAAGTAATTAATAAATAATGACTAGCTATTAGACTCTGTTGTTTCATCTCCATTATGTATTTTTTTTATCCATTAATCAGATTGAAGCAATTTGTCAATGGTCTATATAACTGCCTTGAAATCAGTAATGAGAAGCACCTTCATCAAGGCTAATTCTCCATATATGCGACCTCTCTCACATTAATCCAGTTTCAAGCTAGCTCTTAAATATCCAAATGGCTCCCTTTGATTTCAAGTCCAACAAACACTTTGTTGCTTCATCCGATGGAGCTAACCTTCAAGTATATGAGTTGACCAAGCCTACTCTTTATCATCCATCTTCCATCAGAAAGAGTCATTGGAGGGAAGTTGCAAACATCAACGACGATGACGATGACGACGATGATGACATGGTGGACCAAACCAAGAAATACGATGGATTGCTGTTCTTCGATGGTCATGGAAAGATCGAGGGACGGGTAGCGTTGACAAAGCTGGCACAACACTTGAAGCGGCTGAGTTTGATGGTGGGGCCTGGAGGGCTCTGCTTCCAAGATGTGAACGAGACGGGAGAGTATGCAGACTTCGGCATTCACTACCTCCGACTGAACGATTTGTTCAGCTGGCCACGCCATGGAGTCGACCTCGCCACAACTATCACGTGGGGGCGTTCGGAGCTGAAGTACCACGACCCCAGACATGTTGAGCGGTCGAAACAGACGGAAGGAGGCAACACAGTTACTATGGAGATGCACGAGCAGTTGAAAAGACTGGTGAAAGAGAAGAACGAGGAGCTAGCGCAACTGAAAGAGGAGGCGGACGACGAGCTGCAAAACTTAAGGGAGGAGAAGGAAGATGAGCTGAGAGAAGAGATAGCGAAGCTGAATGAAGCAAAAAATGAAGAATTGCTAAAGCTAAGAAAGGAGAAAGACGAGGAGTTGAGGGAACTATCAAAGAAGAAGAATGTTGAATTGCGAATACTTAGGAAAGGACAAGGAGGTGGAGCTGCTTTGCAAAAGTTACGGGAGGAGAAGGAAGAAGAGGTGCGAAAGTTGAGGAATGAGTCGGAAAAGGATATGCAAAAGCTAAGGGACCAACTGTCCTCAAGCGCGACTGAGCTTACAAGCGTCAAGCAGGCGTTGGGGGTATACGTCAATAGCTCATCGGTGTTGTCGCCTGGGGGGAGGGTCCTTCGTGATTCCAGCTTTGAGGAGCTCTGGAGATATCACGTCGGCAGAAGACGCCCGGTGCCGCCGGGGATCTTTCATGTCACACACCGTGATGATTTTTTCGCACGTCAAGATTGGAAATCGTACGTGCCTACATTCACGGAGAGAGAATACAGTGGCGGTTACCTGGAAGCCTACAATCTGGTGAACGACGATACTACGAAGGAGCTGCCGGCTCCACCCATTGTACATGTGATAACTGCCGGCGAAGCGGAGTTCGACGTGAACAACTGGTGGTACGAGAAAACGACCCATCCGGAAGGCGGGACGACGATGCTGGCATATTACGACGGGGATCGGAATCGGTTTCAACACCATTCCAAAGGAACTATTCGGATCCCGTATTCCAAGGGAGCTCGTTACTGTCTGGCTCGGAATTTCTACCTGGGTTATCTCTGTGGGAAAATCGTGTTTTGTTTCAGGTATAGAAATTAGGAAGAGTGGATGACAGTGTTTTTTTTTTCTTAAAAGAAATTTCTACCAAATAATTCTAAGTAAATGATAAGATGTTTTGTGACTAAATTTTAGTTGAATCCCTAATTTCATATCGATAACACTTTAATATCGGTTCGGAATCCGGTAGAAAGGTTGTAGACCGAAGACACTATATACGGTACGATTTCACAAATAAATTATTTAATGTAAGGTCGAGCGCACTTTTCTGTAACCATGGTTTCAACAATCAAACACACATATCTTGATATATTTAAGGGAATGGTTAACTCTGCTATCACAGGCTTATAATTAATTTAACACAAGTAATTTCTTGGAATCACATCAGTACTGAATTATCAAGAATTAACATATATACATGAACTCGTGTCGATTAACTTTTGATGCTAAATTTGGGTAACGGTTATTGTGACTAGAGCACGATGCTGAAGGTTTTGTGATATATTTCGATTTTACCAACTAGGTCTCTAGTGAACCAACACTAGCTAGATTCCAACAACCGGAGCAGCCCTCATCGATAATATTCGAAAGTGGCTGAATGCATTCTTTGTTGTTGGGATCACATTGTTTCACTTGTGCTGCTCTTTTTGACTTGGTGGCTATGGGGTGTTGGGAGTAGTCACAAAATGTGAAGGATATGATGGTGAGAACTGAAAAGGTTACTAACCAATGTCCTCCTTAATTTAGATATATTATATTATAGGTTTTGTTACGAAAAGTTACTTGATTAGTTTGTTCTGATCTGGTTTTTGGATCAGAGTTACCACGATGCTGGCCTACTACGACGGCAACCGGAATCACTTCGACGACCACATATTGGGAACTATTCCGATCCCGTATTCCAAGGGTGCTGTTTTTTATCCGAGTAATAATTTCTACCTGGCTTTTATCCAGGGGAGAAGCATGTTTTGTTTCACGTACAGGAATTAGGAAGTACCGTGTCCTGAATTCTCAAATCGCATTATTCTTGTATTGTTTAACAATGAAACTAGCATATAACCAAGTCGTTGGGAATTATATTGCTCAAATTATTGGTTGGTAGCTACTTGTTGTATTTTTAATTTCTGTAAATCATGTTAGTGGAGTTATTATACGCATAGTAAAAAAAAACTAATTAATTACGAGGGAATTAATAATAAACAATGATTATATATAGTAGACTCTAGTTGTTGCCAAAAGGCCAAAACCAAACGTATAATACAATACGCTAGTTAATTATAGAGAAATTAATTAATGATCAATAATGACTAGTTGAAAGTAGTTAAGGAAGACGAGTTTGCGAATGTAGGAGGAATTGCGAAAGTAAATAAGTGCAGTCAAGAGAAGGCATAATCTCGTGGACTTCATTCCAGTACCCGCGCAATTGAGTATAAAAAGCCGACACTGACATCTTCTCTTGCCGAAGACTGTTGATTTTTCGCTTCAGATCATAAAGTCGAGACGAGCTTCCTTGGCTAAAACGCGACTGCAAGTCCACCCAAATCTCTCGAGCTGTATGAGCAAAGCGCACGCTATTTCGAACCTCCTTTGAGATGATTGTCTTCAACCAGCCTTTAACCATGGCATTGCAACGCCTCAAAGCATCTCTCTCAGCTGAATTCGTAGCCTCCGGAAGAGTGCCATCTACAAAGCAAATCTTGTTCTTAGCAACCAGCGAATCGGTGATGTCCACCACCCATTCGCCGTAATTAACGTCCATGAGCAGCTCTCCAACAAACAGATTGTTGGGACTCTCGGACTGGTGCAGGATGAGATGCGACGGCAGTCCACTTTGTCCATCGTCGATCACCGACTTGAGCTTCGATTGATCAGCGCTCGACTTGACAGTTTTGGTGGATGATTCGTCGTTCGAACCCATAAAATAGACATCCCACATCGGGATGTAAGAACACAAAAGTGACATATTATATCGTCATAGTAGCTTTTGTCATATTATGCCTTCCTGAATTGTTTAAATGGCAAAATATTTTGTCATAATAGATAGCAATAATCCCACGATGAGCTGACAAAAGGGCATGTTCGTCATAATATAGTAGTTTTATTTTTGACAAAGCGGGGGCATGGTGGTACTTTCACAAAAAAGCGGTGGCAAGGCCCCGTTAATTTCCGGAAACCCTAAGGGGAAAAGGGTCATTTTGACCGTTGGGGTATATAATGTCTCTAAGACAAAATCGACCCTAAACAAAAATCAGCGGCCGCCGCTCATCTCTCTCTCTCTCTCTCTCTCTCTCTCTCTCTCTCTCTCTCTCTCTCTCTCGTTTCGTTCCTTATCTCTGGAAAACAAAACCCTATTCCTTCTCCTCTCTTCATCCGCCGCCATTCCGATCTTCTTCCCCATCAATCGTTCCCAAAGGACGACAACAAACCTATAGGAAAGGAAACTTCCATTTCTCGATCTATTCCTTTCTCTCATCTTCGACCACTAAAGCTCGACTCGGTAGCTCTTAATCGACAAGAAAGACACCGATAAAGGTAAGACCAAGCCTGCATGCGTGTTTTCTTTTGATTCCTAGTTTATGTCAGTTCTGACACTTTTTTTATTTGGATTCTCCGATCACCCACTGGTGACGGTATCTCGTAGGAGACGAGACGCCGGCCAAGGCAGCTTTGAACGCGACGAAGATGGCGAAAGAACTGACGAGATGACGCTTGGATTTCTGGCTTTAGAAGTTGACAGATCTAAGTGAGATTCTTCTAATCCATCTTTCCCGACTCTATCCTCTATTCCCGATTAAACTGTGGATGTAGATTTTAGGGATTTAGATTGAGGGATTTACCTACGGGTGATTGGTTTGCAGATCTCTTTTGCAGTTTATTGGGTAGTGGATTTGTGTTCCAAGGGTTATGTTTTTTGGGTAGTGTCTTACCTTGTTGATGTTTATGCAGAGTCCTCTAAAAATTGTCAAATGGCCTTTTCCAAATTCTAATTGTGTGCATTGTCTTTTTTTTTTTGTATGAATCAGGTTTGTCCAAAATCCTCTCAAGGTGTGTAGGACGAGGAGCAAATGTCACAACTTTGTTTTAAATGTTTGTCAAATTTGACCTATCCCGCCGGCGATAAAATGACAAACCTTTTGTCATATTAGGTATAATATGACAAAATGAGTATCTAATATGACAAAATGAGTACCTAATATGACAAAATGAGTATCTAATAGGTCGAATTTGTTGTAGTGGCTTCCGCCACCTCCGGGTTCCATTGGTGACGCTCCCTTTACACTGCCGCTAGCACGCATTGACCATAAGCATCTCACACTACCACCCCTGCTCTAGAACCTTCCCCAACAAACATAGCTGCATCAACATTTACCTTCACCCATCTCGGCGACGGTTTCATCCATTTATGCCTCTGACTCAATGTCTGTCCCTCATCTTTCTGTCTGTCTGCTTTGAATTCTTCCTAGAACTTGAGCGCGTTGCCCACAATTTCCCACTTCTATGCTTTCTTTTTGTTGAATAGATGATTGTTGCGTTCGTTCCATAGGTTTCATAGTACCATTGTCAATTTAGCCAACACATCATCATCCACTTCCTCCGCTAGCTCACAGAACTAAGCCTAACTCGATAGTGTGGATTCTCTTTCGAAAAACCCTCGCATCTCAGTAGGAGTCCATGCTCTTCTCGCCCATGCACACAGTGTGCCTGAATATGTGTTGGTGTGTTTCTTCCATATTGCGAAATGGGCATTCCATCGCAGCCTCCCTTTTTCTCTTCTCTATATTCTTACTCGTCAGTAAAATATCATGTAGAGCTCGCCTTGTTCCTCCGCTATTTCCTCCTCCATTTCCTTTGCTTTCCACGCATAATAGGCAGATTTTGAGGAGTACAACCCCTTCTTTTCAAAATACCAGTCCTGATAGTCAGGGCTAGCTACTCTGAGAAGTGAGATGCTTAGGATTCTGGCTCGATCTATGGGATTGAAGTACTCCTGTAGGATGTTAGATTTCCAAGTACCATTCTCATGATCAATTAGTTCTGACACTCTAGAAAAAATACCCAGATTCATGGCTGGCGATGTCACTAGAAAGTTATCCGCCTCTGCCTCCGGCACCCATTTATCACCCCGGATTTCCACAGCAGTTCCATATTTAGTTTGGAATATCATATTCAGTTTTGAAGTGAATTTTTTCTTTCCGACAAACTCTTTTAATAGCACATAAAGAAAAAGGTAAACATTGATTATTAGCCAAATCATGCTAGCAATCTTTTTTATAAGCCAAACATAATAAACTACTAATAATTAGTCAATTTTTTGTAATGCATCAAATATTAGTCATTCTTACGTTATCGCTAATTATTTTGTAACTCTATTCTTATTTAAAATACTAAATTTTTTTAGAGTGTTGGCCTCCATGTGTATCTTCCAAGTTACTATCATGTTGTCAAGTCAATATTACTAGCAAAATTGCTAATTGAAAGTTATTATTTGACTAATTATTAGTAATTCAATAGGTTATAGGTTTGGATAATAAAAATTAATACAAAAAATGTTTGGTTAATAATTAATGTAACACCCGGTCCTTCCTTATATTTGAAAATCCTAAACTACCCTCCATGACTTAGTAATTGACTGACTATATATTTACTCTAAACTAAACCCTAGAGGAAATCCGAGGACTAACGGTGGATAAAAGCCCTAGATCACACCATTGTTCTTCTCATAAACACCCTCCGCCGATCATCAAAGCTCGATCAGCGCAGGCTCTGGTAGCGGAGAAGGGATCGAAGGGAGCAAGGGAAAGAGAGAACGTGACCATCAGCAGCCTAGTCGAGGCTTTCGGTGTTGACGACGCTTTGGAAAACATAGTTATTGACGATGGTGGAGAAGCTCATGACCACGACGGCGTGCGTAGAATGCTGGTATCAAGTACATGACGTACGGGCAGGAGATGACGGTGTCGCTGTCGCACGATGGCCTAAGACGAGGTTCGAATTCAGACTGGACGATGGAGGTAAGGAGTTGTACCTTCCTTTTCACTTCAACTTAAGGACTCACGTAACACTATTGAATGCATAAAAGTTAAGCAAATTATGAAATGATCCTGCTGGGGGAAGTAGGTGGAACCTCATGCGTATGCATGCATGGATGGATGGATGGAATTATATGTGTGGAGAAATCCAAGTTCTTTTAGCAAATGTTGGTCGGTTCAGGTTCATTGTTTCGATTCAGGTTCATTGTTCTAAGAAATTAGGGTGCGTCAATGAATGTGTCAATAAGTCAAGGGGAATTTAACTATAGTGACTAACTGATGGAAAGCTGGGTACGATTGCTGCATTACAATTGGCAAGGCATGATTCTATGTTGATGTGGAACGAAGTCGAACAAATGCTACGGGATGCGCCGCGGCAACTTTTGGGGATATCAAGAAGTGTTGGCGGGTACCAATTATCGAGTGGGGGCTGGATCAAACTCAGTCGGGATATCCGACAAAGTCAGCCATTTGAGAAATAAGGTGTGTGGTTAAAGGGGGCTAGAGTAGTTCGTTATCATCCATTTACGTTCATGTTATGCATTTCACTTCTTGTTTATGTTATTTTATTTCTTTATGCTTTCATGTTAAGTTACTTTGTTTACGTTCAGTCTTTATGTTAAGTATGCATAACATCATGAAGCATCAATAAACTACGTTGTAAGTCAAGCAAATACAAGTTCAGTTCTAAGCTAATCAAGTTCAAGTTAATAAGTTCAGATCTTCCCCTTGTGGGAGAGATCACCCTAAGTAAGCTCAAACTTCTCAAATTAAGGAACCAAGTATAAGCTTAAGTGCATCTCTCCATCGTGTGAGAGATTGATTCAAGCAAGTACATTAAGTTATCAAGCTAATAAGTCAGAAAAAGATCAAACCTCACTTACTAGCCAAGCACGCAGCCACCTCACTTCCTAGAGTGAGGAAGTCCACGTATACTACCCACTCCTTCAGACAAGGAGTCCATGTTCAAGTTCACGTATTAGGTACCGGACGGTCGCCTAGCTAGCGCGCGGTTACCTCACCTCCCATAGTGATGGAGGTCCATGATTATCACGTTATTCACCTCCCACAGTGATGGAGGTCCATGTTTATCACGTTTAGGTGGCCGAGCAGGGCTCTAGCTAAGTGGAGGAAGGGGCCCCATGTTAAGATAAAATACGCAAGACACTTATGAAGTAAACAAGAATCATAAGTTCAAGGACTCCTAATAATATACCCAATAATGTACTTAAAGCATTGCATGTGCATGACTGTCTGTTTATGTATGATAACGAAATTAGGATTAGGACTGACCCCATCGCCCGCATTCAGGAATTGTAGAAGCTCTAGAGTATGGCAGAAGTTCAACAGTTCGTGACAAGGATCAATGGCTGTAGAGGACTCTAGTGCGAAGATTTTAATCTCGTGTACTAAGTAGGGCTTGAGACTTGATGCACATTTATTAAAGATGTTTATGATTTCCTCTTATGCAAATTTCAAGAAATTGTTATTTGAATTTCAACGTATTTATTATGGATATTTAAATAAAGTTTCCCGCTAATTTTTCCCAGTCTGTTTGATTTTTATTTTGGTTAACGGTTTATCAAGGACATTTTAGTAATAGTAGTACCCGACCGGGTTAGGGTGTCACAATTAATGTTTGAAAAAAATTGGAACTAAAAATTTCCACATTCAATGTATAGGAGCGGGATGGGTACCTAGAGAGATGTGGAAAATTGTCACTTGATAACAATTAATAGTTAACATTTATTCATTTTCCATAAAAACCAAATTTATTATATACTGAAAACAAATTAAAGACTTTCCATATTTTAAAAAAAAAGAGGATTTCCATCATTTTTTATAATCAAAGACTTTCCATCATTACATTCCCAAGGATAACTCTTAAAATTCATTTTTTACAACTTTTCTTTTTTACATTTCTTTTCCATGTTAAGAATTTTTTTTTTCCCAATTCAAAAATTGTTTAGATTTTTCTACCATATTTAGTACTTTAGAAAATCCATCTAATACTAATTGCATTTGAAGCTCCTTATTCTCGTACTATTGTAGAGTAGTCTCAATTTTTTTGTTTTTGCTTATTGCTTCATATACTAAACGCATATAATACGTTTAATACATGTATTTAAAAACTAAATTGAAAATATAGGAATTTATTTTTATATTTTTATCCAACTTTAAATTGAAAATTTCTAATATTTTATAAGTGGTTCCAAAATTTGGAACACACTATATACTCAGAATGTAGTATATATAAACCTCGCTGGTATGTATTAATACAGTAACATACCCATAACGTAATTTACTAAACTCTACTCCATGAGAAAACGTTATTTTGCCAATCTCATACCCATTATCGATGTAAATAAAACTGATTCGTTCTCCCACAATATTATCGAATCGCATTAGTTATGTACTTATGTTGTAGAATTCAGGTTCCCTTGGTCAATATGGACATCGATTAGTTAATATTTGGAGCACTTCAAAGCCAACCATCAGTCGCTGTATCTTTACCTAAAATAGTATCGATCAAGCTTTCACGGAATAAACCGACTTTTTTAAACTCGATTTCTCTATTTGGCAAATCTTTATCAAGTTGACGGTATGCAAATTTGTCTAGCGAGGTCTTTCTTTCTTCTCCATTCGCATAAAGTTATCACGACTCGAACACACTACCTCTAAACACATTATCGCTAGTCATTGTGTAGGTTACACCATAAATAAAATTCGCAACGATATCATCAAAAAAGAAAATAACTTAATAATTATGTGAAATTAAAGGAAAAAGTTTATTTTTCCATATCTACACGCGTAGCCTTCGCTATAAAAAGCGGACAATGCATGTGACTGAGACCTCACACACAGCAGTACCCGGAGATCTCGCGCATGCTAGACGAGTAAGATCCTCCCTCAGCCGTCAACCAGCGGTAAGTCTCTGCTCTTTTCTTCGCTTCATCTTTAATTTTCTGTTTGTTTTAGCGTTGCAATTATCTGATTCTTGGTGATTCGTCTTCTTTGTTCGCTATTCTGATTCTCCCTGTCAATTTACATCGTCTTTTCTCACAGAGAGAAGTCAATATTGGTCAATTTTATTCAGTGGGATGTACCATAAAAGAGTTAACTCTAGATCTGATAGATAGTCGAGATCTGATTTCTCCTTTGAGAAAATCTTGATCTTTGGCAATGGAAAACAATCCAAGGAGATGAAAACCATAATTTTATCAATTACTTCAAAAGAGAAAATTCATGCTGCTATTCGAGAAGAAATTATTGATATAGTATTGTACACACATATTTTTCTCAATTTCCAATTGAAAATACTATTCATTTTTCGAAACAAGATACAAAAATTCATATGCAGACAATAGAATATCGATAGATGCAATTAGGATAAACTTGAAATACTCTGTTTCAAAATCCAGTGGTTTTTACTGTTTGATAAGTCCCTCGCATACACATTTATTTATTTTCATTTTCTTTACCCAAGCCGGATACGGGTAGGGTGCATAATCAGATCTGGTGCCTTGGTTTTGAATGGAGCCAGATCTGATGAGTAAGATTGAATGAACTTTTAATTGACCTATATCTCCTTTGTTTTAATATGAATTTTAAAATATTTTGCACAGAAAGAACATGTTCTTTGTGATCTATAAAACGATAAACATTATCGATATATTTCACTGAATTGTTTTTCGAACCACCCGTTACCTCCTTTTGTTTAACTCGAATTTTGAAAAATTTGCACAAAATAAACGATTTTGTCATGATCTACAAAATGATGTCAAATCTCAATTTTTTCCGAAAAATATCTTGAATCATCTACCACCTTTACCATTAGGGGTGGAAATCGGTACGGTATCGGTATCCCAATACCAAATATCGAAATTCTGAATACCAAATTACACCCTAGAATCAATCCCAGTCACAATTCCTAAATAATTTTGGTATTCCAATCACAATCCCTAAATATTTCGGCATCCCAATCGGTATTATCAAATACAAACTTAATTACCTTTACAATTAGTAATTAAATATATAAATTAGATTTGATTGTTTAATATAGAACAAAGGGACTAAGGCCAAGTCCAATGCAAAACCCCAAATTTGGTGATTGATCCCCATTTTCCCTTCTTTTGCTCCAATGCTTCAATCTCCATATTTGGGGATTTCCATTTTTCCAGTTTTTCCATTTACTTAAAAATGTACTTATTGTAGCCTTAATATAATTTGTTCATGTTAATTTTGTATAGTTCGTCATCATTTTTAAATACAAATTTTTTGATAGAATTTTGTTAAATTCCGAGTCCGAATTTTTTTGGCAAAAAATTATGTACCTAACTTGGGTTTACACACAACACTTGAAAATGATTGATCTAATTAAATCCCTAACTAATCCCCTAATTAAACCTCAATTAACCCCTAAAATCTTAAAAAGAAAAAGAAAAGCCACGCACGTGGCGGGCTTTGAGGAGTCTCTATATTTGCGGGATCCTTCCTTTCCACCCCCCAAAATTGGGGATCCTTTTGCATATCACCGCCCAAATGTAGAGACTCCTCCATTTATAGAGACTTCATTGGAGCTAACTTTTCCCTAAATATATAGACTCCCCCATTTATAGAGGCTCCATTGGACTTAGCCTAAACAAAGAGTTTTGAGTTTGGCTAGAGCTAGGATATGTATAAGGAGAATGAAGTAGAAGTGACATCTCAAGTTTTTGTTATTGGTAATTTTTAATTTGACGAATTGGAGGCTGATAGAAGACTGATACTAGTGTTTGTTTTTTGGTGTTATGAAAATAACAATAAATTGGTGGTTGAGGGTAGTGTAGTAGTGAATGTGACTTCATTGGAGCATCAAGGTTAAATTGAAAAGATAAGATGAATTGTTCCGTAGAAAAGATAGCAAACACCGCGCCTCATTTTCTTCTATCAATGGCTTCCCTCATACAATTCGCACTCATCACTCTTCCCGTTAATCTCTTTGCTTTATTCTATCAGTCACAACAAGAACAACAAGTCACATTCATATCAATGATAAAATATAAAAAGAACACATACATATATATTGTGGTGTGACCGGACTGGAATAGACTCATGAGGACCACATACCAAATAGTGAAAGACATCTTAGGACCAAATACCCGACCATCATTGCATTTGGTCCGTGATCTGGTCCAAATGTCACTTCGATATATTTTTCAGTATTTATAAAATTAATGAGATTGAGGATCGAACCACATTATATTTGATTCAGTTAGTCCGGTCCAAACATTGGTTTAGTTTGATTGGTCTAGTTCAAACGTCAGTTTGGTTAGGTGCGGTCCAATACGGACAAAAACGTTGCACACTTCTACATATGTAGGAAAAATTACAAAAAAAAATGCACAATTGAAAAAAAGAATTCCTTCTGTTGATTCAATTATCGACCACTTATTTTGGTCTAACCTTGATGAATCACTAGCCGAACGAATAGTCCGTTAACCGACTTAATAAATGATGACAGACTATAGGTTGACTAACAACCAAATAAACAGCCACGTCTATATCCGAACAGTCTAACAACCCTAGTATATTCCTAGCATAATGGTTCACTTCTATACAACTATTGTATAATCTTCTATACCACCAAATTCTAACATCAATCAATGGTATACAATGGTAAAATATGACTCGATAACTTTCAATTTTTTTGCTTCAAATATATAAAGTGGATATAAAACTGTAAAATAGTTACCTATGTTTTTCATTATTTTGGCAAAAAAAAAAAAGATATAATTTTGTAAAACATGATTAATCTATTTTTTTGTGCAAAAATTTGAGTTAAATTTTAATGCAACTTTTTTTTTATCCCTGAGTCCATTACCGTACCTCTATTATATTTTATAAAATTATCCCCTAAAAGAATAATAAGATAGTTTTTCAATCTCATATCATATTATCGATCTAGAAGTGATTTGTTTTCCCCCCCAATATCGATCCATGGTTGTAGAAATCGTGTTTCTCTAGTCAGTATGCACACTTTGAACATCGATCTTTTAGTAATTGTAGTTAGTATTTGAACTTCAAAGGCAACGATCAATCACTAAGGCTTTCTCTATAATCATATCGGTGGATCTCCTATAGGAGTAACCCTGCTTTTTTACTGCATTTCATCATTTGGAAAATGTTACGTTTAATATAATCAAGTTGAGGATATGTAAATTTGTCTACGACCCTATTTAAATTCTTTCCTTAGTAAGGGATTGAGGGTAAATTCTTCTACCCAAAAATAAAAAGAACGAGGGGGAAAAACAGTTGACATGAAAACTCCAATTTTGATATGGAGTTCTTAGTGTTTCACTGTTTCCTATCATTCTTTGGGAATGGGCATGAATTACAGATTGTAATTTATGAAAATCTAACTACTACTATATCTAAAGATAAAAAGAGAAAATTATTAGCAGAGAATCTCAATGGGGCCAACAATCAACTGGAAAAAAATTTAGCAGAGAGAGTCATCAAGATGACTCAAACACACCAGGCTGGACTATAAGTCCGTTGGTATTTTTTGATGGCTACATCATAAATACGATTTAACGTCAGTGTCGATAAAAAGAATCTAATGTTTATTTGTAATTAAAGAAAATAGTTTAACTTCCATATTTGCGTGCTCAGCTTTCAAAGTAGCCGCTATTAAAATGAGACATTTTCATTTTGGTGCAGGTCGTGCGCCCAACAGTACCACCAGTGAGATCTCTCGCTCAAGCTAGGCTAGCAGTGCCTCTCTCATCAGTTATCAACATGTATGTCTCCGCCCTCTCTGATTTCATTCATCCCAGTTCGTTGTCTGTTTGGTCTTTGGCTTCTCTAATTGTTAGTTTGTTTTGTTTGTTGTTTATTATCGATTCTCCTTGTTCATTTCATTTTTCTCACAAACACAAGTCAGTGTTGGTCAATTCTATTCGATGATACCATAAACGAGTACAATCTAGATATGATGTCTGGTTGGGGGATATGATTTCTTGTTTGAAAAAGTATTTGTCCTTGGCATGAAAAACAATTGAGGAAGAAAGAAATCAATTTGGCTTGGTCCAACTCAAGTCTTTCAGTGCCAATCCGCCGTCAATTTCTGTTCGATCAAACTTTTCTTCATAGACTTGTTTGCCGACTGATCATCTAGGATAGGATCTCACTATTGGAATAGCTCCAAAACTTCAATTAATATGCCAAAAGAAGCCATTCACGTTCAAAACGCTGCCTTTTCTTCATCATTATACCTTTCCTCGGGCATGCAATGCAGTGTGTCAGACATCCAGTTTCCATTTTTTTTTTTTGGTCCTCTTTATTACCTCCATGCATGTCTTGACAACTTATACTCGTAAGTGAAGTAAATGCTCGATTCAGTATAATTTCGTTGTTGTCGTGGTTATAATAAAGTTGTGATAACATAGATAAAACTACTACCACATAAAAAAAACAATATTTTTCAAGGTTGATATACTTTACTAGTTAGTATAAAGCACAAAAGGATACAATTTGGTATAAGGCCCGTTTAATATAGTTTTTTTGTCGTTGTTGCAGTAGAGTTGTAATAACAAAGATACACAACTACAACAATATGAATATGTTTAGTCGACAATTCTTAATGGAAGTCGCGACAACCAGCAGAAACAGAAAACACGTTTAGTTACTTATTCAGTTCTTGTCTAGTATCAATATTGAGACTAATTAAAACAACAGTAGGAAAATAATGAGGGGGATATGTGACGAGTTGTGTGAAATTTGAGAAAGAAAAAGATACGAAATCATAGTGGTTATATAAGGTTTTGAGAATGAGTTTTGCGAAATTGGAGCGGAAAAAATAAATATATGTAGAAGGCGGGTCTAGTGAGATTCGGTTATACACTCTCTCTTGAATGAAAATTATTCTATGAGTTAATACGATCCACAAGAAAGAGCTAGTGATTTCACTTGTTGCCCCCTTACTTTTCCCTTTGTTTTCTTCAGCTCTCGAAGTTTTTCCAAATGGATCGTTCCCAGAAGCAAAACAACAATGGAGCTGGAAAAGGATCCGCAGCTGGGAATTCAAGGATGAGGAACTTGGATCTGAACCTGTCTCTGGGCTTCCCCGATGACGACGACCTTCCTACGAATTATCAGCAGCTGCCTAACGAAGCCAGTAACCCTAATCAACACCAAACTGTTCGTCGAAGAAGCTATTCTGCTAATAACAACAACAACTTGGGGCAGCTTAACAACATTCATTTTCCCGTTCTCAACTCCATGCAAGTTCCACCACCACCAGCCAATAACAGCAATTTCGGGCAGATTAACAGCACTAATATTCCCGTTCTCAACTCCATGCAATTTCCACCACCAGCCAATTTCATCAGTTCCAGCTCTCCGGCTCCAAACAACACTACTCCACAGGTACACATTCTGATCACTTCTTTTTTACTCTCCATTGGTGATCACTAATTGAGAAGTTCTTATGCCAAAACGAGCTTTTATTAGGGTATTGCCAAACTCAATTTCTTTCGGAGTCAAATCAAGTTTATTAATTTGACTTTTGAGGCACATCTATACTCAAATTTTTTTTTTATAGTTAGGGTGTAAATTGGTTCCATAGCGCTGTTGCATGTACAAAAGAAAATAGGTACCCGATTATAATCCAATTTACTGTCTTATTTTTTTCTTCATTTTGAAACAAATAGAAAAGTAGAAACACCTGCATTAAAAGTGTATAATTGGGGTTGAAACTAGTTAATGAAACGAATGATATATATATATATATATATTTTGTATATACAACATCTAGACCAATTTGATCCATTTCGGTCCAATCCAAGTAGACTGACCCAAATAGAACACAATTCAAATGCATTCCAAACTCAAAACTATTAAAAATGCATACGAGACCATTTGAATATGATCCAATATGAACATTGAAAATTGAGTGAAATTCTCCAATGAGTGAACCATTGCCATGTTTAATCATATAGCATTGCCTTGATCAAGCGGCAAGTCGTGTGCTCAAATGGTTTGGTTCCTACAGTTCAACTTGTCCCACCACAACTTTGACTTTTTTTTTTTTGGAAACTGCAGGGCGGGAGGATTACTGTTGGTCAGCTGACGAGGATGAACAGGACCATGGTGCCCAGCAACAACAATGTGATCAATCGTGTCATGACGAACCAGCGATACTATGAACGCGGCCAGACCTCCAATCCAGCTCCGCCACCTTTTAGGTTGATCAACCAGCAACCAAACTACAACAACAACAACAACCCTACTCATTTCTACACCGGCGAGAGCAGCACCGGTGCTGGAAGCCATAGAAACTCCCCGGCCGTCAACTCCACCTATCTCACCCCTGCCAACAACAACAACAACAACAACACCAACCCTACTTACTACCACATCGGCGGCGGTGGAAGAAACAACGGCAAAGCCCCCGCCGTCCACCCCACCTTTCCCACCACTACCAACAACACCAATATGCTCAACAACGCACGGATGGCTTGGTTGAGGTCGCAAGTTGCTGCTTTACCAGCTGCACCTCCTCAAAACGGCAGCAGCAGTAACATGACCATGATGAACTCCCAGCTTCCTTCTCCTCCTCCTCCGCCGGCGGCGGCGGCGGCTGCCATCAACCTCAACATGATGATGCAGCAGGGTGGCGGCGGGCTGATGATGAACCCTGCAGCTGGCGGCCAAGGATTGGCTGCAGGAGATGCCGCCCCACTGATGTACCAGATCCCTAGCCACAACAGCAACAACAACGGTAACGCTGCTGCTCCTGCTGGTGGTAATATGGTGTTCGGAATTCCGGTGCAGCTGACAGCCGCACAACCACTAGCTGCCGCCGCGACGGCAGCGGCTAATGGTGGCACGAATATGAATGGCTATCAGCTGTACCTGCCGCTGCAGCTAATGATAGCTGCAGCAGCAGCGAGAGAAGGCAACAACAGCAGCAGCAACAACGTTGTTGTTGCTGCTGCTGTCGTTGCTAATAATCCGCAGCCGGCTGCGGTCGCGGCTGCTGCTCCTGCAGTGGCGATGGAGAATTTCGGGATGCGTCGCCAGCGTGGAGGCGGGAACTACTTCCCGCAGGGCAAGAGGTGCATTCGTTGCAACAACAACGACACTCCCATGTGGCGCCGTGGCCCTGGTGGCGGCAAGGTACGTATGCATGCTTTACCCCTCTGACCATTCTACGATAATTTCTCGTATTGTTTTTTTATGAGTTGGTTTTAATAACTCGAGTTATTCAAAAAGATCTTAATATAACCTAATATATATGCATATCTTTCGATTATAGTTGTTGGATCTTTCCTGACAACTCTAATTAGGCTTTGTTTGGTATCGCAGACACTGTGCAACGCTTGTGGGATTAAGTTCAGAAAGGAGGAGAGAGACAGGGACGCGGAAGGAGGAAACGGCGGCGACGGTGCTGGACAGCCCGATAACGGCAACTAATTACAATCCGCAACAGAGATCTTTGATTTTCTTGAGAACATTTCAGCCTCTGCTGCTGAGAGTCTTTCCATAAGGATAATTTATGATACATTTTTCTGAGTTTGGGTGCATGCAATATACTACATGGACAAATCTTTTTCCTAAATTTTTGAGTTTGAATGCATCAAATATATGTCTCATTTGAATTAGTTTTGAAAAATTTACTAGTATTTTTTTATCATGACATATGTATCATATATGTCATACATGCATTATAATATTTTATTTTCAACTTATTTTAAGGTTTCGTTTAAGGTTTCAACAAGTACTTAAAGTAAAAAATGAGCTGAAACTGAAATCATTCTAACATGTTGAGTCTGAACTAAAAGTTTTTTTAAAACAAACTCTACGAAAATAAAAGGAGGAATGTCTACGATAACACTCGTTTGCAAGAAATAACCAAAATCTTCGCCATTGTTTTATCTAGTCCAATTCGATGTAAAGTATAGTAGATCGACCGTCCACCTCATCCTAATTCATAGTCTAACATTCTCTCAAACTTAATCAATAATAGGATGTCTAGTGAAAATGGTAATGACACCAAAACCCCAAAGACATGAAGAATTTGTTTTTTTTTTTAATTTCATTTTAGCAAAGATGAAAGGTGTATGGAATTTGTTACTCCATTGAGATATAACCTTAGGGAGGGAAAAACAAAACCAACATTTACACGTAAAAATACAAATTGGTTTAGGAAATTAGCTCCTCGTTCAAAGTCGCTCTCTCCCACGTCTTCTCTTTCTTTCTGTTTCTCGTCTGTCTGTCTCTCTCTTTCTTCCTCACGAGAAACAGAAAGAAAGAGAAAAAAAATTACGATTCTAACCAGAAGGAATGAACAGGCAAAGAAGAAAGAAGAAGAAGAAACGAATTGTTAGGGGAGAGAGCTGCCTTGAATGTCGATCACCCTCCAACCGGAAGAAGAAAACAATAGAGAAGAAGGAGAAGGAGAAGATAAACAAGAACATGACACCTCCGCCGGCGATCACGTTGTCGTCCGGACAACCAACAACGAACATGTCGCCGGTGGCTGGAGCGGAGCCTTCCATTTGAAAAAACCAAATTTGCACCTCCGTCACCTTCTTGGCCCTCTTGGCCGGAGGAGGTCCCAGCAGCAGGCTGCAAGTAATCAATCGCATCCATTCCTAATGCATTAAAATATTTTCGACGCGATTTTGTTAATGTGTTACATGTAATTTTTGAATGTGTAGAAATATTGAATATGATCCTATTCTTCAGGCTGTTCCTCTGTTCCTTTTACAATTTTTTTTTTAGTTCATGCACTTTTGTTTCTAGTTTAAACGTTGGAATTTTTTTTTTGTTTCGTTGTGTTCTTATCACGAATTAATAATTAACAATATCGTTATGTTATCACAAGCAATGCCAACTGGGATCTTATGCGGGTTCAGACCATTTCCATCAGAACGAAAAAACTTTCGACCCGAGGTACGTACTTCAATCGATCTTTTGCTCATAAAAAAACAAATTGTTCTACAAGCAGAGGGATCAATTTACAACAGATTTAGCGATCCAACGTACCACGAAAAATTGATTTAGACATTTTGATGCAGGTGGTGAGAGGGCAATCAAGCAAGAGGAGGGAGAAGAAGAATTCAGCACCGAGACCTAAACAGAATGGCTCGAGTCGGGGCGGGTCGACGGGTCTGGTCGTCCTGATGATGGACCTGCGGAAGAAGATCATTCAGTTCCGGGATGTATTCGATCTGCCGGCATGTGATGTCTCTGCTTTTATCAATAAAGTAAAGCCGAAATTCTTCTTACTGTTTAAGCTCAATTCTTTGTTAATACAAGAAGGGTTTTGCTTACTTTGCTTGTTTTTTTCTGGTAGCTGGTGACGGAAACCATGAGTAATCTTCACAGTCTCTACCCTGAAATCCTACCCATCAAAGATTTGTCAGAAATCAAGGAGGGAGCTTCAATCCATGAGGTAATTTGCTCACTTGGTTACTCTGCGAGACTTCATGGGTCATTTTTATTTCCTATGATTGTCGAAAATATGCATAGTTCGACTCGAGAATGTATGCATTTTCGATAAGGGTATAATTTGAATTATTCGCGTAGGAGAATGACATTTTGATGTAGCAATGGTGAATTTGAAAGTTTTGGACTTTCGAATCATCTGAATCTTTTAGATTTCAAGTACATCCAAATGGGTATTTTGAAATACTTGTGACGCATTCAATTCAACATGATTGTGATACTAGAAAGTTGATGTTCATTTAGGAGGGTCTCAAGCTAAGCATATTTATGCAGGTTTTGATATACTTGTGTGGTGCTTTAAGATCCGTTGGAGACGCCTGGGTGACAACGAGTGATGATGATGAGTGGATGGACAAATCGACATCATACAAACAGAACAACATGGATGAATTGAACTCGGAACAACTAGGTAACGATTTTTTTCCAAACCCACGAAATAAGAACTCTTCAGAACCCATCATTATTATTCTTCCACATCCCTCGCGCGCGTTCGAATCTGACATCGCCATATCGCTCATTTCCTTTTGTAGTCGAACTTGCACTGGCAACACTCGATTGCTTGATCAAGATATCATATGAGAAGTTTGAGCACATCGATGAGGACGAGGACGACGATCATAGCCACGAGATCACCTCTGCTCGTAGCAGTACGAGCAGGGCGTGTGATCTCGTGGATCACGAAAAGTTGGTAGTAGTAGGGAGGTCCTACTCCGAGTCCTCCAACACTCCCTTCACCGCTTCTTCCTCCCCGGTCAGCACTCCCACGTCGGTCCTCCCCGAGCTCATCACCACATCATGTGCTTCTTCTCCCAAGGCGGAGGAGTTCTCCACCTTGTACTGCTCCTCCCCGTTCCTCCGCCTCCTCAGCTTCCAGGCGGTCGGCGGGAAGCTCAGCCGCCTCGACGTGAAACACATGTCTTTCCACTTGTTCCCCCATGGCGGCTCGGGATCTCATCACCATCATCGCCACCACCGTAGGCACAAAGGGAGTAGTAGGGCAAAGAGCCACGAGAACGTGCCGTTTGAAATGGACGGAAGCCATCCCCAAGTAGTGTTACCACCCGTGATCCAAAAAGACTTGCGAACCAAGGAACACAAACCCACAACAGGACCAAAACCTCCTCCTCCTCCACCACCACCTCCGCGGTGGCGGCCACCCAAACCTCCACCACCACCACCACCATTTCCTTCATGGGTTACACTAAAAACCAATAATGTAGTAGTTCCTCAACCTCCACCGTTGCCTTCACGTGCCACACTAGAAAAAAGTGCACTTCCTCAACCTCCACCGTTACCAAATTTGCCTTCATGTGTCACACTTGAAAAAAGTGCGGTTCCTCAACCTCCACCGTTACCAAATTTGCCTTCACCAAAAAAAGATGTCGTCGTGGTCCCTCATCAACATCCACTTCTCACTAGAAGTCCACCCGTTTTGAAGTCCCAACCATTATTGCAACCGCCGCCGCCGCCACCACCACCAAGGGAAGCTTCGATTGGATCGGGTTCGAGCAAGGCGCCGCCACCTTCGCCGTCGAAAGATGGACCGCCGGCGGCGTCGGCGGCGGCGGGGGCGCCACCACCTCCTCCACCGGGTGCAACCAAACTACTCCGGCCCAAGAAGGCACACACGAAGCTGAAGAGGTCGAGCCAAATGGGGAATCTGTACAGGCTGTTGAAGGGGAAAGTAGAAGGAGGTAATCAAGTGAAGCCACAAAGGGGGAGAGTGAGCTCGGGTTCCGGCAACGGCGGCGGTGGGAAGCAAGGAATGGCGGATGCACTCGCTGAGATAACAAGGAGGTAAAGGATTCGAGTTTCCAACAATCTGATGGACATTAATATATTCTTCTTCCCTATCTATGTCCCTCAGTACTTCCACTGTTGTCCATGATATCTTAGATCAGCATACTTCCAACAAATTGAGGAAGACGTCCATACCTATGCTGAGGAAATAACGAAGCTCAAGACGGAAATCAGCAGCTTCAAGACAAAAGATATGGTAGAGCTGGTCAACTTCTACAACCACGTTGAATCGATTCTTGAGAATCTCACCGACGAGACACAGGTAGGGAGTGATTGACTCAATTGTCATGACTCTTTGGGTATTGAATCTAACTCATATTTGGCTAAATGTATTTTTTTAATGATTATGAGTTTGGATCGGGACCAAAAGTGAAATTTACCAAGCCTGATTTTACTCATACTAAGTTAGATCTAGAGAGTGCAAAAAAAATTTGATTTTTTTTTTATGACATTTAACCATTTTTTTTATTACAAAATGTTATAAATCAACCGATCTCGCGGTAATTCAAATTGTTGTATGACATTTAACCACTCTCTTACACAAAATAATGCCACGCTCTCTCCACGATGCAGGTTCTTTCGAGGTTCGAAGGCTTCCCGGAGAAGAAGCTGGAAGCGGTGAGGTCAGCAGCTGCACTCTACTGCAAGCTAAAAGGGATCGTAACCGACCTACAGACATGGAAGATCGAGTCCCCGTTGGATCGACTTCTCGACAGGATCGAGCGATATTTCAACAAGGTACTCATATCTCCTCACTCTATGAACTAAATCCCTCTTTGCATTTTTGACCAAACACTACCATATTAACAAACACTACAAAAGACGTTCCAGGCGAAGGGAGATATGGATGCATTCGAGCGAAACAAGGAGGAAGAGTGCAAGAGATTCAAGAACCACAACATCGAATTCGACCTGCAGATCCTCGTCCAAATCAAAGAAGCCGTGGTGGACCTGTCTTCCAATTGCATGGAGTTGGCCCTCAAGGTATGTGTTGCTTTGATTTTAAAAAACAAATTATTTGTCATCGAGGATAAGGAAGTGGTTAAGTATCATACATGAGTCTGTATAAAATCCAACGTAATCTTCTCTCAACAACTCGAGTTATTGGGATCAACTGGTTATTGACATGGTATCAGAGCCTGATGTGGCCGGGAGGTCTTTTGTTCGAATCCCGGTGACCCCATTTACCTTCGTTTGAAGGTGTGTGTTAGTGAGTAGTATAAGATCCATTATTGAACATCTCCCAACAACTCGAGTTATTGGGACCAACTGGTTTATGACATGGTATCGGAGCTGGTTTGTTCTTGGGCTCACGTGTTCAAGTCCTCACGACTCCCAATATTAATCGTTGTCTTTCAAACACATGATATGGCGGGCCTGTGCAAACTTCAAGCCATTGGATTCTCTTGTTCGTAGATTAGCTGACACACATCGTAATTATAAATCACACGTAACTAAATCTGTGCATTTTTTTACATTATTGCATTGTCGATTTCACAATGGGATATTGAAGTTCATGCTATTTGTTCTAACCCATCCATTTCATCGTCCAAAGTTGAGAATTTTCCCCCCGTTCTTCTACACAGGAAAGGAAAATTGCTACTAGCAACGGAGGTCAACCGAGCAAGACGTGCTGCAAGACGTTGTGGAGGGCGTTCCAGTTCGCGTTCAGAGTGTACACGTTCGCCGGCGGGCACGACGATCGCGCAGATAGGCTGACGAAAGAATTGGCCCAGCAGATAGAGGAAGATCATCGCCGGATGCAGGAAGCTAATTAATCAGTAAATTAAGCCTTTACTCCGGTGGGTGAAAAATGTAAAGGGACGATTGATGTTAGTAAATGGACGGCCGAAGTGGCTTCTTGTTCGTTATTATTAGGGTTTCGTACATAAACTGGCTTTTCTTTTGGGTGACATTAGGGAAGTAGCGAGAGAGAGAGAGAGACTTCTCGACTGATTGAGATTGATTCTCCACGAGATCGTCGTCTAACAAAAGAAAAACCAACAAATGTAGCCATTTTTGTTCTTCTTTCTTCTTCTCCTTCTTGGATTCATTTGTAAATTGCGGGATCGCCTTCTCCTTCTAATGAAAATCATATTGTCAATGTACCAGTTGGACCCATAAATTTTATATGTGGGTGTCCCATTCAAATATTAAATTTAAATAATAATTTAAAATTTTAAAAATTATTGAATAAGAAAGTATCCAACTAATTCAAGTTATAACAAAAGTAAACGATGTGTTACTCAGTATCTGCAGTGCTGAACATATATCTTACTAGATAATCATTCACAAATGAATCGTCTAAGAAACTTGTTCTTAATGTAACACTAATCTAAAAAAACTCTCTCAACACTTGGAGTTGCAATCGATAAAATCAACACAACTTCGAGAAACAAATAGGCCAATGGATATGATAGATTCAATTTTAACTCCGCTATCAACTCAGCTAATTCTTCAGTTCCTTTTGATCCATAAAATAACTTATCATTTCTAACACAATGATAGTAATTCTCAAAATCATATAAGATAAACCTTCACTCGCCTTGGTGATTTTTTCAAATTGTCATTTTGTTTGGATTTTGAAGCCTACAGATCATAGATTCAACCTGAGTCTATTCTTCACCTATGATTAAGTCCATTAAACACTGATTTGAATGGATTTCTTCCGGGTCCCTTTTTGGCATATTCCAAAAGGGTACCATCATAGATTTTGGGCGATTGTTCCAAAAATTGAAATGTCATTTTCTTTCGATTATGAAGAATACAAATCACAGATTTGGCCTTGGGATATTCTTCACTGAAGATGAAGTCTATTGATCTTATTCTTCATCGATGATTAAGTCCATTAAGCACCGATTTGGGCGAATTTATTTTCAGATGACATTTGCATAATTTTTTGGGCAATTTTTTCGAAATGCCATTTTATTTAGATTTTAAAGGCTGCAGATGATGGATTCTGCCTGAGCTTATTCTTCAACGATGATTGAGTCCAATAAGCACCAATTTGGGCGGATTTCTTCCTGGTCCATTTTTTGCGGTTCCAAAGGGGGTACCATCACATATTTTGGGCAATTTTTCCAAAATGCTATTTTTATTCTATTTTGAAGGCTACAGATCATGGATTCGGCCCGAGGCTATTCTCCACCGATGATGAATTCTTTTGATCATATTCTCCATCGATGATTAAGTCCATTAAGCACCAATTTGTGCTAATTTATTTTGGGATGACATTTTCGTAAAATTTGGGTGATTTTTTCGAAGGCCATTTTCTTTGGATTTTAAGGCTACATTCCAGATTCGCCCTGAGCCTATTCTTCACCATTTATTAATTCCACTAAGCACTTATTTGAACGAATTCCTTCCGGGTCCAATTTTGGCAGATTCCAAAAGTGTATCATCACAGATTTTGGGCGATTTTTAAGAAATGCCATTTTTTCAATATTGAAAGCTATAGATCACGGATTTGGCCCGAGACTATTGTCTACTGATGATGAAGTTTGTTGATCCTATTCTCCACCGAAAAGTAAGTCCATTAAGCATTGATTTGGGCAGTTTAATTTTCGGATTGCATTTCTGTAACTTTTATGGCGATTTTTTCGAAATGCCATTTTTCTTGTATTTTGAAGGCTACAAATCACAAATTTTGTTTGAGACAATTTTCACCGATGATTAAGTCCATAAGCACCAATTTGGACGCATTTCTTCTGGGTCTATTTTTGGTAGATTCCAAAGGGGTACCATCACAGATTTTGGGTGATTTTTTTCGAAATGCAAATTTACTTTCGTTTTTTAAGGTTACAGATCACAGATTCGTCCAGTGGCTATTCTCCACCTATGATGAAGTCTGTTGATCCTATTCTCCACCGACAATTAAGTCCATTAAGCATCCATTTGGGCGGATTAATTTTCGGATTGTCTTTTCGTAAATTTTTTGCAATTTATTCAAAATACCATTTTCTTTGGATTTTGAAGGCTATAGATCACGAATTCTGCCCGAAGCTATTGGCCACCGATGTTGAAGTCTATTAATCCTATTCTCCACAAAAAATTTAGTCTATTATAAGCATCGATTTTTGCGGAATCTTTTGAATGCTATTATTCACCAGTTTTTGAAGGCTATCCATTATAGATTCTCTCCGATTCTTTTGTATGCTATTATTCACTGATTTGTAGGCTATCCATCACAGATTTTTGCCAATTCTTTTGAATACAATTATTCATTGATTTTGTGGGATATCTATAACTAATTTTTGCCAATTCTTTTGAATGTCCTTATACCAATTTGTAGGCTATCCATCATAGATTATGATCGATTTTTTAGAATGCTATTTGTTGATGTGACTTGAATCGGACTATCAGCCGCCCACGGTGTATGGGCTCAATGTTATTTGGGTTCGGGTTCTGGGCCTGGTCTGTAACCATTTCCTTTGCCAGATTGGATTAGGTTTAGACCCACATGGAGAAGTACTATAAATACTTCTCATACTCCTCTGTAATCTGTAATCTCCTCGATATAGTGAAACTGGCTCTCTCTCGCCCGTGGACTAGCTAACACACATCATGTTAGTGAACCACGTAAATCGTGTGTCTGTGTTTTTCGATTCTCGCTTTCGTATTCTTGCTTTGTCGATTCCGGCGATTTTCCGATCCGTAGCAGCGCGTTTATAACACTATTTTTCACCAATTTTGCACAGATTTTGGCCGAATCTTTTGAATCCTATTATACACCAATTTTGAAGGCTATCCATCATAGATTTCGACAAAAAAATTTGAATGCTATTATTCACCAATTTTGAAGACTATCCATCACAGATTATGACCAATTTTTGAGAATGCTATTTTTCATCAATTTTGAAGGCTATCAATCACAAATTTTGGTGGATTCTTTTGAATGCTAATATTCACCGATGTTGAAGGCTTCACATAATAGATTTTGACCGAATCTTTTGAATGCTATTATTCACTCACTTTCAATGCTATCCATCACAAATCTTGGCAGATTTTGGCGATTGCTATTTTGACTGATTTTGAAGGTTATCCATCGCATATTTTGTTCGGTTTTTTGGAATGATATTGTTCACCAATTTTAAGGCTATCCATCACAGATTTTGGATGATTTTTGGGAGTGCTACTTTTTATCGATTTTGAAGTCTATTCATCACTGATTTTGACCGATTCTTTTGGGTGTTATTCTTCAGCATCCATCGCAGATTTTTTCAAATATTATTCACCAATTTTAAAGGGTAACCATCACAGATTTTAGTCGAATTATGAAAATGCAATTTTTTACTGATTTTGGAGGCTATTCATTACAGTTTTTTGCTAATTTTTTAGTGCTACTTCTTTCTTCTCGGCTCTAGCATTCTTCAAGGGGAGAAACCTGGCAAGCCCAACGTTTAGGGCTTTAGGCCTAATAAATTCCTCATTTGATCACATTTTTTGAGAATAAAAGACCACATATTTGAGCACTTAACAAGTTGAGATCGATTTGTTTCACGACTATGGTTGGTGGTAGATCAGAAGAGATAAGTTAGTGAAATTAAGTTTTGTTTGGTGTAATTGATAGTTTATGAGTGTTGTCAATTGATCATATAATAATTCAAAACTAGTGGGAACTATGTTGATTTGCCAGTTTAATTATGTAGAACTAATTGAAATGAATTTTGATTATATTTTTGTATCATACTGAGTGATTCACGTCTAATCATGTGGCCATTGAATGAAAATGCAAAAGATATATACATGTAGTGGCCTAAATCACTCTCCCATTATTATTCATCCACTCGACTTGAATTAAAATCGCCATAGTGCTAAAAGGACATAGAGGTAGCCGATCGGTCGGTTACTTTCGGTTATAACCGGTAACCATCGGTCGGTTATCGGTTAATCGAAAGGGTGGTTCCCCAACTGACAACCGATCGAAATAGTTCTTTGAGCCATAGACAACCTTGAATCATCAGTTAATCAGTGATGTAATCGATCTTCAATCCACCAATCTTAACTTCGCCAACCTTCGGCACCAAAGTCACCACCACCGTGTCATCATCATCAGCACCCAGATCATCCAGCAAATCCGTTATCCCCAGCCTCAGCACCGCCTTAAAACTCGGGGCCCCTGCCTTCTCTCTGTGAGGAACGTTGACGAAAGTCCCCGCGAATTCAGTGTCCTGCGGCCCGGCAGGGGCCCCAGTACTGTCTTCGTCATTCAAAGCCACATCAAACTTCACGACATTCCCTCGATCGAACTCAATCCCTTCCACCACCAGAATTTCCTCTTCCTCCTCCTTCTCTGCCACACTCCTCGACCTCTTCCCCCTCGGCACCACCACACTTATCGCCTTGTTAAGCACCAACGGGAACGCCGAGAGGGGCGTCAGCTCCCGCTTCTTCGGTGGAGCAGCATTCGCGAATTTTTCCGTGGCGAAAGCATTAGCCAAGGTTTTCTTTTTTGCCTTTGGTGTCCTCTTGGTATCGAGCCATGGAATCGGAACCTGTTGAAACCAACGATCATAATAGTGACATACCTAAGCACATGCATATCTTTCTAACACTATTTCAGTCCTCGTGAATATTCGACGAACTCATAGAATGACACAATTCGAGCTAGAACAAATATTACTAGCAAAACATATGAATTCAATAGTAAATGTAAATATACTTGAACTAAGCTAGGGGGGAAAACGTAATTACCTTTTGATAGTCGTAGTTGAGCTTCCTGGAGTCAAGACAGTCCTTAACTTTACACCTCACCAAATTCTTGTCCTCGTCATAGAACACGAAAGCCGCCTCCAGCCAATCAGGATCCGTAAAATCCGTCCTCCTGGGGCCCAGCGTCTTCCACAGGTCCCACATCCTGTCCACGTTGGCATGATGGCAGTAGAAAATCGGGTCCCGGCCCGCGGAGTAAAAATTCCCCATATCCTCCGTATGGGCCTGCTTCGGGTCCCCGGTCCAGATATGAATATTCATATGTGGGCTCCGCTCAATGGACCCTTGGCCCGTATTCGCCGCCGCATCTCCGGCCTTCAACGGCGTCCCAAAAAACAGAGTCCTCTTCTTCGCGCCGGAGACCATCTGGGTATTCATCAAGTTCAAATTGCTCTTGATCTGCTCCTCCGGAGAGACAACAATATCCTCGCGGCTCCAGTCGAGATCCAGCATGAAACTCGGGTCGCTGTGGGTCGGGTTACGGATCGGATCGTAGAGTGGGGAATTCGGGTCGGTGAAAATCGCCGGCATGTTCATCCCCGGCGGGGAATCCCAGTTCCAATACGGCAGAGCAAAAGTCGGGTCGTCGATCAGCTTACCCAGAATCCGCTCGAAGAAGTAGAGGTAGAGGCGGTGGAAAGGGAAGAAGATCCATGAGAAATGGACCTGCAGGCCCGTTTCCGGGAACCCGATTTGGTCGTATGCGCCGTTGCAATAAGCGCAGTGGACGTCGGCCTGTTGTTTGAAGCTTCTCGGGTCGTCGTCGGGTAGCGATCTCATGAGCTGGATGGCCCGCTCGTATTTTTTTATGTAGGCCTTATCGACCAAATGGGCCGCGGGCCTGGTCCTGACCAGCTCCCTGGGTGACGGGAGCTTGAAGTCGATGATATTGTGTGGGCCCTTGAAAGGCGGGCAGCATTGGACGGTTGGGCCCGTGGTGGTGACGCTAGCCGGCCCACACTTCGTGAGATCCGGAGGTTGGATCGGGTCGGCGAAGGCGATGGACGGGTCGAGGGCTGCGCTGCCGTAAATGCCCCCCATTCCGATGAGGAGGTCTCTCCTCGTTGCAGGGGCTTTTCGGTCATTTCGTATTCCGTCGGAGGAGGTGCATGAAATTCTGGAGATGCGACGTTTGGATGTGAATGCAAGGAGTTGGTGGGGAGATTTTAAGCCGGTGGAAGAGGTTGGGCGGAGGAGAGGATTGGTGGGAATGGCTCCGGTGGCCGGAGAAAAGCACGCCGCCATTGTTTTTTTCCTCCCCGAACGAAGGGTGAAGAGATGTTGGGAATTAATGAAGATGAAATTTGGCCATGGACGGCTACGGATATAAAGACTTTGTAAGATTCTTTATTAAGCTATGGGAAAGCTTACTATACTACTCCACTAGCTTATTAAGAGAATAATTTCTAAAAAAAAAATGGGTTTGGTGATAACAAGTTGGTCTTTTTGTCCAGATCAATTAATGTCACTTAGTACAAATGTCAAATAATATGCTATTCATTCTTATACATTATTTTTAGTATTAATAACTCGAGTTATTGGGTATTGATCTTAATCACTTGTTTATGTGCTCCACAAATAAAAGTCTTATGAGATTTAATTTTGCATAGACCCATTATATCCAATTTTTTAGTTTAGGTCAAAATTGCAGTTATAGTATTTGGTGCCAAAAAAAGAAATAGATCCCCGATTCAATGTAAATTTTGCCTTTTTTTTTTTGTTAAGAAATGAACAAAAAGGTCGAACACCTACATCAAATGTGTAACTCGGTTGAAGTAGTCGATGAGGAAGTTTACCCAAATTTCCTTGATGTGTGTACGATTACCTGGACTCAAAAAGACTATTTGGAACTAATATGAACGAGTTGAACTAAATTGAATCCAATTCAAATCGAATCAAACCCAAAATCACTAAAAATACATGTAAATCTATTTGAATACGACCCAAAATCCATATAAACCATAAGAATCGATTTAAATCATCCAATAAATCTAACTCATTGTCATGCCTTAAATCTCTCTCTCAACCATAGTCCGGCTTTCGGCCCTCTCAATTAGGGGTGGCTATACGGTCCGGTCCGGTTAAATTGGACCAAATTAATCCGATCCCAGTCCGGTCTTTTCGGGAATATAAGGACCAAAGATTGGATTGGATACAGTCTGGTCTTGATCCGGTCCGGTCCCAATTTTATCTTGATTTTAGGTGTTGGGGGTCTCTTATCCGGTCTTTATCTGGGTTTTTACCTCAAATCTAAGCCCGAATATGAGATTGCATTGTTTGCTATCCGGTCCCAGTCCGATCCCGGTCCGAGTTATACGGTCCGATTTCGGGTAAAACCAAACAGTACGGGACCAAATAGCCAGCCCTACTCTCAATATAAAACAAAAAAATGTTCGAGTAGCCGCCGGGGCACATGGGCGGCCGGAGCTCTAATTTAGGTTCTATTTTTCCACTCTATATGGGGACCCGACCACTCCAACCTATCCTCCTCAAACCAATGGGCTAGTGGCTGCTTTCGACCAAGCGGTAATCTGTCTTTAGCGGTCCCCCCTTGATTGAAATTAATGGGGGAAATATATAATCAAAATCACCAAGTTACAACATTATTGATCCATTGCAAAACACCTCAACAAGCAATTAGGCTACTAGGTATGCAAGGTTTATTGTAAGCTTGTGTTTGCATCTTTCGATCGTGCATATTGTGATTCATAGTCATATTGAAGGAAGAAAGATGCCAATTTTATTAGAGTATCATACAAGGTAACCTTAATTGACAAGTTCAAGTACATACATAATACACGCAAGCATCGATCTCTAGTACATAAATTACAAAACCAATTGGCTGGCAAGATATAGAAACCGAAAAAGGTTTGTTATTTATTTATTTGTAAGGAAGTGGTAAAACACCATACACGGGCCTGTATAAGATCCAACATAACCTTCTCCCAACAACTCGAGTTATTGGGACCAACTGGTTTATGACATGGTATCAGAGCCTGGTTGATTTGGAGACGAAAGAACCAAATAAGAATGACCGACCTCATGATTGAGATTTGTTGTTTACACACAAGGCGAGAATCGATGGATGGGTCAATCAGCAAGGTAATCGATGTTCAGGCCCCCTATCAGGGGCTCACCAGCCTGGGGCACAAGAGTCACCACCACCGTGTCGTCCCCGTCCGCACCGAGATCCTCCAGCAGATCCGTTATCCCCAGCGTCAGCGCCGTCTTGAACTTGCTCGCTCCGGGCTTCTGCCTGTGCGGCACGTTGACGAACGAGCCAGCAAACTCCGTGTCTCGGGGCCCCGCGGGGGCCCCATCGTCGTCATCGTTCAGCGCCACGTCGAACTTGATGACCTGGCTCCGGTCGATCTCGATCCCTTTGACCACGACCACCTCCTCCTCTTCCTCCTTCTCCGCCTTGCTCCTGTTCTTCCTCGGCCTGGGCACCGCCACGCTGATGGCCTTGTTCAGCACCAGGGGGAACTTAGACAGATCGGTCAGCTCCCTCTTCTTCTTGCTCGTCTTCGACGGAGCCGCCTTCGTCGTCCCGGTTTTCTTGGGGATTCTCTTCGAGTGGAGCCACTCAATAGCGACGGAGTTGTAATCCGTCTTCAGCTTCTTGTTATCCAGGCTGTCCCCGATCCTGCACCTCACCAGGCGACAGTTCTCGTCGTAGAACAAGAAGGCGGCGTCTAGCCAGTCCGGGTCAGTGAAGTCGGTCCTCCTGGGGCCCAGCGTCTTCCACAGGTCCCACATCCTGTCCACGTTGGCATGGTGGGAGTAGAAAAGTGGGTCCCGCCCCGCCGAATAAAAATTCCCCATATCCTCGTGATTCGGCTGGGTGTCATCACCCGCCCAGATATGTATATTCCCATGTGGGGTCCGCTCGATACTTCCCTGACCGCTACGGTCGCCGGGCAGGACCTCCCCGGCCTTCAACGGCTTCCCGAAAAACAAGGTCCTTTTCTTCGCCCCGCTCACCATCTGCGTGTGCATCACGCGCCGGTTGATATCCCACTGCTCCTCCGGAGTCAGCGCCTTATCATCGTCGGGTTTGCTCCAATTCATATTCAGAAGCGGATAAGCTCCCCCGGGTATATGTTTCTGGTTCCTGAGCGGGACGAACAGCTTCGAATCCGGGTCGGCGAAAATTGCTGGAATCTGCATCCCATCCGGAGAATCCCAGTTCCAGAACGGCAGCGCGAAAGTCGGGTCGTCGATTAACGAACCCAAAATCCGCTCGAAGAAGTAGAGGTAGTACCTATCATAATCAGTAAAATACGATACGCGGTTAAATTACATATAAAATTACGTACCGATAGTCTTACTTTATTTTCGAGCTAATGATACGTCTAATAGTAATAAAAATACATGAAATTAATTATTTTAAATATAAATAAGTATATAATAATATTTAAATTATCATTTTAATTAGAGGTGACAGCTAGTATTCATATCTATGAAATCCGATCCAATCTATGTACTAAAATATCTAACTCTTCCGGTTCATTCAAATCAATCCATTTGATTCAAATCCAATTGGATTTGAGAGTTCAGGAATCGATCCATGGAACCAAATGACAAGGTACCATTTACTACCTATTTTTTATATTTTACATTTCAGTACCTAAAAATTATTTCTTAAACAAAAAAGTATAATTGAAAAATTACGTTTTGATACCTAAAAATTTTATGATGTCATTTTAGTATCTAAACTTTTCAAAAATTTATATAATGGTCGTCCAAGATGTCATTTGGATAAATGAATCACTCTACCCATCCATTTAATCCATAGTACGGAAACTAAAATTTTAAACACACATACATATTTCGTGACAATAGTACGGAAACTAATTTTAAAACGCATGAAAAATACGTACGATTATATATACGCTGGCGCGCGGACGTATTAAATGGAGTATTTACGTACCTGTGGAAGGGGAAGAATATCCAGGAGAAGTGGATTTGGAGGTCGACGGACGGGGTTATGCCGACCTGGTCATAGGCGCCGTTGCAGTAGGCGCAGTGGACGTCGGCCTGCTGCTTGAAGCTCCGCGGGTCGTCGTCGGGGAGGGCCATCATGAGGCAGATCGCTTTCTCGTATTTCTCGATGTAGGCCTTGTCGACGAGATGGGCGGCGCGTCGGGTGCGCATGGGTTCGCCGGGGGACGGGAACTTGAAGTCGATGATCTTCTGCCCGGCGAAGGGCGGGCAGCAGGCCACGGTGTCATCGCCCACGGTGGCGGGGCCGCATTTGGAGAGGTCCGGGGGCTGGATCGGGTCGGCTAGAGCGGTGGTCGGGTCGGAGAGGGACGAAACGGCGCCGTATAAGCTGCCCATTCCCACGAGGATGTCACGCCTCGTGGTGGGACTGGTTTGGTCATTGTTGGTCGGTTCTTTGCCGTCGTCGGAGGTGGAGGAGTTCTTCTTGCATGAGATTCTTGCGAAGTGAGGGGAGTAGGGTTTTCGGGATTTGTATGCGGAGAGTTGGGAGGCGGATTTTTTCGGCTGGAGGAGGGATGGGCGGAGGAAGGCGGCGGCGGCGGCGGAGGGTGGAGAGAATGATGACATGGTGGTTTAGGTTTTGGAGTTGGGGGAGGGATGTTTTTGTGTTGTAACTTGTGTGTTCAAGAGCCGCTATATATAGAAGATTGGAGCAAGACATTGATGCTATGAGAGGATTAAGTAACGAGTCCTCTATGCAAATATGTGTAATACTAATGCATACATAGTCTCTCTAGAAATAAAAGTATTGTTTTTAAGTGTTTGGCGAATAAGTTTAGATAAGATCAATCAACTATTCTTTATAGACGATAGAATGCATGTCACTATGCACAATCTGAACCCGTAACACCTCATAGCTCTAGAGAGCGTGACTCCATAGCTAAGCTTGTATATCACTAACTTTGAACTTGAGGTTTCAGGTTTGAAACCCTTAAATAGTCTCTACACCACTAAAGGTGAACCGAAAATTTATTAAAGAAGTTTTGGATTTGGAGCACTAACACATCAGTCTAAAATTACTTCCATACGTCCACGTATACGGTAAAAAAGTTTTCTTTTTTTTGTTGCGAAGTCAGGTGTTAAAACTTCGGTCATGCAGTAGAAATAAGAAGAGTGTTGGAGCCGACACAATAATCGAGCTCCCGATGAGAAGGTTTTTTGTGCCATAAGATGGACATCCCTATTGAGTTTACAAGGAACAAAACAGTAAGATACACAATGAAAGAGAGAAGCCAAGATCCAAGCATCCTTCAAAAGAAGCTCCACCCCGATCATGAGCCAAGTCACCTCTCACCATCCGCCGAATAGTTATTGAGAACCCCCATGAAATTTGACAGAAAAAAAAAAGAAAGCGTTAGACACCAGTGTGTGGCATCCCATAAAGCTAAAATTTACATTACAAACGGATCTTGTATACCATCATAATACTTTTCGAAGGCAAAGAGAACACTACTTGTCGCATGGAAGCCTACAAAGCCAATACTACCCCTTGGCCATGCTTGAGTGCGCCATCAAACCATACACCAATCAGTGGCGGACCTAGGATTGTTGCAGAGGTGTGTCGCCGCTAACATAGAAGAATAATTAAATAAAAAAATTGAGTATAAATTAAAAGAAATTAATTTATGAAGTTCACAATGTCATTTTACAACGAATCACGACGACTTTTCATCTGCTGAAATGTCTCTAAAATACATTCATCACTTATGCTGCAAAGAAAATGTTTTTCAATATACACAACTTAACAATCATTTATAAACAATGATATTATACTCTAACCCCCAATGTGTGAACCGCAATCCCCAATTCACTAACCTAACATCATTTAATCTTGAAAAATGAAAATCAATGATTCTGATTCGTCAAAATTATTGTTGAGTTTCATTTTAAGATTGACCAAATTTTGCAGTTTGGGTTAGAAAATTAGGGATTAGGGTTCACCCATTAGAGGTTAGGATATAGGATCATGCCCCAAAGTCCGGTTAATTATTTATCAAAATAGCAAAACCCAATTGGTGTACGGTGGTCGGACGTACGCTAGTCTGAACTTATATTTATATATTTTGATAACTTATGACAATAAATTTCCATAAACACAATGGAGTTGTGTCGGATACAATGATCAGAGGTGTGTCGGAAATGCCGAGATCAAAATTTTAGTACCGACGAATTAGGGGTCTTTCACAAAATTTTCGGGTGGAGGTGTGTCAGATGACACACCTCCCTTGTGCCTAGGTCCGCCCCTGACACCAATTGTGTACGAGGAAGAGGAGGGAGAGGGTGGAAAAGTTAGAATATTGTTTTCATAATTAGTCATCAGTAATAATAATTGCTTTTTAATTATATATTTCATATCCACTTGGATATATACTTATTTTACCTTTCCCTTTTATAATGAATTAGGGAGTTATAATTTATAATCTGCCATCTTAATTTAGTCCATTTACATTTCTTTTTAATATAACTCGATCCTAAAATTGTAACAACTTTAGCAAAGTATTAGTCTCTAATTCATTTATAGAAATGACAATAATTATCATCCAGCTAGTCAAAGAAAACATTTGATCATAAGGCATAACTCTGTTTATAATGTTTGGAATGAAATTTTAATTATTTTCTCTGAATCTTGATGGTTTAATTAAGAATAATATTAAGAGAAAATTGAATTTATATTGAAGATCTGTAAATCAAAAGCGTAATTAGAGATAAAAGAACATGAAAATAACCTAAAACTTAAAAAACCAAAAATCACATGCTCTATTCTCTTATTTTCTTTCATAAAGCTCTACATTATTACATACCTTTTGTCTTCTGAGGTAGCTCATAGCTGTAGAGAGCATGTGACTCCACACCTAAACTTACGAATATTATCCTATATTATGTGTTGATAGGATTCAAACAAATCACCACGTCATTGTTGAAATTTTATATAGTTTGGGCACATAACACGTTGTGTTTGTTCATTATTACTTAATTACATGGTTTTGTTTATCATTTTGGAGAGGTTAATGTGATTGGAGCAAGGCAAAAGTGAGGACCAGGTCGAGAGCATTATGGTTGGGTGCTTTTGGTTTGATTCTTTGCTACCATTGCTCCCTAACAAAAGCTGCTTTTGTGGTATCGATTGGGACAAAAAATCATTGAGAAACGCATCTTAATTTTTTAGCAATAAGATCCACGTCAGTAAATTGTAATTAATTGGAGTTCACAGGATGATAACAAGTAGGCACTACAGGGAAAGTGGCTTTACGCAACACTTGTTTTGTAACACTTTTTAAAAGTGTCGCATAAAATAGACATAGACAACACTTAGGTTATGTGTCGCCTAATATATATCTTATACAACACAAATTATCAAATTCAAAATTTTTGTTACATATACCTAATAATATGCAACACTTGCATCATAAAATAAATTGTGTTGCCTATTCTTTCATTTTATGCAACATTTAATAAAAAAATGTTACATATTATATCAATTTGATACTTATTATTAACTTATACTATTAATCACTACAAAAAAAATAAATCATCATTTCATTTTGTCACAATAGAAATCTAACATGACATGGTTCTAATTTGTCATAAATATTCGACATGTTAAATATATAGTATGACAAGTAATGTATATCACTAACATATTAATTATCACTGAATAGGACTCAGATATGGCACATCAAAATACATATGTGGTGGATTTGACCATTGACATTGCCTCTTAATCTCCTATATCAATTATTCAGATCATAATGTTCGTTAACAACAAATAGGTTATCATGTTATACTAAAAATGTGTTACCTGACAAGTTCATTCAGTTTGATTTCACAAACAGTGGTTCATTTTAGTTTCTTTTACAATTTTATTATAAAACCTGAATTTCATTATTTTCTTTTTTACATTTTGGATATTAACAACTTGTTTCTTTAACCAAACCGTATTTAACACCCGGCCTATAAAATATGTTAGGATTCCTTAATTAATAACCCTATTACTTAAGGTAACACCACTTTTAGGTGACACTAATAAAAGTGTTGCATATTGCATATACAACACTTTTGACACTTTTTACAACACATTTCATGTGTTGGCAAATGCAACTTTTCCCGTGAAGTATGGTCCGGTCTAGTCCATACTCTCCACTTTTCATGTGCCGGGAAAATAGACCAGACCGTTAGAAAAATCGTGGTACAAACTGTACCGCACAGTTTGGTCCGGACCGTAGACCGTGAAGTATGGTCCGGTCTAGTCCATGGTCTGTATTATTTTATGATTTGATCTTTTGGTCTGGTCTGGTCTAGACCGTGGTTTACCGGACCAAACCGTGGACCCAACTGACTTGTCAATACGTGTTAACAGCCCATTCGACCACTCTCCAAACTCCCACAACGACTCCCAAGTCTCAACCTTAATTTTGTGAATCTCTTCCCTCCTTCATTCACAACCACATTTAACCAGAGAGTAGAGATAATAGCGTCTCCATATGCCATTATGTTAATGTTTATGACGTTATGGTGCAAGCTGTGATGTTTTTACTTTGTATCTTTGTTATGTACTAAGATTTAGAGTATCAAAATTATTCATGCATGTTAGGATTAATGTTTTAAGGCAAATAACAATGATTTTTCTTGGTTATTGGTTCAATTTTTTGTGTGGTTGACTAAACAAATTATTCATTTTTCGTTGAGTGTGATCTATCTGGACCATACCAGACCGAACCAGACCGCATAGGCGTGGTCTGGACCGGACCGTATAGTGTGTGTTCTGGTCTGTGGTCTATACTTTAACCTCTCGATATGGACCATAAACCGTATATATGATCTAGTCTGAACCAGACCGCACTGTTTCCCGGCCCTAATAACAAGATTGAGGTTGTTGGTTTATATCATACTCTCTCCACTTGTGAAGAGGACTGTTATTTTCATAAACACGTTGGAATTAGTCGGGGTTATAGCCTATAGGCCAGAGTGCTTCTAATATTTTTTATAGTTTCGTAGCTAAGAGGACTGTTATTTTCATAAACACGCTGGAATTAGTCGGGGTTATAGGCCAGAGTGCTTATAATATTTTTTTATAGTTTCGTAACAGAGCTAGCTACGTGTAATTTAGAAGGAACTATAGTTCTCACAATGCTATTTTATTCAAAGTGGTGGTAAGTATGGGAAAGCTTACTACACTCCACTAGTTTAAGAAGAAATTCTAAAAAATAAAAAACAGGTTTTGTTGATAACAAGTTGGTCTTTCTGCCAAGATCAATGTCACTCAATTAGTTAAAATAATATGATAATTCATTCTATAAAAAAGCTATTCATTCTTATAGATAACAGGATTGTCTCTATTATATCATTGGTGTGATCATTAATGTCACATGAATTTCTTCTCCAAGTTAGTCGATCGTATACTTTTTTAGACAACCTGATTTAATGAGTTGAATTAATTACCTTATTCTTAAAAATTCAGCTGTATGCAGATAACTTCCTATGCACAAAATTTAACACCTCTATATCGAAAAGATTTTTTTTTTATCCAAGATAAGTCCCTAGTGCATGCCCGGTCAACACAATTACAAGAAAGACACCAAAAAAGAACGGTAGTCCGTATGCAACCGGACTCCCGATAAAAGAGCCTGTTTTGCCACGAGGTGGGCAGCTCTGTTGAAGCTCCGAGGAGCAAAAAGATACGAGACTGAAAGGAAGGAGGGAAAGAGAGAGTGCACTTCCTCTAGAATAGCTCCCGCTCTTGAATGCGAAACCTTCTTTGAAGTCACATCCTTGATGACCAATTGAGAGTCCCCACAAAAAGCAACAGTCAAGAAAAGATTTGATCGATGATGCATGTCAGAGGTGTTTAACACGATAACCAGACTTTTTTAGTCCTCTTATTCAGGCTTAAGAAAGATGGTATGTAGGCTTGTGAAATATGTACATTTTCTGGAAAGAAAAAACTTAGTGAAATATAATAAATTTGTACTTAGGCCGATTTTTTTTATGAAGTGGTTGGTATCTGTTTGATAAAAAAATAGATACTATGGCATCAATCATATGAATAAGATGTAGAGACCCTTAATAACTACTATCAAGAAATAATTACCAGTTTACTACAGCATCCGAGCCAAGATTAAAAAAAAAAAAGACCAAATCACAGAAACTTTGAGTTTGAGATATAACATGTCCTCCGGAGTTCGAGTTTCGACCAAGCGGGAATCTGTCTATATCGGTCCCCTTGTTTGAAATTAGTGGGGAATATAATCAAATTACCAAGTTACAAAATTATTGAAACAAACACCTCAACAAGCAATTCGACTAACTAGGTATATATATATATATATATATATGTATTGTAAACAATTGCTTGCATCCTTGGGTCGTGCATATTGTGATTCATAATCATTGAAGAAAAAAGATGACAATTTTATTAGAGTGGCATACACTGTAACCTTAAATCGACAAATTCAACTACATAAACATGAAACATCGATCGCTAGTACACAAATCACAAGCCGATGGGCTAGCTAGGAACAAAAAAGGTTCGTTATTTTTGCCTCGGCATAATACGTGACGAAAGAAATTACCAAATAGAACGATCGACCTCTCACGATCCAAGATTAACCAACGCACCCAACCGATCGATCAATCAGCAAGGTAATCGATCTTCAGACCACCTATCACAGGCTCACCAACCTTTGGCACCAAAGTCACCACGATCGTGTCATCGTCATCCGCGTCGAGATCCTCGAGCAGATCCGTTATCCCCAGCCTCAGCACCGTCTTAAAATTGCTCGCTCCGGCCTTCTGCCTGTGCGGCACGTTGACGAACGCGCCGGCAAACTCGGTGTCCTGGGGCCCCGCAGGGGCCCCATCGTCATCGTCATTCAACGCCACGTCAAACTTGATGACCTGGCTTCGGTCGATCTCGATCCCTTCGACCACAAGTATCTCCTCCTCGTCCTCCTTCTCCGTCGCGGTCCTGTTCTTCCTCGGCCTGGGCAGCGCCACGCTGATGGTCTTGTTCAGCACCAGGGGGAACTCGGACAGATCGGTCAGCTCCCTCTTCTTCTTAGTGACCGCAGCCGCGTTCGCCATCTGGTCCTGGCCAGTGCCAAAAGCACTGGCCAGAGCCTTCTTCCTTATCTTCTTAGGGACCCTCTTCGAGTCCTTCCAGAGAATGGGGACGGTCTGGTAGTCCGTCCTCAGCTTCTTGTTATCCAGACTGTCCCTGATCTTGCACCTCACCAGGTTCTTGTTCTCGTCGTAGAACAAGAAGCTGGCGTCCAGCCAATCGGGATCCGTAAAATCCGTCCTCCTGGGCCCCAGCGTCTTCCACAGGTCCCACATCCTGTCCACGTTGCCATGGTGGCAGTAGAAAAGTGGGTCCCGCGCCGCCGAGTACAGATTCCCCATATCCTCCTTATACTCGCGCGTGAGATCACCCACCCAGATATGCATATTTCCGTGTGGGGTCCGCTCGAGAGTTCCCTGACCGTTACCATCGGCGAGGTCCCCAGCCTTCAACGGAGCCCCGAAAAACAAGGTCCGCTTCTTCGCCCCGCTCACCATCTGCGTGTACATCACGTCCCGGTTGCTCTGCCACTGGTCCTTCGGCGGCAAGCTCGCGGCCGATCTACTCCAATCCAAATCCACCAGCGGAGAACTTCCCCCGGGTAAATGGTCAAGGGCCCTGATCGCGTCGTACAGCGGCGACGCCGGGTCGGCGAAAATCGCCGGGATCTGCATCCCATCCGGAGAATCCCAGTTCCAGAACGGCAGCGCGAAAGTCGGGTCGTCGATCAACGAACCCAAAATCCGCTCGAAGAAGTAGAGGTAGTACCTAGTAAAATACTTTACGGAGTAAGTTACGTATAAAATATGTGTAATAGTACTAATATAATATATGAAATTAATTATTTTTTTCATTTTTAATTCATTAAATACCGATATTCAACGCATTATACTGGAGCTATTAAATGGACCAGGGAGAAATTAAACAATTTGACAATAGTACCGAAACTAAAATTTTAAACACACATAAAATACATACATTCATATATATGCACCTATTAAATTGAACTAATGATACGTTTAATAGTACGTCAATATTCGTAAAATATAGAAATGTGTCATAATACGTATTTCGTGACAATAGTACGGAAACTAATATTTAAAACGCATAAAAAATACGTACGATTATATATACGCGGGCGTATTAAACGGAGTATTTACGTACCTATGGAAAGGGAAGAATATCCAGGAGAAGTGGATTTGGAGACCGGTGGTGGTGCCGACCTGGTCGTAGGCGCCGTTGCAGTAGGCGCAGTGGACGTCGGCCTGCTGTTTGAAGCTCCGCGGGTCGTCGTCGGGGAGGGCCTTCATGAGGCTGATTGCTTTCTCGTACTTCTTGATGTAGGCCTTGTCGACAAGATGGGCGGCGCGTCGGGTGCGCATGGGTTCCTTGGGTGACGGCAATTTGAAGTCGATTTGCTCGGAGAAGGGCGGGCAGCAGTCCGCGGTATCGCCGCCGTCGCCCTTGATAGCGGGGTGGCACTTGGAGAGGTCCGGGGGCTGGAGCGGGTTGGCGAGAGCGGTCGGGTTGGAGAGGGACGACGCGGCGCCGTATAGGCTGCCCATTCCGATGAGGATGTCACGCCTCGTGGTGGGGCTGGTTTGGTCATTATTGGTCGGTTCTTTGCCGTCGCCGGAGGAGGAAGTTTTGCATGAGATTCTTGCGAAGTGAGGGGAGTAGGGTTTTCGGGATTTGTATGCGGAGAGTTGGGAGGCGGATTTTTTCGGCGGGAGGAGGGAAGGGCGGAGGAAGGCGGCGGCGGAGGTGGTGGTGGAGAGTGATGACATGGCGGTGGTTTGAAGAGGAAGGATAAGTTTTGTGTGTTGAAAGTTGTGTCCAAGAGTAGTCGCTATTTATGGATGAACTTCATGCTAGCTTGGAAGCTTTTAGTCAATCCATGTACATTTGTCGAATTATACGACCTTTCTTTGGTAGGTAGGTGAAGAGGCTCTGATATTTTCGCACTTCAAAAATGAGATTGGAGCGACATAAATGAATTACTGCTATTTAACTTTCTCTTTCAGATCTCTGACTCTAGCTGGTTTATGATCTTCTAGCTTGTATTTTAAGTCAAATTATGAACCAACTCGACATACAAAATCAAATTATGTATCATGAGCGACATAAATGAATCATCGATAAGTACGCTATGTGTATTTGCATAGTCTCTCCATAAATAAAAGTACGATTTTTAAGGGTCCAAAATACGAATTAATTGACAGCTCTTAACATGGGATCAAATGCCACAATTCAATGAAAATCTTTCGTCAATAACTCCAAATACCAAATTTGGTATCGAAGTTGAACTCCTTACTCCACCAACCATTTCACCACTCCATCTCTCATTAGTGTAAAAACCAATAGACGAGCATTAAGAGAGACCCATGTTCCACCTTCTCACTAATTTGCTCATGAATCAGATGAAATATTTAATTAAATGCAGCATTTTAGTAAGATTATTACTTTGGTCTAAATAATTCATTCTGACTTATTTAGTCCAAAATAACTTATTTGGCAAAAATAAGATGAGTTGTTGTATTCTACCCATGAGACAATTAACATAATTAATTCTAAGTTATTTAAAATGTCACATTCCAAAATAATACAGAATTTTTTTATCAAAATATCACAGAATCAAAATGTTGACCCGGTTGTGTTCACTTCTTATATTTCGTTTTGTCATTTTGGAAAGGTTAACATCATTGGAGCAGGAAAAGGGCGATGGCTAGGTCGAGAGCAACTGTATTTTTGGTGTTTTTTGTTCGAATCTTTGCTACTAGTGCTCTGAACTAAAGCTGCTTTTGCGGTATCGATCGAGACAAAATTAAATCAAAGAGAACGACATCCTGATTTTGTAGCAATAAGATACACGTGAATAAATTGCTATGAATTCGAATTGATAGGATGAAAGGATAACATCAGTTTATTTTTTAAAATTTGGGTAAATACAATTTAATATCCAAACCTTTCATTTTAAACAATATAATAGCCAAACCTTTTCGTAAACAATCTAATATCCAAATCGTCAACTTTCCGTCCGTTTGACCGTTGGTTGACACTTCAAAAAAGCTTTGTTTAGGGGAAATTGTCACAATACAACTTTGTTTTCTTGTTTTTGGCATTGCAGATGACTGAATATTTAGATATTCTATACCATCATGGTGGAGTCATGGACTTCTTGGGTTTGGAACCACGATATGTTGGTGGTTTTTCAGAGAGGATATCGATGGATATTGATGAAGTGTCATACTTTGAACTTTTTTGAAGTGTCAACTAATGGTCAAACGAACAGAAAGTTGACGATTTGGATATTAGATTGTTTTCGAAAAGGTTTGGCTATTATATTGTTTAAAATGAAAGGTTTGGATATTAAATTGTATTTATCCTAAAAATTTCCTACAATACTTTGACAACAGGCAACTTCATTTCTTTTACATGTTACAGTAGTTTTTAGTTTTTACATAATAATTACATTGACACATGTTTATCTTACGGAACAGTTGTAAGAGATTATTGCAAAAATCTCATGTAATGGACGATTCTTTTACATAATGAATGTTAACATCGCTTAACATATGTAAAATACTAAGTCATTACGGAAGTTTTATTAAACGCTTTTGATTTAACCGTTACATAAACAAATAACAATATTGTAAATTTTATGTAATGGATGTGTGTTTTGCATATGACAATTGTAAAGTGTCACTACAGAAGTCTTGCATAATTAGCGGTCCTTTAATGTAATTAATATTAAGTATTAATCCTGCATTACGTAAAGTGTTAAGTCATTATGAAAGTCTTACGCATCGCTCTGGTTACGTAAGAAATATCAATCGTTTCGTAACCTTTATAAAATGAATTGTGTATTTACTATTCACGTAAAGATTGTAAAGTGTTATTACAAAGAACATTACGTAACGAACTATCTTTTATTATTATTACACACTAGTTATGAGATTCAAACCAGTAATTTTCAAATATTGTTAAACCAAACTCTCATAATAAACAATCTTTTATTATTACTACACACTAGTTATGTATTCAAACCAGTAATTTTCATATACTGTTAAACCAAACTCTCATTCACAATTTGTGGCGATAATACAACTATTTAGTGCCATCATCCACCTCGCCGACAAGATATGATATTTAGGATTGGATTTTTATATATTTCACATACACACACGTATACTATACGTGTTAGTTCTTGACCGCCTAAAACATTGAGTGAAGACGGAAGAGGACAGGCACGTTACGACATTAAAAGACTGGAAGAGGACAGTTATTTCCATAAACACGTGAAAGTCGGGGCTCAAACCCTAACGGCCATCAATGCTCTATAGTGTCTGTATAATGCCAATAAATTGATCGTTGGCAGGAATATATCGTAGCTAGATAGGAGAATGTAATTGAGAGACGTCCAATCCATGTATGGATTTCAACCATCCTATCGTACTTTACGGTATGTAACCTAAATATTGAAAAAGGGTTGCGACCTACTCTAAACTCCACGTAGCTCCATTATCGCTCGTCCGTCCATTCGAACTCGAGGAAACTCTCAAATTTCTATCTACTTTTCATATATCATCAACCTATTAGAGAATCATATAAGAAGTCATTTCCATGTCAACAGCAATACCATAATGTTGATCACAAACCTATCTTTTGTGGAGTTTCGTTCGCAATAATTAATTGGGGAAATCGAACCTACATAACCATATTATGGATATTCTTTTGAAAGGTCAAATATGCTCATGAGAAACAATGATCGTTGTGGGTACCAAAAAAAAAAAAAATTTAATGCCCTAAAGGAGAGGATTGTCATTTTGTCTCTCTTTTAACAACTTGTTATTTGTCTGGTGGTAGGTAGCAATAGTGTTGTCCAGGTGTCCAAGACTAAATAATCACTACATAGTTGGACGATAATATAATGGCATAAACCAAATAGGCGCACCGGCAGAGAAATGATGGCACTTCATCGTACGAATATGAAAAAAAATATGCATGCAAACAAATAGAAAATCAATTTTGTAGTAGGTAAAAGCATTGATGTGTCTGCCATAGTACCACTACCACAAACTATTGGTATTCACGTTTCGAATATATTATATATGTAATTCGAATTCATTTTAGCTACTTTATATTTTATAATTTTTATTTCTGTATTTGGGGGTTTTAATAAAAAATTACCATTAACAGAAAATGCATTTGATTGTATAATTTTTTTTTCTTATTTAGCACCTAAACTTCAATATTTTAACAAACAGGCTCAAAACTACAAATGCTATACTTCACATCTCTACAGAATAAATAAAAGTCAAATGAGAAAACTTGAAGTCCCATTTCAAATTTCTTGCATCCAGAGTGAAAGTAGGAAGGGTTGATTCGTCTTCACAATCACTTATTATTTTTTTATTTACAGAAAGAATACATCAGTAATGAGATTTGAACCGTGGTCTCTTCAAACAAAAATAAGAAACATAACCAGTTACAATAAACACAGTTGTGTGATATTTTTCAAATAAACACATACAGGAAGCTTAAATCTGAAAAATATAAGACTTTTCCACCACGGTTAGCAACCGAAATGTCATTGATTCAAATATTACATATATCTAATTGCACTCTTGAATGTGTAGAAGCGATGTAGAATTCTTAACATAGACTTAATTGTTATAACTATCATAAAGTAACGATATTTTTAAGCACAGAACTTTTGAGTGAATATGTGGCACATGTGTCTTTAATTAAGAGAGGGGTAAATATGGAAAGGTTGAGTGATGTTGGTTTGCCAAACGCGGATGGAAAAGACATTACTAATGTAAACGGGCCCAAATAGTGCCCCGACCCACTAAACGCTCAATCATCGTCGTCTCTCCAAACTTCTCATCAGACTCAACAACCGGCTAACCTCCTCTACCTCTATTGTTAAGCTAGAGCAATTTTTGGAGGGGTAAATATGGAAAGATTGAGTGTTGTTGGTTTGCCCCACACAAATGGAAAAGGTGCTACTACTAATGTAAACGAGCCCAAATAGTGTCCGACCCACTAAACACTCAACCACTAGGTTATTTTTGCTACACCTAATATAAGAGTGAAATGGGAAATGCGTTTCCCCCATTACAAAATCCTTGCATCCATAGCAAAAGTAGGAAGGGTAGATTCGTCTTCACAATCATTTATTATTTTCTTATTCACAGGAAAAATACATAAGTGATGAGATTTGAATTTTGACCTCATTGAGAAAAGACAAGAAACATAACCAGTTACACACTTACACTAAACAAATTTGTTTAAACTTTTTAAATTAAAAACATACGAGAAGCTTAAATATGAAAAATCATTGGAATTTTCCATCACAGTTAGCTAAGCCACTAACTCTCCCCTAAATATTTTTTTGGTATTTGATACTTCTATTTTCATACTTTGATTATTATAATTCGAGTTTAACATTAATTCTATTTCTCTTTATCTTATAAAAGGAGAATAATTTTAAAAACGCAAGCCTAATGTCATTGGTGCAAATATTGCCTATCGAATTGCAGTATTGAATGTGTAGAAGCGCTACAGAATTCTTGACATAGACTTAAATAATATAACTACCAAAAAGCAACAATATTTTTTAACATAGAAGTTTTGAGTGAATATGTGGCACATGTGTCTTTAAGAGAGGGGTAAATATGGAAAGGTTAAGTGATGTTGGTTTGTCGAATGCGGATTGAAAAGCCGCAACTTATGTAAATAGGTCTAAATGGTGTCCTGACCTACGTACTAAACGCTCAACCATCGTCGTCTCTCCAAACCTTCCCACCAGACTCGACAACCGCCTAACCTCCTCCACCTATATTGTTACGCAAAGAAATTTTCGGAGGGGTAAATATAGAAAGATTGAGTGTTCTTGCTTGGAGAGTTGACTGGTGGGTTATTTAATTTCTTTGACAGTAATGTGTGAACTCTTAACATCAGTTCATTTGGTTTATCTTCTAGGTTGACTTTTGAGTTGATTAAAGATAAACAGTGTCCTGGGCTCCCGTCCTACTAAAGGCTCAACCATCACCGTCTCTCCAAACCTTCCCATCGGACTCGACAACCTCCTAACCTCCACCTATATTGTTTCACAAATCAATTTTCGGAGGGGTATATATGTAAAGGTTGAGTGTTCTTGCTTGGAGAGCTGACTGATGGGTTATTTAGTTTCTTTGATAGTAATGTATGATCTCTTAACATATGTTCATTTGGTTGATCTTCTAGGTTGACTTTTGAGTTGATTAAAGATAAATAACTATACTTTTTGTTGCTTTTGCTATGATACTCCTTTTCAGTATCATTTTTTTATGATTTGAAATGTTTTGGTGGTTAGTTTCCAGTAAACAAAGACTATTCTGATTAATGTTAACATAGGGAATAGTTTCAATCATACAACTTTTACACAAAATTTATATGTAAGAGCTGAGATCATTGTCGAATTGAACTATTCAAGCTATAATGCTGATCTTCAACATATAAAACATAGTTTACTTTGAGTGAAACAACCTCATGATTGCAGATAAGTCTTTACAATATGATGTTTTGTGATGTGGTTACTTGCTTCCAGATTTAAAAGTGGGGTTCTAATTATTACAATCTACATATAATATAATAGCAGAAAGGAGATCCTTCCTCCATTTCAAATTTCCTGCTCCATGAGTGTTTGTAGGAAGAGTATAATAGGGAGTGCAAAAAATTTTCTCTTTCCTCTGTGGAACGGGCCAACTTATCGTACACATGCGGACTTGAACGGGCCTAGGGATTGTTGCGGTCCACAAAAACAGAACGGGTTTCAGCCACGACTGCATCTGTTTCATGCCTCCATAGTGATCGTCGTAACCGAGTCTTGGATTGTTCCAATGCTGGATCTGAACTCCACCGACGTCGAGAATAAATGAAATAATTAGAGAAAGAGAGTTTCATAATTGTTTACAAAATAATTTTCCCAATCCTTCTTCCGTGTGCTAATCGCCTAATCCCTTCCCTATGAAAAGAAACCCAAGCATACTAAAACGATCCAATCATGCTCATGAAGAAGGGTACATGTAAATTGCATGCAAGTAAAATTTAAAGATTGAGTCATCTAATCAAATCATAATCAACCACCCCTTTTTCCATCATTTGCAAGCTCTAACAGATAAGTGACAAAGAAATCCATAATATCGCTTCACTGTAACAATATAGTATTATTGAAGATTGGTGGCTTTCTCTTCGCGTTAAAGATAGACAAAGATGGGGGTTTAAACAAGTGATAAGAGAAGGGAAGATTAAGAAATGAAAAACAGAGACCGAGACGGTGGTGGAAATTGAGGTTCGGGGGGAGGATGACATGCAGGGAAAAGGTTTGGAGAGCTAAAATTAAGGACAGGAAAATAGGGATGGGGAGAAGTGGCTACCGGCGGCGTTATAATTGAGATCGAGAGAGAGAAGTGAACCATGAGCCGGTGAGCATTGAGTAGCTTTTTCTAGGGGATATAGGGTTTTTGTTAAACCCTTTGATTTCTCGGTGTTGGTAAGATATATATGAAAGGGCAAATACAACTCCTTTTTTATTGCTTAAAAGAAAAAAATTAACAATAAACTAATGCATGGATTCTAATGGTTTAACCGCTAACCATAGAATAAAAGAGTTGAATGTGCCTGGCCCATACGGAATTTGACCATAAGTAAAACAAATGAACATCATGGTTTTGCCATCCTAAAACATGTTATTTTCTCTAGCATAACATATATTATGCTATTATTTTATATCTTAGTGGCTAAAATATAGTGTATTTTAAAGTTATTAAATGGTTCGACCTCGACCAACCCGATTAGTCCAATTTCAAATATATATTATATAATTATTTGATATCCTAATGATTAAATTATAGCGTATTTTTATAGGGAATTTTTTATTCGGTTTTCTGGAATTCGGTTTCCATAAAACTTACTTCACCTCATCATATAACCAGAAATAATACTGTTTCACAAGGTAACAGGTACTCGAACTTGGTTCATAAGACTGATTTTTGATTCGTTGCATAATCCATGCTTCTTTCCTGCTAAAATTCACTATCTTTATCACGTGTTTCCCAAAAAAAACTATACAACAATAAGCTATATACCCCCATTACATTATCAAATTTCATACCTCACCTTCCTCCGGCCAGTAGGGACCACGCTAGTTATTTAAAGACAAAAAAAAAAAAATACTCCGTCCAAACAGGTATGGGCAGGTTTATAACACCAGATCATAACTGACAATTTTCATTTGGCATTAACAAATATGAGCTACTCTGCTACTCACCAAAAAACAAATATGAGCTACCTTTCATTCCATTATCTATAGATTTAAGAAAACAAAATTTTGTAATAAAAATGTCAGGATGGCCGAGTGGTCTAAGGCGCCAGACTCAAGTTCTGGTTCTCGTGAGGGAGCGTGGGTTCAAATCCCACTTTTGACATTTTATTTTTTGCTTTCTAACTTCACCCTTTGCACACTGAAAGTCAAGAACCTAGCCATGTGTATATAGATGGACTTATCTTTTCTTAAGATACAATTTCGGACTTAACTTTAAGATGCCACATGCACGACTTTTGTAATGAGTTGAAACCTATATACATTCATATTGTCGATTACATTAGAGAAAAATAACATTTAAACCAGATATTATATCACCTTATCGAATATTCTATCCATAAAATCTGAAATAGAGTATTTTGTGTTAATATTTTGACTTCAGAAAGAATGGCATATAAGTTTTTCTATGCATGGAAACATCAACCATATCGTATCAATCACGAAGGAATTCAATCTTCACGCCACCAACACTGGCAACCCCAGTCCTGGGCACTAGAGTCACAACCACACTATCATCCCCCTCGGCGTCCAAATCCTCCAACAGATCCGTAATCCCCAGCCTCAAACAAGTCTTCGTCTTGTCATGTTTCCCGCCCTTGTGCCTGTGTGGCACGTTCACGAAACTCCCCGCGAACTCTGCACTGCCAGGCCCCACCACCACGTCATCCTCGTCGTTCACGTACACGTCAAACTTCACAAACTTCTCGCAGTCGAACTGGATCCCTTCGACCACCAAAACCTCCTCTTCGTCCTCTTTCTCCCTCTTGCTCCTTGACTTTTTCACCCTCTCAACCTTCACACTCACCTTATTCTTATCCAGCACAACTGGAAACGACGATGATGGCATCATCGTCGTTTCAGTAGCATTCGCCACCTTTTCAGTCCCGGTACTGAAAACTCCTGCCACGACGGCCTCGTTGCTAACCCTCGATCTCGTGGGTTGTTGTCGTGGCGGTGGTCTGGATCCGATCCAGGGAATATCCACGTCCTGGTACACGTACCCCAACTTCTTGCTGTCCAGACAATCCCTAACCCTAACCCTAACGGGTTCAGCATTCTCGTCGTAGAACAAAAACGTCGCGTCCAGCCAGTCAGGGCTGGCGAAATCGTTCCTCTTCCCACCCAGCGTCTTCCACAGGGTCCACAACCGGTCGATGTTGGCGTGGTGCCCGAAAAAGATCGGATCTCTGGCCGCCGAGTAGAAGTTCCCCATGTTCTCCGAATTCGGCTGGTTGCTATCTCCGGTCCAGACATGGACCGGACCGTGTGGGGTTCCTTCGAGCGAACCGGCTCCCGGGTTCGGGTCGTCTCCGGCTCGGTACGGGCTGCCGAGGAAGAGCGAGGCCGTCTTGCCGCTGGACACCACTTGTCTGTACATGATGGCGAGGTTGCTCGAAATTTGGTCCTGGGCCGAGGTGGGAACGTCTTCGCCGCTCCAGTCGAGGTCCATCAGGGTCGGAGGCTGATGGTTCGGGTTACGGAGCGGGTCGTGGAGCGGGGAGGTCCGGTCGGCGTACATGGCTGGGAGTCGCATCCCGGCTGCGCCGCCGTCCCAGTTCCAAAACGGCAGCGCGAAGGTGGGGTCGCCGATCAGCTTCCCCAAGATCCTCTCGTGGAAGTAGAGATAATACCTAATAATTAATCATCATTTGAGTAATTAATGTCCCAATTTTAAGTCATAAAAATCGATAGTGTAAGAAAGAAAAAAATACATCACAGATGAATTGGTAGATTTATTGATCAAATGGACGGGTGAATTCATAGATTGGTGGACTGATTGATTCATGAATACAAATGACATCCAATTCTTGGATAACATGTAAATTTTGAAAAATTTATATGCTAAAATGCCAAAATAAATAAAAATTAGGTACCTAAATATAATTTTCAATGCTATTTGTGTATAAAAATGTATTTTAGATACCAAATTATAAAATATAAAAAAAATATAAATACTAAAGTATAATTTGTCAACATTCTATAAACCGACTAATTCTATTAAATTTGGATCAAATGAATTGAATTATAAATTGTCACCACTAATCTTTAATTACATATACCTGTGCCAGGGGAAGAAGAGCCAGGAGTTGTGAACTTGGACTTCGAGATCCGGGAACCCCACTTGCTCGTACGCGCCGTCACAGTACGCGCAGTGCACGTTGGCCTGCTGCGTGAAGCTCCTCGGGTCGTCGGCGGGGAGAGCCTTCATCAGCTCCACCGCCCGCTTGTACTTGGCAACGTACGCCTCGTCGACGAGGTGAGCCGCCGGCCTGACACGTGGTGACGAGGATAAGGATGTGGGGACGAAGTCCTTGAAGCGCCGGGCAGGAGGCGGGCAGCAGTTCGTCGGCTCGGCGCCAGCTGGCAGGTCCGCGGCCCCACACTGAGTTGTGTCGGGCGCCGCGATTGGCTGGGAGAAGGCGGCTGGGGATTGGGTGAGGGCGGCCGCGGCACCGTAGAGGCCACCGGCGAGCAGGACGTCTCGTCTAGTGCGGCGGTGTGATCCATCGTCATCTTCCCGCCGGGAGGTGGCTCTGCATGCGCCGGAGGAATACTTTGGCCGGAAGCGGAGTGAGGAGGAAGGTGAGAGGGAGAAATAGTGGCGGCGGCGCGGGAGGAAGGAGGAGTTGGCGGCGGGGTTTGGGGTTTTGGCGGCGGATGGAAGAGAAGCCATGATTTTCCTCGGAATGAATTGTGATGAGAAAACTAAAGAGGGAATCGTGCGTTATATTGCGACGGAAAGCGGAGACTTTCCATCGTTGTTGATTAATCGCGAAATTTACAGCATTGAAAGTTCTTTGGGAAAGGTCATCTAACTACCTATTCCACTATAAAAAAATATACAATATATTAATCATAACTATTAAGCAGTAGGAAATTATAACCACAACTATTAAAATACAAATTATTAGCCAATCGTTAAGTCTCCTTTAACACAACTATTAATATAAAATTTGCACAACATTTTGTGTATTATATATTGTTTTGGATGCGCGATAAGGGGTTTTAATCCGAGAGAATTAGTAGGGTTAGGTAATGCGTGGTTAATATTAGACTTTTTTTTTTTTTGTGTGTGTGGAAAATATTAGACTTTTTAGTTCGGCTACGTTGGATAATTTTCCAAGAGTGTCTCTAGTGACTAGCTAGGTTGTGATATTAGTCCGTGTGATAGGGTTGATCGTGTTAGACAAATGGTTTGGCACGTGAAAGAAAAAGAAGCCGAATAAGTCGTCCGTTGAACAATATATAGTTGGCTAGTTGCATGCATGGTTGGCCTAATTGGCCAGCGGAAGGTCGCTAAATAAGACAATCGTAACGTGGTGGCAACTGGTCATCATCTTGAACTTGAATGCACCAATATATATATATTAATATATAGATGCATGTGGGATTAGTATGAACCAAAAAGTCAGCAACATCACACATTTTCATAACATTCCATGGTCTACAAATTCCCAATTACGTGCAGTGCTTTCACTGCCTTCTTCTTCTATATTACCACTTGTTCACATTCACACATGGCCGCGTTCTCATGCTGATCAATGGTAGCCAAGAACCCTATGAGGAACTCGCGCGATTTAATGTAGTGCTATTAATATGTACGTATAAACATCGATCGAGGAAAATTCACATTAAAATTAAAAAAAAACTATTTATTCCTTCACATGATAAATAAATCTGGAAAAGAAACCATCGAAAATCTTCCCTCCTACAAATGTATAAAAAAAAGTAAACAGCCCTACGAAAAGAACTTGTATGTTTTAGCAGATTCGATTATATTTCGCATTCCTCCAATCGGTGCAAGAATCGCTATCGTAACCCCGACGACGATCGTAACCTGCACATCGTGAATGCAATTGATCATCTAAACGTGTTTTACTAAACAAAAGCATAGCCCTAGAACTAGAAGCATCCCTCATTTTTCAATGGAGGATTTACTTTCACAACATGGTGAAGTTATTACCCATCCAATAACTTACCCAGGATGCGAACCAGTGCCAGCTCCCAACCGGTGGGTGATGTACACGTAGCCACATGATGCAAGGAAGCTTCAAATTAACAGAAGGAAAGAAACAAAAAAAACCAATTAGATATAAAACTGATAATTAAATCGTTAATAATTAGAAACTAATTAACTTACAAAATATGAAGTAGAAGCAAACACAAGCCCACCAAAGAATCCCATCAGGCCGCCGAAAAACGGGATGCACATTGCAACGAGCGCCGTCAAAGCTGTCCACATAATTCCGCACGTTCAAATAACTAGAGAGAATCCTCGCCATGCATGCAAAAGAACGTATAGAAGTTACGTACCTACGTAGACGCTACGTGCAATCAAACGAAGCGCTCGACTGGGGTCGAACTTTCGATTCTTCACCAAATACCCCTCCAACGTGTCGAAAACCGGCATCCCATAAACCTGATAACTCCCAATCACGTGAATAAACACCATGAAGTTATATTTTCATATCCAAATTCATTTTTTCTACAATTTTGTATCTAATTTTATCTTTTTTACAAATAGATCCAGAAATTTTGATGACGAAATTAGTAGCTTTTCACTTTTTTTAATTGCATTATAATAGCTGACTTTACAAGTATGTCCAATCTTTTGGTAAGAAGAATTTCAAATCACTAATTGTTGCTTTGACGATAGGGCTAAAAGTGACCCGATGCTAAGTTGACCCGACTCTACCCAATTCTTACAAAACCAAAAGATGACCTAATTCTAAACGAGCCATGTAGACAAAATGACTCAACCTGACCCTCAATGTCAGATCGAACCGGACCGGACTAGTGTGTATCTAGGGTCAGACTTACACCCCCTAATTCGTACCTGAGCGACATGAGCGCGGCGAGGAAGGAGACGAGCTTGAGCGAGTGAAAGTTGGGAGTCTGGGAGAGGACGAGCTGGATGAAACAAAACACGAGGATGAAGTAGGTCAACCTGTGGTGGTCGGCCGACGGTAAGGCGAGCTCGAAGGCCTTCTTCAACGACTTCCCTCCGGTGACCATTTGCACCAAGTTGGAAGCCACCTGAACAATCAACTGCTGTGGGACCACGATCCAATACCCTAGCTTCTCCCCGAAGGCATACTGGCCCAATTCGTGGTACCGGTCGAACCGCTTCCCCGGAACCATCTCGTGCATCTCGATCATTTGCCACAGCGAGTAGAAAGTGAGCAGCCATGAAATCACCATCATCGTCATTCCGCCGATCCTATACGGTTTAAACACATTGAAACGTGTTTTTTTTTTTTTAAATGTTACTGTAGAATATTGTACAAATCAGTACTGTTTAGAGATGTTCAATTATAAAATCGTATATCATTTGTGATGGTGAGGGAACTCACGGGTTGCGACGTCGAATTATTCGGGTTGCTCATTGGATCAATCTTGCTTCTGGAACTCGACTACTGATCGATGAATAATTTACCTGCTAAATTAAATACACGTATACCGCGGCCACTATATATATAGGGATTGATTTGAAAGGAAGAACAAAACTAGGTGATTGGGAATTCTGTAGAGATGGCGGGACGAGGGTTCTGGAAAGGATTCCTATGAAGCAAACAAGTGAAGATCATGCCCATGCTTTGTGTTGTTTTCGAGTTCGTGTTGGTGGCGATGTGTATTGTTGATTTGCGGTGGATTTGGCTTTGTACATATGCACAGAGAGGAAGAGAGATAAGGAGTTATAGACAGAGATCGATTCTCGAGGAGGAGAGGAGGTAGGATAAAGAGAAATGAAGAGAAAGTTACTGATTCAGATTCATTGAGAAGAAAGCATCATATGTATCTGTTTGATCCCTGTAATCATTGGAAAAGAAAGAATCAGATTCATAGAAAAGTAAGGATCCAAAAAGATTGAACTTTGAATAAGTCTAGAAACTAGAGGTTATCCGTACCACATTATGAGGGGCAATTCAGTTAAAGCAGATAAGGAGGAGTGGCTGTTGGTTGCTGATCATTTACTTTTGGGTTGTTTTTTTTATGAACAATTTATCTTGGTTGTTAATCATTATCGGTTCATGAGTATGTTAATTACTGACAGTCACTCGTATTCTCTGTTTTAATAATTAAATCGGATGTTGAATCAAAAAAATTAGTGTTTTAATGATAGAGTTCTATCCATCTGCTAATTAATCCAGTTCAGTTTTTATAATTGTGCTAGTACATACTTGCAATGTATGTACGAATAGCTAGCAAGTGTGTGGTTAGTTTAATTACTCATAGTACCAAGGAAATCGTTAAAAAATCAAGTACATGGCACAGAGCTGATGATTAACTGAAAACAATAACGGAAATGCTTGACGCTGATTTACGTGGTATCCCCGAATTAATCAGGACTAAAGCAACCAAAAACGGAAATAAAACCTTACTAAAGAAGGGTACAAGAAAATGTTTCTTCTTGCCACGAAATATACACCCTATATTAAAGGACTTCAACACACTTATTCATCACTATCATGAAACTTCATTATTCGTGATATTTCACGTTGCACAAACCTATATAACAAGCAAAGTACTCCACACACGTCGAATTCCACAATACGTAAATTACATGCATTCCAATTGTCACGTCATGCCACGCCATTCCTCGCCTCGATCCTCTTCATTTATTCCATCACCACAATCAATTGCTACGAAACTCAATCGAGACGCCATCAATGTTAGCACCACCAGACCTAGGCACCAAAGTGACCATAATGCTATCATCGCCCTCAAGCTCCAACTGCTCCAACAAATCATTCACACCCATCCTCAACCAACTCTTGAACTTGGTCCCTTCATCTCCCTTGTGCCCATGCGGCACATTCACGAAGCACCCACCAAGCTTCGCGCTCACCGGGGTGACCTCCTCGTCGTCGCCGATGTTCACGCACACATCGAACTTCACGAAATCCTGGGTATCGTACTCGATCCCTTCGACCACGAGAACCTCCTCCTCCTTCTCCTTCTCCTCTTTGCTCCTCGACTTCCTCGTCCTCTTCACCTCCACCTTCATCCTGCCGCTGCCCAGGGCAGCAGGAAATGACGTCGTGGGTTCAATGGTCGTCGTCGTAACCGGTTGGTCGGTCTTCCTTGCAGCACTGGGTGGCAGCTGTGGCTTGGAGTTCACCCAGGGGTTGCCCACGTCCTGGTACACGTACCCCATGTTCTTCCTGTTGTCCAGGCAGTCCCGAACCCTAACCCTGACCGGTTCGGCGTTCTCGTCGTAGAAGAAAAACGACGCGTCCAGCCAGTCGCGGCTGCTGAAGTCACCCCTCATTCCTCCGAACGTCCTCCACACGTTCCACACGCGGTCGATGTTCGCGTGGTGGGCGAAGAAGATCGGGTCCCTCGCCGCCGAGTAGAAATCACCCATGTCCTCTCCATTCGGCTGGCTCGGGTCTCCGGTCCATAAGTGAACCGGTCCATGTGGGGTCGACTCGAAGGAACCGGGTCCTGGGTTCGGTTCGTCCCCGGTTCGGTAGGGGCTCCCGAGGAACAGTGTGGGCGTCTTGCCGTTGGACACCACTTGTCTGTACATGATGGTGAGGTTTCTCGTGATTTGGTCCTTGGCCGGGATGGTGACGTCCTCGCCGCTGTAGTCGAGGTCGATCAGGGTCGGCGGCTGGTGGTTCGGGTTTCGGAGCGGGTCGTAGAGCGGGGACTTCGGGTTGGCGTAGATGGCCGGGAGATGCATCCCGGCCGGGTTGTCCCAGTTCCAAAACGGTAGACCGAATGTTGGGTCGCCGATCAGCTTCCCCAAGATCTTCTCGTAAAAGTAGAGATAGTACCTAACAATTATCATTAAGTAATTGTAGTTAAAATTATGGAAAAGGTTTGGTGGCACTTAAAAGCCACAACTAATTTTGTGTTTATTTACGTAAATTTATGCCAATTAAGGACATATTGGTGTTTATTTAAGTAATAGTGGTGGTTACTCACACAAACAGCAATGGTTATTGATGCAATTTGACGTTTATTCACGTCATTATAAAATCAATTTGAAAATTCATATTTTATGTCAAAATAGATCTTATTGTGTAGATTATGATAAATGCAACTCATTTTTATAAAAAAAAATCAAATTTAATTCCACAATATGGGCCAACTAGAGAAAAGAAAAAGTTTGAGTTTCCATTTGCGTGAATTATCCGAACTCTTACGTACGTGAATAAGTATAAAATTACGTGAATAATCACCAAATGACGAGAATGAACACAATAATACGCAAATTAGGTGTTGTGCAATGGAGGAGGTAGGTTAAAAAAAAGAGTAGTCCGTAACGCCTTAGCTCCCTCCACCAATTATCACGATTCAATTCAGCCCGGATTCCTGCTCCGCCACTCGTGTTGTGGCACCTAAAATTTTCCTAGATTTATTTGCTTACAATTCAAGACATGGTTTATTATTGACTAATCTGTTATTCAAATGTACCTGTGCCAAGGAAAGAAGAGCCAGGAGTTGTGAACTTGGATTTCCAGCTCCGGGAACCCTACTTGCTCGTACGCGCCGTCGCAGTACGCGCAGTGCACGTTCGCCTGCTGCATGAAGTTCCTCGGGTCGTCGGCGGGGAGAGCTTTCATCAGCGCGACGGCTCTCTCGTACTTGGCAACGTAGGCCTTGTCGACGAGGTGAGCCGCCGGCCTGAAGCGTGGCGGCTGGAAGGTGGGAGCGGAAGGAACGAAGTCCTTGTAGCGCGTGGTGGGAGGCGGGCAGCAGTTGGTCGGCGTGGCTCCGACCGGCAAATCCGCGGGCCCACATTCGGTCGTGTCAGGTGCCTTGATTGGCTCGGAGAGTGCTGGCGGCGGCGGTGGTGATTGGGTGAGGGCGGCCGCACCGTAGAGCCCGCCTGCCAGCAGTAAGTCTCGTCGGGTCGCCGGCCCGTTGGTAGCTTTGCAAGAGACGGCGCCGGGGGAATACTTCAGGCCGTACTTGATGACAGTGGGGGGATAAGGGCGGTGATGGAAGGAGGAACCGGCGGCGTATGGAAGAGAAGCCATAGTGGGGGGTAGAAGTTGGTGAATTGATGAGGTGTAAAATAAGAGGTAATTGTAAGTGCCATATATAGGGATAAAACACAATGAGGGTAACTCGGTAATTAAGTGTGAGAGCATATCTTTTTTAGTGTAAAGATGTAAGATGTTACTAGATCTAACTAATTTTTCACTAATCACCAAGTCCTTTTTAGATTGATGTGTGAAATTTCGTGCTGTAGTTAAAAGTGGTTGGAACACTAGACGTCTCGGATAAAAAGAAGTTACAAATTTGTGTCAGTGATAGGAACAAGTCATTTGAGAATGTCAACCCTAGGTGGTTAAGGACAAGTTATTTCGACTTCTCCATCTGACATGTCCTGACTCCATATTTTAGCTATAATGAAGTTGTAAATAGATCAGAAACCTCGATTTCTTGAATTTTTTTACAATATTTATCATGTTATAGTTTGTTTCTTGGTTTTTAAAAAAAATTACGAATATTTATAATATATGTTGAAATATGTAAATATTTGGGACCTTTTATGTACATATGTACTTTGTGAGGACTACGTTGGGGGTTTTGTGGTTAATACCCTACGTAGTTATTAGCAGCTATTTAGCCGAGTTTGGCTGGATAGTTTTGGTTTAAGGAAATACAAGAAACCTATTAGCCACCGTGGAGTAAAGTCTCTCTGAGAGGCCGAACCACATTAAATCCTGTGTCTTTTCGGTTTATGTTGTTCGATTCGAGCTTAGATTAACAATATATTGTTCCGTTAAATCACATACTCATGTGTTGACCTGTTTCAACCCGCGTTCCATGATAAATTACATAGCATGTTGTCGACCTATTATTGAGCATAGATTTATTTCAAGATATCCGCTTCGACCTGGTCATTATCATTCTATGTGGTGGTTTGAGCCTCAATGGAGAAAAGATAAGGATACAAAGTATTAGACGTAAGCGTGCATGCACGGCCAAAAAAGAATAAGGTGTGAGTACCAACTACCTTAGATAAAGAGTAGTTCGACGGTGAGCAAATCGGGAAATTACGTGCCGTACTTTGGCCGGAACTTGGTGTGTTAGTATAGTTGGCGGCCACTTGTTTCATCTTAATAAAGTGCTCTCAACCACTCTCATTAGTCATTAGCACTAGCACTTAGTGTTTACAGAACCAATTAAGTATGGTAATTAATGACAAGTTTTACCGATTGATGAAACCATATGGACTGTCGGTTTGCACACTTACAAAATATGTTGTCCATGAGATTTACACTCTATTTTACAATTTTATCAATATATTATGGTAGATTAGTCACAAAAAATTATTATACTCGTCACAGAGGTCCATGTTTTGGTTAACTTCGTTATTTTGTCTGAACTAAACAACACATACAATTTAGGATAAATACAATATATTAGCCATAACAATTCTGAAGCGGAGAATTATAGCCACAAATATGAAAATTCAAATTCTTAGCCAAACGTTAACTCTCTGTTAACAATTCCGTTAATAATGCCGACTAAACTTATATGTTTTAAATTTATAAATTAAAAGCAGTCCGACGTGGCTGCTGACGTGGTCGATGACGTGGCCTTCTCCGTTAAATAATAGTAACGGACAGTTAGCCATATCTTGGCCCGCAACAATAATTATGGCTAATAATTTGAATTTACATAGTTGTGGCTATAATTTCCCGCTTCATAATAGTTGTGGCTAATATATTGTATTTACCCTACAATTTAATATTAATGTTTGAATCAATACTACTTGAGTTCCGATTTCATAACTAATTTCTTTCTATAAAATATAAATAGCTTAAGATAAAATATAAATATAGAAGCATCATCACCAAACATATTCCTAGAGTTCAATTAAGGAAATAACAATAAATGAAATGTAGCCTAGTTGGTTATTATGCTATTTCTTGATTCAAGTGATCAAGGTTCGAGCTCTAATGATAACATTTTTAATATATAAACATGAACTGGGTGCAATGACAAAAATAACCTTCCTAGAATCACTCTCAGGCCACGAAGTTTGAAATGGAAAAATTTCAACCCATGTTTAGCAACCCAATCCGCTCTGCAGTTTAAGCGTCGCGAAAAAGCTTCCTCCTTGATGAGATTTGTCGATGACAAGGATGTTTTGCATAGTTGCCAGTGATGCGAAACATGTCCAAGGCCACTTATGCATATGCAATTGAGTAACGACGCACAAAAATATTGCAGTTGTGTAGTTTAGAGTTAGGTTCATTAGCTTTTCGTAGAAAGGTGACATGTTGTGATGTCCTTTTGGGCTTTTATTGGGCCTGCGACTTGGATTCATTTTGGGCTGGGCTTAACGATATGATCCGTTCTGTGAAATTGTTTTTTGGACCGAAGTGGTAATTGAAAACAGAAACAAAAAAAGGAGAAAATATTTTAACATATTTTTCATCAACCAATATCCGATCAGGAAACTGCCTGCCGCCTGGCTAGAAGTTCTAGCAGTGAACGGTAACCCTAAAGACCTATAAATAAAAGACGATCGGAGACAGCACCACCGATCGAGAAGAATCCGTTTTGAGCAAAAAATACAACACAATGAGTTCGGGTTCATCATGTTTGTCCTGGAAAGACGTGGTCATCGGACTGCTGTTGGTTTCCGCCGGCATGATATGCCTCACCGGCCTCACCGGCCTTATAGGTTACGGGATCAGTCCGATGGTCACCCCTCCCAACGTCAAGCTCACCTCCGCCGTCGTCTCCGCCAGCAACGCCACCTCCCTTCTCATTGACGCCGACTGGCTCCTCACCTTCGGCTTGGACACCCCCGGCCGCGACTACGGCGCCCTGGAGGCCTCCCTTCTGTACGACCTCGGCGGAGGCCGGATGATGGAGGTCGCGGCTGGTCGGTTGCCGCCGTTCCACGTCGGATGGGAGTGGTGGCCTTTCAGCATCCGCCTCCGGCCGGCGGCGGGGGACGGGAGGAGGAGTGCTGCTGTCCAGGTCCTGGGGGACATGATTGAGAACACGGGATCGGTGGAATTTCAGGTCCGTTTGAACGGTCTGTCTTGGGAGGAGGACTTTATATTCAAATGGAAGATATCTGCTGTTGTTGATTGCCACTCCGTTCGGATCGAGTTTCTGAACCCGCGGCAAGGTGCTGTCGCCGGAGGAGGGTACATCACCGGAGTCTTGGCTACACCCACCAAGTGCCATACCCATGGTGGGAAAATTATATCTTAAGCGCGCCGCCGGCGTCTATTTTCGACTCAGCAAATCATATGTAGTTGCGTAGCATTTTTCGGTTTGTATTGGCCGGATATAATACGTTTTTTTTTACCCCTTCTGATTGCTGTAATCTATCTTCATTGCTCAATTATAGTTAAATTTGCAAAGATGATTTTAGTTTCACTGTCCTTTTTCCGTATAATATAAGTTGCTCTCTTCCGGTTTAGAGAGACAAAAAAAAAATAGTTCTAAAACAACCGTAATATATTTATCTTAGTGGAACTTAATAAATTATTAAAAAAAATAAAATGAAAAATTGTGTATCTTACGGAATTTTACGTGGCAAAAAAGAAGTTCTAAAACACCCATCGTATAAGTTAAGATGACGAGAATCATACTGGAAACCATAGGAAGGATTGTCATGTCCTATTTAATCGATCTTGAGATTGTTTCCTGCAAGCATTCGCTACAAGAAGCAAATTAGGTTGTCATGCATGCTCTCAGGGTCGAGATAGGTCAGTGGGATTTTTGGAGTCAAACTTACACCCTTAATGAGCAGCTTGTATTTTTTTCCCCTAGGGCAATTTTTGTCATCAAATAAAAAGTGGTAAAAAAGAATAAAACAAGATCGGAAGGAGCTCGAAACATCCCTCCACCAATTGACGAACCGAGACACCGTAACTTTCAACTAGCAGTTGGTTGCTTTAATCTGTAGCAGAAACTCATTTTGCATGCCACTAATTGCAGTGGAAAAAAAGGAAATCACCACCATCGCTAGTCGCTACTCTCCCCGTACATTCTTAAAGTCTGCATCCGACTCAAGTCATATCAACATCTAAATAAAAAAAGCATACTTGAAGTTTGATTCACATCATGAACCTCTCCAAACGGAAAGAAAACAACTTATAATACATTAAAAAAAGATGCTGAAACTAAAAACATCTTTGTAAATTCAACTAATTGAACCACGAGGACCGATTACATCCAATAAAAAAACCGAGAAATACTAGACAACTAGATATGATCTGCTGAGCCGAAATCAGGACGCTTTAAGAGATTTTCCGGCCATGAGGATGACACAGGGCGGGTTTAGCCAAGATTCCGGTGACGGATCCTCCTCGCCGCGGGTACAGAAACTCCATCCGTACGGAGTCGCAATCAACATCGGTAGTCATCTTCCATTTGTATAACCCAAACATGACGTCATCCGCCCAAGTCAGAGCACCCAGACGGACCTGAAACTCCACCGATCTCGTCGCATCATCGATCATGTCACCCAGGTCCCGTACTGCAGAAGCAGCACTACTCCTGCCGTCCCCCGCCGCCGCCGCCAGGCGGATGCTGAACTTTTGGTCCCGCCAGCCAACGTCGAGAGCCGGCGACCGAGCGGCCGCGACCTCCGTCAGCTGGCCGCCTCCGTCGAGCTCATCATACAGGACGGAGGCCTCCAGAGCGGAAGGGTGGTTGGGGATGTCGTCCAAGTCGAAGGTGAGGAGCCAGTCGGCCTCGATGAGGAGGGAGCTGGCGTTGCTGGTGGAGACGACGGCGGTGGTGAGCAGGACGTCGAAGTCGGCCGTCGTAGTGGTCGCGTAATATATATAGCACCCGAGGCCGGTGATGGATATCGCGACGGCGGATATCACCAGCAGTGCGATGGCCAAGACTTGGCACCTCGAAGGCGGTGGTGATGAAACCATATCAATGTCTTCCACGACGCTGATATCAGGCATTATTAATGGATTTCTTCTCTGTACTCTTCTGTTCTGTCTGTCTCCGGTCATCGTATATTTATAGGTCTATTAGGGTTACCGTACACTGCTCGAACTTCTAGCTAGCTAGGCAGTTTCCTGATCGGATATTGGTAGATTAAGAATACATTAGGGTTATCTAATGTATTTTATTATTTTTCACAGACCGGAGTATCATATCGTCAAGCCCGGCCCAAAGGGAATCCAAGTAGCTGGCCCAATAAAGCCCAAAAGGACATCACGTGTCGCCCTTCCTTATTTTTCACCCTTCTATATTTGTGATAGGGTGGCTATACGGTCCGGTCCGGTTAAATTGGCCCGAATTGATCCGGTTTCAGTTTGGTGTTTTCGGGAATATAAGGATCAGAGATTAGATTGGATACAGTCTAGTTTTGATCCGGTCCGGTCCCAATTCGGTCTTAATTTTAGATTGAGCTTGTGGGGGTTTGAGTGGTAGAGGCCTCAAAGGGTGAGGAGTTGGTTAAGTTTTGGGTAGGGGTGACTAATCTTAATTATACCTGGAGTTTGATTGCTACTCTGTTCGGATGGAGTTTCTGAGCCCGCGACGGAGTAATGTCGCCGGAGGAGGGCAACTCACGAGAATCTGGCCTAAATCCACCTACTATTACGGGAAGCACGTCTCTTAATTAGTGTACGGATCAAGGGTAGTTTTGTAATTTGATAGGGTTAAGTCGACCAGAGTGTCGCGTCAGAGTCTACATATTGTACGTTAACTATTTTCTTTGGTAATGGTAAAATAATAGTGTACATTAGTTATTTTCGTTCATGAGCAATTAATCAAAGTGTATATAGATATTCCTTTCCTCTTCTCGAGTCAAAAATTCTATATCACATACTTCTATCCTATTCTTGTTTCCATTAACCAAAGTGTATCAATATTCCTTTTCGCAGATACCTCTTTCTATATTCCGAATTGTTAATGAAGAACGAATGATTCTACATCACTTTATATATGTCGTAATAATCAGTCACGAAGGAATTCAATCTTAACACCACCAACACTAGCAACGCCAGACCTAGGCACCAAAGTGACCATAATAGAATCGTCGCCTTCAGCCTCCAGATCCTCCAACAAATCACTGATCCCCAGCCTCAACTTTGTCTTGAACCTCTTCGTCGCCTCGTCACCCTTGTGCCCATGCGGCACGTTCACGAAGCATCCGGCCAGCTTCGCGCTGGCCGCTGTCACCACCTCGTCGTCGTCGATGCCCACGCACACGTCGAACTTCACAAACTTCTTGCTGTCGTACTCGATCCCTTCGACCACCAGAACCTCCTCCTCGTCCTCCTTCTCTTTCTTGCTCCTCGACTTCCTCGACCTCTTCACCTCCACCTTTACCCTCTTGTCCAGCACGACTGGGAAAAACGACGTCGTCTGACCTTCAGCAGCACCGTATGCGGTCTTTCCTGCTGCTCCAGTAAAAGAGCCCACCTCGACGGGCTTACTAACCGTCTTTGTTGGTGGACGTGGCCGAGAACCTGTCCAGGCATCGGCCACGTCCTGGTAGACGTACCCCGTCTTCCTACTCTCCAAGCAGTCCCGAACCCTAACCCTAATCGGGTCAGCGTTCTCGTCGTAGAACAAAAAAGTCGCGTCCAGCCAATCCGGGGTGGCAAAATCAACCCTCTTCCCACCCAACGCCTTCCACACGTTCCACACGCGGTCAATGTTCGCGTGGTGGGCGAAGAAGATCGGGTCCCTGGCCGCGGAGTAGAAATTACCCATGTCCTCGCCATTCGGTTGGGCCGGATCTCCGGTCCATAAGTGAACCGGACCGTGTGGGGTCGATTCGAACGAACCGGGTCCTGGATTCGGTTCGTCTCCGGCTCGGTAGGGGCTCCCGAGGAACAACGTGGCGGTCTTGCCGCTGGCCACGACTTGTCTGTACATGTTGGTGAGGTTGTCGGAGACTTGGTCTTGGGGTATGATGGTGGCGTCCTGGCCGCTGTAGTCGAGGTCGGTCAGGGTCGGAGGCTGGTGGTTCGGGTCTCGGAGCGGGTTGTAGAGCGGGGAAGTCGGGTCGGCGTAGATGGCCGGGAGTTGCATCCCGCCGGCTGGGTTGTCCCAGTTCCAAAACGGTAGACCGAAGGTTGGGTCGCCGATCAGCTTCCCCAAGATCTTCTCGTGGAAGTAGAGATAATACCTGCAATCAAATATGTTTGTTTTTTTTTTTAAAATAAAACAAATGTGACACGAAATGAAATTTTTGCATTCATTCCATAAGCTAATCTCGAACATATGTAGATGAGACACATGACATAGCAAATGAGTTAACCAAGTTGATGTGTAATTTCAGTAAATACGAGCTACAAATGTTTAAGTTCATCCTGCATTATATAACTTGTTATAAAACGCGCCGCTATGGATCGGGAAATCACCGGAATCGACAAAGCAAGAATACGAAAGCGAGAATCGAAAACACGACACACGATTTACGTGGTTCACTAACACGATGTGTGTTAGCTACGTCCACGGGCGAGAGAGAGCCAATTTCACTATATCGAGTAGATTACAGATTACAGAGGAGTATGAGAAGTATTTATAATACTTCTCCATGTGGGTCTAAACCTAATCCAATCTGACAAAGGAAACGGTTACAGACCAGGCCCAGAACCCGAACCCAAATAACATAGCGAGACCCCCGATTACCAGTCATAGCGGCTGATAATCCGATTCAAGTCACATCAACATAACTGAAAAGGAACGGGGACATGCTATGTTTATCATCGAAATATAGATGAACTGAGTTAGCATGACTGCCATTTTTTAGGTTGTTATCGTGAAAAAACTTTTAACATACCGTTTATTCTCTCTTTTTTTCTATTTTAATTTCACTCCATGATAATTTTTATGGTTTGATGGCTTTTAAGTTGGGCTCACTAGGTTTTGTTTGCTCCCTTTAGTCCTAGGTACCACACAGTAGAGTTGTTAAAGTGGTCCTAACTCGAATTTGTTTGAAACCTAATTAATATGCATCACTATTATTGAAAAAAAAAGTAAAATAGATTATACTTTTCTGTTCTAAGTATAGAAAATATGGTGGATATTTTTGTTTAGGGTAATGACTATATATTAAACAAATCTTTTTTGTTAGTCAAACCTGTCGAAATACTAAAAATTAGTCAAATGTTAACTTCCAATTAGCAATTTTGTTAGTAATATTGATTTGGCAACATGATAATGATTTGGAAGAGACACATGAATGTCAACAACATTCCTAAATTTTAGTATCTTTGTTAAGAAAATAGTTACAAAATTATTCACGATAACGTAAAAATGGCTAATATTTTGGTGTATTACGTAAAATTTGTCTAATTAATAGCATTTTAGTAGGTTTGAATAAGACAAAAAAAATCTGAAAAAATTTGAATAAAAAATAAACATTACCTTTTTATTTACTTACTATATATCCAACATATTCTAGTATTACTTTAGTACTGTAGCCATTTCTTACCGGCACTGCACCATAAAATACCATAATTCGATATAACTCTGGTACAATTTCTCAATGATGATTAAATCAAGCGATTATGTGTTTATTACCGTTATCATTTTTTTTATTACCTGTGCCAAGGAAAGAAGAGCCAGGAATTGTGAACTTGGACTTCCAGGTCCGGGAACCCGACTTGGTCGTACGCGCCGTCGCAGTACGCGCAGTGCACGTTCGCCTGCTGCGTGAAGTTCCTCGGGTCGTCGGCGGGGAGAGCCTTCATCAGCTCCACCGCCCGCTTGTACTTGGCAACGTACGCCTCGTCGACGAGGTGAGCCGCCGGCCTGACACGTGTCCGCGATGATACTGAAGTGGGATCGAAGTCCTTGAAGCGCCGGGCAGGAGGCGGGCAGCAGTTCGTCGGCTCGGCTCCAGCTGGCAGGTCCGCGGCCCCACATTGGGTTGTGTCGGGCGCCGCGATTGGCTGGGAGAAGGCTGGTGCCGGCGTGAGAACGGCCGCACCGTAGTACAGTCCTCCGGCGACCAGGACGTCCCGTCGGGTAGTCGGGTTGCGGTCGTGGTCGTGGTCTGGCCGGGAGGTGGCTTTGATTAGCTTCCGGCTGTGTTTGATGGGAGGCGGTGGGCTATAGCGCCGGCGGTGGAAGCGAAAGGAGGAGCTGACGGCGAGGGAAGGAAGAGAAGCCATGGTCGCCGCCTCGCCGGTGGATCGATTTTTGGGAGTGTTGTATGCATGTATATATAATGGGATTCTAATTATAGGGTTCGTTTGGAAGTTGCGATTGTTGAATAGATGTATTGTTGAGAATGTATGTATAATATTATACATGTATTGTCGAATTTGAAGCATTGTAGAATACAATGTTTGGTATGTGTGATTGTGTATGGCGCATCAGCTAAAAGCTGAGACAAAACAATCTCAACTCAACTATCTCAACAATCACAACTAAGAGTTGAGATATAACAATCACTCAAAATGAGTGATAGTTTCTGTCACATCACAGAAACAATCCATGTATTGTTTCTGCTAAAAAAACAAAAAAACGATGCATTGTAAACAATACATGCATAATGACAATCTCAACAAAACTATCGCAACTTTCAAACGACCCATTAACTTTTTATTTTTTGGGTAGAGAATGTTGGAGGTTACACGAATACGATTCTAACTTCATTTAAGCAACAAACCTTTTTCCAGAAGAAGGGAATAAGAGAGACCTTTTTTTGTCGTGGATTCAAAAGTTTGAGATAATATTCAATTTGTTCACGACACTTTGAATTGACACCATACATGAAAAAAGACTAGGTTGAAAGTAGACAGACAAACATTTTCAATGATGGGAACTGTTGGTTTGGTTTAGTCCAATCGTTAGGTTGGTGATATTTTGATTTCAGACGAGTTATCAATTTTCACTCTCACAATGTTTATGATTGAGTCAAATACAGTAGCTGGAATTCCAGGAGCATCCATGTTACTATAAGTTTGTGTTTGGCGATAAGAGAAGAGCAGAAGGTGAACGATTTGACAATTTTACATATGAGATTTAAGACTGTATATGCAACCATGCATCCATGCTCCTCGTAATAGTGTTGTTCCGAAGAGAAAAATACTCGGAGTAAGAATTCGAAGTGCAAGATCTTCAAATTAGCGATCCATAATGTATAGTTGTAACTTGTAAAATACTATGTGAGATGGTTAGTAGTCGAAATGCCGAGTTACTATGTTATTATCGTAATAATCGTTGGACTTTAAGTTGATTGATTTATTACGTTTTTATTTTTCTTTCCTTTTTTTTTTTTTTTTGGTTTTCTTGTGATGTGAACTATATGAAGAATGTGGCCTCTTACAGTTTGTTGATCAATTATGGAAGAGCACGGCTTTTACCAGTGAAAGCTCTATGAGCAAGATAGTGACGAACAAATAGTAAATTGCGTTGCACATCGGAATTCAATTGGAATATGCTCAAAGGGAAAAAGCCACACCACCTGATGGTTTCTCGTGGGAATTCTATAAAAGGGGTTGGCAGTGGATTAGAGGAGATATTCTTAAAGTTTTTGAGGAATTTCACAGCAGTGGTTTCCTACCTCAATGCGCAACTCACTCTTTTCTCTGCCTTGTGCCTAAAAAGGATACAGTGGAAGAGATCAAGGACTTGCGTCCCATTAGCCTCATGGGCAGCTTGAATAAGCTGATAAGCAAGGTTCTTGCCAGTCGGTTAAGCAAGGTGTTGCCTCAATTGGTTTCTCCCAACCAGCATGCATCCGTCAAAGGAAGGCAAATATCGGACGCTGGTCTGATCGCGTTTGAGCTCTTGGACAGCCGCCGGAAGAGTAAGAAGCTTGGGATTATGTTCAAGCTCGACATCGAAAAGGCTTTTGACAACGTTAGTTGGGATTGCCTTTTCAAAGTTCTTTCAAAGCTCGGTTTTCCTTCTAAGTGGCAAAGTTGGATTCGTGGAACTATGTGCTCTCCGGTCATTTCCACTCTCATTAACGGTGAAGCTAAAGGCTATTTTCAGCCGCAGAAGGGTCTCCGCCAAGGCGATCCGCTTTCTCCGGGCCTCTTTGTCCTTGTTATGGATGTTTTGTCATTTATGATGAACAAGGTACGGGAAGCCGGGAAAATAAAAGGTTTTTGCATGAATGAAAACACGGGTGCCGGGGAAGTCTCACATCTGTTATTCGCCGATGACACCCTCATCTTCTGTGACGCTTCTTGTGATCAAGTCTTATGCATTATGGCCACGCTTGTTTGCTTCCAAGCTGTTTCGGGACTGAGGATCAATATGGACAAATCGATTATGTTTATTGTTGGTGACGTTCCGAACCCAGAATTCTTTGCGGATATTATGGGGTGTAGGTGGAGTAATGAGCCGTTCAAATATCTTGGCTACCCTCTTGGATCGAGAGTGAATGCTATTGCGACTTGGGATCCCATCATTGAGAAGTACCAGCAAAGACTCGAGGGTTGGAAGGCCAGGTTTCTTTCCTTTGGTGGCAGATTGGTTTTGAATAAATCAGTTTTGTCAAATCAGCCCACTTATTATTTCTCTCTTCTGCGAGCCCCAAATGAGGTGGTGAACAGAATTGAAAAGATCCAAAGGAGATTCGTGTGGAGTGGTACGACTGATAATCAAAGGATTCCCCTTGTGAGATGGGATCTGTGCAAGGCCTCGAAGGAGGAAGGTGGCCTTGGCATTGTTGATATTAAGAGCTTCAATAAAGCCATGCTTTCCAAATGGCTTTGGAGGTTCGCCTCGGAGAATAGCTCTTGGTGGAAGGAGCTTATCAAGACCAAGTATGCTGATTCCCAGTCCTCCTGGCAGAGTGATCGCTGTAAAAGTGGATTCTCGGGGTCTGCTTGGGCCAATATCACTAAGGAGTATGATACTTTCTGGAAGCATGCTCATATTGATCCAGGAGGAGGTGCTTGGGTCTCCTTCTGGAAGGATTGCTGGATACCGAACGTGACTCTTGCTGAAGCCTTCCCGCGCATCGCCGCTGCCGCGTCTTCCCCGGACGCTTGGGTTGCCGACATCGTAACCAGGACAGGTGAGAATGTTCATTGGAATCTGAATTTTAATGTTAATTTGAGGGGGGGGGGGGCTGAGAGGGAGAGGGTTGATCTTTTTAATCTTCTTTCTATCTCTACTAATCATTGTGCCGATTGTGGGCCGAGTCGAATTGTTTGGACTTCACGTCCAGATTCTTCATTTTCAGTTAAGTTGTTGTACAGGTCTATTGTGAGCAGCCAATTCCAAGGAGTCGATGACTTCCCGGCCGAGTCAGTTTGGAGAAAGCTTATCCCTTCCAAGATTAACAGCTTCATTTGGCTGGTGGCTCACAAGAAGTTGCTGACTTTGGACAACCTGCAGAAGAGGGGGTGGTCTATTGCAAATAGATGTGTTTTGTGCGGCATGAGTGAAGAGACGGTCGACCACTTGTTCGTGGACTGCGACTTTGCCAAGAAGGTTTGGTCTGAGAATGTCAAATCTTGCAGGGGCATCACTCCTCCCAACAGCGACATTCTTGCTACAATTCAGAGATGGAATAGCGATATCCCGGACAACGCGAATGGTTGGGTCTGCTACTGCATCCTTCATGCTACCTGCTGGCAAATATGTTTAGAGCGGAATCGAAGGACTTTCCAAGACCTGCAGCTGTCTTCGATCGTGATCTCAACAAAAATTTCCAGAACAGTCTTTGAATGGCTGGCTGTCAATGGAAAAATTGATGCTAGAGGAATTAATGGTTGAGTTCTTGGCGCCAAGGCCTGCATTTGGAGGTGCTGTGTGTGGGCGGTCTTTGTTTTCTCCCTTAGTGGGTGCTGCTTGGCCTTCTTAGCCCGGACGGGCAGCTGGTTGCGATGGCTGCGTCTGCTCCCCTGTGCGGGGTGACTTTGCGGTGGGTTCTAGCAGAGTGTGTTGTTTGTTCCTTCTTGTCTTTTGAGCACAGGGATGGTCTGCTCCATCTAGTGCTCGTTTGTTTTTCTGTTTCCTGATCTGCCATGTGTCTTTGTTTCTTGGTTTTCTCACTTTCTTTGATTATGTTTCGAACTTGGGGCTTTTGGGATTAACGCTCTTGATCCCTTCCCATCTATTTCTTTCCTTTTAATTTAATTGTCACCATTATAAAAAAAATATATATATTGGGTCTCCACAGAGGTGACTACCACAAACTGTTAAATAATCAAATATTGAGAAGGCTTTTAACTTGTGTTGATCCGACCGTTTCTTTTGCATATTGGATTAGGTTTAGACCAACATGGAGAAGTATTACTATAAATACTTCTTATAATCCTCTATAATTTGTAATTTTCTTGATATAGTGAAACTGGCTCTCTCTCGCTCGTGGACTAGCTGACACACTTAGTGTTAGTGAACCACGTAAATCGTGTGTCTGTGTTTTTTTCGATTCTCGCTTTCGTATTCTTGTTTTATCGATTCCGGTGATTTCCCGATCCGTAGCAGCGCGTTTATAACAACTTGATTGAAATTTAAGTGTGTGTTTGTTTGGATAGTTGTTCGGTCACTTTTTACATTATCGTTGATAAGAAAAGACAAATCGATTAAAAAAAGAAAAATATAAATGAATTTACTTATGAACACAGGTGCTACTTGTAACTTCTCATTTCCCACCCGTTGCCCTTCTTATTTGGGGGAACGTGGGTAATTTTCTATACGGCTCGGGCCTGCCCCACCTTTGCCTTACTTAACCCACAGTAATATGATCTCTGGTTATTGGTTAAGGAATGTGGGCCTTTTTATATGGGTCGGGCCTGCCGCTCCCCCTTAACGCACCGTAATTTCTATATTGAAGTCCAGCCCACTAAATAAAACGCGACTGGTGATGGTGGTGTTTGTCGCCGCCGGAAAAGAGATTTTCTTCTACCTCCCTGATCGGCTCCCCGGTTCCCCGGCCTTCGCTTCTTTCCCCGAGTCATAGATTTCCCTGATTATCCGCTCTTTCCCATACCACCACCACAAGGATTTGAGAGATCGGAAGAAAAATCCTTCTCCCTCCTTCCTTCCCCGACCAGCACTAATTCCTCTGTTTCCGGCTCTCCGCCGTCGCTAGGTTTCCCTTTTTTCTGGAAACAGAGTCTCCCCTGTTCTCTTATGTTCTAACAGAGTGTTGAGTTTCCCTTCGGCGGGATCCATCGCGGAATCCCACTACAGTTGTTGGGTTTCCACAGAAGAGAAAGAACAGAGTACTTTGACCCCACAATCATTGTCCGACGTCAAGGAAATTAAAGCCGGCGGCAGAGAATCGTCACCGCCGATAACAATGCTGGTTTATAAGATCTTTTTGTGACTTAGTCGAAGCACGAGGAAATCGACATCGTGAATGACAATGGAAAAAACAAGGGCGCCGGATCATTTACGTCCATGCCAGAAAAGATGACGATGCAGTCACATCCAAGAAAGCCACGTCCCATTCAGTCGCCATTTCTTTAATCGATTTGTTGGTTACAACGGTACCTTAAAATAATCGATGTTTATCGACGGCCGCAGTTGGTAATCGGCTGATCAACTAATTAGGTTTTTTAATCAATGTCCCAACCAAGATATCCATCTTGATCTTGGAAAAATCATTGAAAATTTTTAGTTTCTCCACTCATATACGCTACTGGTTTTCAACTATTAAGTTGGGGTTGATTCTAATTTCTAAGATCATAATAAACAGCCAGAATGCTCGACAATATAGCCGGAAAATTGTATAACGTTCAAAGGGCTGCAAATAATTAAAAATGTCAGCTTCGATTATTTACTCAATAACAGTAATTACTACAATAATGATGAATATAGAATGAATGGCTAATAATATTACTCAGCAGCACTTTATTCCAACTGTTTCCTCTCCAGGCGAAGGAATCAAAGCTGGCAAAGCTCATATATTCCCCCTTTCTCCCCCACTTTTTTTCGATTTCTGAAAAAGAAAGCACTTTTATGGAATAAAGTGACACCTTAGTAGTGTTTAGGTGTAGTTAGGCCAAGCTAGATACTCAAGTAAAGAAATTCACATTATTTACAAATTCAATCTCCCAATTTTTTCAATAACTCAAAAATATTTTGTTATTGAATTATGATTCTATGAATTTGTCAGTTATCTTTTGTTGTTGTTAAATATTAAGTTACCAATTATGTGAGTTGAAATGTAGAAATGTTGTAAACTGCTATTTTGTTTATTCGTAGTATAGTACAAACTGCTGCTTTGACTATATCCTGACACTCGCCTTACATCTATCGTCTTCTTCGACCTTGATTTCGGGTAATATGTTTGATCGTCATTTCAAACTAATTATTTTAAACTACAATATCTTTAAGTAATTAGTTTGGCCATCTAATTTCTGGTGTGTTAGTTTACCTTCACCTAATTAAAAAAAAAAATACCTATCAGCTGGAATTTTTTTATTCTGATTCTTCCGGCACCCCACTTGGTTAATCCGTCACAATCCGGCGAACCTTCTTTTATAGGTCAGTTGTCTTTTCAACAAAGGTCCCATTTCCACTGTTTCCACATTTCTATCTTTACCTTAGCTGAGTGGGCTTCCTCCTAACGCACTTTGTCTCCCCTGTTTTTCCTCCCTCAAACCCCCGATTTGACCCTCCCGCCGGAGATCGTCAATAATGGCTTCCACGCTTCTGATCGTCGCCGTGTTCGTCCTCGATCTCATCGCTTTCTCTCTCGCCGTCGCCGCAGAACGGAGGCGCAACACCGTAAGTTCGAAATTCTCAACCTTTAATGTCTGAGGTCAACCAACTGTTCTAACTCTGTTTTTTTTTTTTTTTACTGTTGGGAAAAAAAACAGGGGAGGGTGGAGGCGGATGTGAACAACAACGGGTACTGCGTTTACGAGTCGGATATAGCGACCGGGTTAGGCGCCGGCGCGTTGGTGATGCTGCTGGCGAGTCAGCTCTTGATCATGGCGGTGACTCGGTGCTTGTGCTGCGGGAGAGCTATGAGGCCCAGCAAGTCCAGGTCTTTGGCCATTTTCCTCTTCGTTACCACCTGGTACGTTATGTACACACACCTATATCCTTTTAATTTTCTGCAATTTTACAGTTTGTTAGCTTAAATTTAGGCTGGTAAATTTAATATAGATTACAGAGTTCTTGGTTCGAGAATCGGGTAATTCGGTGTATCCTCTGCTTCCTATTGAAGCACTTTGGTCTCATCCGGGATAAAGATTACGGGTGTGCAATGATCCAAATCAAGTTTATAAGAATCGGCGTTTAGACATTTTAGTATTAAGGATTAGATCAACAGTGTATTTAGTCCGATTTGGTCGGATCTAAATGTCATTTCGGTCCAACTTTTTTCATCATTGTAAAATTCATGAGATTAAGGGCCGCACCACATTATATTCGCTTTCGAATAGTGCGGTTCAACATCAATTTGCTTTCTGATGCATTCTAGTACGAACCAAACCATTACACATTCCTGTTGAAGGCCGACAATCATTTGGCTTACCTTATCAAACTATTGGTTGTGGCATTTCATCTCTTGACTTGATTTACTAAATGTTAAATTAGAAATCGAACAAAAAAAAATTGTGTTACTCATTTGAGTGAATCGTGTACTGGGTCACTCTCTTTAAGACTTTCGAGATACTACCTCAATATCAATTATCAACCATGATTTTGTTACAATTTGCCGTGGGGGCGACTTCTGCAGGGTGTTCTTCATCATCGCGGAGGTGTGCCTCTTGGCTGCCGCAATCCGCAACGCCAAGCACACGGGATACCTGACCGATTCCTTCTCTTGCAAGGCGTTGAGGAAAGGGATTTTCGGCGCCGGAGCTGCTTTCATTCTTTTCACCGGGATCGCGTCGGAGTTCTACTACATCCACCATTCCAAGGCTAGCGACGGCATGCCTTCCCTCGCTGGAGACGCCGGCGTCACCATGGGACGGCTGTAGTAAAAAAGAAAAAAAGTACTCATAACTCATGTGATCTTGGAGAAGAGGGCGAGGTGAGGTTTCATTTCCAGACCTTGTACAAAGAGATACATTCTTTACAGGATTTGCAGTCGGCAAATTGTTTGTTGATAGAAACTTGGGTTGTTGTCCCTGAAACTGAAGTTAGCTTATGTATGAATGCAATGAGGTTGGTCTCTTTCAAGCTGAATCTCCCTAATCGCCAGGTAGAAAGTGTTTCGTCGAGAAACCAACCCAAACAAGAAGTTTTGTATCCATTGTTCAGTTCCAATCCGGCTATGGTGCTAACACATAGACTTGTGAGTCGTCAGACTATATGCGGGAAAGATGTGACGGTTCGCAACTCCTAATAGCACCATAGTCAAAATTGCTTCGTTTCAGGACCCTCAAGTCATTCGAATTTTCGTATAAGAGATGGAACAACTTTTCACTTTGTCGGCGTGTAGGTAGTCCTACCAATCTCTACTGCATCCCTGAGTGTTGCATGTCACGAGGATGGAAGGAATGACCCATCAGTGGACACAGTGACGTTACACGCTTTCTCTATCAAAAACTACCTCATGGACTTGAATTAAGTTTTCACACGTCTACGATACCATGCGTGTGTAAATCAACCGTGGCGGCGGAGTCAGGTTATATCATTCCGGGTTTAGCAACACACATGACTTCTCCTTCCTCCAAGAACTCTTCTTGCCACCCACCACCCTATGAATTCAAGCTAGGAAGCCAACCACCAGGTGCAAAAGAAGAGAAATAATTGATGGCCTGCAGGGCAGCCAAACCAGTCATGGGGATCATCAGTTTGCTTCTTGGCCGGCCATGAACGAAGGAGAAAATGGAAGTGGTTTCATTTCCTAGCTAGGGTACGTAGGGAGACAAATGGGTGGGTTTCTTTCCTTCAATTCATTGTGACTTAGATAGAATTGGACACTTGTGGAGTCACTAGTCAGCCTCTGTACTCTGTTTATGGTACCATTAGACCGCCGACCTAGAAGGGAACTTAGGCCTCTCATCGTCACTCTGCAGTGTGATTTGATGCGCCCTTTTGTCATTTGGCCCCTGATTCCTGAACTTCTCTTTCCCTAATTTGTCAACTCGTTTCACTATATACAGATGGAAAAGACCTCCATATTCAACTCTGCAATGGAGCATCCGTTTGAAAAAAAGTTCACAATGGAAGAGAGAGTTCATAATGGTATAGGGTTCAACATGAAAGTTGTTGTTTGAACCTAACTGAAGGTAGAAGTGAGGTTCGGGAGAAGGGGACGAGAGGAGTTGGCAATGGGAGTTCACTAGACACTAATGGTTGAAGAACAAGGGATTGGGAGAACGAGGTTGAGAGAGTAATATCTTAGAAAGAGAAGTTCGTAGTTTGTAGAGATAGAGTGAGAAAAATCCGATCCCCTCACCCACCGGAGTAAATGTCATATTTATAGGCTACATGGTGGTGGGTGAGTTACTTGGTGATATGACTACTGACATGGTGATATGACTACTGACATGTCAGAACTTTAGGCCACACCTCTACCTAGGACTAGGAGTTTGGTCCATGATTGTACCTAGGACTATGATGTGACTACTCTTCGAGGGATGCGGCGTCGTTTCCATGGTTTCTTGGTCTGGTCAACGCTTGGTTGAACCGTCGTCGTTCGGCGTCTGGGATTTTTGTCCGCGAGTGTGGGCTCTGCCGCGCTCAAGGTTCTCGTGCGGGCGCAGCTTTGGTTGTGTTGACACTAACGCGCCTGACCCTTCTGGGGGCGATGCCGGGATGCTTCCTTGGCGCGGCTAGACCCGAGTCATATGTCCAACAGTTGTTATAAGATACCTCATCAAAATACTACATCCAAATTACCCGTTAATTTCTCATCAGCTTACACATAGAACTGGTAACCAATCTCTTCCTTCCAGCTGCTAGAATCGGTATGAGAAACAGAGCACAGGGCAAAATGATCCCAACAATTGGTGGTGGAGGAGAGCCTACAAATCCCCACCATGGAAATTTGGAGGGAAAAAAAACCCACATAACTGTGTACATATTTGGTCGGCTATCCAAAACAAAAACATAAAAATGTCTACTCAAAAGTCTCAAACCCATATCCAAGAGAATCTGCCATCACCACTCCTATAATTCAAGCCAAAGTCACTTTCCATTGCTGTGTGAGAGTGTCCCCATCTTCATCCTGTCACTACAACTGCTGCTGACCCATGCCCCACTTCCCAAGCAACCACACTCCCCAAAATCGTCATCCCGGTAGCCTCGATGCAAAACAACACACTAATGCATTAGTCCTTAATCAATATTTTGAAGAAACGGGTTAAGCCTTGTGTCACTTTCTCCCATTTTCCAACTGGAGTTCAAATAGATGTACTATGGATCGGTGAGTGATAATATGAGAAATGAATTTAGTACCCAAGGTATCGAGATTTCAATTCTCAAGCCAACATTGTTTGTAAACAAAAAAATGAAAGCTTTCCCAAGCTTACGTTTATTTTGAAGAGAAATTAGGTAACTTTATTTTCAAGAGGAAGTGCGAAGAAATAAGCGATTATTACCTGAATAGATTAGTTCCCTTGTTATATCCAACTTGGATTCCAATAAATATGTTAAGGATCGGTGAGTGATAATATGAGAATCAAATTAGATATTCACCAATATCAAAATTCCAATGTCTGAGCGAACATCACTTGTGAAGAAAGTGTCGCCTTATCAAACACGATAACATCACTTGTTGTTTTAGAGTATTCTCGCATCTCAAATAAATCGAATTATTCAATTTTCAATCTAACAATTGAGAACGGGTGTTTTTACTCTCTTATTGACATAATAAGAGAAGAGCAAATTGATGAAGATAGAGAAATATAACACAACACAGGAGTTTAACAAAATTAAGGTAGGAGTACTATTGATTGATTTTGGCCTGAAGCTGTAGCTAAAAATGACAGCTCCAAACTGTTCCAATCCTTTCTTTTTTCTTCTGCTTCTTCTTCCACACTATTATACCATAACAATACACCAAAATCCCCACCAAAAAAACCAGAAATTTAAAAACAAACTCACCCACCCACATTGTTTCCCTCTCCAAACCCTCCAACCCAAATCATAATCAAAACTCTAAAGAACGAAATTAATCATCATCTTTACACACTTCCATGATCCATCCCTCTCCCCAGCTAAAACTAACCTTAATTAGTTAACTTAGAATTTAATCAAATTAATCAGAAGAAAGGGAGAGAGAGACTTAATCACATGGTTTAATCTCGGAATCGTCCCACGGAATGTTGAGATCCGCGGAAGAAACCAAGTTATCCATGTCGACATCCCAATTCCAGTACCCGCCGCCGCCGCTCGCCATATCATTCATATTCCCACTCCCGCCGCCGATCGTGCTAGGAACCTGCCACGTGGCGGGAGTATATCCGGCGGCACCGGAAGGCAAGCCCAGAAACTGCCCGTCGAAACTGGCAACGGCGGCGGAGGAGGTGGAGATGGCAGAGGACGAGGCAGAGTAATTGGGAAAGCTCAGACCTTGCGAAAACACAAACCCAATTCCCTCCTCGTCGTCGAAATTAGCCACGACGGAATCGCTCTCCGCCGGTGGACCCATCGGCGACGGGATCTTTAGCGACGACGGGACAGATGGATGATCTGTTACTCCACTACCGAAAACGATGTCGTTTGGTGACGATGCTCTGCCTCCGTCAGTACTCTGTTTCGGCTTCTTGTTCTGCTGGGCTTGAATTACCATCTTCGGATTAACCTTGTTAATGATCTTGCCGTTGCCGGAGCCGGAGGGTTTGTGGGGGCGCTTGTTCTTCCGGCCGCCGCCGACGGGGACGTTGCGCAAGGTCCCGCCTTTGGTCCAATGGCGCTTGCAGGCTTTACAGAAATGCCTGGGCTGGGATTTGTTGTAGTTGTTGTAGTAGCAGAACTTGGTGTTGCTGGAGTCGCATCTCGGACACTTCAACGGCTCCGGTTGGTTGTGGTCCTGGTTCATCTGATGCCGCCTCCTACCCGTAGGATCGGGCGGAGGCGGCGGCTTCGTTGCAGCCGCCGGGTGGAGAATTTGCGGCGGCGGCGGCGGTTGGAGGATTAGGCTGCTCTGACTCCAGTCCAATCCGTCATTAGAGGAAACCTGCTTTGTGCTCAAACCCATCATCAATTTGAACCCAATTGAGATTTTTTATGGCTAATCAACCCAAATCAAGAGATGAAAGGAGAAGAAGGGATGAGATTAGTGAAGCTGGTTATTATAAACCAAATTGGGAGAGGAAGAAATGAAGGGAGAGTTGCTTAGGGATGAGGAAATTGGGAGGAAGGTGAATGGAGGAGGATGCTAGTTAGTGAGCATTTCTTTCCTTTTGGATTCTATCTATATCCCTCATCTCTCTCTCCTCTCTTTGCCTTATAAATATGTTCCCTAGTACCTCAAGTAGACATCTACATGACCCCAAAAACTATTCACTATTACACTCTAATAGTTCATAACTGGTCTGTTTCGCGTCTTTTCAGTTAACCTATACAGTTTTGTACTCTAGCGATATTTCAAATATAATTGGATATGTATTTCTTTCGTTATACTTGTCTTTACGTATCTTAATTGATTCTACAGAAACGGGACATAGTACTTTGTTACGAATTTTTCACCTTACTATCTTTGTCGGAAAGCGACACTATGTACTAGGCATAGTTTGATTTTAAGTTTCGGTTTGATGTGAGAAAAACGACGATGATATACTGGACACATCTTGATCCGAATTTTTCGGCCTAGTATGTGTACACCACCCTCTACTCACAATCTATGGGAAAACGACGATGGAGTAGATGCAATGATGATGGGGCAAATGGAGGAATTATGAAGAGAGATGGGGTTTGAATGAAAATAATAGGAGTGGTCCAAGATTCACAATAGTTGGAGGAGTTGTGGGAAATCAAGGGGGAGGTCTAAGGGAACATGCCCTCTTTTGATGATGCTGGCCAAGGCCAATCTCTCTCTATAAGATCATATTGAGTTGTAGAGAGAGAGAGAGAGATTCTTTGTTTTTGCTTCGTCCCTAAGGTGGGAGATGGGTTGTTGACACGTGGATGGGTTGGGGGCCGTTGATAGTGCGGTTCTACACATACATATGCATGAGTTGTAAAGGGACGTGGATGTGTTCATCATCATGGCTTGTTGTTGGTTTGCTAGCTCCATGGCCAAAATTGTATAGTGGTTTCTTAACAGTTAGGTAAGGTAGCTAGTTGTAATAGTTTTTAACCTAATCGGGTGCCCAAATGAAAGATCACATCGGTGTTTGGGTTGTAAAATATCGAAATCCTCTTGGTACGTGGAGAAGGAGAATTATAATAATGGTAAAGCTTGGGAACTTGTAGTTAAAGGGACTTACCCAAATGAAGGTTCGAGGGAAATTGTGTAGTTAACTAACTAGTGGATGGGTGGGAGGCTGCTTTGTTATCTACGAGGATGCGTTGTGTTGTCGCTCGAGCTGAAATGGTGAAGATTTTCGTATCATTTTTTACTAAGTTGATGGACGCGTGTTTCGTGAAATTCATCTTCGTATAGATTTTCATTTTGTACGTCTTATTGATACGCATCGTCATGAGTTTCATTTCCAGTCTGTTAATGGGGTGGTGGCCGACAACCTTCTCTTTGCTCACTTAGAAGTAAATCCAGTGCCTATTTGTCAATGACAACCCTGATGACCAGTGATCATCACTCGAGTCGTGATCAATCGATGTGGGGATCGAGCTTGCATGATTTCCAATCAACTCGAGAGACGAGTTTCGCAGAGTACGGAGCGTACCCATCTACGTAAATATCGATTCCACCAATATATATTATGCTCAATCTGATTGTTACAAGTTGCAACCTCCATCCGAGACTTATGTGTCAGCACCAACCACCAATAGCAATGTATATAGATCCAACGATAACTTAAATCTCCACTACATCGATCGTTGTGGCACAACTCCGTTAGATGATTTCCTTGCCCCGCTGTCAATTCGGCCAACACGTTTACGTCACTTATTACAAGTACGTACTCACATCATTGCATCTCGCATCTCAAAAACGAAATGTATATTACGAGATACCGGATTTAATATAATATATATAAACACGTAGTTGCACAAAATCCAAATCCTTATATCCAGAGAGATGATTTGAACGGAAATTTGCAGCAGAAAGAGGGTTTTACCGGACATTGGTCTGGTCCAACATTCTCGTGTCGCAAGTTGCAAGCAATAAATTCAATTCGTATACTACAAAATACATATGTGTGTACACATTCCTTTATTTGACTGGATAAAATATGGGGGGAATTCGACCGTACAGCGATTCAGGAAAGGGCGGTGGAGGTGGGGCCCAGCTGATTAGAGAAAGGGGGGTTTTGGGCGGCGTGGGGACACGTGATTGATGGGTGGGGGCCCACTTGGGGGATGGGCCCAAGTTAGTAGACAGCCACCCGACACCAGTTGGTAGATCCCCCAGGGAAATGAGTTTGATGGGCCTATCCGCATGTGATAACTGCCCATGACGACGACACCCCCAAGCTTCTGTCGTCTTCCCTGGCGCGCGGGGATCTCGTCGTTTCTGTCGTCGGCGTCGCCCTGGTTTGATTTTATTAGCTTTGGCGGCAGAGAACCGACGAATATGCGACGTCGTTTTGTGTCTCCTTTGGGCGACGGCGACACTGTCTGGTGACGGGTGGGAGAGGTGGCCTCGTGTACTTGTTTTGTAGCGGCGGTTGGGAATCTTTTGCTTGTGACTGCCACATTAGTCGTTAGTCCATGTGATGGTTTGCATTAAGTTAAGAGTGATGTTTTTCATGGATACATCGTACTAAATTTGTGTTTGAACTATAAAAAGATCATACATTCCAAATTTATCATTACTTTAATCTCGGAGAACCGACATGACGACGACGATATGGGATGATACAAATTCGTTGTTTGCAGGGAACAAATCAAATCACGTAAAAGTAAATTAGTCTGATTTCACCGTAAGCTTGTACGTGCAATGGTTTTCTTCAAAGAAACCTTAGACCATGGTGTGATTGGTATGATACTGTAGCAAGTAAATGATTGAGTCGGTTCTCGTCTTTGTTTTACTTTTGTTGATTTGTGGTAAGAAGCGGGAAAGATACTTTGCCCATCTCTTCATCAACACCTGTACGTACATAGCACGAGTCGAAATTATCGACAAAGATGAAGCTTCTCTTTAGGCTTTCCGGATCAGTTCGAATGATTTTAGCGAAAATTATCCAATCAAACAATTTTATTAAATGTGTCCCCTAGTCAAATGGATGGATGATGGAGGTCATGTCTAATGAAGTAAACATTTTGTTCTACCGTATCGGAATCCACATCCGTATGAATCCGCAGAAAGAGGTGGATTACTTCCATCTGTTTTATTATTATTTTTTTACTAGCCAATCATGTTATTAACTTAGAAGGGAGATTGAGATTGAAAACGAGAAGAGAGCTTATAATTGGAGTGAGTCGGCCGTCGCCGTGATTACGACCACGAGCGGCACGTGCATGCTCATCAGCCCACGACAACTATTCTCTTCAAAATTCCTTCTCCCTTTTCTTTAATCCTCCTTCTTGTACGTATAAACAAAGCAGAGCAGAACAGAAACAGAACATTCCCCCCTGCAAAAGAATTCTCTCATTAAATTAACATGGACACCAAACCAGAATTGGAATCGAATACCTTTCATCGCTCCAATTAGATGAGCCACTTCTTACTTACGTAATGATGGGCAAGCATATAAGTTCACGCCGAAACACAACACCAACACGTCCATCCCGATTCCGATCGGACGTCAAGTCTGTTGATGTAACTTGAATCGGACTATCAGCCCCTACGACTGGTAATCGGGGGTCTCGCTGTTATTTGGGTTCAGGTTCTGGGCCTGGTGTGTAACCGTTTCCTTTGCCAGATTAGATTAGGTTTAGACCCACATGGAGAAGTACTATAAATACTTCTCATACTCCTCTGTATTCTGTAATCTACTCGATACAGTGAAACTGGCTCTCTCTCGCCCGTGGACGTAGCTAACACACATCGTGTTAGTGAACCACGTAAATCGTGTGTCTGTGTTTTTCGATTCTCGCTTTTGTATTCTTAATTTATCGATTTCGGCAATTTTCCGATCCGTAACAGCGCGTTTATAACAAAGTCGATGTAGTCCGTAGTTTATTATCTCCGATACGATTTCACCATCTTTGGTTCGTTCTATCTCTGTTTTGGGGGGCCACTTGTTACAACTTAGAAAAACAGAGTGTCAGTGGGGACAAATCAGTCTGAAAGCCCGCCACGCCTCCCAAAGAAAAGGAAAGCCATCTGTCATTCCCTTCTTCCCTGCTTGTTAAGCAAACGATAATCATGCTGCAGCACCAATCCATAAAACAACTAAGCTTAATTGGAAACAACAGTCTAATCACTCGGCTTAAACACATTCGCTAATGATACTAATGGGCCAGTCAAAATATATTAATTCTTTCACCTATCGTCTCACCTCCACCGCGATTTTAGTTGTTATGGTGATTATTAGTTGGGGCAGCCCTCCTTAAAACTTGATTAGTTTATTATTATGAACAAACTGAACCGAACCAAAACAACTATCATAATCATTATCATATGCTTAATTCTATCCAAAATTATTAATGATTAATTATTTATAACTAAACGACAACCCTCCTCCTCCATCGTTCAGCAGCTTGCTGCAACAGGACATTATGGATAATGGGTCCCACCCGGAATTCTCTTACTGTCTCTCGGGTGGTTGGCTGACAATTCAGCTCGGCCCACTGACGCACTTAGTTAGTTCCAGGTTGGATCATGAACATTTTTTTTTTATTTGTATAAATCAGTTTACGAAACGAATTTTTAAGGTAGGCGGGCGGACTTGTCGCTGTTTTCATAACTAAAGTTCGGTTCACTTCTGGTTCCATTTTGCCTATGTCTTCACATCGTGTCAACAACGAGCTCACGTAAATCGAGAGGAAGGATCGGAACAGTTTTGATCGAATCCGACTCCGATCGTTTTGATTCGACTAATCGAACCGCGACCAAGAGTCTGAACAGGCTCGTCGTCGTTGCACCGTGCTGACACGACATATTGTTTGGAATCCGACCCAATGGGAACAGTGTGCATCAAAAAGCTGCAGGGTTGGGTTGGGTTGCTGCAAATTAGACTAGTAAGAACACAAGGTTTGACTAAATCACAGACTCTTGTGGGTCAACAAAGATCATCTGGATTCTGAAACGAGGACCCTTCCTACTTAAAAGCATACAGACACAGAGGTCTTCAATTCCAATACAATTCAGCAGCCACCCTCACTTTACCTCCAACTGGCCAACTGCAAATATTGTACCCTTTAAACAAAGCATCCTGTTCAAAACTTCAAATACAACAGGAGATGCCTAAACCATGTCCTGCAAGAAAAAGAAAGGCTTAGGTATAGAAACCCAGACGATCAAACTCAAGAAGACCAAATAGAGGGCTTAACTGAAAACAAAGTGGGGGGGAACAAATTGTAACTTGATACCTTGAAAGGCTGTCGACAGATGACAAATAGCAGTAAGCCAACAAAAACATGATTTCAAGGTAAATACCATAACATCGACTACTCAGCCCGGCAATAGTAGCATAACAACAACAAGAAGAAGAAAGTTACCTCACAGTTGTTGTCTTTTCCCACGGCCACCCTATCCCTTAAAACTCCATGGTGCAGGAACAGGATTTCGATATGCCTTGGTACAGGAACAGGATTTCGATATGCCTTCAAGAAGACAAGCAACTTAGGATCTGATGCAGTAGGATCCCACAGCTGATGCACATCAGTATACTACCAGTTAAACCACGATTGCACTACTAAATACCATTCCGCTGATTAAGGTTTTACAAAAATATAGTCGGTTAATGTCCACCGTGGGTATATCATATGAAGGGACCCAAAGAATTGAACTTGCTACAATTCAAACCAGTATAGAACAGAGTGGAAAATGGATTAGTAGCCCACTAAAAGCTCAAGAGATTCTGAGACACTACAGACTAAGTTCCTTTCCACAAAGTTTCTGAACTTAGCACGTTATACAACAATAATGGCAGTGGTAACCAACACCTGGTTCTAGTTAGCCTCGCCATCACACCTTAATGATGGCAGCACCTCCAAACACAACTTGTCTGCCCACGGCTTAAAAGCTCCAACAGCTGGTAAATTCTGCACAAACACATCAGTATTCATTAGCAACATCACAAAGAGCAGATACAAAACAACCAGCGGAATGCTCATCCCTCACCTGCATTAAGTACACAAACCCACGTAAGAGGTTCAGCATTCGAGGGCGACAGTGCTCGAGATCTGGACTAGTCTGCACCTCAGCAATCTTCTTCGTAAAGTCTAAGTTAAACAGTGCACACACAACCGCAAAAACTTTCAAATAATGCTAGTTGACTATTACTCAACAACGCTGCGACAAATAACAGTGAAAAGGAACTGATGATGATAGTAGACCTTTGTGTTGATCGAGGTAAGACATGCCAAGGGAGTGTTTGTCTTGAGATGAACGTGGCGTGTCTTCGTCGAATTGCTTCTGCCTTGGTCGAGATACCTCTGCCCACAGTTTGTCGTACTCCTCATCACAGTATGGCTGTCTGAGAATCTCCATCAGCTTCGATCTGAACTCAGAATGGTCGTTCGTGACATCAGGGTCGTCTTCTTCGTCGTCATACTGTACGACCTATGAATGTCCAGTGCAATATGCCCAATTAGCTTATATAGAGAAGGGTTTGGAAAACATTCGGAGTCGTGAAGGAGAAAGTTGCATACGTATAGTTTAGGATCCTCTGTAGGCATAAATGGAGTGTTTTTATCATGAGAGAATGATGCAGGATCGATTACAATCACAATATCATCCGAGTCAGATGAACTTGTTGGATCTACTTCTTCTGCTTCTTCTTTGATAGCATCTTCATCAGCAATCAAATTTTTCATCTGCAAATTCAAGCATTTATCCACCTGACCATCACATCCACCAACCTCCTCTTCACACTGTTGCTTAGTTGAATCAAGATATTCGATTCCAGGCCCTTTATCGGCAGACTGATCACGATGAATGGGCAGATTCATACCCTCACTTCTTTCAGTGTCATTCCGTCCAATCAGGGTTTCCATTCCTTGCGGGCTTACATCTCTATAAGCTTCCATGGCTGTCTCTTTCTCGGTTCTCAAGGCATCATCGCCCTTAGGAAGTTGCATCAACCTCGCATTGTTAACTGTGCAAACTGCAATTTCTGGATTCAGAGTTTCCATTCCTTGCTCGCTTAGATCTCTATAAGCTTCCATGCCTCTCTCTTCCTCAGTTCTACAGGCATCATCACAGTTAGGAAGTTCCATCAGCCTTCCCTCATTTCTTCTCTTCTTCCACGGTAAATCCTCGTCTGTTGCTCCGTACAAGAAAGATATATTCTTCCCATTCCCAGTGGTAACATTAAGCATGAAAGAATTCTCGTGCACTGTCAGATGCTCCAAGAACATTTCGTATTCACCATCAAGAGATTCATATAGAGTGAAATTGTAAGCATCACTCTCCCTAAACCCTGAAGACGAATTGGCATCAGAAGTCAACAAGTTAGTCTGACATGTCTTGAACCCCATTTCACTTCTCGAACCAACCTTAGTCTTGTTAATGCAATCTTCATCTCTTCTTCTCTTCTTGGGCTGCAAGTCACCACTACCTCCTCTACCTTGTCCCTTTGCAAAACCCTCCCTTGTATTGCAATCCTCGGTTCCGTACAAGAAAGATATTGACTTCCCAACGCCCGCAGTAACATTAAGCATGTATGAAGTCTCATGAGCAGTCAAATGCTCCAGGAACGTTTCATATTCACCATCAAGAGGTTCATCAACAGTAACATTGTTAACATCAGGAACAGCCAAAGGTTCGTCAACAGTAACATTGTTAACACAAGGAGTATCATCACCAAGGGACTCACCAAAAACATTTTCATTGCCTAAAGACGAATTGGCAACAGAAGTCTTCCACTGAAACCCCTGATTATTTCTCAAAGTCTTTCCACAGCTTAACCCAACTGCGGTCTCGTTCATGATTTTACTTCCCTCCACTGGACTGCTCTTCCTATTCAAGTGAAACTTAGACCGACTGCAAACTCCACCTCTCCCAGCATTTAAACAGTTTACACCACCATTACCTTTCCTACCTTCTCTCTTTGCATAACCCTTCCCTGTACCTAAATCTACAGCTTCGTAGGAGAAAGATGACCGCTTCCTATTGCCCGTAGGAATGCTGACCACGTACGAACACCCCTCCTCCTTCACATGCCCCAAGAACATTCCATACTCACCATCAGAACACTCACCAAGAATATCCTCGTCAAGAGATTCTTCAACAGCATCACCAAGGAAATCCCCTGAGGAACCAGTAGGAGTATTCTTCTTCCACTTATGAAACCCACGACAACACTTCTTCTTCTTGTTCATCGACACTCCACCATTATCAGTATACTCACCAGCCACAATTCCTTCACCCACCATCTTGCATCTCCTAGAAGAACGAGGCATTCTCGCTTCCAAACTGCCAACATCCCTCATGAACTGTACAAAATCAGCATCCATTTCCTCTTCCGGTTCTACAAAGGCGGGTTGAAGCAACCTCATGTAATCTCTATCCACTGCTTCATAACCGTAGGGTTTGCTATTACTACTAAACCCTCTCCCTTTGAAACCAGAAAGCTCCGAACTTTGACCAGCCCATCCATTTCTCCCACCACTCTTCATTCTGTTAACCGACCTCGGATATTCCACAAACCCACTCCTTTTCCTTTTTCTTCCTCGTAACCCCATTCTTTCCCCCATTACCCACACCACTATTCACACAAAACAGAGCGAAGCAAAGGCAGAGAGATATTCTTACCCGGAAAAAATCCCTCCCTTTTACCCAGCAGCGACCAGCATTCCCGAACGAAGAAAGAAGGAAACCCTAATCAGAACTGCCAGACTGAATCTGGGAGGGAACTTGGTTCCCAATTTACCTCGGCATTTCCATGGCAGAGTGAAGAGACAGGACAAGAAGCAGCAGCAGTAGAAAGGCGCAATTCTCCCAGTCCAAGACTGATTTGTCAAGTTCAAGTCACAATATATCGTTATACCCCTATTCCAATTTACCGTTTTCATCCACATATAACCTTTTCCCGCGAGTCAGCCAAAGGGACGAAAGCGTAAATATGCATTTTACTCACTGATGGATTGCATCTGCGAGCGACACGTCAAAGATCAGCCTTCTTCAATGGGTCTCCGTCTCACTAACCCCGTCAGAAAAATTTGTTCTTTTTTATTTCTTGTTTACGAGAAAACAGAAATTACTTCTCCCGGATTTTCTTACCGCGGATTTTTCCTTTCCTAGATTTCCCCTCCTTCATTTCTTTCCCAGATCTGGGGAACGCGTGATTTGCTTCGTGATTGAAGGAGGGAAGTGGGGGTGAAATCAGGAAATTAGTAGCCCACTTCCCCGACGAATTTGGAAACGGTTTGATTGTTTTCAGTCCAGAGGGGGAAAATGGGAATGCAAGGAGAAGAAAATGGGAATGGAGACGGCGGCAGCAATGTAAGTATCAAGTACTCGAGGATAGACTACGCCGGCAGCGAGGCGGATACACCGTCGTCGGTGCAAGCAAGTGCCGTGAAGAAATATGATACGAGGAAATACGTGTTTGCCTGCGCCATCTTCGCCTCTCTCAATTCCGTGCTCATGGGTTATGGTTGGTAGATAGATCTCCCCCTGAAAGTTTCTTCCTTTTTCCGATCCCGTGAGTTTCTTATGGTTTGCTTGGCTTCCGAGAAAGTTTTATGTGGTCGTTGGGTGGGAGGTTATGTTGACTTCGATTACTGATTTCCCGTTTTGAATAAGCATACGAACTTGTTAGTTTTCTCGTTGTCTGAACAATAGTTTGCCAATTGGGGTTACACACAGTTCGATTACAGGACCAGCATTGTATTCCAAAAGGGAATTAAACCTGAAAAACTTCCCTTTGTCTTATATAGCTAAATTTCACTATTGCTCGATCTGCAGATGTGGGTGTAATGAGTGGAGCAGTGATCTTCATCCAACAAGACCTCAAGATTTCGGAAACTGAAGAGGAAGTCCTGGTGGGAATCTTAAGCATAGTCTCCCTATTCGGGAGCTTAATCGGAGGCAAAACATCGGACATCATAGGCCGAAAATGGACTATAGCATTATCAGCCGTCATCTTCCAATCAGGAAGTGCTATCATGGCTCTTGCACCTTCCTTCAGGGTTTTGATGATAGGCAGGCTGATAGCTGGAGTAGGAATAGGGTTTGGAGTGGCGATTGCACCGGTGTATATAGTAGAAATCGCGCCTTCAGTTGCCAGAGGCTCCCTAACCTCATTCCCTGAGATTTTTGTGAACTTTGGTATACTCTTAGGATACATTTCAAACTATGCATTCTCGGACCTCTCGGTCCACATGAGTTGGAGGGTCATGCTTGGTGTAGGGATCTTGCCTTCTATCTTCATGGGTTTTGCACTGTTCGTGATCCCTGAATCACCTAGATGGCTAGCAATGAAGAATCGGATCGACGAGGCAAGATTGGTGCTTTCCAAGACCAATGAAAGTGAGCAAGAAGTGGAAGAGAGGTTAGCTGAAATTCAAGTAGCTGCAGAGGAAGCCAATGCTGAGAGATATGACAAAAAAGAAGTGTGGTTTGAAATTCTAAACCCATCTCCAGCAGCCAAGCGAATGTTAATCACTGGCTGCGGAATCCAATGCTTTCAGCAGATCACTGGTATAGAAGCTACAGTTTACTACAGCCCAACAATCTTCAAGCATGCTGGAATCCAAGGGAATGCTCAGGTTCTCGCTGCAACAGTTGCCGTGGGGTTCACCAAAACTGTGTTTATCTTGTTTGCCATATTCTTGATTGATAGACTAGGTAGAAAGCCATTGCTTTACTTGAGCACAATTGGGATGACTATGAGCTTGCTCTGTTTGAGCTTGACCTTATCATTCCTGAGCCATAATGGAGGGCTTGGGATTAGCTTGTCATTGTTATCGGTCTGCGCCAATGTGGCTTTCTTCTCGGTGGGGCTCGGTCCCATTTGTTGGGTGCTTTCTTCGGAGATATTTCCGTTGAGGCTAAGGGCTCAGGCATCTGCTCTTGGAGCCGTTGCTAGCAGGGTGAGCAGCGGTTTAGTCACGATGACGTTTCTCTCGGTGTGTAGAGCCATCACAGTTGGCGGGACGTTTTTTGTGTTCGCTGTGATCTCTGCTCTAGCTGTTCTGTTTGTGTATCGTTGTGTGCCCGAGACGAAAGGGAAGTCGTTGGAGCAGATCGTGATGCTGTTCGAGGATGGTGGTGCGGATGGGCAAAGGCGTGAAGTTGAATTGGGAGATGCAGAACGATTAGTAGCGAAGGAATGATATGTGGTTTGATGAATCTTGATGAAGAGCTTGTGTGGTTGATATGTGAGGACTCTTATATACTTGTACAAGAAACAGATATATAGAATGTAGTGCAGCTCAGTTGTTCTTCGATCCTTAGAGGTGTGGATTCAAGCTTGAGTGGTAGATGAACAGTGTGTTGGTGGATGAGAATGAGCCGATCTTATGATGTAGAGACTAGAGAGATGGAAAAGAAGAGTGGATTAAGTGAGGGTGTGATCATGTACAATAACCAACTCCCTTGCTCCTTTACAATATTTTTGTGCTGTAATACTGAGGAACATGTGTAGAAATTTGCTTTATACGAGATGAATCGACGAGTAATGGTAGAACCTCAATTCGTTATGAATTCCTACGTGTCAGTTCAATAATTGTAAGTTTTTTTTACCCTTATAGATGTGGATTCAAGATTCGAGTGTGATAATACGATGAATACTACCGTCGTAAGTTACTGCAAAATTAACCCTACAGCCTAGTAAGTAGTAACTGTAGGTTGTTGATTAAGTGACTAACCAACTCATTAGAAACAAAGGGTTGGAGATGATATCATCCATTTTTCATGGTTGAACTTACCATGATCCCATCGAGCAAATAAAAATACCAAATAATAAAATGTGCCACTGATCCAAATTGATGCAAATACCAAAGGAGGCCATTAGGTTTGTTACTTTGTTAGGCAGATTGAGGCTGATATAAATGTCCCTTATTTATGTTGTTGAAAGTCTTATAAGTTTTTCTACATGTTTAACGAGCTTTTTATATTTTTATTTGGTTTCGATTAATTTCATCCAAAATATTTGAAGTATCAAGAAAGACCACCTCGGCTTATTGAAGGATGGCCAAACGGTGTATAAATTGTTAAACTCAAATGTACTTTTTGATTATTTTCATATTCGAACGACTTTATTAAGAGTTCTTATTAACAGCCTGCATGTTGGACACAATATGTGTTAGGTAACTCACAAAAATGAGTTCTCATCTTTCTCGTCTTGTCACTCAGCTCTTCCAAGTACACTAACAACATTGGGAGGATGCTCATTTATTGATTAACCAACCACGGCTAACTATATTAAGTTTGAAATTGATGATGTTTAAAAAAAAAGTTATTAGCTTATATAGTAGCATGATTTCACCATCCAATCCACTAATGCAAAGATAAAGAAAATGAAACACACAACAAAATAGGGAAAATCTCGATCTTCCAACAAAATGCGGTTGATTGAATTATGAAACATGAGACGGTCGTCTGCTAGTTCAATCCACTCCAACCGATGCCGTGAAATTCTCTATGTACGAGTACAATAATACTAATCAAACCTAAATACATGATCTACCAAATTAGTAACAAAACATAACAAAGAGAACATATAACAGAAAGATACGAGCTAGATGCCTCTATATCATTAGCACAACAAAGTGATTAATTTGATGGAATGTGTTTTGCCTACTCTCACTTTAATATTTTTCGCTTTTGTGTTGAAGAGTATTTCATAACATATGTACATAACTGTCTGTCTACCTCTATAAGACACATTTATCGATTACCAATACAAAACGAAAAAAAAAAAACAAAGAACTCATACTAAAAATAAAACGAAACCTCTAGATTTTTTCATAATGATTATAATCTACTAACAATATGTATTCGTTAACTTCCAATTCGTCCGATTGACTCCAACATTTTTGTAGACTAACTTTTTCATTTACAAATTTTACCGACCATTACCAAATTAACATAAAGTCATAAACACATAGCAAAATCACAAAACCTTCTATTGTTTTTTCAAGAAAAGGATTCTCCTTTCCATCATCAACACTACAAATGGAATATGAAAACAAGCTAATTAAACCAACCCAACAAAAAAAAAAAAACCCCTTCAAGAAGAAGAAGAGTTGCAGAAAATACAGTACTCCGTCATGATCCGATTCATCACGCTCCCATCCTCAATCTCCACATCCCGACTCTGTCGATTCCACAAATGAACGGCGAAGCTCTCCTTCTTAATCCGCTCCAGTTTCCTCCTCACCCAACTCGACTGAATCCGATCCCGAGGACCCTGAAACAAGCCCGAAATCCTGCTCCAGTCCACCGGATAAAACGCCGGCGGCGGCAGCACCGTGAAATTATAACTCGAATTCCCCTCCACCCTCTCCACAACCCTCGAAACCAAGTACGGACCGTTATGCCCCCACTTGCTCCCGTCGAACGTCGTCGCGAATTCCTCGATGAACTTGTAAACCAACGGGTGGCTCCGGTCGAACACCAAAACGGCGTTGTTCAGCCGGCTCCACTTCCCCGTCTCCACGTCGACGGTCTGGGCGCCGATGGCATTCCGCAGCCCGGTGAAGCTCCGCAAAACGACGACGTCGGTGTCGAGGTAGATCCCGCCGAATTTGTACAGCAGGGCGAGGCGGAGCAAATTGGAGAGGTTCTGTGCGAGGGAGACGTCCCCGGGTCTGACCCGACCCGACTTCAAATCCCGGAACCAGATCTCCGCCGGGGTGCCTTTGAATGCGGCGGCGAAGTTGGGTTTCACGGCGGCGATGTGGAAATTCCTGTCGGCGAATCGCTTCAGGAGGCGCCGGCCGGGCTCGGAGTCCATCGAATTCGAGATGATGACGAGGCAGGCGTTTCTGTGGGTTCGGAAGAGGCTCTCGACGGCGAAGATTTCCCGGTCGCCGAGCGAATCGAGGGAAGGGGAGATCAGGGTCATGAAGAATCGCGGGTTGCAGTCGGAGCTCCGGAAGAAGTCCCGGATCCGGGCGGTGAATTCGGGTCCGGATCTGGACTCGGGCGGGCCGCGTCGGGGCTCCAACTTCCGTATCGCCTTCCCCACGTGCCACTTCAGCGAATGCCCCTTCCGGCCGTGCCTTTTGATCGTCGCCGCCGCCGCCGTGGTGGGGACCACCGGGCTGGGGAAGCGCGTGATGGGTAGCGCCTCGCTCAGCGCGTGGAGGGAGACGATGCGGAATGGCAACGACGGTTTTTCTTTTTTCCCCTCCCGGTGGAGGCCGGGTTTCCCTTCCGACGATGACGAGAAATTGGCGGGGGAATTGACGGCGGGGAAGAACGGGACGTGGACGTAGAACACGGCGGCGCCATTGTAGACCAGAAGGACGAGGAAGACGAACCCGAGTACGAATCTCTTCACGCCCTGCACATGGTGGTGTAAAAACAGAGACGCTGATTTCTGGTCGTGGTGAATCCGGCAACCAATCAACACCGCCTTCGTGGTCTTCCCTTCTTTCATTCTCCTTTTTCCACTAGAAGAACACGTTCGCCATGGCCATTGTTCACGATCGTGGAAAGGAAAACTCGATCAGGGAATGGTTTAGGAAACTTTCCAAGGAGATTAATTTGGATGCAGAGTGTATATAAGGAAAACTTTCAGAATTCCACTGAATGTGGGACTACGATGAATGCGGCAAGGTTTCTCGTTATAAAAGAAGGTAGGTTTAGAAAAGGTTCGTAGAGAGATTTAGTGTAAAGAGTGGAGAGAAGGAGAGAATTAACGCAAATCTTCGGTTTAAGAAAATGTAGGGAGGATTAGGGGAGAGAGGATGAAAATGCGAAAAGGGAGCTTCTCCTACTTTCCTGAAACAAGGAGAGACAGTTTTCAGGAACAAAAGGGAGGGAGGGGAAGGAAGAAGAAAGAAAGAAAGAACAGAGCCTTCATTTCTGTCCCTCTTTTCCTCTATCCATCTCTTTGCATTAGCCGTTTTTAGGTGGGAATGAAACGAATTACGTAACCAATTAACCAATTTCGAATCATCATTTTTAGTATAAATGGTGATTAAAGCCTTGTTTGACAACCAAGTAGTAATGTCAGTGATTTTGAAAATGCATGCTTGATTACATTGTTTGCTTTTTCATCTGATCATGTATTCGGTCTCTAATTCTAAAATTATTATGGGTGATTCTTTATCCTAATTATTTCTGTTATGAAGAGGGGCATTAACGCACAAGTTCAAAACTATTATGATCTCATGAGTAGCTGACAAATTCATGAGAGCAAGTGATTCGGACTTATAGCTCCCCCTATTAGTGGTTAAATAGAAATTTCCGCATGAGCAATGAAAATTTAATTGAAAAATATACCGTGTTGAATTTTGTATATGCATATCAGGTGGATTAAATCAAAGATTGAACGTCTTTGCTCCTTGCAAATATTTAGCCAAATTTCACGAATCTTACAAATAAACCGCTATGTTTTCACTTTATATGAATTCTTACTAATTCATTTATAAACTACCCAGAAGAATGATCAAAGATAGTAAATATAGGCAAGTGTTTGAATATAACTTGGGTTCTCTTTAATTTGCAGAAGGACTTCAATATGTAATTATTAATTACTGTATATCGTTTACAATTTGTTTTTGCTTGGTGAATGCGTGTATTTAAGATTATAAGAGTCAAACTTACTAATTTAGTACATATTGATTCATCTATTTTGGGTTTATCACTAAAATTTGATTCATCATTCTCATTTCAATATGATTTTGTATCTTTTCGTCCGAGTAAACGAGGACATATACTTGTAGAAGATTGTATTGAGGTTTGGTGGTTTGAAGTTTTACAATCGTCACATGAAAAATAATTGTTTTTATAAAAATTCAATTAGAGGTTGGTGGTTTAAAATTTTACAACCAGCATCATTACATCAAATGTTTTGCAATAATATAGACACGATAAGTAGGATGTCATAAAACTCGAGGCAGATAAACATCCCAATGGGTATTTCAGGTTTTAGAGCTTGAAAACTCTATGAAAAGAGGATGGCTACAACACCATAGTTACAAATCTGGTTCTTCCTTAGAATTGTTTGTATATAATATATTAACACAAACAGCCATTAATTGGACTCAACATTGGTGTCGGGATGGCATTTCAGAATTCAACACATGAAGGTGTCATCTTTTTCCATCTTCAAAGCATAACATTTGAAAAGTTAGGTCTTGTTTGTTTCTGTTTGTGTTATGCGATGAGAGGATGAAGAACACGTCACATTACAATTCCATGGGGAAACGATTCTCTTCTTAATCTGAGACAGACAAACTATCCATAACAGAGCTTCTAAATCTTCGTAAGTCTGCATATCCATCACAAAGTCGCCAAAAAAAACACTCACAGAAGCCCTCTTCTCCTCTTGTAGTCACTAACAGTCAGCGTCAGAGCATGCCGTCGGCCATCGTTCTCCGGGACCTGGCATCCAATCGTGGCTTCAATCCGTTGCTTCCTCGCCATGTACCCATTCTCGACTCCCTTGGCACCCCCAAACCTATGCAGTGCATCCAACGATATCGGCAGCTCGAAATCGTGCAACGCATACGACACCGTACCTTGATCCACCGGTGCTCGCGTATCGACCAACTTGCCAGCTCCCGCAGCTGCCTCTAATGCTGCTGCTGTTGCAGTCTCGCCCTCCACAGCTGACGCTGCTACTCCACTTCCCTCACCTTCTGTGATAGCAGTGTCGTTGGCAGCAGCAGCAGCAGCAGCGTTTTGACCGGTGTAGTAGTTTCTCGACCGAGTCCATCTCCTCGAAAATGGGTCGTACCCGGCTTCTCCTGCTTTCAACCCGGTCTTAGCTGGTTTGAGCTCGGAAGCATTTCTGAAATTCTCCACTCTGTTCTTTCTGTTCATCTCGGCAAGCTTCACGGCCTTCTTGTCCACTTCCTGAGCTAGCCGTGAGGCTTCCAGCTCACGAATCCTTGCCTTGATCCTCTCCACCTCAGCCAAATCATTCCTTCCTTCTGCCACCTCCATCTCTCTCCTCAACCGATCTTTCTCTGCAGCCACATTCAAAGGTCTTGTCGATGCAGACTTCTTCTCCTGCAGCATTTGCTTCACCGTGGCGGCAGAGTATACGAATGTAGTTGACTTCTTGATCGCTTCCTTCTTCTCCAAGATATCTTGCTTGCTCGGCATTCGACCGTTAGTCTTTTCAACTTCTTTCTTCCACAGCTTGTATTCTTCCTCAGTTGGTAATGAGTCTGAAACCATAGCCATCTGCCAACGTGCAGCTGAGCTTTCATTGCCCCATACGACATTGAGGTACTTATATGTGGTCTTGTTCTCAAGCTTGTATGGACGGTCAGGATCAGCAGCATCGATGTTTCGCACTAAGCAAAGTCTGTATATGGGTCCGGATCTCGACTTCCCTATCCCGACTCGTACGAAGCAACCCACGATCAGCTCATCAAACCACGGCTCCATCAACCACTTAGCAAGCTTCGATCTTCGAATCGTGATCTCTCTTATGTCTTCATATGATGGCGAACCATCCCTCTCATCATCACTATCCCCCATCCCGGTTGACTCTTCATTGTCACTGCGCGACCCACTCTCGCTGTCGCTCTGACTCGAGCTGCTCAGACTCGTTGCCGAGATGAAAGGCTTTCGCTTAGCTGGCGCAGGACCACCAGAAGAAGAAGCTTCACGAAGTCTCTTCCTGTGAGCCTCAGGATCCTGCTGCCGAAGTCGTTTGGCTTTGAGCTCATTCAAGGCATCATTTTGCGCAGCTGATCTGTCTGCCGATCGAGCTGAGGAACGTACCCCACGAGATGATGCTTGAGCCTTTGGTGGAAGAGTTTCTTTCGTATTGTTCTTCTCACGTTTGGACCGGATACTCTCAGTTAGATTCTTGTCCCCCTTCTTATCTGCACGTTCTGTCAAGATCATTTCCCTATCGAGTTCTGACATCTGCTCAAGTTTCCTTCGGTCTTCCTCATCTCTGTAGAGATCCGAGCCAACATCTGAATCATCGCTATCGTGATCAGAGTTCCTCCGGTTGTCATCATAACCGGGTTCTTCTTCCTGGCTGTTCAGCTCGCCGTCATCATCATCCTTTTCAGCTGCGTCCATTCGTTTCTTGAGAGGGACTTGAGATCCGGATGGTTTTTTCCTGCTGCTCGGATATCCATGGTCATCATCATTGGAATCTTCATCCCTCGAGTGGCTTCCATCATCCGAATACGAGCCCTCCCCACCACCGCCTCTTCTCCTGGAGGGTTGACGAGAGTTGCGGTTTCTTCCTCCTCCATTGCCAGTTCTTCCAGCTGCTTCCAGCAGCAGATCCTCCAAGTCTGCCATGCTTAACAACCTCCCTTCTCCAAACTCCACAAAACTATAGTACCTACAAAAGCAAAACCATCGATTAAACAGTATTCTAGATTCAGCTCACAAAGTCGAACTCAAACCCTAAAACGAAAGTACTAGATTCGGATCCACTGATTTTCCACGCTCATGAGAGTACAAATCACTGTCATTTTACTCATCACAAAACCTAATCAGACCTTCCGATGAAGCTACGGGAACTTGCCTATGCCCTGGAAACCTAATGCCCCTATTTCTTTCCTACCAAACCAATTCATAAGCCGTAATTTACCCAATCGATGAGCGACAAGAAATGGCGATTAGAATGAGTACGAACCCAAAGTTTCTGTTGCATCCTCGACGTCGGTCGCCCTTTCACCTGCGGCGAATCGCGAACCTGCGGTCGGCGACTGAGATTAGAGCGGCGGAGACGAAGTTGTAGAATTGTCGATGGAGAAAGGAAGAGGCCTCTCGATAACTGATTGACATTTGACACAGATTCTAATTTCTACCGGACCCGTATCAGTACAGTACCCGTTTGGCTGGCACTTTCAATATTCATCGCGACGTCGTTTTACAAGTAAATGATATTCGTTTTCCAAAGCAAGCAAAATTGATATTAAAATTGGCAATTTAAACATGACAACAATTGTCTGGTTAATTTAAATGACTCATTCTGTATACGGTGACATTTCACATGTCGCTAAATTTTCTCGTTTTGCAACACTAATTTTAAAACAGGACGGAGAAAGCAGAACAATAGAACAGGTAAACTGTGCTTCAAAGTTGAATTTCCGGCCAAAAGACAACAGAATCAGGTTAAAAGTCCAGATGCGGTGAATGAAGACATCCGCTTGTCCCCAAAAAGGTCGAAGAAGAGTAAGGTGGAGAAAGCTCTAAGCCAGGGCCGGCAAATCAATGGAGGCATATATAAAGCCCCACCCATCTAGCCTTCAAGCAGAGCCATTCCAAATCATTAGACCATTCAAAATACCATCATCTCCGATCACTTCCCGGCACAGGAAATCGCCGGAGAAATGGACCAAATCCAGCATAAGTTCGTCGAGGTCCAAGGACTGAAGCTCCACCTTGCCGAGATCGGGACAGGTAAGTAACTTGTAGACTGAGATGATGACTACTATCAGCCCTTTTTTGAACTCTGTTTTGAATCTTTCAGGTGACAAAGTTGTGATCTGCCTCCACGGATTCCCGGAGATATGGTACTCCTGGCGGCACCAGATGATCGCCCTCGCTGCCGCCGGGTACAGAGTGATCGCCCCCGATCACCGCGGGTACGGGTTGTCGGACTCGCCTGCCGAGCCCGAGAAGGCCAAGTTCGCCGACTTGATCTCCGACATCCGCTCCATACTCGACTCCCTCGATCTCCCTAAGGTAAAGCAGAGACCTTTCCTTTCGCTTCATCAAACAATCTGCTCTGTTTTTCGTCGCTAAAAAGTAAGGTAAAACAGAGACTCTGTTTCTCGTCGCTAATGTAATCAACCACAGGTGGTTATCGTCGCGAAAGACTTCGGGGTCCTTCCGGCTTACTATTTCGCCCTTCTTCATCCCGACAGAGTGCTTGGAGTCGTCACTATAGGGGTGCCATTCGTGCCGCCGGGTGCGATCCAGTACCATAAACATCTGCCTGAAGGATTCTACTTCACCAGGTGGAAGGTAAAATCAGATGCTAGGAAAATATCTCGACGCAGAGTCCAAAAATCAAAATTGGTTCCCCAACTTCAATGAATTCGTTTTGGTAATCTAGGAACCTGGAAGGGCAGAGGCTGATTTCGGCCGTTTTGATGCCAAGACGGTGGTGAGGAAAATATACACAATGTTTGCGAAGATGGAGGTTCCAATAGCCAGTGAGGGACAAGAGGTTCTGGATCTGGTTGATACATCCACCACCCCTCTCCCAGCCTGGTTCACTGAGCAAGATTTGGAGATCTACGGATCTTTGTATCAGAAATCTGGGTTTCTTACCGCACTCCAAGTACCTTACAGGTAATTGATAGACTCAATTGGATTTGACTATGATCTTAGTTCAAAATTGGAAATTCGAGTCGAATGGAATGAAATTAGTTACGAAAGTTTGAATCAAATTAGCTTGGTTGGAGTGGATATAGTGACGACTGATTGGGAACTCTTTTGTTTTTCTTTCTGCTGGGTTAGATCGTTTGATGAAGAGTACGACATGCCTGCCCTGGAAGTGAAGGTTCCGGCGATGCTGATCGCCGGCGAGAAGGATTACGTTCTTTACTTCCCCGGGATGGAAGATTACATAAGGAGCGGGAAGGTGAAAGACTTTGTCCCCGATCTGGAGACCATTTTCTTGCCGGAAGGGACGCATTTTGTCCAGGAGCAATCGCCGGAGCAAGTGAACAAGCTCATCCTGAAGTTCCTCAAAGCTAAAATCTGGTCTTGAACAACCTTCGATGACTCCCTAAAAATAATAATCTGGTGGCAAACAACAATTTAGAGAAAGAAAAATCGCTTCTTTTCCACAACTTCTACTCAAATTTGTGTCTTTCAAAGGGACTGTTATTGTTATTGGTTTAAACATGGAGTTTGCAATGCTTGTTTACTTCCTATGTCCCGTTTGAAGTATATTTGCATTTTGGTAGACTGTCGCTACCTTGGTCGCTGAATCACAGAGTTTTTACATTTTACTCCGAACGAAAGGCGTACCTGTGGACAATATAGAGTGACGACGGATGATAAAGAGAGAAGGGAGGGAGAGAAACCACCAATTTCCTTGCTTCCGTATAAACAGATTGCTCTGTTTTTTAATTCCGAAGAAATCCAACTGTGGTGGATGTTGTAGATGAAATACTCTGTTAGAACCGAAACAGGGGAGCCTCTCTTTCCATAGAGAAATCCCAGCGATGGCAGGAACAGGAGACCTCTGTTTCCAGAGAGAAACCTAGCGATGACGGATGGAAACAGAGAAATTAGTTTCGGCGAGTAGTTGAACTATATGTCCACCATTCAAAATCTGATCGAAGAAGTAGTGAAGGCCATGGAAGTAAGGAGGGAGAAGGATTTTTGTTTCTGTTTTGGTGAGATATTACTCTGACCATAACTAGACCCTGGCTGCAGCGAACAGAGCCGGAAATAACCGGTGAAAACAAGAGTAGACGGCCGAAGAACTAACTGCCGCCTGGTAAGCGAAGGCAAATGGAAGATGAATTGAAAAGGAGGGAGAGGCGGTTAGAGAAGTTGGAGAGAGTACGAAAGATGAAAATTCCAAACGTGCACAAATTCACTTCCGCATTTCCAATCCGGCGCCGGTAACAGAGGAGAAGAAGAAGATCCGGCCGGCGTTTCAATTATTGGGCTGGACTTCAGTACATATTTAAGTGTGCGGTGGGGCAGGCCCAAACCGTATAAATTGCCCAGATTCCTACCAATAAGTAAGTGAATAGAGACAAAAAATCTTGCATAAAATGCTCCACCTTGAGTAAGTCAAGGAAACAAATAACAGAGCCGCCGGCGCCCGGCGTTGAAACCACTGATAGTACCCTGTTTCAGACAAGAGGTAAGGAAGAGAACAGCATAGCACCAGAAGAAAGAAAAGATGGATCAGATCAAGCACATGTTCGTGGAAGTCGAAGGAGGATTGAGGATCCATGTCGCTGACACTGGAGCAGCAAGTAAGTCAAACCTGAATCGCCGATCGATTTCGTAAAATTCCTTACACCCCGATCGAATGTAGTTGCTAAAAGAAAGAGATTCTGGGTTCGTTGACTTCCATTCCAGGCGATAAAGTTCTCCTCTTTCTCCACGGGTTCCCGGAGATTTGGTACTCATGGCGCCACCAGATGATTTCCCTGTCGAAATCCGGGTACCGAGCCATCGCCGTTGACTACAGAGGCTACGGGTTGTCAGATCCCCCGCCGAGGACTGAAGATGCCACGTATGCCAGCCTCGTCGGCGATCTGATCGCCGTCCTCGATTCCCTCGACGTTCCCAAGGTCGATTTATTGATTTTAGAACTCGTTTTAGCTGTCCGATTTTGTGCGATTTGTTTTTCTCCTACTCAGTCAGACATTTCGTCGAACAGGTGGTGCTCATCGGGAAAGACTTCGGAGCTTACGTCGCCTCATGGTTCGAGGTTCTCCACCCGGAAAAGGTGTTGGGTTTTGTGACACTGGGAATCCCGTTCGCCGTCCCGGGAAAGGGTACTTCCTCCAGCACTTCATCATTTCCGGAAGGCTTCTACGTTTCGAGGTGGCGGGTAAGTGAGCAAATTAGCGCGCCATTATTTGTCAGCTATGTTGTCGTGAGAATCAAGTAGGCAATTATCCCGGTTCGTCTTCTGACCCAGGAACCAGGGCGAGCTGAAGCCGATTTCGGGCGGCTAGATGCCAAAACGGTGGTGAGGAATGTGTACATTCTCTTCTCCGGCAGCGAAATGCCTATAGCGGCGGAGAATCAAGAGATCATGGATTTGGTCGACCCATCAACTCCTCTCCCGCCATGGTTCACCGAGGAAGATCTCGAAGCTTATGGAGCTCTGTACCAGAAATCAGGGTTTCAAACTGCCCTCAAGATGCCCTACAGGTTTGAATTTCTCCCCAAATGTTCAGAAAACTGGAAATAGAGTATAGTCTGATTTCGGACCAATCAGGACCATCATGGACCTCTAGAATGATTGAACCTGGTTCTTGTGTAGATCGATCGACGAGCAACTCGAAGTACCACTATCAGAGGTGAGGGTTAACATTCCAGCGCTAATAATCGTGGGAGGGAAAGATTATGTCCTGAAAATGCCCGGGATGGAATACTACATCAACAATATGGTGAAGGAAATCGTTCCGGATTTGAAGACGGTGCATTTAGCTGAAGGAACTCATTTCGTTCAGGAACAACTCCCTGAAGAAGTGAATCAACTGATACTTGATTTCCTTAAAGCTCGAATCTGGCCATGAAATGTTGTTCTTTCTCGGAATGTACTGCGTTCAAGGAATTACACTAGCCAGTGACAGTGAGCAGTTGGAGAATGTTCTGTTCTGGTGATACTATTTTGTGCTGTGTATAAACAGCTAATGCCTTGTCTCTCTTTTGCTGGTTTTGTTTATGGTGGTGCTGGTTTTGTTTATGGTGGTGCAATGAGTAAGCCCAAATGTTAGGGATATTTGCGCAATCAGATACATATCAAAAATTAATCTTATATATGATCGTCTCATATTCTAGTAACATCGAGTTCTGCAGATCAAGAGCACATACCGAATTAGCCTACCGTCAATGGCGTGAGTCTGTTCACTTTCTCTCAACAAGATTGACAATTTGCTAAAGGTAACTGCTAGGTTCAGCCTCGTCCTATCCAGATACTATATAGTCCCCCCACTACTGTTTTACATTACAACATCTCATGATGGATGCTGGGGAGGCAGAAGTAGCTTTCAGAGAGGTGGCTGGCAGGTATATAGTTGAGTGAAGCCAGAACCCCATCGAATTAATCTTATATGATCGTCTCATATTCTAGTAACGTACCGAGTTCTGCAGATCAAGAGCACATATACCGAGTTAGTCTACTTCAATGGCGCGAGTTTGTTCTCTTAACTCAAAATCTGTATCTTACTGTCCCAATTCCACCCAAAGATCCATGTTAGGCGCAAGGAAAATGTACAGAGTCAAATCCAACTGAATGGCGAAGCTTTGGAATTTCTGCTTGAATCACAATATTCTACAGGCTCATCAATCATCTGGGAAACCTAGAAATCTGTTGATTAAATTAATCACAGGCTTGGCATCACCAGCAGGATATGGAAGGAGAGACTCCAAATTCATATCCGCGATCGTCTCAAGCAACGTTTGTGGATGTGCGCAGTATAAATGTTTCCTCTCGGCTAGTTCTTCAGCAAGTTCAGATTGATGATTATCCATCAAGTCTTCATTCACCACTACGATGAGAGGTTTGCCAAGCCTTAAAGTCTCGAATATGCTCCCTGAACCTGCATTATGCACAGAGCATTATGTAATACTTTCTGCAGTGCAAGAATGAACATAACTTTCATTGTCAAACAGGGATCATGTCAGCATATAAGTTTGAGTCCCCGTATTCAGGCAGATGGTGTATCGAATGAGTAAAGTTCTGCAGAATGATACTTCTTCGACTATAGGAAAAGACAATTCATAATTTTCTCATTTCTCGAACAATGTACACCTGCAACAGTGCTACCTAAGTTCAGTAGAAAGTAACTAGATTCACTGATGTTAATTCTGTCATTAATATATGCTTCTACATATCAACTGCAATGCATATAAACAGGAAGATAAAAGACAGCAGATTCATTTACCTGCATGACTGATGACAAGAGATGCTGATCTAAGATGTTCTGCAATGCTTGATGAGAAAGTGAAATAATCAACCCCAAGAGATCCACCTTCTCCTTCACACTGCAGCAACTGACACGTGAGAGTGAATACCGAGCTCCCATTTCCAGAGAAAAGCTCATAGCTTATGCATCAAACTTCGATGAACTCAAACGAAAAGCAAGAATGGGAAGCACTGAGTGAACCAAGAGAAAGGAGGGATGAAGTTTCGGTTCTTTTACCTTGTCCGGAATGTAGGATCCACGGCCAATTTGAATGAGAAGGTGGGTGTAACCTCTTCGCTGCAACTCATGTTTAACTTGTTCAGTATCAACAGCTTTTACAAGAGCGTCAAATAACGTTGTTCCTACTGTCACAAACACTGTTTTCCTCTTCTGCTCGATTTCTCCCATCTGCAGCTTAAGTCCACATTGCCAACCCATTTGAATCAGTTCAGTATCTACAGGCAATACTGGTCTACGAATGATTAACAAGATGCCCACCACACAATTTGGGAAGATGGGACAACAAATTCATAAACTTGTTCTTGAGCTTCAATCAAGGTTCGTTCCTCACCTAAGTCTAGTTAATTTTCCAAACATGGTTAACGAGCAAACGACAAAATCGAAGAAGACCCAAAAAATGAGATGGCTCAGTCCTTCAGCAAAAAAAACAATAGAAGGCAGCGAGATTACCAGATTAAAAAAAGAGAACGAAGACGGATACAAATTGCGAAAGGAGCTGTCCGGAAGCTGCAAGCTTGGAGGCTAGCCGCTAGACTGGCGATCGAGGCTGCAGAGAGACGGAGAAGGGTGGCCGCCCGAGTGGCAATGACTGAGACTTCGGATCTGGTCCACGACGGAGAAATTGAGAGCAGTGTGTGGGGATTGCGGTTATGCACTAAATGGGGAGGCTTTTCTATGACAAAACTTACACGGAGCCGGCGAGTGGCGGGTAATCGGCAGAGACCGATCCTCCTATCTTCAAAATTGAGGAACAGAAGCAGAAGCAGAGAAGAGAAGAGACTCAAGAAAATGGGTGATCTCTACCCCTTGGATTTCGATGGAGTTCTATGCGACAGCTGCGGAGAAAGCTCTCTCTCCGCCGTTAAGGTCCGTCTCCTCCTCCACTCCCGTCTCTTCTTCCCTTCACCTTCTGTTCGGTCGCCTGGAGTGTGTTTGTTTGGGTTTTCTTTGTATTAGGCTGCCAAAGTGAGATGGCCGGATCTGTTTACCGGTGTTGATTCAACCACCGAGGACTGGATTGTTGCTCAGATGTACACTGTGATCCGCCTTCCCTGCATTTGTCCCACTAGACCAACAACCGGGTCTTCTTCTTCCCGCGTTGTCAACCCGCGGGTTGACCCGGATCCGGTCGAGCTAGTGGGTAAGGGTTAACGGGTCACCCGTTTCAGTCCGAAAATATGAAAAGAGTCATTATATTGTACTTATCCTGATAAATTATATCAAATGTCATATGTTATATGAGTAATAACATATAACATTACACCAAAGTAACATGTCGTACTTAGATCCAACATATAGCCGAAAATTCACACACACTTATATAACATCAATATTCAAATGTTCGACTAAGGATTCCAAAGGTTGAGTTAGGCGAAAAGAAAATTCGGAAAATAGGCGCATTTCGTAAACCAAAAAAAAAATGACACAATTTGACCTCCAACCCGATAGCTTGTAGCGGTCGACCCAACGGGTGCGTGCGGCCTGTTTTTCTCATCAGGTCAGGATCAAAGTGGGTCGACCTGTTGACAACCTTGCGCCTCATTGGAAGGGATTGTGCTGTTGGGAAGAAGCTTGGTAGAGACGAGGAGAGAGGAGGGAAATCAACTCAGCAATGGCTTGCACCAGGGTCCAGGTTGGGTGGAAGAATTAGATGTTCAAAAAATGTGTATTTTTCCACCAGAAAATTTGTGTTAAATTGAATTGCACGTATTTAACTTATTTGAACAACAATTACTAAGACACAACTCATATATATTTGATTATGTTTAATGATAACCAAGTTCAGAATCCTTAATTCCATAATTCAAATTGCGCGTTTGTGTCTCGTTATGTTATTTCATTTCGCTCAGTTTTCTATTCTTCCATCACATCAATCGAAGTAACAACACCTAACACGATTGTCAATTGGGTATGAAAATATGTAGATGAAACACACTTTTACTTCTCCACTATCTCGCTTATGTCGCCAACTTCTCCAGCCGGCTTTATTGAAATGAAGTAACTACTGACTACCAACCAACCTTGACTCCAACCATCAAGGCATCATCAACCACCTTTTCTAATGCCGGAACGATGCTTCTGTTCTGTATCTGTCTCCTCGCCCCATCTCTATCTTCATCGCAAAACGACGAGACACCACCATATACAAAAGGGAAAGGAAGCAGAGTAGGGGAGGAAACAGAGCAAGAGAGGGAGAAGAAACCATGGAGCAAATTGAGCACAAGTTCGTGGAAGTTGAAGGTGGATTGAAGATCCATGTAGCAGACATCGGAACAGGTAAAGTGAAGGACAACACCTTCAACAAGCGGACTATAAAGAGATTTTCTCATTCTGGGTTTTTCGTTGAATTCCATTTCAGGCGACAAAGTTCTCCTCTTTCTCCACGGATTCCCGGAGATCTGGTACTCATGGCGGCACCAGATGGTTTCCCTGTCCAAATCCGGGTACCGGGCCATCGCCGTCGACTACAGGGGCTACGGGCTGTCGGATCCCCCGCCGAGGACTGAAGACGCCACGTACGCCAACATCGTCGGCGACCTTGTCGCCATCCTGGATTTTCTCGGATTCCCCAAGGTCAGTTGTCAGTCATATTGGTTTACTACTCGATCGCGCTGCAGCTTTTTCTGAGTCAGGCATTTCATCGAACAGGTGGTGCTCGTAGGGAAAGACTGGGGCTCTTTCGTTGCTTCTTGGTTCGTGGTTCTCCACCCTGACAGGGTATTGGGTCTAGTGAACATGGGTATCCCGTTCATGATCCCGGGCGCTTCCCCAGCCGGTTCGCCGCCCCCTGAAGGCGTCTATACTTCCCGGTGGCGGGTAAGAGAACCAAAAGATTAGAAAAAAATCTCATGCATATTTAGGAACCAGTTAGGCAAATTGACCCCGGTTTTGTCTTTTGAATCAGGAACCAGGACGAGCCGAAGCTGATTTCGGCCGGCTAGATGCGAAAACCGTGGTGAGAAACGTGTACATACTCTTCTCCGGCAGCGAGCTGCCTACTGCAGCTGAGAATCAGGAAGTCATGGACTTAGTCGACCCGTCGACTCCTCTCCCGCCATGGTTCTCCGAGGAAGACCTCGAAGCTTATGGAGCTCTGTACCAGAAATCAGGGTTCCAAACTGCCCTCAAGATCCCCTACAGGTAAAAAGAACAAAAGGGTTCTCAATTCTCAATACTTCAGTTCTGAAACTGTACCAAAACTCTGTTGATTAATGTTGTGCCATGTATGGTTCGTGTAGATCGTTTGAAGAGAAGCCAGACTTACCGATAACAGAGCTGACAGTGAAGATCCCATCATTGCTGATAATGGGGAGCAAAGACTACTGCCTGAAATTCCCGGGGATGGAATACTACATCAACAATATGGTGAAGGAATTCGTTCCTGGTCTGGAGACGGTGTACTTGCCTGAAGGGACTCACTTCGTTCAGGAGCAGTTGCCTGGAGAAGTGAACCAGTTGGTGCTTAGCTTCCTGAAAGCTCGAATCTGGCCATGAGAAATGGGAATGAACTCGGTGGGTGATAATGGTGAAGGAAAAAAAGGGTCTATGCTCATGTTTAGTGTTGTAACTTGTAAGCCTAATAGCCTTGAGTTTTTGCTACGCAGTCAGGATGGGGATTCGGTAATGGTGCTTTGGATTCATCTGAAAATAGGTTTCAAGAGTTATGGTTCCAAGCTCGAGTTTCTCAATATTCATAGGGTAATTTATCAATAAGCAATCTTTCGGATTGTAGTATGGGAACATTCAGAAAGGTTTAAAAGGAATAAAGGACTAGTGTTTCGTTTCTCTCTCGGATTCTCCTCTTTCGTTGTTCCTTCCTTCCATAACTCTGCAATCTCTTGTCAGGCTCTCACCACTGGCTCCTGTAGCTTCGTCTTGTAATATTTATAGGATTATTTGATCATTCTAATTATCGAGATCAATTGGATAATGAATGGTTAAACGATATATTGGTGATACATATTGAACAAGATTAGCTTACTAATGAATGGTTAAACGATACATTGGTGATACATATTGAACAAGATTAGTTGTAAGCTGACACTATTATTTTTTAATTATATTGTACGAATATTGAATATTATAATTTTGAGTTTTTATTCCATTTAAAATTAACTCTTTTATTATGTAGTTTTCTTTTTTGTAGCACTCCATAGGCCATAACCAATTTTCTAGCTCCGTCACTGGGTACAACTTTAAGTTATACGATTAAACGAATTTATACAATATAATATAGGTATACCTATAACATATAAAGTACAACTTCAACTTTACCATATGAAAGATTGCCAGCAAACTATGATGCACCGCCAGATCTATGGGTGGAATTCAAATATGAAAGATTGCCAGCAAACTTCTGCTATTGCTGTGGGCGCATAGGTCATTCCCAGCTGCAGTGTAGATTCCCAGAAGAATACGTAGAAGGCCGCTACGGGGAATGGACAAGAGCAGGCCAACACGCACCTCCCTCTCCCCTCTCATCCCCAAGAGTGACTCCGGGCACGGCAGAGAGTAAGACTGGGGATAACTTCTCCATCTCCGATGACCGCTCCGTCGGCCGTCTACTGGACGGAAGACTCTCCGGAGGCAGAGGTTCCCAAGGAAGAGAGAGGAAAGCAAACCATTGTGTCAGAAATCGTACCCCTGTGCACGTGCCGGCAACGGCTCTTAAGCCTCATACCGTGAAGGAGTCCTCTGACTTCCCACCAGGATTTGGGCCCCAGAAATCTTCTGCTACCAGGGTTCAACTCCGACAAATGAAAGAAGCGGCTGGCTTCTCACCATACATACCAAGACAACTTTTCGCTGGAGATGGGAAAGAAAGCGCAGAGGAAGAAGAAGGAAGAGAAGAGAAACGAGTGGAGCAAGGACAAGGTTCGGGATACAAGGAGATTCCCTCTCCCAACTTGGGCTCCCCAAAACCTGGCCCAATGCCAAACTTCTTCAACCCTATGTTGGGCCAGCAAGGCTTTATCCACAGTCAAAACTATATGAATATGGTGCAGGAAAATATGTATACTAACCAAGCCCAAATCCCTTTTATGTACTGGGGTTGCACCCAATTTGACGCCCAACACACAAATCCGTGGGGATTAAGAAACGATCAGCCGAGGAAGAAGCTGAAAGCGTGCAGGAAAAGAAAAACTGGTGTTCTTATTCAAGAACAGAGTGAACAGAATGTATTCTTTTCTGCAACACAGGAAGCTGATGGAGACGCGATGGAAGCAACGAAGGTGCAGGTGGCTCACCAAAAGCCACCAGGGGGTCCATGACGACAATCTGTTGGAACTGCCGAGGCTTTGGCTCCGACTCGGCAGTGAATTATCTAAGGGATCTCCATCGATCCTTTAGACCTATGATCACCTTCCTTATGGAGACCAAGCAACCAAACAACGAGATGGAAGTGGAAAGAAGGCGAGCCAAATTTTACAGCAAGTGGTATCGCAGTCCTTTAGGTAGTAGGGGAGGTCTAGCCCTCTGGTGGGTCAAGGGATTAGACCTTAACGTAGTTGACTCTTCGGATTTTTTTGTTCATGCTTTTGTGAATTTTAGGGGGGGCTTTTACTGTACTTTCCTCCCTGCCCCTAATGATCCTTCGGCTAGGAAGGCTTTTTGGGAGGAAATTAGTCACCTGAAGCCTTTAAATGGAACACCCTGGATTTTGTTGGGGGACTATAATGCCGTGATAAGTGATGATGAAAAACAAGGAGGTAATCTCCCAAGGCGTAACTCTACCGAACCTTTCAAAGAGTTCATCTTCAACAACGAACTCATCGATATTGAGGCGAAAGGCCCTAGATTCACGTGGACTAATATGCAGCAGGGGCAAAGGAAAATCTTTGCAAGGTTGGATCGTGGCTTATGTTCTCTGAACTGGAGAGAAGCTTTTAACAAAGCTATCTTATTCAATGAGCCCATGGTAGGGTCAGATCACTGTCCACTGAGACTTGAAATGTTGGGGTCTACAACTACTCGCAAGGCTATCTTCAGATTTGATCACAGATGGATCAACTATAATAGTTGTGAGGATATCATCAAAAGGGTGTGGGAAAGAGGAGGAGACCACCACTCTAACCTCATAAGCTGTAGCAACGAACTTAAAATCTGGAGCAAGAGCAATGTGAGAAATGCAGCAGCCAGAATCAAAGTTATAGAAGAAAGACTCAAGGTCATCTTTGACTTTACTCATATCCATAGCTTTGAAGAGGAAGAAAAAAGTCTGCAGATTGAATTAAATAAACTTTGGATTGAAGAGGAGATTTTTTGGAGACAATGTTCAAGAGTCGACTGGCTTAAATTTGGAGATTGCAACTCAAGATTCTTCCATACCTCAACGATTCAAAGAAGACTTAGGAACAATGTGGTGAAATTGCTGGATGATGGGAATAATTGGATTGAGGATCCAAAACACCTTCAAGATCATTCGGTTAATTTTTACAGGAATCTCTTCAAAAAACGGGAGGAACCGTTCAATAGAGAGCTCATTCAGGATATTCCGTGCATTGTAGAGGATCATATGAATTTGGCCCTTTGCAAACCAGTTGATGATGAGGAAATAAAGAAAGCGGTGTTTGAACTGGGATCAGACAAATCCCCAGGCCCCGATGGCTTCCCCGGCCTTTTCTATAGGAGATATTGGAATACAATAGGCCAACAGCTTTGCTTGGAGGTCAAGAAATTCTTCGAGGAAACAAAAATGAGCAGCGGTTGGAATGACACCCACCTGATCTTGGTCCCAAAAGTGGGCACTCCTGAGAAGATCTCACAGTTCCGCCCTATTAGCTGTTGCAATTTTAGATACAAGATTATATCCAAAATCATGACCTCTAGGCTTAAAGAATGGATACCTAATTTAGTATCTGAAATGCAATCAGCTTTCATGAGTGACAGAGCTATCCAGGACAACGTCATCATTGTTCATGAAGTTCTCCATCACTTCAAAACAAGACCAAAAGGGGGTAAATGGGATATGATGCTAAAGCTTGATATGAAGAAGGCTTTTGATATGGTGGATTGGAACTGCTTGGAAGACATTTTAAAGGCTATGGGTTTTGCAAACCAGTGGTGTTCCTGGGTTATGGAATGTGTGCGGTCTGTTCGATTTGCTGTTCTCTTCAATGGCCAACCTTCTCCTTTCTTTGAGCCATCGAGAGGCATCCGACAGGGAGATCCCCTCTCCCCCCTTCTCTTCATTCTGCTTACAAATGCCTTATCTTTCCTTATCAATAAGAATATCACTAACGGTTTGCTTCAAGGTATCACCCTTAATCCGGCCTGTCCTAGACTTACCCATGTGTTATTTGCTGATGACACAATCCTTTTTGGGAAAGCATCGATGCGAGAAGCAAGCTACATCAAGAATATGATAGAGGAATACGGCAACATGACTGGCCAAGTCATTAACAATGAGAAGTCAGCGATTACTTTCAGCAACAACTCCCCGGAGGCTCTCAAGCATCTTATTGCTGATTTCATGAGCATCCCTCTCTCTGAAGGGATGGGGAAGTATCTGGGTGTCCCAACAGAATGGGGAAGATCAAAAAAAGAAGTCTTTGCATGCCTGCTTTCCAAAATGGAGAAACTTGGACAAGCTTGGAAGAGTCTAGCTCTGTCACAAGCTGGCAAGGAGACACTTCTCAAAGCAGTCTACCAAGGATACCCAACCTATCTCATGTCTTGTTTTCTTCTCCCAAAGGGAACAACCAACAAAATGGATTCCAGACTAAAAGCATTTTCTGGGGAGGCAACATGGAAAAGGGCACAATCCATTGGAGGAAAGGGAGTGTTCTTACAGCTCCAAAGCAAGAAGGGGGGATGGGTTTCAAGGATTTTCATCAATTCAATCTTGCCCTTCTTGCAAAGCAAGGATGGAGAATTCTCAACGGCAGTAATGAAACATGGGTAAAGCTTCTTAAAGGTATTTACTTTCCTGATACAGATTTTTTGAACGCAGGTAAGGGAAGGAAGCCTTCATGGATCTGGTCCAGCATTTGTGAAGCTAGAAAGGTTCTGAAGCTCGGGGCAAGAAAGAACATGGGTAATGGAAGGAATATTATCCTCGATAAAGACCCTTGGATACCGGGCATCCCTGGGTTCCGCCTTCAGGATAACCAAAGACAACAACTCCGGGCTTTTGAATGGGTGATGAGCGATGTTGATGAGTGGAACTTGGTTTTGTTGGAACAAAGTTGCCTACCAGAGGAGATTGAGGCTATCAAGAGAATACCAATTGGGATGCCCACCTCAGAGGATCTATGGGTTTGGCACCCGGAGATTTCTGGTACCTTCTCAGTCAAGTCAGCTTACCATGTTTTCAGGACAGCAGAAATGCACATAACAGGAGCAGAGGACCCAAATCTTCCAGGATGCTCCATCAAAGCTTGGAAGTGGTTGTGGAGTTTATCGTTGCCACCAAATATTCGTAACTTTATTTGGAGGATCACGAGGAATGCGGTGGCAACTCTAAGAAACCTATGGTTTCGTAAGGTGATTAACTCACCAATCTGCCCGGTGTGTAATGATGGGATCGAGACCATATGGCATTGTCTGTTTGAGTGCCCACATGCTAGAGCTTTGTGGATCAAGATCTTCGGCTCCCTCTCCCTCCCTCATCCGGCCTGCCCGATCCTTATGTGGATCTTCCACATTCATGAGACAGACCCAATGCATTCGATTACTGCTGTTGTGGCTACTCTTTGGGCCATTTGGAATACCAGAAATGCAAAGGTGTTCAAAGGAGTGAATCCTCATATCGAGACTACTGCTAGGAAAGCTTTCAGCTACTTCTCTGATTGGAGCGGGCTTCATCATCACCCACCGAGTGACCCTCTTTCCACTCCCCTTCCCCAGCACCCCTCACATCGTACAATCATTGATCCACCGCCAGGAAATTCCCAGTTGGTAATCCACTGTGATGGAGCTTTTAGCTCGGAATCACAGATGGCGGCATATGGTTTTGTTGTTCGTAACATCCATGGACAAGTGGTTGACGGTAAGGCTGGGACTCTGTTTTGTTCATCAGCGATTGTGGCAGAAACCAAGGCACTCCTCTCGGCAATCAAGCATGCACAATCATCAGGAGCGTCGACTTGTATTCTCTCTGACTGTCAAGTCCTTGTTCATGCTGTCAACGGCTACTCAAATACGTGGCCATGGCAAGTGAGAGCTTGGATTCATTGCATTCGACATATCCTTGGGACAAACGATCAAATTCAGGTTGCTTTTACACCTCGAAATTGTAACAAGAGTGCAGACTGGGTTGCCAAAGAGGCTGCGAAAGGAACTCTTCCTCATGATTGGATCTTGATCCTTGACTTGATTGCGTCTTTATTGTAATGTTCCTGGCTTGTATCACAATCGTTTTTATGAATGAAATAAAGCTTGTTTGTCAAAAAAAAAAAGAAAACTTTACCATAAACTTTTTTTCTTCTTACCACAGTGCTATAATAGGTTTACCCGAATATCACGAACAACACGCACCGGCTTTCTTCCTTCCTTCCTGCACTACTTTTAGGTTTACCGCGAGTAGCTGAGCCGAGCTGGTGATTGGCATTCCTTCAATGATGGCGGAGACGAGTAAGAATGCCAAAATTGCGAGGAGGGCTGATGGCGATCCGGCTGGAATCTCCGACAGACTCAGCTCCCTACCGGATGAAATCCTCTCCAGCATACTCTCGCTCCTGCCAACCAAGTACGCGGCCGGAACCTCGGTGCTAAGCCGACGTTGGAAGGATCTCTACACCGAGATCACCAACATCGACCTGGACAATACCTTGGTTCACAAGCCTCTCAGCAAGCAACTCGCCTGCGAGAACATGCCGCCCGACGCAGCCCAGAAGTATCTGCAGAGGAAGAACCTAACTGGGTTCGAAGCGAGTATGTATAGAATGCTCGCTATGTCCATCCTGTCACACATTCGGCACTCCAGGTACCTGAAATTCTCCCGCTTTATCGACAACGTTCTGCTAGAACACAAGAATCTCAACAGCGTGAGGCGCTTCCGCCTGCATTTTTGGGTGAAGAAGCTCGAGTCCAACTTGAAGCCGCAGCTGTGGTTTTACTGGTTTGAGAAGGCGGTGACGCCTTCCTCGTGTGAGCTCGAGGAACTCGATGTTAGAATCGAGGGGGACATCCTTGAACTTCCCAATCGTATGATCTGTATCGACGAATGCTTCTACGCTTTGAAGAATCTGAAAGTGATGAAGCTCCATGGGGTTATTGTGGAGACTACTCCGCACGGCTCTGCTTCTCTTCCTAGTCTCAAGGTCTTGCAGCTTACGGGAGTGAAGACTGTGGATTGCTCCGAGTCGGTAAGCAGGCTCATCTCTGGTTGCCCTGTTCTGGAGACTCTTCATCTCGAGAATTGCAGTAGATTAAAGAGCAGGATGATGACCGACAAGGAGAAAGACATGCTCGTTGTTTACTTGCCATCCTTGAGGAACTTGACCATTATCGGTTGTGTTGGCTATGATGTTACTCTGGTGTGTCCCATTGTTGTACAAGCACCAAGTCTCCAGCATCTCCATCTTCAGGACTTTGCAGAGCTGCGGTTTCTCGACAGTCAATCGCCTTGCCTTGTTTCTGCGCAGATTGATATCGGTGAGAGCCAAATCTTGGATCAGTGCTTGATTAGGTTCCTCGCCCAAATCTCGAATGCAAAGAGGATGTACTTATCTTCCCAGACAATGGTAATCGACCAAAAATTGAATGAAGTCCACTCCTTTCTTTGATTTGTTGTTAATTCGTATTAGTTTGTCTCAGTGTCTTCTGTCAGCAGCTGTGAAAGAAGATGTCCAACTTCCTGTCTTCCCCAATCTCACACATTTGATATTGGGAACCGCGGGAAGCAGCTGCTGCCTACTGCACTCCTTGCTCAACTCTGCCACCAAATTACAGACTCTTGTCATTCACTTGGTGAGAAATTGAGAATGTTTAGTACTCGTCCAGTAGAATACATATTTAACCAGTAGAATGTTTAGTACTGATGACAATGGGTCGATCAGGGGTGTGATAAGGAAGAAGCAATGAAGTGGGAGTCGGAACCTGCATGCCTTCCCCAGTGTTTGGTGTCAAGCCTCGAGGAAATCGAGATCAATGATCTGGTAGCAGATGAAAACGAGATGAAAATGGCGACGTATCTGCTCAATGCAGGAGCAAAACTGAAGATAAAGAAGGTGAACAACACATGCTTACCTCCTGGTGATGGTCTTGACATCAAAGACGGCAATTTCACACATCTTGCACAGCTGCTTAACCTGCCTAGGGGATCCAACGACGAGGTTGAGGGCGATAATGACGACGAGATCAACTTCACGGACGAGATTGAGTACAAAGCTGAGGATAACAACACCAGTGAGGAAGATGATGAGATCAATATCGACGATGAGATCAATAACTATGATGATTACGATTTAACACTCACTGACCTGCTGTTTGTTATATCAAAACTGAAGAACTAATTAATCCTATATGATCTTGGGAACTCGGAAAGGAATGGATCTCCAATGTGGGATAGACTCAATTCATCGCCTTCTTGATGCTGGAAGTAGTGTTACCAGAGCCCTTTTACCTAAGAGACCAAGCAATCGAATGTGAGGCCTATGGACAGATTTTGGTAGGGATTTTAACGGTGAGTAGTATATTCCTCATTGGAAATAATCAATCTTCCCGCCCTAATATGAGGAAAAAAAAAATCAATCTTCCCGCCCTAATATGAGAAAAAAAACTACAGATTTTTCTGCATAGGTGGATGAAGAATCGCGAACATAACAATTTCTGGTTGACCGTGAATAAGTTAAGTAAACTCTCTCATGAAACTCATAACCCTGACCCTAGACTAGAAAAGAACTCCATGACTGCGAACTATCAAGTAAAAGGTGAGAAGCAGATATAAGTAGGAATGGCAATGGGCAGGTTCGGGACGGGTATCTCGATAACCATATCCGCCCCTGGCAGATTGAGTCCAGATCGAATAATTCATCACATGACGTGGGCCGGGGGCAGGTCGACCCATATGGATATGGGTATGTAGCTTAAAATGAAAAGGTTAGAAATACTCATTTTTCATTAAAAATCAAGAAACAAACTAAAAATATGATACATGTAGTTTAAATTATTCGTAAATCTGAGGTTCTCACCTATTTACAACTTCACTAAAGCTAAAACGTAATGTAATAAAAGTAATATCATAAATAATTTGAGTAAAATTGCATGTAAGTTAGGCAAAGGTGGGTCGGGGCAGGTGAGGTCAAGAAGAGTACCCATGCCCGCCCCCCTACGGGGTGGGTCGGACCCGCCACTTCCACTCCTCCATCTCCTCTCCCGCTACCCACATCCCTAGCCTCCCCGACCCCAGAGACCTTTCCCTCCCATCTCAATGCCCATCATCCCCACCTACATCCTTAGCCCCATTCCAATCCCAAACCCTTGATCCTCCCTCACCGGAGAACATGATTACCCCTTTATCCCAACCAAGCTATCAGTCGACACGGGTTTTTTCTTCAGATCTTCCATCCCCCTCGTGTGTTCCGGAGAGCCAGGAATTGGAGCGGCAGATGGATTCGTTCCCGTTTGACATTGCTTCTTTGGAGGAAGCAAGTCTAGAGATGGGATATCTCTTCTCCTTAGGCCACGAGGAGGGTTTCGATCAGGTCAAGAAGATTATTATTGACAAGGCTCAAGATACGCATCAGAAGAAATTTCGGTCGTCGAGGACCAAGCTTGAAATGGAGCGGAGGCGACTCGAACCAATTACGGCGCCGATCTCAGGTCCCCGTAAGAGGAAGTCGAAGGTAGGAGTCTTAACCAATGGCATTCAATGAACTGTTCTATAATCTGTTGGAATGTGCGAGGTCTGGGCGACAGGGACAAGAGAGCGAGAGTTAAGAGATTTCTGGGTAGTAGAAGGCCTAATATCCTTGGGCTAGTTGAAACAAAATGGTCGCATTGCTCCGATGAATTTGTGTTCAGCATATGCGCCAATAGGAACGTGGACTGGGTGGTCAAGGATGCGGTTGGTAGGTCCGGTGGGATCGCCATCATCTGGGACAAAAGTGGGTTTCGGTCAGTTAATTCATACTCTGGGTCTTTTTACCTGTGCGTCGAATTCCAGGAACTGGCTTCCCTCAAGTCTTGGTCATTTGTGGTGGTCTATGGTCCTCAGGACAGAGATGAGAAATTGGCTTTCATCCAAGAACTTGATAATCTGTGTGGTTCCCTGGCCTCCCCTCTTTGTATTGCTGGCGATTTCAACTTAGTCCATAACCATGATGATTATCGAGGATGCAGGCGTAGTGCAAATCTCATGGACGAGTTTAATGATTTTATTGACGCTAATGGTCTGCTTGACTTACCTTTGGGAGGGAGTAGTTTTACATGGAGTAAAGGTGCTGGCCAGGACTGTTTGTCTAGGATCGACCGGGTGCTTGTGAATCAACCTTTTGATATTCTGTATCCTGATTGCACTCTGAGTGCCATGGAACGAATCGAGTCTGACCATAATCCTCTGCTCATCAAGTGGGGTAATTTCCAATATATAAGAAGGCCTTGGAGATTTGAGAATATGTGGCTGGAGGACGATAGGTTTTTTGTCAGTCTGAATGAATGGTTTCAAGCTCCCATTCAGGGTAGAGGAAGCAGTTTTTTGTGGATGAAAAGATTGCAGGATCTGAAATTGAAAATTAAGAGCTGGAATAGGGAAGTTTTTGGCAATATTAATCTGCAGATCGAAGATTTGCTGGGCAAGTTAAGGGATATTGATTCAACTGAAGAGGCTCGTAGTCTTTCTGAAGAAGAAGTTGTAGACAGATGCAAACTGAGTCATGATTTGGGAAGGTTGTTCTATTTGCAGGAGATCTCCTGGAGACAAAAATCGAGAGAAACTTGGCTCAAGAAGGGAGACAATAATACAGGTTTCTTTCATAGGGTGGCTAATTTTTGTAGGAAGTTAAACTTCATTAGCTGTATCAAGATTGATGGCGAGACAGTAGAAGGGAAGGAAGAGCTTGCTAGGGGAATAGTTGGTTTTTATTCCAGGCTCTTCACTGAAGACATAATCAGGAGGCCTTTCCCTATTGTTTATGCTGATATAGGTCTGGATGACACTGCTAAAGAGGAGCTTGTTGGCAACTTCAATGAACAGGAAATATGGGCGAGTCTTGCCGATAGTGACGGCGATAAAGCTCCCGGACCTGATGGTTTCTCGTGGGAATTCTATAAAAGGGGTTGGCAGTGGATTAGAGGAGATATTCTTAAAGTTTTTGAGGAATTTCACAGCAGTGGTTTCCTACCTCAATGCGCAACTCACTCTTTTCTCTGCCTTGTGCCTAAAAAGGATACAGTGGAAGAGATCAAGGACTTGCGTCCCATTAGCCTCATGGGCAGCTTGAATAAGCTGATAAGCAAGGTTCTTGCCAGTCGGTTAAGCAAGGTGTTGCCTCAATTGGTTTCTCCCAACCAGTATGCATCCGTCAAAGGAAGGCAAATATCGGACGCTGGTCTGATCGCGTTTGAGCTCTTGGACAGCCGCCGGAAGAGCAAGAAGCCTGGGATTATGTTCAAGCTCGACATCGAAAAGGCTTTTGACAACGTTAGTTGGGATTGCCTTTTCAAAGTTCTTTCAAAGCTCGGTTTTCCTTCTAAGTGGCAAAGTTGGATTCGTGGAACTATGTGCTCTCCGGTCATTTCCACTCTCATTAACGGTGAAGCTAAAGGCTATTTTCAGCCGCAGAAGGGTCTCCGCCAAGGCGATCCGCTTTCTCCGGGCCTCTTTGTCCTTGTTATGGATGTTTTGTCATTTATGATGAACAAGGTACGGGAAGCCGGGAAAATAAAAGGTTTTTGCATGAATGAAAACACGGGTGCCGGGGAAGTCTCACATCTGTTATTCGCCGATGACACCCTCATCTTCTGTGACGCTTCTTGTGATCAAGTCTTATGCATTATGGCCACGCTTGTTTGCTTCCAAGCTGTTTCGGGACTGAGGATCAATATGGACAAATCGATTATGTTTATTGTTGGTGACGTTCCGAACCCAGAATTCTTTGCGGATATTATGGGGTGTAGGTGGAGTAATGAGCCATTCAAATATCTTGGCTACCCTCTTGGATCGAGAGTGAATGCTATTGCGACTTGGGATCCCATCATTGAGAAGTACCAGCAAAGACTCGAGGGTTGGAAGGCCAGGTTTCTTTCCTTTGGTGGCAGATTGGTTTTGAATAAATCAGTTTTGTCAAATCAGCCCACTTATTATTTCTCTCTTCTGCGAGCCCCAAATGAGGTGGTGAACAGAATTGAAAAGATCCAAAGGAGATTCGTGTGGAGTGGTACGACTGATAATCAAAGGATTCCCCTTGTGAGATGGGATCTGTGCAAGGCCTCGAAGGAGGAAGGTGGCCTTGGCATTGTTGATATTAAGAGCTTCAATAAAGCCATGCTTTCCAAATGGCTTTGGAGGTTCGCCTCGGAGAATAGCTCTTGGTGGAAGGAGCTTATCAAGACCAAGTATGCTGATTCCCAGTCCTCCTGGCAGAGTGATCGCTGTAAAAGTGGATTCTCGGGGTCTGCTTGGGCCAATATCACTAAGGAGTATGATACTTTCTGGAAGCATGCTCATATTGATCGAGGAGGAGGTGCTTGGGTCTCCTTCTGGAAGGATTGCTGGATACCGAACGTGACTCTTGCTGAAGCCTTCCCGCGCATCGCCACTGCCGCGTCTTCCCCGGACGCTTGGGTTGCCGACATCGTAACCAGGACAGGTGAGAATGTTCATTGGAATCTGAATTTTAATGTTAATTTGAGAGGGGGGGCTGAGAGGGAGAGGATTGATCTTTTTAATCTTCTTTCTATCTCTACTAATCATTGTGCCGCTTGTGGGCCGAGTCGAATTGTTTGGACTTCACGTCCAGATTCTTCATTTTCAGTTAAGTTGTTGTACAGGTCTATTGTGAGCAGCCAATTCCAAGGAGTCGATGACTTCCCGACCGAGTCAGTTTGGAGAAAGCTTATCCCTTCCAAGATTAACAGCTTCATTTGGCTGGTGGCTCACAAGAAGTTGCTGACTTTGGACAACCTGCAGAAGAGGGGGTGGTCTATTGCAAATAGATGTGTTTTGTGCGGCATGAGTGAAGAGACGGTCGACCACTTGTTCGTGGACTGCGACTTTGCCAAGAAGGTTTGGTCTGAGAATGTCAAATCTTGCAGGGGCATCACTCCTCCCAACAGCGACATTCTTGCTACAATTCAGAGATGGAATAGCGATATCCCGGACAACGCGAATGGTTGGGTCTGCTACTGCATCCTTCATGCTACCTGCTGGCAAATATGGTTAGAGCGGAATCGAAGGACTTTCCAAGACCTGCAGCTGTCTTCGATCGTGATCTCAACAAAAATTTCCAGAACAGTCTTTGAATGGCTGGCTGTCAATGGAAAAATTGATGCTAGAGGAATTAATGGTTGAGTTCTTGGCGCCAAGGCCTGCATTTGGAGGTGCTGTGTGTGGGCGGTCTTTGTTTTCTCCCTTAGTGGGTGCTGCTTGGCCTTCTTAGCCCGGACGGCCAGCTGGTTGCGATGGCTGCGTCTGCTCCCCTGTGCGGGGTGACTTTGCGGTGGGTTCTAGCAGAGTGTGTTGTTTGTTCCTTCTTGTCTTTTGAGCACAGGGATGGTCTGCTCCATCTAGTGCTCGTTTGTTTTTCTGTTTCCTGATCTGCCCTGTGTCTTTGTTTCTTGGTTTTCTCACTTTCTTTGATTATGTTTCGAACTTGGGGCTTTTGGGATTAACGCTCTTGATCCCTTCCCATGTATTTCTTTCCTTTTAATTTAATTGTCACCATTATCAAAAAAAAAAACAAAAAAAAACAAAAAAATTGTCATCTCTAGATATAAGCTTCCATGGAACAATGTTGTCTTTAAGATAAGTGTCTCTTTTATTATCCTCCAAATTGTCTCTGTATACCCCTCCTGAAACCCTATGATATACGTTTTTCGAGCCCTAAATTGTTTCACTTTTGCCAAAAAAAAATTATACTATTTGTGGTCATAGAGATTAGTTAAATAATCCAAATTTTGTCACTCTCTATTACCTTCGGCCAGTCTCCATTAACGGAGACCCTTTTTTAAACGTGACTAACAAAAATGTCTAATCAACCTATTTTAGCCATAAAAAATTTGTACCCGACCCGCAACGTCCGTAACCACTGCAGTACTTTGATTTTGGCACACATTTCTTCAATGTGTGTCTTCAATGTGTGACATGCACCTTATCCAATGGCTTCACCATGATGATGAGAGTTTCCCGTGATCAACCAAAAAAATAATGAAAGTGGAATTATGATGGCAATGCCTATGACGCAACCAATGGTCGATTAGCTCGTTTGTATACAATCAAAATGGATATTTCACCGCCAAAGAAGAAAGAAAATACACGAACAGAAAATGAGAGAAGAGAACAGTCAGTAACTGTACAAAAAGATTTCTTCTAACAGCTTTCATGGCAGCCTACACGATTCGATCACTTCCTTCACCACTTTGTGGGTCTCCGGCGAGATCATGTTCAACGTCAAGTGAAATGCCTGCAGGGGGGAAAAAAGAAGAGAAACCACGATCCAAGAAACGAGTTTTGCATCATTCCGTTTGGCAGTGAAACCACGATTCAAAGTCACAATGTGTAAAGAAACCATGGAATGGAACGCTAGATTCACAAGAGTTCTTCCCACAATTCCACAACTGAAAACTCACCACAAATCTTTCCAGCACAGGAATGAGAACCGAGAGCTTGTGATCCGGGAGGCAATCAGCAATAGAATCGCGCGTGATCTTGCTGCAAGGTATAAGAAATCAATGGCTGTAAGTAAGTAACTACTCTGGCTAAAAAGCAAGTAACTTGAAGGGGGGAAAAAAATCGATCTGCAAGTTTTATCAAAACAACCAACAAAACCAAACCTTTCAGTTGAAAGAAAGGCAAGCAGCAGTGCTGCATAGGCCTCCACGATCATCTTCTCCGCTTCTTTCTCTCCTTCTAGCAATGCTACCTCATCATCCTAGACAATGCCAATTGCCAAAGTCAGGCTACAGGTAAACTGGCAATTTAAGATGAACGATAAAGAAGGGTCTTTTTAGGAAGGAAGGTCGTGGAATCACCCATTGTATGCCATTCCCTTGTTCAGATTGATCACCTTCTCCTTGGTGGGCTAGAAAGATGGAACACAGTAGGGGAATCACATCCCTACGACTCTCTTCTTCCGACCCTTGTGAGCTGGCTAACGAGACGCTAGCCAATGCAAGCCTCGACCTGTAGAAACACTAACCTTAGTACCTGTTTTGTCCATCCTAGCAGAGATGAAGATGGAACAAACACACCCTAATCGAGGGAAGAAGCCTGTCTGTGGAGAAATCAGAAGCACACCTGTTTTGTCCATCCTTCTCGACTAGGTTGACAAGGAGTCCCAATATGGCGACCAGAAAATCTAGATCTTGATCAGTTAAACGACCTTCGTTTTGATGCGCAAGTACAGCAGAATTAAGAGATGAAGAAGATGAGTCGAACGACGGGAAGTGGTCAGCAATCAGTGAAGACATAGTCTCCAACCCCTTGCAGCCAGCAACTTGCCGACATCCCACGGGATTTTCATTTGTTAGATTCATCAGAACCTGCCCAGACAGGAGCAAAATGAGATTAGAAAACCCAGCTAAAATCCAACAATCATGAATGAAATGTATTAGGGAGATATATTATGCTAGTAATTACCATACTGTCCTTATTGCTTATAATTATTGTCTAATAAAGCTGAGAGTGAGCAGTTACTTAGCATAGACACCTACCTACCTATCACCTATGATAATAGCTTTAGTGCTACACAGAGAGGAACAATACCTTCACAGATGTAAGAAGACACTCAGATAGAAGAGTAGAACATTCTTCATCTGAAACACTTGAATTCGAATCTTTCTGTGAGGAACACTGTAGCTTACTTGAGTCTTCATCAAGCTGTTTACTCGATTCACCTTGAATGGCCATTACATCGAAGGGATCGTCGTTGTTTCGGCGTTCTTTAGCAGGCTTTCTCACAAATGGAGTTTGAGATTTTTTAGGTTTACCATACTTCACATCCCACTTTGAGGGCTCAAAGTCATCTTCATCAAATGCGAAGGGATCTTGGCTATCAAAGAGTTCACACATGGAATCTTTTGCAGAATCCTCGACATCCACATCAAAGTTTGACCTCAGCCCATTACAGCTCCTCGATGTCTCGCTGCTTGAACTGAACATCGAAGAGCGAACTCTCATCTTGAGTAAGTTACTGTCTTCCATGGTAGCTGTTTCTCCGGAAACAGAGAGAACACGCTGTGCAATTGATTTGTGTGAAGTAGAGCCCCTTTTGAATGAGATCCCTTCTGTACCATAGCAATCTGATTCTGACGAGCTGATGCATATCACTCCATCAATGTCTACTGCTGATAGCAAATGACAACCAATGTTACAAACAGACAAGAAGAGAGACAAGGAGAGAGCCAATGGCAAAACGGTGCACCTTTGTGGTCATGACTTTCACTGGAGATGGTCGAAGTGTTTCCATCAGCAGAGGTAGCAGAAGTTCTAAGCAAATATAGCCCTAAAGATCAATGGATATTCCGTCTATGTTAAAAGGCCTTTAAGCGAAAGGTAAAAAATGATATAAAACTCAAGGGAAGAACTATAACATACAAAACCAGAACAAATAGAGTATTAATTACCTGATAAATTCTTGATGACACTTATGACAAGTTTGGTGAAAGATATTCGGCAACCATGAGAATCAGAGTTTCTTTTCATCGCAAGCAGATGGTCCTATATCATTGCAAAAGAAGAAACTAAAACAATCAAAATCTGATACTCGCAACAGTGGTAATAGGGTGGGATTGGCTTCAGTTTTGGTCAACTGAAACAGTAGGCATATGTTTGTCAAACTGAAGCCAAAACCGAATAGAAATTTGGTTAACCATAACCAATATTCGGTTTTGGTTTTCATTGACTAATATTTTGGTTATTTCAGTCCAAAACCTAAAATCTCTATTTCCACCAAAAACTATGAAATATGGTTTTGGATTCGGTTTACCTAAAACCCAATTTCCTAGCACTAATGGGCACTGGGCAACCTATAGGTTATATGACCACAAACATATAGAAAATGAGTTATACCTGGTTCTCTTTACTCAGGAATGTAGCATTTTCCATGATCTTCAAGCATTTCAAAATGGTCACGAGGCTTGGCAGGACCAAGACATCTTGTGCACTCTGAGAAGAGGATGAATTTTGCTGCTCCAAACTCTGCATTAACATTCATGTATACAGGTGGTCACGAGGCTTGGCATTAACCACTTATACCAAATTAACTAAGTCTGGCAGAAATTTTTAGTCCTCTTATATTCTAAACCTTCGCCTTCGGGCTTAAAATATTCTAAACCTTCGAGGCAACACCAACCAGCCAAAAAAAGTATCTGTATCTCCATGTCGCAAGCAGTTGGAGGCTCCCATGATTTGGTACAGCGATTCAAGCAAAGTGCATCAAAGTTCATAAAGAGAAGGGCCAATTCTAAGAGAGAGAAACAGAAATATCTCAAACCTCAATAGCAGAGTGGCAGCTCATAGCAACTTCAAAGATAGCATCAAGTCCTCCAAGTTCTCGCAACTTCTCCTTGAAATTTCCATCCATCTTCCTTACCCGGCCCGATGTATCTGAAAGAACGTGATGCATGGCCAAATAATAAAAAAAAAAGAATTTGTGCACATTCAGTTGATAAAAAGATGAAAATAACAGACGGGAAGACAACAAAAGGATTTGAAAAAAGTTCAAGGTCTCCTAATGCTTAAACCTAACAAGCACATATGAATAAAGTACCACTCCTGGAAATAAGAAACCATGAGCTTATATAGAACTAAGTATTTTCAACCCATCAAATAGAGAGTAACCAGTACCTTCAAGAGATATCTTGGATAAGCAAGCTTTCTCCATAGTCAACAGGGCTATGTACTTTGATGTCAACTCTGGCCTCTCAGCTCCCATATTGTTCCCAGACTGGGACTTAATGACCTTACCACTCACAAGAATTTCCTCAACTTTGGCTACAATGGCAGAAGAACTTGAATCTGCCATTTTGCTTGTATCACGCAAGATACTAGTGTCTCTGCGTATCGACAAAATCTTACTGCCTAAACTTCGAGTTTTCTCCTGGCTAGCCGTAGAATGCACCGGTTTCAGCAATTGAAGCAAAAAAAGAATGCAACTAGGAGATTCCAACATGTGATCATCTTGTCCCTGATAGAACAAAAGCATTGTTAAAGTGTAAAACCATTTAGACGAGGTTTGAGGAAAAACATAATAATCAACCACAAATTAAGGAAGCTACTCCCACTTTTATAGAATGTATGTATGGCTCTTGTAAACCAAGTCTAACAGGTCAAGGAAGCTACTCCCACTCTACCCACCAATCTTAATTTTAAAAATGAACAATACTGCTTATATTCCATTACATAGTAAGGACTAGAATTGTTCGCACTTCTGACCAGGAAACATATTTACAATGCTCTGCTTTAAGGTATACACCACTAGTAAATTATTCAATGGAAACAGCCACTTACATCACTGGTTAAGAGAAAGAAAAGAGTTGCAGCTGCCAGGTTACTGGGCACATCATCAAAGCTAAGACCCAAGACTGCGTCCATTATTGTTTTAACCGTCCTGAAAGTACGCAACAAGAGAATTTCAGCACAAATATAGCAGATCTGATGCATATAATGTTAATGGGACAATGGAAGGGGGAAAATAGTTTATATGCTACAAGATTCGGCAACAGTATGCATTGGCAAACTACTCACTACTGTCTGTAGAAATCTGATGATTTATGTACATCATGCTTGCGGTCTCTAAGAGTACGCGAGAAAGGGGTTCCAGGAAATGAGAGGTATAGAAAATCACAATAATCTGTGGTTTCAAGATTCATAACCTAGCTCTCACTCTATAGTTCACTAACCTACGACACTATATTCAAGTCGACTACTTTGAGCATTAACAAAATGACTTCCTGCACATTTTAGGGTTAATAATAATAATATCCTCATCGAAGGCACACAAATAGAGCTTCATAGTGCACAAGTCACTGGCTGAAAGGCAGACCTAGGCACTACTTCACTAATTCAAGAGTTTAACCCCCGGAAACTCAAACCAAGAATCCAAATTGCAGAATAACAGATTTCTCAAGAAACCTAAGCAAGATAACCCACCAACAGAATGCTTCGAATTTGAAGCTGCTGGCATCAATTCAACGAATCCGAAGCAAAGCCCACCAAAGGGTATTTTCAAATTTTCAATTCAGAGCCACATACCCTTGAGCCCTAAGAAGTCGCCGCTGCTGCACCGTGCCGCAAATCGACAAGAGGGATAACAAGCTCGCCCTTCTGATAGTGACCGGCTGCCCTCTCCTCAACCCGTCAAGAGCGAAATTAACCTCGTCGACGTGCTCCATCATCTCTCCGAACTCCTGCGCCTCCATTAACGTAGAAGTCATCGGAACCCACGGCCTCGCGTCCCCTCCCACCCGCTTCTCCAACTTCCCATTTCTTGGTTTCTTCGACTTCCTGGAAGCAACATCGTTGGCAGGGGCCAAATTTTCCTGGGAGGAGGAAGGATTGAAGCCGTAGGGATCGGGATCGAACGAGGAGGCGGAGGAGGGCCAGAAAGAAGACGATTCTTGGGAAGGGAAAGGGAAGTCGTAGAAATTCTGAGATGGGCTCTCTTGGGAGAGGGAGAAAGAGTCCCCGCCGAATGAGTGCCCAGCAAGGTCGTCGTCTTCGTCGAGTGAATCGGAAAACGACCTGCTCCGGCGGCCGTAAGTCCTGACGATCATCCCTTTGAATTTGAAATTTCCTTGTCTTTGTAGTTACTTTATCTTTTCAACACGAGGAAAGCTTTAGTCTGTACTCTGTAGAGGGGTAGCCCAGTTTCGAGGGCGTTTTGGGAAACAGAGCAAAAGATAAGCTTTTGAGAAAATGGAGATGGGTTGAGAGCTGAGGAGAGAAAGAAGAGTGGAGCATCGGAGGATTTAAGACCGGCCGGAGGTGGAGCAGAAGAAGACGGGAGGAATGAAGGAAGGTATAGCCGTTTGGTGGTTAAAGATCGAGGATTTTCTTTTGTTCGGACGTGTTGTCGGGTCGGGTCGGGGATCCGGTGCGGCTGCGGCCTGCTGAAGCACCGTCGTTTTTTTGTGATCGTTGCAGAAGCTGGGCTTGTGGCCAAAGCCCAAAAGTAAGGGCTATTTGGTAAATTCAAAAACGTTCGGATCGTCACGAGCTTAACGCGTGCGTTTCTTCGTGATCAAACGTCGTTTATTATAGGTCTGGTAATGACGCCAAAATTAGTTATCTAGGCAGCAATGCCGTGATGGGCATGGGTAACCAAAGTAATCATACAAATACAATTGCCGCCATTCCATTTTTGTCCATTTACAAGAAATGGGATAACTCGGTATGAAACTATCAATGAAGTAAAATCTCATTTTCTTAGTGTGAGATTAACAACTCTATGGTGTATACAAATAAAAACATTGGCATGTTAGATTATTGGAAGGTGATTGGTAGGGCTGGATTTTCGGTTACATCGGTTATAACCGGTAACCGACCGGTCGGTTACCGGTTAATTAAGGAGCCAAGTGAGCTTACCGTCAACCGACCGACAGGTGCCCTCGGTCAACTGCCAACCGACCAGTCGGTTACCGGTTAGTTGCGCGGTTAACCGTGAAAACCGCAGCAACACAATCGGTTCACTGAAACACAGCAAAAGGGGCGTTGTTCGGGCCTCGGGGAGGCGATGGCGGTGCAGGCCTGCAGGGGTAATGTTCGTGGGGAAGGAAGGGCGGCAGCGGAACTCTCGACGGGGGCGGAGCCCTCGACGGCGACAGAGCTCTCGACAGAGACAGTGTCGCGCGGGAGGAGGAGGACTGCTATGGATGGACGATGGTGGCGCCGAGGCGAGGTCGTGCAGCAAAGAAGGGTGGCGACGGAGCGAAGGCGCTGGCGGCGACTATATTATTTTCCGACGGCGATGCTCTCTGGTTCGTCGCTACACAGCGGGCGGCGATGGGTGGGAGTGGGAGCCTGGGGAGATTTGCGAAGGCGAAGAGGTTTAGTAGGGCAGGGGGCGGGTCTGGGTCTGTCTGGGGTAGGGTTAGGAAGTTAGGAGGGTCGGCGTCGTTTTGGGGGGTAAAAGGGGAGGGGGTTTGTGTTCGGTTAGCCGGTTAACCGACGATTATTACCGTCGGTTACTTGGTCAACCGACACAGTAATTCCCCATCCGACAACCGCCCGAAGTGTTTAATTTTCGGTTATCGGTTAACTGGCTAACCGACGGTTATCGGTTTAACCGCCGGTTAACCGGCAACCGATAACCGAATGACCAGCCCTAGTGATTGGTGTTCGTGTTTGGTTCTCTGTAAATTGCGGGTGATAGAAAGTGAATGGAGTAGTGATCAACAAGAATATGAGTATGAGTGAAATTTTGTGATAATGTGGAACAAAAATGAATTGGATTAGGTGTATTGATATTTAGTTGAAAAAAAAGACATTGAGAATCTCAAACTAGGAAGAAGCAATCTAACCAGAGGTTGAGAAGACGAAGTCCCACAAAAGGGATGTAAACGACAACAAGGAAAGTAAAAACAACATGGACTTGAATCAACAAAGTGAACTAGACGAAACTAACAAAGCAACGAAACGATAATCAGAGGGGGCGGAGGGCTACCGCCGACCGCTGGGGAGACGCCAACAAAAGATCCATGACTGAAGAAAAATGGTTATAAAGAGGTTAGACGAAAAAATTGATAGAGAGAGGTTAGCTAACCTTTTGGTCCAAAACCTTCTACTCTCTCATTCTTTGCTTTGTCAAACTATAACCAATTTTACCTATGTAATTATAATTAATCAAAGAATACCAATACAAACAAAAACCCCATATAAAAAAAATTGGTATGACAATACAACACAGTTAAATTAACCTATAACGCATCCTACCCAATCTTGACCGATAATAGACTAAATATTTTTTTTACAATATATTAATATGGTTCCCATAAATTACATTGCTTAATTTTGCAACAATACCATTTGAACCACAAGTGTACACGTAAATCCCATTCCGCTAGCTTCTACGATTTTAATGTTTAAATTTCCATGTTCACCAAAAAAAGGTTTAGGGGGCAAAAAAAGGAAAATTCCCAAGAAAGCCAGCAAAACCAAGAGGGGCGGTTACGTATTTTTCTCCATATTCCCGCTTATTTAATTCCGCAATTGGCTTCTCGTTTTCTTTGCCCCTCACCACCCCGCGGTATCAATTATCATCATCGCCTACGTCTTTCTTTAAAATGCGTGGTACTGTTTTTTGACCTTTCGCAATCTGGATCTAGGGTTTCCTTCCCTCCGCTTCTCTTCTCCCCGCCTCCTCCGTCGTCACTTTTCCTCCGCCACCACCATCACCAGCTTCAAACATACCTTCACAGCTGAAACAGATAGAGAACAGACATATACAGAACGCAAACCGTATCCACCGCTCCCCCGCGGTCGCCGTCTTTTTTCGTATTACGGAACCTAGACCCTGGTAATACACGAAGCAATCGAAGGAGATCGATTCCGATCGTCGGCGTTCGGAGTTAAACCGGCGTGGATTCTTCTTCCTCGAATCTTATTATTATCATCTTAAACACGGTTTGAGCCTTAAAAAGGATATTTCCCCATTCCAAACCTTCCTTTTTCTCTTTCTGTCTATGTCCTGTAACTTTTCGATCGATTCGATGTGGACGAAGGCCAGGACGGACTTCCGATTCGCTCGGACTTTTGTATTTGGATTTTGACTATTGTAAGAGGAAACGAGTATCCGCTGAAAACCCAGGCTTAAAAAGAAAGAAATTGCAATCCCCCCCTACCGGAATCGAGATGTCGATGACGACGATGTCGAAATCGGCGGTGGTGTATAGAGGGGAGGAGATGGTGGGGGACGTGGAGATATACGCGCAGCAAAGGGAAGGAGAAGTGGTGGTGGATGGAGAGAACAAGAGCTTCAACTTGAGGAACAAGAACAGGGTAATTGACGAGATTCTGGTTGCCGGCAGGGAAATCAGAATAACCCACTTCTCCCCGGCGAGTGAGAGGTGTCCACCGCTGGCAGTGTTGCATACCATTACCTCGACTGGGATACTATTCAAAATGCAGCCCAGGAATCCGCCGCTGTTACAGCAGCAGCAGCAGCACACGCCGCTGCATTTCTTGCACTCTGCACTTATCCAAGACAACAAGGTATAGCAAATTATACCTGCTAAAGTTAGTAAAAATTGAAGGGAGAACTTTAAAAGAAACTTTGGGGGAAAGTACAGATTTTTAACTCAGTGTAAATATGTGAGAGGAACTTTTGGGTTATCTTTTTCTGTTGGTAATGTGACTAATGGGGATTGAAATCAACTGTATGAATGAGGAAGTTTCTGCTGAGCTGAAATGTTAACGTTGCATCAAGCTGGGAGACCACTGTCTGGTGAGTTCACAGACAGTAGAGTGTGTTAAATGGTATTTTGCTCTCTGGTTGCCAGAAACTTGAGCTCACCATTTGTATGGTAATATGACTGTCCCATGGGGGTGGGCCTTAAGGGTGAGGATAGAGATGGGATGTAAGAGTATAGGCATTAGATTGACAAGAAACTTAGCCGGTGTAGCTCAATATTTTCAAATATATGCAGAAGCTAGTTTTGATGATGGTTATGGTGCTGAACGTTGTTCTTTTTCTGTGTCTCTTTTTGCTCAAGATACTGATTGCTTAAGTGTAATGTTGTATTCAGACTGCAGTGATGCGGGTAGGAGGGGATGAGCTCCATTTGGTTGCAATGCATTCCCGGACTAGTGAAAGACCATGTTTCTGGGGATTCCTTGTTGCAGCAGGACTATATGACTCTTCTCTTGTCATGCTGAACTTGAGATGCCTTGGCATTGTATTTGATCTTGATGAAACTCTTATCGTTGCAAACACAATGAGGTCATTTGAAGATAGAATTGATGGTTTGCAGAGGAAAATAAGCACCGAGGCAGACCCACAGCGGGTTTCAGGTATGCTGGCTGAAGTGAAACGTTATCAAGATGACAAGAATATATTGAAGCAATATGCCGATAATGATCTGGTTACTGATAATGGGAAGGTGTTGAGAGCTCAATATGAGAATGTCCCTCCACTGTCCGATAGCCATCAGCCTATAGTGCGTCCGTTGATTCGGTTACCAGACAAGAACATTATTCTGACTCGCATTAATCCACAGGTATATCACTAATGTGATAATGTGATAGTTGTATGTGTGGCTGCATCTAGGTCTTGTGCTGCCTTTTTGAGAAGTTAGTCTTTATTAACTCTATTATGTTTCAGTGTTACATCATCTCATTTCTCTGAACTGGAGATATGGATTTGTTTTCCTCCAGCATTGCTTGACAAAGTTGGTACTTCGCTTACATTTCTGTAGTTGTATGGAGTTTTGCAGATGTTCTGCAATATAGGCGTTTTATACTCGCATCTTTCTTTTGTTCGCATAAAAAGTTGCTGCCATGTGCATTATGTCTGCCTAAGTATAGGGTTATGCTTTTATGTGTAGATTCGCGATACAAGTGTTCTTGTGAGGTTGAGGCCTGCATGGGAGGATCTGCGAAGTTACTTGACTGCTAGAGGTCGCAAGCGTTTTGAAGTTTATGTCTGCACAATGGCTGAAAGAGATTATGCTTTAGAAATGTGGAGGCTACTTGATCCAGAGTCAAATTTAATAAACTCGAAAGAACTTTTGGACCGCATTGTGTGTGTTAAGGCTGGTAAGCAGCAGGGCGTAGCTAATCCATTGTTTCTCACATGCTGGCTTCTTTCCTCTTCTTATTTCTACGTGCTGTACCTATAATTACATCTGGATGATACCCTTATTGCTGGTGTTTTATCGTTTGTTTTGCATTATTAGGTCTAAGGAAATCATTGTTCAATGTCTTCCAAGATGGAACCTGCCATCCTAAGATGTCATTGGTGATTGATGATCGTTTGAAAGTTTGGGATGATAAAGATCAACCTCGGGTGCACGTTGTTCCTGCATTTGCTCCATATTATGCTCCCCAAGCTGAAGTATAGTCTTTATCTTTTCTTTGTCATATGCATATTTGGTTCTAATGTTCCCTTTGGCACATAGGTTGGAAACTGATTTGCGGTATTACCCAGTTGGTCCAATGTGCCTCTCAGTTTCATGTTAGCATGCCCTGATCATCTTCTTGTTTGCAGGCAAATAATGCAATTCCAGTTTTATGTGTTGCAAGAAATGTTGCATGCAACGTTAGAGGTGGTTTTTTCAAGTAAGTTAACATTCCAAAGTCAGTAGCCGCCATATTTGAAGCTGTTAAATGTGTTCGAACTTGACATTTTGTACTTGATTCTTTTGGCACGACCTGATCCTTAATTGTTAACAGAGATTTTGATGAGGGTCTTCTGCAAAAAATGCCCGAGATTTCATATGAAGACAATATTTCAGATATTCCTTCTCCTCCTGATGTGAGCAACTACTTGGTTTCAGAGGTTAGTCATATTAGTCTTTTCTGTCCTGAGTAACTCTTCCTGGCCTACCCGTTACAACTGTTTGGTCTGAGAAGTCCTATTTTCCATTCAAGGATGATCCCTCAGCTTCAAGTGGAAACAGAGATCCGCTTTCTTTTGATGGCATGGCAGATGCTGAAGTTGAACGACGACTAAAGGTTTCCTACTCTTCGTATTTCTCCCATATAAGTTGGTGCATGCCCGTTGCCTGTGTAGACAATATAGGGTGTCAAACCTTTTTTTATCTTTCCGTATCACCAAGTTAATTTCAGTTTCATTTTCGTGGACTTCTGTAGGAAGCAGCTTCAACTTCTTCAGTCTTACCTCCAGCAGTCCCCACTCTGGATCCAATGCTTGTATCATCTCTTTACACGATGGTGTCTTCTTCACGATCAATTCCACTGCCAACGACACAGCCATCTGTCGTCCCATTTCCTAATGCACAGTTTGCGCAGGCACCTTCATTAGTTAAACCTTTAGGTAAGGTTGGTCCAGCAGATCCAAGCTTTTCTAGTTCTCCTGCTAGAGAAGAAGGCGAGGTTCCAGAATCTGAGCTAGATCCTGATACGAGAAGGAGACTACTCATATTGCAACATGGGCAAGATTCGAGAGACCTGCCTCCTGTTGAGCCTCCATTCCCGGGGAGACCTCAGGTACAAGTTCCAGCACCACGTGTGCAATCTCGTGGAAGTTGGGTTCCTGCAGAGGAAGAGATGAGCCCTAGACAGCTGAACAGACCAGTACCTAGAGAATTCCCGCCAGAGCCTGAGCCAATGCATCTTGAAAAGCACCGACCTCATCATCCCTCTTTTTTCCCTAAGGCTGATACTTATATTCCACCTGATAGAATGGTTCATGACAATCAAAGAATGCCAAAAGAGGTATGTTGTCCTCTATCTTGGTTTCAGGTCTTGGCCCAAAATTTAGTGGGCATTTCTCGACTTTTGCAATTATTGACTCCATTTATGCACAGGTACCTTACAGAGACGACAGGCCAAGGTTAGGACAGACCTTGTCAAATTACCAGTCTTTCCCAGGTCAGTTCTGGTGATGCTGCATTTCCATCATTTGCTATTGCATTGGAAGGATACTTTTCTTTTTTGTTCTTCATTACATGCAATTTGTTTATTTTCTTCAACTTTTTTCATGTTATATTGTTCAAATCACATGACAACTTGATTTTTTTTCTGCTTTTAAGGTGAGGCTATGCCATTGAGTCGTTCATCTAGCAACAGGGACCTTGACTTTGATATGGAAAGACCTGTTTCAACTGCAGAATCTCCCGTGAGAGTGTTGCAGGATATTGCAATGAAGTGTGGTACTAAGGTATGAACTATTGTAGTTAATATTGTTATTCAGATGCTGTATATGTTTTATGTTTACCTTTTCTGTATCTCATTGCTCAATTTGTTGTTGCAAAATTACAGGTGGATTTCAGGCATTCTTTGGTTGCTAGCAGGGATTTACGGTTCTCAATTGAGGTTGGAAGATCTTCTAGGCTCACGCATTTTTCTCTTTTGTGATAAATGGCTAGTAAATTCTTTTGGTTGCAGTGTTCTAGATTATTTATTTTGTGACTTCGAGGTGCTTACTCAGGTCTACACTTTTGCAGGTTTGGTTTGCTGGAGATAAAGTTGGTGAAGGTATTGGCAGGACTAGAAGGGAAGCCCAACGTGAGGCAGCTGTTGGTTCTCTGAAGGCTCTTGCTAGTATGATTTCTGGCTAGTTAGTTTATAAAAAAGAAAGATCTCTTGCTATTAACTTCTAGTGCCTGATGTTGTGTCTATCGTTTATTCACTTACAATACTTACTCCAATGTGACTGGAATCTGGAGCGAGATTTGGAACTTTTAATGTAAAATAGCTTTTAACCCAAATCCTTGCATGTTTTTGTAAGCTGTTGCTTTGCCTTTTCTTGCTCATATCCGTGTTGAGTTCGTTAGAATTGATTAGAATGGTTTTTCATTGTTGTGAAGTGATATTTCATTTGGAAACTCAAGTTGCTGTACCGTATGACTCTCAGAAGTTGCTAATTTGCTCCACAATAACGGGAAACCCCCCATTGTTAATGCATATCTGTGTTATTGCTAATGGCTTTCCTTATGCAAACCACAACAGGTATTTACTCTATGAGAAATTATAGGATCTGTTGCATCTTCCCATGTCTTCAACGAACCAGTACTCTGGTGTGTGTTGGGGGGTTGTTCATGCGCTCTTCAGTTTGTTTCCGTACTTGCATAAATCAAATATCAACTAAGAAACTGTCTGCTAACTTGAAGTAGATACCAGTCATTTATTTTTGGGAATAATACATCTGGTTCTTGTAATTTGGAGTCCAATGAAGTTGATGTTCTTTCAGCTTTCAAAATGGAGTTACTTGATGCCATTGGAAATCTGACACGTGTACACATTTTAATGCAAGGCATGTACACTTCACGTTCATTGCCAGATTCTGTATCTTTGCTTGGAGATACAATGAGATATTCTGGTGTCAATGACAATGGTTTCTCTGGTAATGTCGGTTCATTTGGGGATGAACCAGCTCCAAAGCAAGATATGGTATCGTTTCCTCCCCTGGATCCAAGGTTTGAAGGCTCAAAGAGATTCGCGGGTTCAGTTACTGCCCTCAAAGATTTTGTAAGTGCCAAAAGTTTCCAGCTCTCTTTTCATATTTATTTTTGCAGAGTAGATATGATAAACTTCTTGTCATTCTTACCTTCTGGTATTTAATATACCTTCAGTGCATGATGGAAGGCCTTGGGATGAGATTTCTCCCAGAGACTCCGATGTCAGTTAATTCAGACGAAGTCTATGCACAGGTTCGGAAGATGGCCAGTTCTTATGATTATTCAAATACAACTTGAGAATGTTTAGCATGAACCTTGGTTGTTCCCAATCGAGTGAGTTCTGTAGGGTGGTTTTGTTTCGATTCTTTCATTGGTAATTTTAAATGACAAGAAGGAAAAGAGCTGAAAGCAAGGAACCTTTGATATTTAGGTTAATTTTAGTAAAATGGTCTTTTAGGATAAGTGAATTGGTTGAATGATATAGGCGCTAGAGATTTATGTTTTGTTTGTTTTATTAAGTATATTGAAGACTTGTGCACTGGTTCTTTATCCTTGACCTTTATTCTCGGTTTGTGATGTTCTCATTTCATGGGTCTTTGAACTTGCACTTACCGAACTGCCCTCGCCTGCTAGGTTGAAGTTGATGGACAGCTTATGGGAAAGGGAATTGGATCTACGTGGGATGAAGCTAGAATGCAGGTAAAAGCATTTCCCTTGACATTCAATAATTGATCTATCAACTTATGAAATGTCGTCTATCATATATCTTATGTTTTACTTACTACTTTGTACACTTCTAATTTGCTTGTCTGTCAGGCTGCTGACAAGGCCCTTGGAAGTCTAAGAACAATGTTTGGTCAATCGACACCGAAGCGTCAGGTCTCCCCTAGGTTTGTTCTCACTCCCTGTTTGTTATGTGATGTTTGGCTCCCAAATATTTTAATTTTCGCTAAAGTGCACTCAGTGAGTGAAGTCTGCGTTTCCCATAATTCACCATGATTTTCATCTTTTCTGAATGATTGGATTTCTTTTCCTGGAAATTTGGATTAGGTCTGTGCAAGGTATGTCAAACAAACGTATGAAGCCAGATTTTTCGCGAATGATGCAGCAGCGGATGCCCTCGTCTGCTAGATACCCAAAGAATGCCCCTGCTGTCCCTTGAAGAGCCTTACCATTATTCCCGCTTGTTCCAGTTTTGATCTAGAAAAGCAACTGTTGAAAAAGATCCTAATCAGCCAGCTGAATAGTTGGGGCACTTGGTTGCCTTTTCCATTGATCAAGGATCTGAATTCGTCGGCGCTCGGTTCAAGGCTTAGGTCCAATTTACTGTTGTGAGGGAGACCTCATTCTGTCTGAAGATCACCCATTCAACAGATTCAGTTGCGCATCTGTTTTATTGAAGGTTCTTCCTCTGCCACTATCCGGCAGCAGCCTTTTGCACAATGACTGGGGCGGGTGTGATCGAGGCTAGTGTTGAATCGTGGTCGAGGAATGTCACCCTATCTGCAATGCGGACAGTGGCTGGAAGAACCATATTTGACTTGGAAGACGTTTTTGTATATTGATAGACATAAGCAGGGAAGCGGCAATTGGGCAAATAGCAAACAGGCTTCATCTGCAGACCATTGATCTGGCCTCTTCCACGGTGTTGGTGTCGAGGCTTGTAGATTAACCTCGGCTTTAGCATGGAGCTGCTGACTAGCCGCGCAGTTCAGCTTTCGTCTCGGTGATTGTGCAGTGGTAGCAGCAACCGAAGATTGAAGTTCCTCTTTTCCCCCAGTCCCGTTACCATTGGGAGTGTCTCTAGTGTACTAGAATGGCTAGTCTTGTAGAGTAGTTTGTATTGTTATCTGGGTTGATTGCCCAGAATTGTTTTGTCCCCGCGGGAAGCCTGAGTGATTGGTGAAGGGTGTTCTACAGGCAGGGGAGTATTAACGGGCTAAAAGGTGTTCTACAGGCTGGGGAGTCTTAATGGGCTAACTCATTGTAATTGCTAAAGAGCCCAAGGTGACGAGCAGGCCCATGATCCTCGGCAATACTTGACCCGTTATGGATCGGAGATGGGCAGAGATGTAATTTGACGTTGTAAAGAGGAAAGCCATGAAATATGCTCTTATCAGATTTTTTCTGGATTTAATATAAGTTTGTAAAGTAAATTCGCTGCTGTTAATTATTCTATGTTTAGTTTTATTGATCTAACGTTAATATCCCCCCACTGAGATCTGTTACAGAATAAAACAAAGAATAAAGTACAGCAGCCACTGGTTAGAGACAAATTAAGAAGTTCTCAAGGAATTACCGACAGAATTTGGAGGAGGTTTTCGTATGGCAGAGAATGAGAGTGTTGCGATCATAGTGGTATGATCTCGGTATTGGATTAAATCCCCCGATAATATATAGTACACTTTTGTGTATTTTTCTCTATTTCAAATTTCCTGCAACGAGAGTGAAAGTAGGAAGGACATTTTTGTCTTTTCAACTCTCTAAAAATCGCAGGACTTCCCATCATGATTAGCAAGCCCATTAAGTATATCGTATGTAATTTTATGGTGCTTGATACTTCAATTTTCATTGTAGAGTTTCATGTACTTTCTCAATTTTAAAATTCTTTCTCTCTCCTTAATTTTTGCTAAAGGTAAATTGGTAATTTGCTTACATAGAAAAAACTAATTTTGTCACTACGTGTTGTGTCCTTGTATTTTTTAATTTAAATTTTGTGGTTTTTATCTTTGTTCTTATCTCTTTCTAACTTCCTCGAAAATTCCCTCCATCGTACAATAGTTTGCGCCCCTTTCACTTCCCAACACAAGGCCGCTTTTGAAAATCAATCATCTGGTATCTCTTGGCACGTTGGTTTTATTGTTGGGGATTTATGTTGGGCAAGTAAAAGAGTTTAATAAATAATGGAGTTGCAGAAGGAGGATTAGAAATTGAATTTTTGGTTGAAACATATGTCTCTTGAGATAAAAATTTGGTTGTGCAACGAAGAGTGGTGGCTATTGGATCTTTATATTTATGGTTTTTACATCTATCACAACCTATTTTTATCTTAAAACGAGGAATCATTGATTGATTTATTGAAGTAGGTCGATTCTTTATTCAATCTACTGGAACCGATAGACAAGGAGTGTCTAATTTTGTGTCTTATTACTTTGATTGAGTCTATTAGTATGTTGGAGATAACCCTAATTTTGTCGTTTGCTCTCAAGTTTTGATGGTCCCCTCTTAGCTGAGTTGTTAGTATATAGTTGACTTCAATCAACAACTCTCCATTTCTTTTTGATTAGTGGCATATTGTTCATAAAAGGAGCACATTAAACCCTTATGTAGGATTGTGAGGTTTAAGATTTAGTTTCAAACTATCTATGGGTCGTGTGGAATTTCACTGAGCTTTTATACCCTCTTTCTTGACAATCAACTAACCAATAGCATTTGAATGAGATCATTATGAAAATTGAATTAATGATACATTTTATATTTTATATTCTTAAATGATGATGGTATTTCTCCGAATGTTAAACCTATACTTTATGTATCATTTCGATCGAAGGATTGTCAATAAAATTAAACCGGTTGATTAGCTTAAACGTAACATAAAATATAAATATGAAAATTCCGGCTAATTGGCCGGGTTATAAGCTAGTTGATAATATTGTTAAAGCTTGTATAAAGCTTGTATAAGTTTCGAGCGGAACTATCTCGTTTAAAAGCACGATAGCTTCCCCTCATGCTACGCCGATAATGGAACGCCCTCCAAACATACTTGAGGCTCATTCCAGAATTTGGAACATGAATTAAATTATAAGGTGAGTAAGGGAATTAATTCAAAACCGTGTATTTGGAGATGAAATGGAGATGTGAGTGGAAGCAGGAGATGGAATTGACGGTGGGGGAAGGCGACGGAGAAGAAGAGGTTATGTTAGTTGAATTATTTTGTTAAAATAAAATATTTTTATAACAAAAATGAAAAGGATAAATATGTAATTTTAATTTTAATTAAAAACGATTATAGTAAAAGTTAGAACGACAATTAGCAATTTCAAAAACATTACCCCTAAAAGGACACTCATCAAAACGACAACGGCGCTGGCAGGTGATCTCATTTGGAGGTGAAAGGTAAAAAAAAAAAAACATTTCCCCTTCTTCTCTGTGTCTCGTCTCGTCACCGGTGGGTATATAAAAAGTCAAACAACCGCCTTAAAATAGCAATACTTGTCTTCAAAAAGTTTGAAGCTTCCACAGCATTTCTAGAGAGAGAAGGCACCAACTTCTACCACAGCTTGAGGGAGGCGTAGAGAGAGAAAGCGAGGAGCTGTTTTACTGAGAAGAGAGAGAGCGAGGAGGAACGATGGCGTCCTTCGACGGATACGGAATCGACGGCGAAGCAGCGGTCCACGCTTCGAATCACGGATCCTTCCACGATGATGACGACCAGGAGAGCTACTCCAACTTCGGATCCTACTCTAACTTCACCAGCGGCACGCCGGAGTTCTCCACCGGGGATATCCCTGTGGATCAGCCCGCCGCATCCTCCCCCGATGCCTTCGGATTTGGATCTTCTTCAGCTGACATGGATCCGAACTCTGGCTACTCCCAGAGCCCCTTCGGCTCGATCCCCGCCGAGAACGGCAACGGCAATGGCTATGGCGAGGCTGATGAAGGCATCTTCAGTTCCGATGGCCCCGTGCTGCCTCCTCCGACTGAGATGATGGAGGAAGGTGCAGCTCTTCGCGAATGGCGGCGGTGAGGGTTTTTATTTAATTCGAAAAATTTCCGATTCTTTAGTTCAGCTGCTCGTCGTAGATCCAATCTTCACTGTTTGCTTAGATCTGTGTATGGAATAGCTCGCTTTACGAGTTCCGGTCCTTCCGCCATTGCTGTGGCTTGCTTCCGAATCATGATGAGGTTTTGGAAGAGAGTAGTGCTGATTCGTCGTTAGTAGACAGCTGATTGAAGTTTAGGAGAATCTAGCCGACGAAAGATCTAGACGATTTCCTATCTAATTTTATTCAATCTTGCGTCCATGCATATAGAATAACCTGTTAATCGTCTTCAAGCATCCATTCCTAGTTTAGAGTTTGAGATCGAAATTCTGCATTGTTTAGAGGAGGCTATGTTAGATCCATGCCTTGATATCTGAAGCCATAGCTTGTGAGGTTTCCTGGAGTAGCTATGGTTTTTCTTCAGTAAGTTTTATTTTTGCCCGTCTTGTTGCCATCTTTGCTTTTGGGGAGAGGATTGAGTAAAATTCTGCATAGAAGTTGGAATTAGAAGATCTAACGAATGATGGTTCCGTGAATCCGATGAGCGGATCATTCCTAATTAGTCAACTTATCGATACTAGTCTCGGATGGTTCAATTTTGTTTAAGGCAACTACTGGTTTGGTGATGTATAGTTAAAGACTTGGATGGTCCTAATTAGTTAGAGGCTTGGATATAGCAAGCCATTTTAAGATCTGGAACAGCAACTTGTAATCTAGTGATTACCATGTTAGAGTCAAGTTTACTTGTGAGGGAAAGCAATAGAAGATGGGATGCAGTTATGTTTGTGATAATCAATTCACGGTTATGGTAATAGTATGCATTGAGATTTATGGATATCGTTTTGGCAGTCAAAACGCTATCTACCTCGAGGAGAAGGAGAAGAAAGAGAAGGAAATGAGGCAGCAGGTCATCGAAGAAGGCGAGGAGTACATTCGTGCTTTCTACGAGAAGCGAGCTCTCAACATTGAGACGAACAAGACAACCAACAGAGAAAGGGAAAAGGTGAAACTAAAATCCCTACTTAACTTACCCTGCTGAAATCTTTGCTACCCTCAGTAGCTTTTCAACTCATTAAACATTGTTTTCAAAAATTGCCTTCTTGTATCAGATTTCCTTGGCCAGCCAGGAGAAATTCCACAAGGAAGCCGACAAGCAGTACTGGAAAGCAATAGCTGAGATCATTCCTCGCGAGGTTCCTAATATCGAGAAGAAGAGAGGCAAGAAGGATCAGGACAAGAAGCCTTCCATAACAGTGATGCAAGGACCAAAGCCCGGTAAGCCAACAGATCTCGCCAGGATGCGGCAGATACTCCTGAAGCTGAAGCACACTCCACCCCCACACATGATTCCTCCTCCACCACCACCTGCTGCTGCTCCGGCCAAAGATGGGAAGAAGACCGCCGACGCCAAAGATGCAGCCAAGACCGGGAAAGAACCAGCTGCCACCACCACCACCAAGGACGTGACTGCTAATGGCACGGCTGATCATCAACCAGAGGCTCCTGCCGCCACCGTCGGTGAGGAGACTGCCCAGCCTGCTGCCGAACAGGAATCCACGCCCCCGAGCTCCTAGGTTCTAAACATTCCCTTTCTCTCATGGTTCATTTGATTCCAATACTTCTTTTTTTGTGTATGATCTTTTATAATTCAGTTTTCCATTTGGGGTCTTTGTGATTCGAGGACCTTGTACCTGGATCTGTTCGCATGGATCGAGCTCTGACCGTTCAAGGTTTCCTCCCATGTTTCTTTTTCTTCGTTCCCGCTCTCACTCTTTTTTGGATTCTCATGTTGTATGAACGTTTCTTCTTCTTCTTCTTCTTGCTTGTTTTATTATTAGTTTGAATGAATAGATAGACCTACCATATTCTTTGTCCTATGTTTGCCGGGGTGCCTGGAGACATTCACGTTATGATTGAATTGTTTTATCTGCAGTGACCTTAAGTTTCGAGGGGCTAGACACATTTCCATGTATATTTTGGGGTGAAATAGCAAATAGGTACATTTGAAATGGATGGATTACAAGAATGAATAGGTTATTTGAAATATTAGATTATGGTAACCTCAAGTGGTTCGCTTCGTGGTAACGCTATTCGCTTAGCTGCGAATGAGTAGGGGGTAGGGCGGCCAGGTAGCAAGTCGGGTTGATTATTTAGGGGTGGTTATTTGTTCGGTTTGGCAAAATGTGTATAAAACCTTATGAATCGAACTATAATTTGGTCTGGTCTCTGCCAAACCGATTATAGACTAATCGAGAAAATCCCAACAAGTTAAATATGATTTATCACTCCCCCTCTTTAATCCTCTCCCACTCTTCGATCACCTTCACCCAACCTCTTCTCCCATCATCTCCAGGCTCCACCAACATCCACTCTAGACACTAGAATCATTGGTAGATAGCTACTATTCTCCGTCGTCGATGCCAAGAAGTCTAAGTAATTTGTTTCAAATATCAATTCACGGCTACCTAAAGGTGTCCAAGGTTTTACTGAACGCGAAATTTCGCTCCATGGTGTGTGATTTAGAGGCTCTTATTCGTGGGGTGGAGAGAGATGTGGACGAAGAGTACTCGAAGAAGGGGGAGGAAACCAAAGGATGGGTTGCTTCTAAAATGGGTAGTGCCATTATTGAAAGAGATGAGGGTCATTGAAGTTTTGGATTCCAGTCTTCTCTTCGAGTGAGATGAGAAGAGGATGTCGAGAGGGATGGGATTTGGATTAGGGATTCTGGGTAACAGGGTAATGGCGGTTGGGTTGGGTCGGTAATTCAAGTTGTTCGAAGTGGGGGTGGGGTAAAACTTGGGGTTGGGCTAGGAGTTGTTCGGAATTCGGTTTGGTTTTCCACACCCTTCACTGAGCATTGACCTTAAAAAGTTCAAATGCTTAATCGAGAGGCCTATGTGTTCAATTCGGTTTCAACGAATTGTCATTTTTGTTTGGTTCGAGTTCACCTAACCAAATACCCACCCCTAGGTTGAGTAGATCAGGTTCAGGTCGAACAAGCATCCCTGCTTTTCTTTCTCCTAAATCGTACATAGCCTAACCAGGTGGTTTTGGACAATTCAACAAGTCCAAACAATGCCTTTACTTGTTTCCTCTCAATCTAAACGCATCTTCAGACACGACATTGTCTCATAAGAATCTTGGCGGGAATTGAACCACAAGTTTAGTCCACGCGTAATGGAGAAAGAAAAGCAAAGAGAAATTGGTGGTGGTGGTGGGTATGTAGGCGCTAAGCGCTTTCAACTTTAGAGAAAATCTTACACCAAATCTCTTCCCATGTCAAATAGCATCTCTCCATCATAAGCTTTCCCATTATCTACGCTTTTCCATTACACTCTCCTATCACAACACGTGAAAAGACCTAACAGCAGAACCCAAAAACAAAACAAAAAACACACCCTGGTGGCTATAATCCTACAACACTATGCTTTTACTCACAACTGGCAACATGGGTTCATCTTGAAAGAATCGTGATCTTCCACAAACTAAAGAAGAAAATCAAATATACCTTTCATCTGGGGGTGACTTCAGTGATGGTGACAGGAACGGAACTATGGTTGTCAGAGGACTGTGCAGTTGACCTCTTATTTACACAAGGCCCGCCAGCACCGACCCCGTCGGAATCCTGGAAAAACCCAGGCGCAGTGAGCAGCTTGTCGTTGAGCCGCATGCTCGTGGACAGCATCTCGACGACCTGGCTCATCGACGGCCTTCTGTTGGCCGTGGCTTGAGTGCAGAAGAAGGCTACTTTCATGTGTCTCACCACGGCTTCTTCGTCGAACTCCCCCATCTCGGTGTCTACCAGCTCTAGGAGACTTCCTTCTTCGTATAGCTGCCATGCCTGATCAGGGAAATGGGGAAGGAGTTTTGTTTTAATGCCTATCAATCTTTCATAACTGAAGTAGGAATTCGATATTTGTTCTTCTTTTACCTGTTCCAGAAGGAGTTTTTGCATCCCTCCCCAGCTGGCCCTTGAGCTACTTCTGCCGCTGATTATCTCCAGGACCAGGATACCGAAACTGTAGACGTCGGCCTTCTTGGTTAATTGGCCGCCAAGTGCATATTCTGGTGCCAAATAGCCACTGAGCAAAAGCAAAGGAAATATCATGGTTACTACTTACTATCATGCAGTTGCTACTAAAACTGACTAAATTGGAATACTAAGCAGAAACACGTACGTGGTTCCTGCAATCCTCGTGCTGATGTGAGTGATGTCATCTGGGAAGAGTTTGGCCAAGCCGAAATCTCCAATTTTCGGGTTCAACTCTCTGTCGAGGAGTATATTACTCGCCTTAATGTCTCTATGAACAATATGTGGCACTAGCTCTTCGTGGAGATAAGCGAGACCTCGAGCTATCCCCAAGCATATGGCAGCTCTTTTCCCCCAATTTAGCCTTATGTTTGAACCTCTCGAACCTAAGTTTTGGAAATAGATAAAATATCAATGATGGAACCGATTCAGTATCATTGTAATTGCAAGGGGTATGCTTAGTTGTAATGTTGGGATACGGCATCCACCATAGTCTAAGTTCAAACCTTGAGGCCAACGGTAACCTATCCAAAGCAGCTATTCAGTATCATTGCATCATGAAATATGGAAAAGTTAGACCAGCAAAGTTGGATAGAACTTACCTAACAAACAATGGTCAAGACTATTGTTTTCCACGAATTCGTATACTAATATCCGGTTAGATCCTTGAGCACAGCAACCTATCAGCTCCACAAGGTTTGGATGCTTGACTTTAGCCATTGCCCTGATCTCGTTCAAGAACTCCCTCACCCCTTGCTTTGAATGGACAGAGAGTGCCTTCACAGCAATCTCCCTTCCATCTCTTAGGGTTCCCTAAACATTACACAGAACACAAACAAACACACAATTACGAACATCGACAAATACAGACAGTAACGTACCTCTGCTGCGAATTTTAATTATTAGTAAACAAGGCCATGGTCCTAGAAATTGATGCAGACATCAAGTATGAAGTTTCTTGTTGCTTCACCATGTTCAAACTGTGTTCAACTCACTAATCTCAATTCCAATTCAAACAAGACTTGGTTAAAAATGGCAGTGAAATAAAGCACACCTTGTAAACTGTACCAAAACCTCCTCTCCCAATCTTCTTCCTGAAATCGAAATCATCTGTGGCCGACCGCAGCGTATTATAAGAAATATGATTGACATCACGAAGCAGATCACCTAGAATCACCAACAGAAGTAGCAAAGTTACAGCAACAGAAGAGTGCTTTCCAAAATTCCGCACAGTTGACCTTCAATTTTTATTTTATTTTTTTCCATTGGCGAAATGAAATCAAATTTGCTCACCATCAACGCCGTGATGAGCCCATGCGCGGGACGAGGTGGCGGCGCCGTCTTCCCGACCAGCCGCTGCGGCACCGAAGCAGCAACACTTCATCGTCTCACTGGCAAAACCCGCGCATCAATTCCCCTCCCTCCCCGGAAAATTCACATAGCTAATATGCCTTTTCAAGTAAAACACGAATTCCGGCCAGGGTTTCTTCTGATGATCAAAGCCTAACAACCACAACAGCAGAATTCATGGAAAAAGGAAGTACAGAAATGGAAAGAACTCCACAGTCCGAACCTACTCCGTCAACGGAACCAAAGTCAACTGAAATCGTAACGCTAAAGAGAGAATCGAATTCGAGAGTAGTAAACTTAATACCTTGGAGAAGTATAAGAAGAGGAAGGAGGAGGAGGAGGAGGGAGCAACTATGGCGACGAGGCAGCTGCTGCTGCAAATTTCAAACACGCGCTACTTCTTCTGTTCTCCTTTTTTTCAACTCTCCCCCCTTTGTTTATAATTGTGTGAGGGAAAAGGGAAAATGCATTTGCAGGCGCTCAACTTCTTATAATTTTCCGTCTCCTTTTTTTAGTATTTTGATTTCTTTAGTCTGCTTTATTTTTTCCGCGCTTTTGTTAGGCCAAAGTAACTACAAAGTCTAAATTAAGGGTGGTCGTTTTTCATTAGATTGTTTGACATTGTTAATTTTTTGGCTAGTGGTTGGTCTCTAAGGTTTGATACAAGGAGTTGGACGTCTTTGGGCATTCTTTGTAGCATGGTTTACTAAATTTATTGAATTTATCGGACGGTTCATAAAAACAGAATATTAAAATATAATTCGAAACAGTTTATAAATAGTCTTTTGATCGATATTTAAGATCGAATCAGCGAGACACGAAAATGAGAGAAGTGGCTTCCCCCAATATTTGGCCATTCCTTCCCTTCAAACATATCACAAGTATCATCCACATGTACTATTCAAGTTGAAGGCTTAAGAACAAGTATATCCTACACTTTCAATGAAGACGGGAGAATGTATAACTCTACATTCTAGTAAGGTTATGGTATGTGGTCAAAGGTGCAGAAACATTGCGGCGGAAGTCCAAGTGGGTCATTTATTACGTTAGATTGTCCAGATTAAGGTGCTATCAATGTATATATACCGAGAAGAGAATATAGCCACGAACCGACTCTCGAAACACAGTCTTGTCTATTCATAGATATACATGAACTAGTTAATCCACCAGGGTATCTGATTGACATTCTCAAAGGACGATGGGGTGGGTTTGTCCTGGAATGTAACCTCTCATTCTCTCCCACCTCCTTAATTCACTAGAATTGCAATAGAATTATTATATGATATAATGTATTATACAATTAGTTTTACTCCATGGAAATTATGCTATGGAAAAAAAAATATATATATATATCCAATAATTAATCAATGGACATAAGACATATTCGTGCGACCAACTATAGTATTTAATCCCTCTCCAAACGGGACTAGCTTGTGAGGCAGCAAGGTCAACTATAAACAACATTCAAACTAAACTACTTACTCTCCATTAATAATTTAACTTGTTCACGGCGGCTCGTTGTTAGTTTGGTTGCAGAACGGGCTCGCGGCCCTCGTTTTCAAGTCCATACTAGATGATCAAAAGCCCATAACGAGAGCAAGTACGGGCCCATTAAAACTTGTCCCATAGGTTGATAAAAAGTCCTTTTTAGACCCATAGCATAAAAAAGTTTGTGAAATCCTATCATCGATAGTCCGACGGGAAAATATATATTATTGGAGTCTAATCGATATGTGATTTTTAGATGTATGAAATAATTGATTGAAATATGATTTCAGTACAAAATATTAAACATCCTTATTGCTGACTTTTTCGATACAATCTCTTGTATAATTACAATTATTGTTAAAAAAAATCCTTTTGAGGTCTTGTAATTAGTGCCCATTAATTCTTTTAATGAAACTTAAAAGGGACGGTTGCATATTAAAAATTGACTTGGGTTGTGGATTTTGCTGCACAATCATGTCTTATCGGGCCTTATACGAATAAAAACTCAAGGGTTACAAAGCTTACAAAATCCGTGTCTTATCACACATAATACGGGTCATATCATCACTCTATAACATGATCATATCATGGTGGTAAGATTGTATAAGGAATTATATGTCACAAAATTTTGTAGGTTTTGTATTTCACCCGATGTGTTTTGATTGAGAATTCTACTTCACTAACTAAGTAATTATATAAGTTGGGATGAAAATATTTGTAGAAATATGGGTTATTGGTGGTGGTTATGGAAAATAATTGACCAATGCGGTGAATATATTAGATTCAGTTACTACCTCACATAAGTATATGAATATTTTGGTATTTGCTTGGTGTTTCACGATAAAAATCTATCTATCTATACATAATATTATGGCAATTCAAAAGTATTTTGTTGCCACATAAGCATTTGGAGAATTTACAAGGTGCCATGTTGGACACTTTTTTTTACAAACAAAAAAGTTAATTAATGATCAATTAGTGTAGCTATATCTATCTTCTTTTAATATTTTTCTTTTATTTTAATGATCATTTATGTAGCTATCTCTATCTTCTTTTAATGTTTTCTTTTTTTATTCAATAATTATTTTGCAATATATATGTGTAGCAGCAGTATACTTACGTTTGGAGAGTGACATATATTGTAATTTTAAAAAAATATATTTGATTAAATTTGATCAATTAATTTTGATTTTTATTAGAAGTTAATATAGTGAAGTTTAGATAATCAACATTTAATAATCAATTGAATTTGAAAAACAAGCTATATAATTTTATGTTTTGGTTGTCAAACACTATCTTTTTCTAATATTTGTATCTATCAACAAAAACAAGTATTAAATAGCAAAATACTTCAAAAGTTGTTGTTTTCATTTTAATAGAAACATGACGAAGCCATAATGTAGTACCTGATTGTACAAATGAAGGCGATAAAGAAAGACAACTTTTCTTCTCTCTTATAATGCATGTTTCCATACCTTATTTTCTCTTACATTTGTTCATGTTTCCCCTTATTTTTCTTAATAGTTTACATATTTCGGTCAAACAAATGTGTTAATTACACTTAAAAATATATTAAATTCTTTATATTTATGTATGTATATTATGACATAGCTTGAGTAAGAAAACGATATACAGACCTTGAATTGACTAGAGTTTGGCATATGGTATTATTCTCAAAGCCTTAAAGATTAAAATCTAGGTCTTAAATTTATAAATCTCATACACTAAGATCAGTTTAATTATAAACAAAAATCAACGATCATTATTCGAAAAAATATATGCAACAAATTACATGCACAATCTTAGGGGTTAAGCTCTATGATTTAGATAAATAAGACCTCGGGTTCACTTATCAAGGGTTAGGGTATAGTATCATGCCACAAATCCTGTTAATTCGTGATTCTGATAGCGTTTTCTTACTTGGAGTATATTATCATGCTTAGATATTGATTAGGGATGTGGCACTATACCAATAAAATGAAGATATTAGTATAAGTAATGGAATTTTTATCCCAAAACAAACACCAAAGATAAATAAATTTTAGCAAATGCATATTTGATAAGATAGAAAATTATACACTAATGGACCATGTTAAGATTAGAACCCTCGATAGTGTGTGAGTATCTTGGATCGAGATTCTAAACAACGACCATGAGTTGAGGGTGAGTCAAAATTAAACTTTAGGTATTAACAATTGGTACATATTGTATAAGATATTAAATTGAGTGTCTTGATCGACAAATATGATCATACACTAAGATAGTAAACTTTCAATTGGGATGACCAAATTTATCTAATATTGAAGTACCTTTATAAAACAATTCTAACTAAGTTGTCGTCATCTGAGCAACACCATTGGTTGAGAGTTCATCCAAACTAGAGATTCATTGAATGACATATATTGTACAAGATAAAAAAAATTGAGTATCGTTGTTGACAAATCTTGACATAAGATTCTATATGGGACGTGATATATCTTTGTGACATGATTTATGATCAGAGAATCGAAACATCATAAGTGAATGTGCTAAGTATTGAGAATTTTTAATTTATAGATGCACTGCATACTCACATATGAATGCAAATGTAAAAAATTTAGAAGATCCAAAATAGTTTAAACATATAGATAAATTGATTAATGTAAATGATAAAATGAAACTTACCGTCCAACGGGCCGGGTAAAAAGCTAGTTATTTTTAATCGTAAACAAAGAATCTTCTGAGCTAACGAGTGGCGACACTTCACGAAAGGACTTCTCCAGCCGCTCAATCGAGAAAAAAACGGCAAGGGTAAAGGAAGGAAAAACGCAAACACTGGAGAAAAGAAACGTCGCCGGAAGAGAGAGAAGACCGCCGGCGCCACCACCGTCCCAAAACATCTGGAAGAAGAATCTCTCTGTGTCATCCACTTTCCTCCCCAACAAACCCTAGAAACCCCAAAAACAAGACAAAAATTCCAATTCCCAATTCCTCGCTCCCCTTCCCTCTCCTCTCTCTCTCTCTCTCTCTCTCTCTCTTATGTAATCGCACTCTTGAACGCCCGCCCGCCCGCCCACACTAACCCCACTCACTCTCTCTCTACAGTTCAACCTGTCGCCTTCAGTGGCGACTTTCGCTTACCATGCTGAGCCTTTTTCTACTTTTTCCCGGTCTTCTTTTTCTCCTTTGTCTCCTATATATAAAGTTCTAGGGTTCGGTCAATTGTCGAAATGAGCAATCAACCACAGGTGGAGGTGGAGGTGGAGCAGGAAAAGGAGGAGGAAGAGGACGCTGGTATCAGTAAGGAACCGGACGAGCAAGGAGTCGCTCAGGCTTTGGAAGTAGCTGCTAAGACGGCGGCTGCGGCGGTGACGGTGTTGTCGGAGCAGCGGGAGGCTGAGGCTGAGGCGGAGGCGGGGAGCAGTGAGGAAGAGAGCGTGGAGAAGCCTGACGATCCGATGGAGGAGGATTCGGTCGGTCCGGCTACTGTGTTTTGTATCCGGCTTAAACAGCCTCGGTCCAATTTGATGCATAAGATGAGTGTGCCTGAGCTTTGCCGCAATTTTAGGTAATTGATTTGCTGTTGCTAGGATTGTTTAAGTGGGTTCTAATTATGGAAGCCGAGCTTCTTGCTTTGCTCAATGTCTGTTTGTTACTTGTTAGAGTGTAGCTGCTCCATTTATTTTCGTTTGTTCTCTTTTATCTGGACAGCATGGTGGCTCGACGTCGTGGTACTGTTGGCTATGATGTATCGAACACCTTTTGTTGCTAAAGACTTTGGTGATTGATTAAGTGAAGTGTAACTTGGGGGTGAGAAGAAGATTAAGGGTGGATAAAATGACCACGCTTTCTTGCTAAGTTTTTTTATATGACGGATTTAGTGAATTTAGCTTAGGGAGAAAGAAGAGAGCAGGCGTCTTCTTAGGATGAATTGGTGTTGTTCAGAGTAGGTTATAGACCTTCACTTTCGAATGAATTTGTTGGGGTTTCTTTGGTGGAGGCAAAATGAGTTTAGATCAGAAGCTAAATTGTCTTGGTAGGATAAAGTTCTTAGTAATGTCATCTATTCCTTTGATTGCATCCTGTATTTTGAAGCTAAAGTTATTTCCTTGATGCTCATTTCTTTGTCAGTGCTGTGGCTTGGTGTGGGAAGCTGAATGCTATAGCATGTGCATCAGAAACTTGTGCAAGAATTCCAAGGTCCGTAAATGCTGTTTATTTTCTACACGAAATAATGTTTTTTTTACCCCAGCAATGCTGTTGTTAGTGTTCTGTTGGAGTCCCCTGAATGTGATCCTAAGGCGGAGGGCTATATGTAAACTACTTTGTTTTTTATAATGATGTTAAACTACTATGTTAAGTGTGGTTTCGTCATTGTCAATGTAGCAATTTGCATTTGTTTCATTAATAACTTGCACATGGTTGAGAAGTACCCTGATTCCTTATACATCATTATTGGTGTTAAAGTTTCTTCTACATTCTTCTTTTCCATTGGCCTTACAATGTAATTGTTTCACCCCAAATTGTTTGTTTTTGTCCAATGATTAGAACTGTTGGTGTTGGTTTAGTAATTGGCAGTTCTTGGCTCTTGTTACTTCTTGATGATCATTCAGTCTCTTGTTCTTGATCTTGTTGGAACGTTTTTATTCAAAGTGGGTGAACATATTCCCCTCTGGTCTTGCTATCAGTACTAGTATGCATATTTGAAAACCTATCTCCAATCTTGACTCAAGTCTCCTGATGCATATTCCTTTTTGTCTCTTCAGACTAAAAAGTTTATTTTATGTAAAAATGTGCTTCTGTTTTTTAACTTCCTTAGCCCTTCTTACTCATTAATTGTTGTTTATGTAGTTCCACCGCAAATCCTCCATTTTGGATCCCCATACACATTGTTATCCCGGAGCGGCCAACCGAATGTGCCGTTTTTAATGTGATAGCAGGTATTAGATTGAGTTGGGACCCTCCCACAGTTAAATGGTTGATTTAGATACGTTCATGCTATGCTGTGTGTACCTCGATAGCTGAATGATATTGTCTTTACTTGTTAGTATCCTCTTCATCCCTGCTAGTCATTTGTGGACATCAACTCAACACCCAATTGATACACTCATTGACAACCATATATTGCAAATTCCTTTTCAAACTCCATTTCATCTTTACTTTTTTGTCATGGTGAACTCTTCATTTTTTGGTCGGTTATCATTTTTCAAACTGCAAGTAACTTTTTGGAGTCCTTTTCAGATTCACCTCGCGATTCTGTTCAGTTTATTGAATGGTCTCCTGCTTCCTGCCCTCGCGCCTTACTAATAGCTAACTTCCATGGGAGAATAACAATCTGGACTCAACCTTCTCAAGTAAGTTTGTAGTCTCTTTATTATGTGTACGCTGTTGGTTTGGCATACATTCCTTATTTTTACATCACTTCAACCATTCTGTGGTATGCTTCAGGCTTATAGGATCTTTGAATTCTTAGAAGCTTTCCTCCTCATCTTTCTTATGTAGGGCCCAGCTAACTTGGTACGCGATGCCAGTTGCTGGCAGCGTGAGCATGAATGGCGGCAAGATATTGCAGTTGTCACGAAGTGGTTATCTGGCGCTTCTCCGGTATGTTGCTCAGCATTTATTTCCCTTTTTGGTTGCTGTCCAGTGATTTCCCCCTGCATTCAGTCCAGTTTCAGCACCTGGTTTAACCGGAGCTCCTGCTTGATCTGCTACCAATTTGATTATTATGAAAAATTACTTGCTTATAATGCCATCCTGAGAGCATAATTGCTAATAGTGGAATATCATATCTAGATCTGTGTGCCTGCCGTTATTCTAAACTGCCATATGGTTATTGCTTAACTTGTTTCAAATTAACCAGTATAGGTGGCTTTCTTCGAAATCCAGTGCTACTCCGAATCCAAAGTCAACTTTTGAGGAAAAATTCCTATCTCAGCAGTCTCAGACTTCAGGTTTATTATCTTCCTTTACCTATTTCTTCATAACCTTTTTCAAGTAATGCAGTTGCCCATTTGTGTTCAGTTCTATCGAGTGATTTACAATCTGAAAAATAAAATAAAATGAATTGAGTTGTGTAGTTCTGTCGCAGACATCAGTGAATTATAGAAGCGAACAAACAACAGTTTTATTAACTGACCTGCTTCTATGGTTTGCAGCTCGATGGCCCAATTTCCTTTGTGTCTGTTCTGTTTTCTCATCTGGTTCAGTACAACTTCATTGGTCCCAGTGGCCTCCTAGTCAAAGTAATGCATCTCCAAAATGGTTTTGCACTAGCAAAGGACTTTTAGGGGCTGGACCAAGTGGGATAATGGCTGCTGATGCGATCATAACGGATAGTGGTGCCATGCACGTTGCTGGGGTTCCAATTGTCAATCCTTCCACTGTTGTAGTGTGGGAGGTTACCCCTGGCCATGGAACTGGACTTCAAGCAACTCCAAAGATGAGCACTATTTGTGGAGTTCCTCCTTCCCTGAGTCCTCCTAATTGGGCTGGTTTTGCTCCTTTGGCTGCTTACTTGTTTAGTTGGCAAGAATATCTAATATCTGAAGCAAAGCAGGGGAAGAAACACACAGATAAAGATTTATGTGAAGCTGTAGCACTTCACTGTTCTCCCGTCTCAAATTTTTCTGCATACGTGAGTCCTGAGGCTGCAGCTCAATCCGCAACGACTACCACCTGGGGTTCGGGAGTCACTGCTGTTGCTTTTGATCCAACTCGTGGCGGCTCTGTGATAGCAGTCGTGATAGTTGAAGGTACTTTGACATCATAATGACTTTGTACTTACAAAATGGTGCTCATATTTTGGCCTTTACTACTACGTATCTTTAACATCTGATGTCGATTCTGTAACATGGCATGTTTTCCATGTGTGTCATTTTATCTAATGGTTGGTGTCATTCACGCAGGCCAGTATATGTCTCCCTATGATCCGGATGAGGGGCCTTCTATAACAGGGTGGAGGGTGCAGCGGTGGGAATCATCTCTTCAGCCTGTTGTTCTTCATCAAATATTTGGAAGTCCTACGTCCAGTTTTGGTGGGCAAGCACCAATGCAAACTGTATGGGTGTCCAAAGTGGACACCAGCATACCTCCAACTAATGATTTTCGAAATCACCAAGAAGCCGTGGCAGTACCAAATTTTGATTCCAAGAAAACATCTGATCCCTCCGTTGAGAACTCTAAAAAAGTGATATTCGATCCGTTTGATCTACCAAGTGATGTTAGAACGCTTGGTAGAATTGTATATTCTGCTCATGGTGGTGAAGTCGCTGTTGCCTTCCTGCATGGTGGAGTGCACATTTTTTCCGGTCCAAACTTTGCTCCTGTAGATAACTACCAGATCAATGTTGGACCAGCAATAGCTGCACCTGCATTTTCTTCTACCAGTTGCTGCTCAGCTTCTGTTTGGCATGACACAAGCAAGGATTGCACAATACTGAAGATCATTCGGGTTCTACCTCCTGCTGTCCCAAGTAGTCAAGTGAAGGCCAAATCAGCAACTTGGGAACGTGCAATTGCAGAAAGGTAATTACATCGGTTCAATTTTGTGGTTTTAAGCTCCTTTGTCTCTGATTTTTGCAGATCACCTAATCTATGATAAGCACTTGATGGTTCTGTTTTTGTCACATCAGGTTTTGGTGGAGCCTTTTGGTAGGTGTTGATTGGTGGGATGCTGTTGGATGTACACAAAGTGCTGCCGAGGATGGCATTGGTAAGATTTTTGGGTTTTCAGCAAGTCTGTGACTGATAATGTTATTGTTTAATGCATAGCTGGAAAATTCTTCGCTGAGATGCATGGAAAATCTGATTATACAGCTCAGTCTGAACATATCTTTTGTTACTAATGATGCTTTTCTTCTTCTTTCAGTATCACTCAACAGTGTCATTGCGGTTTTGGATGCGGATTTTCACTCTCTTCCCTCTGTACAGCATCGTCAACAGTATGGTCCGGTATGCTCCTCTTGTCTTTGTTTCTTTCAAAATAGTCTCATTTTTTGTATAGACTGCTATAGCGAGTATTAGTCCTTTAGAGTTTCTATAAGAGCTGTATTTTGCCCTTGATCATTGGCACCACAAACATGTTGCTTTATTTGTTATAATATTTATTAATTGTTTAGTTGCAATTCTGGGAATATCAGCAGCAAAAGTTTTGCTAACTATACCAATGAACACTAATTGATCATTACCTACATATTCATGCATTTCTCTATTTGCTTTCTCTTCTACTTGTGTGTAGTTTTGGATGATCAACAATGAGAAATACGCATGTTTGATAAAACTGCATATTTGGTACATAAGATGTGCTTAATTCGTACTTCATCCATTTGTATACTTTGCTTGCAGAGCCTTGACAGGATAAAATGTAGGCTATTGGAAGGTACAAATGCTCAGGAGGTTAGGGCCATGGTTCTTGATATGCAAGCTAGATTGCTGCTTGATATGCTCGGCAAAGGCATTGAATCGGCGTTGATAAATCCTTCTGCATTGGTACCTGAACCCTGGCAAGCATCTGGTGAGACACTATCTGGTATTGATCCTGAAGCTATGGCTGTTGAACCAAGCCTTGTTCCAAGCATACAGGTTTGTTGAAGCCCTGCCCTGACATTTCTACCATTTTGGTTTTTTGTTTGTGTATTTGTAAAATCTTGAACGAAGCCCCCAACTCATGTTCTGCTAGTGAACAATGCAATCCAGCACAACATGTTCAGTTGAATGTGTGTCTTCCATCAAGCTTATTGTAGTTGGTCATGTCATTCAATGTCTGTGTTACTTCCATCAAGCTTAGGCCAAGAAGCTTTTTTACAATGTGAAGTGCTTGATCGTAGGTCAATGTCTTTCGTCACTTACTGTTGTTTTCCTTGGTCCTTTATGGACATTTCAATGTAGCGTCCCCCCGTCCCTTGGGAACTCACATCACGTCTTGATGCAGGCATATGTGGATGCAATTCTTGATTTAGCATCACATTTCATCACACGTTTGCGCCGCTATGCAAGTTTCTGTCGCACATTAGCGACCCATGCTGTTACTGCAGGCGCAGGCACAGGCAGCAATAGGAATATGGTAACTAGTCCTACTCCGAGTTCTGCATCCCAGGCAACAACTCAGGGTCAGTATATACTCCAAACCATAGGACATGCTGAAAATTGTTGGTTAAACTGATTGCACAATCGCGTGTTGAGAGTCTTGATGATCTAACTAATTTTTCAATTACTGCATGAATGAGTTTTCTACTTCTCTGTCACACTGCAGTAAGCTTGAAGTTCTCAATTATTACCATAATAAATAAGTACTTCTCCTGGAAACTTTGTGCCCTGCTATGTATAAGATTGTACGATCTATGTTTCTTTGTGACAGTTTTTCCTTTTTCTTTCAAATATTTATTCATTTATTCGCCTCAGTTGATAAAATGGGGATTTTGGTTTGATTAGCAGCCTGTAAACATGCTCTTCTTCAAGTTGCTGTATGTGGTACTTATATTCTAACAGTTCAAAATAACTTCCAGGTGGTCAAACTGGTACAACAAATTCAACTGGAAGCACTCAGGTGCAAGCCTGGGTGCAAGGTGCTATTGCTAAGATTAGTAACACAACAGATGGTGTGCCTAGTTCGACTCCAAACCCTATCAGCGGTCCAGCTCCCTTTATGCCCATAAGCATTAACACCGGGACATTCCCTGGAACACCAGCTGTTCGGCTAATTGGAGACTGCCATTTTGTTCATAGATTATGCCAGCTTCTGCTCTTCTGTTTCTTCTTTCGCCGAACACAGCTTCCTCGCTTTATTGGTGTGTCACAGAGAAGTAATGATTCCAGTACGCAAAAACCTCAGCCGCCTGGTGTCCCAGCTAGCAAGGTTGAGGAAACCAATTCTGCTTCCTCAAAACCAGCAGTGAATGCTATGGTTAGATCAGACGAAGGCCCAGCAGCAGCTCGAAGCGGTCAGCTCGTGCCTGGAGCCAAAGGAGTTGATGATGGACCTGCTGGTCGCTCAAGATTAGGTTGTGGCAATGCTGGTCAGGGATACACCTTTGAAGAGGTATGTTGGGAGCTAGCTTTTGGTATTGTTCTAGTCTTTCGCACGAGTCATGATCCTGGTAAACTAGTGGCGTACTTGTCATTTATGATTAAACTGTATTGCCACAGGTTGTAGAAGCATCACTTCTTGTTTTTGTCTCAGGTTAAGGTTCTATTTCTCATTCTCATGGATCTTTGTCGAAGAACAGCAGCACTAGCACATCCATTGCCGGTTTCACAGGTGGGAAGTAACAACATCCAGGTGCGGCTCCATTATATCGATGGCAATTATACTGTCTTGCCAGAGGTTGTAGAAGCATCTCTTGGCCCACATATGCAGGTATTACCTATTACCTATTAAGTTTACAGTTTGTCATTTCACTTGACCAAATAATCTGTCATATAATGATTGAATTGAGCTTCTCTTTGATTGCATTTGTTCTCTTTCTTGCCTGTAGAATATGCCGAGGCCTAGAGGTGCTGATGCTGCTGGCCTCTTATTACGCGAGTTGGAACTTCACCCACCATCTGAAGAGTGGCACAGGCGTAATATGTTTGGTGGTCCATGGTCCGATCCAGAGGATTTGAATTCACCTGAGGAAACACCCAAGCTCGGCAGCTCTCCAGATTTGTTATTAGGTTTCAGCTCATTAGAGAATTGTGATGTGCATTACGGGGCAAACGGCCTGTGGCCTAAGAGGCGTAGATTATCGGAGAGAGATGCTGCCTTTGGCTTGAACACATCAGTTGGCCTAGGAGCTTATCTTGGGATAATGGGATCACGAAGAGACGTGGTTACTGCTCTTTGGAAGACTGGTCTTGAAGGCGTTTGGTATAAGGTGATTCTTCTTTTTGCTTTTTCCTACTCCCCAAATTTCTCCTACATCCCTTCCATTCCATGTTGACTGCCCGCTAGCAATTGGATACTTGGGTGTCTATTTATTTTAGCTTCGGCTGCCAGTGCTCCTGTATTTTCTGCTCGAGATAAAAGGCTACTGTTTCTTATCAAAACTCATGCTGTGTTGTATTCTGATTGCAGTGCATACGATGTTTGAGACAGACTTCGGCCTTTACTTCACCGAGTGCCGTGAACCCAGCTAATCCAATTGATCGCGAAACGTGGTGGATCAGTCGTTGGGCATATGGCTGTCCAATGTGCGGGGGTACGTGGGTCCGGGTTGTGTAGTTTGAGGTCATCTTTTCACCCGCAGACATTGTTCTGGTTGTTTGCCCAATCACAGAGGTTATCCATTTGCCAGTTTAACCAAATCTAGGCATATCCAGAAAACCGTGCTGGTCCACTCTTCTCAACTTACAGTCAGCTTCCCTGAAGGCAGCTGTGGATCTAACCCAGATTCTCCGGTCTTTGTATCTGTATATACGTTGAAGGCTTGTTCGTTTCGTTATCTGTACTAGATGAAGTCTGTGATGAATGCTTGTAGTCTTAACCGTCCATGCTCCAGGCGACTAGGGCCATTCGTAAACTGTATGGTTTTGTCTTGTGATTCAACTAAATAGATCCTGTAGAAACTATCGGGTGTGATGGATGTTACTTGTTAGTAACAGAGTTCTGTAAAAGTTCTTATGCGCTTGGCAAATATGTTGTCCCTGTTTCTTGAAAATGCACAATTTCTCCCATAACACTTGTTTCGCTTAGTGTCTCATTTTTCAGGTATCTATCTTAGTGTCATTTAATGGCAAACCCGTCTTTGCGTACCAATACCATTCATCAAAATGGTTAGCGCGATACAATTTCGGATCAAGAATTAGGGTGTCAGTTCGGGTTCGGTTACCCGAACTGAAAACACCCGAAAGTCCGAAATCGAAAACCACTGAAACTAAACCCGATAAAGACTTGCGGGTTTCGGTTACTCAAAATCCGAAAATTTCTTATCGGGTTCGGGTTTGGTTAAAGTAAAATCGAAACCCAAAAACCCGAACACCTAAGAATACTGATTGAGTTCTATTTATTGGAGGTTTTTAGCCGGAACCCGAAAAACCGATAAGCAAAACCGAACCTGAAAACGAAAACTCAAAACCCGAAACGAATCCAAAAGATCGAAAATGTATATAATCGGGTCGGTTTTGGGTAAACCAGAAAAACCAAACCCGAATGGACACCCCTATCAAGAATATAGTATTCCTCTCCCAATATCTACACGTGTAAATATCTTGTCGTTTCCCAGGCCTTAAATTCAGATTCTGTGGTATTAATGGGCCAGGCTTTAAATACGAAGATTGGGCTTTCCCGACTGCGGCTATTGGTCCCAAGACGGGGCTAATTAAAGCGGGCCATGAGCCCAAAGGAGGGGGAGAAATCGAAATCGGAATCAGAGAACACGGAAGTGCGAGGAGTTCTCCGACGACTACTACTCTTTCATTTCGTCTTCTGCTTCTCAGCTGTTCATCAAATCCCATTTCTCCAGCTAGCTCCGACCGAATTAAGCGAACGATCGGCCGTCGGTAGTTATAATGAGCACGGCGACGCACTCGCTCGCGTTCCGGGTGATGCGCCTTTGCCGGCCTTCTCTCCACGTAGACACCCCTCTCCGCATCGATCCGGCCGATCTCCTCGTCGGCGAGGACATTTTCGACGATCCGGCCGCCGCCTCTCAGCTTCCTCCCCTCCTCGACAGCCTCGTACCGAACTCCAAGGATTCCGCCGATCTCAGCTATGGGAACAGATTTCTGCTTAGCCACCCCTTCGATTCCTTCGGCCACTCTGGCCTCCTCGTCCTTCCTCAAGCCTTCGGGTAGGTATCTACCCTCTCGTTCTCTCTAATGTCTTCGCACATCGCCGTTTACTGTTTCTGCTCAATTGAATCGGCGGCGATTTGTTTTCTTAGGGCGATATATTTGGGGGAGACGTTCTGCAGCTACATAAGCATCAATAATAGTTCTAGCTCCGAAGCTAGGGATGTGATCATTAAGGTAAATTGGTGCAAGTCGAATTGCTGCAATTATTCGTATGCAGATAGATGGATATGACTTAGTGGTTGAATGTAGGCAGAAATCCAAACGGAGAGGCAAAGGATCTTGTTGCTAGATACTTCTAAGACGCCGGTGGAATCAATCCGTGCTAGTGGTCGTTATGACTTCATTGTGGAGCACGATGTGAAGGAACTTGGACCTCATACGTAAGATTGCTTGGATCTTTCTGTTGGTTTTACTTGTTTCTTGCTGTTTTCACTATGTTTTTAATGGGTGGAAGTAATTTGGTTGTGGCGAATGTTAGGTTGGTGTGCACTGCCTTGTATAGTGATGGTGATGGTGAACGCAAGTATCTACCACAGTACTTCAAATTTATCGTTGCCAATCCACTTTCGGTTAGGACGAAGGTATGTAGCTAGTGGTACTTTGTTTAGCTCCGAGTTTGTGTTCTATGGATTCATTTCTGTTTCTGAGTAGCAAGTGGTGCGATAAACACAATCGTCTTTCTGGCTTTTGCAGGTGCGCATTGTCAAGGTATGATCCTCTTTCTATACCTTCACCTGGCCTTAATTACGCAAGAAGTGTCTTCCTATTAGGATTCTGATGTTTGTAAGAATGGAATGATAAGCTGGTTGCTTGAAACAATGAACAGAACTGGTGATTCCATTTCCGGCACATGATTTTTCTATGATTGGCTGAATCTTCCTTTTCAGGAAAATACATATCTAGAGGCATGCATTGAGAATCACACAAAAGCTAACCTTTACATGGACCAAGTTGAGTTTGAACCAGCTCAGCACTGGACAGCAAAAGTACTAAAAGCTGAAGAAGAGTTGACTGGCAATGATACAGCGTCGAGGTCTGCATTCAGTCACTGTTTCTTTAAACTTAAATAGCATAGAACCTATTTGAAGGCATCTCAATATCTTTTTTTGTGTAATGAATGGTTGTTTGTTGTCTTAATGTTCTGAATTGTTGCCAATCATATACCTGGCAGGACAGTATTAAAACCACCTGTGCTCATAAGATCTGGTGGAGGAATCCACAACTATCTGTACCACTTAAAAGTAGCTTCACAAGACCCCATAAGTGGTAATGTTCTCGGTAAGCTTCAGATTACATGGCGAACCAATTTAGGGGAACCGGGTCGCCTGCAGACACAGCAAATTCTTGGCAATGTAAGCGTTCTGATTATCAAAGGGAACCTATATAGTTTCGATATAATCTTTTTTGTCCTGATTATTAATGCATAATTTACACTGTTGCTCATTTACACTGCTTGATCTTTGATTTAATGGGGCATTAGTTTGTAAGCATAGTGGTTGTAAATTAAATTTCTGTCATCAATGATTACACTATTAGGTTAATTCAGTTGATACTCTGCATACTGAAGACATGGAATCCAATTCATTTCTGAACAGTTGGGGTTTTGTTTTCCGTGTAGCCTGTCACGCCCAAGGAGATTGAGTTGCGAATCCTGGAGATTCCATCTGTTATAAACTTGGATAGACCTTTCTCGGTAACTTGTTCTCTCTCTGTAAAATTTTGTGAGCTAGATTTTGCTTTCATTCCCTTGATGCCTTCATTTTTTTCAGTCAGTGTTACTGCTTGGATTCATTCCTGGTTAGCAGTACCATGATGAAGGAAGGAGCTAACTTACTCAATCAATGGCTGCAGGTACATCTGAATCTAGCAAATCAGACAGAGAGGGCATTAGGCCCATTTGAAGTATGGCTTTCACAGAGTAGTCCATTAGGCGAGAAGGCTGTCATGATTAATGGCCTTCAGAAAATGGTACTTGCTTTATTCGTGTTTCAGAGTTCAAAAATCTTGTGTTTTATGTTTTAGTGTAGCTCTATTCCCTCTAGTCCTTTGCCAATAACGCCTATCTAAATGATACATGTCTTACAGGACTTACCGAAGTTGGAGGCATACGCAACCACAGATTTCCACTTGGTAGCAATACTATATCTGGCCATAGATTCCCAGCCTTTATTTTCCAATATAAGTTATTATGTCATCTGAAACCAATCTTGTTAAACCTCTTTGGTCCTTGCAGAATCTGATTGCTACAAAACTTGGGGTCCAGAGAATTACAGGCATCACAGTGTTAAACAAGGCCGACAAGACCGCTTATGATCCGTTACCTGATTTTGAGGCAAGTCTATACCACCACATTCAATTAATTTTCTTTCAAGAATCAGAATCCATTGGGGGGAAGAACATATATTTTGCCAAACTACTGGTTGTCCTCCCATTAAACCCCTTTTTCAACTGCAGATTTTTGTGGATGTTGATTGATTGATTCAGTCAGGCTCAGATCCAAGTTCAGCTTGCAGATACCCACTCAGTACCGCCCTTGTCCTTCTGTGATATAAGACTGGTATAGTTTTATAATGTCCAGTTGATCCATTGTTTCTGAGAAATCCTTCTCGTGCTGGCACTGACCTGTCGTAGACAGCTTCACACTCCATTACTCTGTTGATTCGCAATGGGAATTTCGTAGGGAAGAGCCGGTAAAGTGCCTGTGTCTGTAGATGTTAGTTTCATAACTCGTGCACAATCGTTTACTTTCTTAGGTATTGTAGTTCATTCCTAAGTTTGTAGAAGCCATTACTTTGAGTGAATTTCATGTGTAACTGTTTTGTTTTCAAGTTCGGTGCAAGTGAGGGGTGAATCGGGTATTCGGATTTCGGTTTCGAGAGAGATGCTGCAGGCGAACAAAGAACTTTAGCTGTTACGGTGGATGATGAATCATGTCTCCAGTTGGGACATGGAGCACAACATTTCACTGCCAGCCTGAACATTTCAATGCTAGCCCATCTTAAACGAAGAGTTCATTATGTGGCTAGCCATTTGCGCAATCGTCTGTGAATATGTTATACGTATTACTGCATTCGTCGATGAATATATACTATAGTTACTACTGCATCCCGAGTCTAAAATGGCGAAACGTGCAGGAAAGCGATGCTCAAAGTAATGAAAGTTGAATCATTCAAATAGAACCATAAACCATATTTACATTATACAGGGACGAAGTCACATTTCTTTTTTCCAGGAAAGCATCTGAAACCCAAGACTCATAACTAGAACAGCACATTAGCAGAAGAAGAAAAAAAAACATGAAAAAAAAACAGCATTCAAAGTTAGATCTCAGTGTTTAAGTCGAGTCGCGTCGAAGAAACCGACTGTTCAGGCTTGTGAACCGCCCAGAGCCCAGTTGGCCTCGCTGCCGACGCGAGGCATTGTGTTTGCATTAGCAGCCCTGGTCTGAACGTCGACCTTGAAATCAGCTCCGCACATGACTCCTTCACTGTCGATTCTTGGCATGGCTCTGATCTGACTCCATGGATGCTCGAAGCTCGTCAGCCCTTCTTCGCTCTCCAACATGAACCCCGCCGGGAACTGAGCAAACGACTTCCCGCAGCTCCCCTTTATCCCCTCCAAGTCGTCGGTAATCACAACCGAGCCGTCTGCTGCTATTCCCCAGTACAGCCCCACTCCTTCACTGGCTCCCTGCAAATCACAAGATATAAAAAAAAGGAAAGAAAGATGCATTTACTTTCAGGCGAGAGATCGATTGACAGAATGTGATGGTATTATCAGTCGCAGCAGCAATTACCCGAGCAGCGAAGACTCGGCCCGACTTGGAGTCGTAGAGGACGAATCCGAATTCGCCCTCGAGGTCCTTGAGAACCTTGTGAGCAGGGTAAGGGCCGCGATCGCGAAGGGTCAGGTACGCCTGGATCACGAACATTGCCTCGTTGGTGCCCTTGGAGAGGCCGTACTGCTTGTTCAAGCTGCAGAGGTTGATCAAGCTCCCCGTGAAAACGCAGTAGACGTCGTTCGCTCCGCAGAACACCCTGCAGGCAACGAAGCATTTTCTGCCGATTAGATCTAACCGAGCTTTTCAATCGAGAAGAAAGGAGAAAAAAGAACGAACCTCTGGTGAGAGCCGAGAGAGCTGCGGCGTGGGGCGCAAGCGAGCAGGGCATTGTCGCGGAACTTGATCGAGAAGGAGTCGGCAGGGTTGGAGGAGAGGAATTCGTCGACGATCTGGTGAGGGAGCTTCGGTGGCCGCGGGGCGGAGGAAGAAGAGTAGGAGTGGTAAGCTGGGCTGTTGAGCTCCTGAGGTGGATTCACCACACCTTTCTTGAAGATGGCCAACATTTTCACTTCGACTGCGAATTTTCCGATGAACCAAACCAGGGTGAGAGGAAAGGAAGGATTGATTTTGATGAGAAGGTTGAAGACGATGATGAAATGCGATTGTTCTCAATCTGGGGGAGAAAAGGTAGTGATATTTATAAATGTCATATGATGACGTGGAAGTCTTATCCGAATCCTTGGATCTTAAGTACACTTTTTAAATCAGATTTTTCTTATACTAATCATATTCATATTCCTCTAAAACTCAGATTTAAATACATTCATGATTCAACGATCTATACTCTGTTAATTTGGAAAATAAGTAATGAATAATGCTTGAGAGAAAAGTACGAAGACGTGACTCACCTTATCCGAATGCAACAAATTTAAAAGTTGACAGTGATCCGAGTCAGCGAATGATAACATGACAGCTCGTGATATGTGGGACCCACGCTTTGGGCTTGGGATAGTTGCCACGTCCTTATACGCTGTCAACCAGTGAACGGAACTATTCTCTGTTGCCGCGCACTTTTCCTCCGTGAGCGGGCTGACGACCTACTGGGCTTTCTGTTTTGGGCTAGACTATACAATGATGGAAGTGCAATTGAAGTAGTGGGCCCTGAAAGTATTTTGGATGGGCTCAAAGAGGGTAGATTTCCCACTGGGTTAGACGGGGAGTTCAGTTGGGATTTCGTCAGCTTATGTTAAACTTTGGTGATTGTGGCATGAATTTTACTTCGTTAAAAAAAAAAAAAAAATTCGGCTTTGAATATATTTAGATAACAACACCCGTTTATATTTAAGTTTTAACTAAGCAATCTAACAACTATACTCTAGAAATTACCCCAATCTATTGGCAAAAATAGCACTACTCTTTAATTGTATAATTGAGGTGGAAGCAGGGCTGCAAATGAGCCGAGCTGAGTCGAGTTTTTCCCCAGCTTGAGATCGGCTTGTTAATAAACGAGTCGAGATCGAGCTAGCTTGTTTACTAAAATCTTAACTTTTATTTGGGTTTGTTAGCTAATAGCATATTATACTTTGTTGGTATCATATATCATTTAGTTAATAAATTTTAACTACTCCAAATCATGTTATTTCATAGTAACGAAGCAATTTATGATACATATTTTTTTTTAAGTAGAAAATAAGATATATTTTCTCACATACTCAACGTTTTAAACTTTATATATGGTGAGATATATAATTTAACAACCATATGAATTAAAAACAAAAGATATAGATTGATTCGTCCATACGTCGGCAATCGAGTTGGCTCTCTAGTTACATCTTGAGACATATCATGAGCTCTAAACGGGCCAGCTCACGAGTTTAGCTCAACAAGCCACTGAGTTGAGCTACCTCGCGAGCTTCACGAGCTGAAGAAAGCTTAGCTCATGTTCGGCTCGTTTATTAACGAGCCGAGTTTCGAACGAGCTTTTCTCGAGTTGAACACCGAGCCGCTCGCGAACAGCTCGGCTCATTTGCAGCTCTAGGTGGAAGCACTTGATCGATTAAAACATCTCTTGTGAACATGAATATTAATTATGATTGTGCCATTCAATTATCACTAGTCAATACATGAGCTTGCATTGAAAGTGTTAATCAAGTAAAATATCAGAGTAGGTAATTGCTCATTCCAAGTAGGAAAGTGAAATAGATCAATTTGTGACAGTCAAGAATATAATGGATGAAAAATATGTTTGTAAAATCTTTCTTGAAATTAATATTTCGAATTAATCGATGTACACACAATCATCTACAAGTTATGAATGAAGGATATGATGTAACTGCATCTACATGACTATATAAAATTATCCAAATGATATTAACAAAAGCAATATCATGATATTAATAAGTTTGAGTTTGAGGCATGGTTGTCACGTCGCCCGGTATGCCACCGGTTAAACCTGGTTCAACCGATACCGGTCATAAAACCGGCGTGACACCACTGGCACGACCGGCATGATCGATATACGAATCTCTAAGTAAAATGGCCTTATTTTAGTGAGTTTAATTAATAAAAATAATTTTATTATTTATTTTATGAGTATAAAAGGTAAATATTGATGTTATTTATTGGATCCAAGTATAAATGTTTAAATATTGACGTTAAATGTCATGTTTTAATATGAGTATTTATAATTTTATTTGTAATATTGACCGCCACGAACGGGCACAAACCGGTATGTGCCACCGATCGAACCATTCCACTTGCTAAACCGGCAGGCACACTGGCATAAACCGGTTTGACAACCTTGGTTTGAGGTATCAAATAAATGTACCAAATAAAGAACATGGTTGAAAGTCGATTCCAGCCTAAATACGGATATTCATAATTTGCACCCAAGCTGGCATCCGTTGGCTAGCTTCACCTTCACTGTCAACCTCCCACTTATTTATGCAAAACTCCAAATCTGCAAACTTGCCAAAAAAAAAAAAAAAAAAAAAAACAGCGGCGTCCAGTTGCTGGGAAGAAAACGACGGAACAAAAATCCTCAATACTCCCGAATTCAAAGGAAGAAGGAACGTCCAGAATCACCATTGAAAAGGAGACACGAGGGAGCCTTTGCCGGTCTCCGTCTCCGAACAACAATTAATCATCTTTCTCCGAGAGGAGAGCTTTCCTTTTGGCTTGGAAAGCAGGGCAGAAGAAGAAGAAGGGCGAGGCGAACGAGAGGGAGAGAAGAATTTACAACAATGGGGAAAGGGGGCGAGAGGATATCATCAATGGCGGAACGGGAGAAAGACGAAGGAGTAGTAATGGCGTCGGATTTCTTCTGGTCTTACACCGACGAGCCTCACGCCTCCCGCAGAAAACAGATCCTCTCTCAATACCCTCAGATTAAGCAGCTCTTCGGCCCTGACCCCTGGGCTTTCTCCAAGGTTAGAGAACCTTCCGCCATTCCCCCTCTTCTCTCTAGGGTTTTCAGATCTCGCCGCAATGTTCGCTCCATTCCCTCGATTCAAATTGCAAACTCTGCTTTCTGGATTCTTTCGTTCTTCAATCCCTGTCGATTTCAGCCTCTGCAGTTTATTCAACGATCTGAATCTTAGATCCGGGGATAGGAATTTGGATTCCGCTGGGATGTTTCAATTGGGGTTTCAGTAAAGTTTCTGTCTTTTTCCTGTTGGCAGATTGCTGTGGTTGTGATACTCCAGCTATGGACAGCAACATTGCTCCACGACTCAGCGTGGCTGAAGATGCTAGCCATTGCCTACTTCTTCGGCTCGTTCCTAAACCACAATCTCTTCCTCGCAATCCACGAGCTTAGCCACAACCTCGCCTTCTCCACGCCGGTCTACAACCGCTGGCTCGGAATCTTCGCCAATCTCCCCATTGGCGTCCCCATGTCTGTCACCTTCCAAAAGTACCACCTTGAGCACCACAGGTCAGTGTTCGTAGCTACACATTTAGTATACTCTATGCGTTTAAAACTTCTGTTTTCGTATTATATCCATGTCGCTGATAGTATTAGACCGACTTCGCGACAGGTTCCAAGGTGTGGATGGCATAGACATGGACATCCCAAGCCAGGCCGAGGCTCACATTGTACGCAACGTGGTGACCAAATCCATATGGGTTCTCCTCCAGCTATTCTTCTACGCTCTCCGCCCGCTCTTCCTCAAGCCTAAACCACCAGGCTACTGGGAATTCATCAACTTCTTCGTCCAGCTATCCCTCGACGCAGCCATGGTGTACATCTGGGGGTGGAAGTCCTTCGCTTACCTGATCCTGTCGACGTTCGTAGGGGGAGGGATGCACCCGATGGCGGGTCATTTCATCTCGGAGCATTACGTGTTCAACCCGGAACAAGAGACGTATTCGTACTACGGCCCCCTGAATCTGCTGACTTGGCACGTAGGGTACCACAATGAGCACCATGATTTCCCCAGGATCCCTGGGAGCAAGCTACACAAGGTGAAGGAGATTGCTCCAGAGTACTACGAGAGCTTGGATTCGTACAAATCGTGGAGCCAGGTCATCTATATGTACATCATGGACAGCACGGTTGGACCCTTCAGCCGGATGAAGAGGAAAGTGAAGAAATCCGAGTGAAATTCTCCACAGGCAGCAGGCGACATTCTTTGTAGCATTTTGTAAACACTTTTGTTTGTGGCGGGTGATCAGTTTTGGGTAGAGATTTGATTTCTTTGTGTTGGCCCAACAATAATAACTGCCAATTTCCACTCTTTCTCCACCGCGGAATGGGAATCCGAGTGACATAATTAGAATCCTTCTCCGAGAAGGATTCCACAAACCACAAGTCCGAAGAACTCATCATACTTTATAAATAGATGATCCGCTCCAATATCATTTCATTATTCTCCCTCGTATCACTATGGCCATCGAGAGGAAAAGGAAGCTGGACGTCTCGTCCATTGTCCCTGCCAGCAAGCTCGCCAAGGTAGCGGCGCCGCCAAACGTCGGAGCAGCTTCTCCCATGTTCGCCGACCAAGCCAGCGGGTCCATCTTCAATCGGTGGAACGGGAAGCCCTATTCCCAAAACTTCCACCACATACTCGACAAGAGGAAGACCCTCCCGGTTTGGCAACACAAGGAGGAGATTTTGGACGCCTTGAAGAAAAATCAAGTCCTCGTCCTCGTCGGCGAGACCGGAAGCGGCAAAACAACACAGATCCCTCAATTCGTCTTGGAGATGATGATGGTGGAAACGACCCCAAGCGACGACAAGAGAAGAAAAAAGATGATGGTTGGATGCACTCAGCCTCGCCGAGTGGCGGCAATGTCGGTATCCCAACGAGTGGCCGAGGAGATGGATGTCACACTGGGTGAAGAAGTCGGTTACACAATCCGTTTTGAAGACAAGAGCAGCCCTAACACAGTACTGAACTACTTGACCGACGGCATGCTCTTGAGGGAAGCCATGACCGATCCGCTGCTGAAAAGCTACAGCGCCATCATTCTCGACGAGGCCCACGAGAGGACCGTGGCGACCGACATCTTGTTCGGGCTCCTCAAACAAGTGCTGAGGAGCCGACCGGATCTGAAAGTAGTGGTGATGAGTGCGACATTGGAGGCTGAAAAATTTCAGGGCTATTTCGGCGGGGAGGCGCCTCTCATCAAAGTCCCCGGCAGGCTCCACGATGTGGAGGTCTTCTACACCGCGGAGAGCCAGAGAGACTACGTCGAAGCGGCAATTCAGACAGTTGTTCAGGTACATATGTGTGAAGGACCTGGAGACGTACTATTGTTCTTGACAGGCGAGGAAGAGATTGAGGATGCTTGCAGAAACATTGCCAAGGAGATTGGGAACTTGGGAGGCCAGGTTGGTCCCGCCACAATCATCCCTCTGTACTCGACTCTGCCTCCAGCCCTGCAGCAGAAGGTATTTGAACCTGCTCCCGGGACCAGGAAAATCGTGGTATCGACCAACATTGCTGAGACGTCACTCACAATCGACGGCATTGTCTACGTCGTCGATCCAGGTTTCGTCAAGAGAAAGGTTTACGATCCCCGCGTTGGAGCCGAGTCCCTGCAGGTGACCCCTATCTCCAAGGCTAGTGCCGAGCAGAGGAAGGGTCGAGCAGGCAGGACGGCCCCGGGGAAGTGCTACAGGTTGTACACTGAGAAGAGTTTTGATAAGGATCTGCAGTCGCAGACCGATCCGGAGATAGTCAGATCGAATTTAGGGACTACTTTCCTGACGATGAAGAAGCTGGGGATTGATGACCTGGTGCACTTTGATTACATGGACCCACCTGCCCCCAAGACGTTGGAGCGAGCTTTGGAGATGCTATACTACTTGGGAGCCATGGATGATGAGGGCAACCTGACGAAGCTGGGGCAGATCATGAGTGAGTTTCCGTTGGATCCTCAGACGGCAAAGACGCTGATTGTTAGTCCAGAGTTCAATTGCTCCAACGAGATCCTCTCTATTTGTGCCATGCTATCAGTTCCCAATTGCTTTGTCCGCCCTCCCAAGGGGGAGGCTCGAAGGAAGGCTGCCGATGAAGCCAAAGCTCGGTTTGCACACATCGAAGGAGATCACCTCACTTTGCTCAACATCTACCATGCATTCAAGCTGAACAACGAGGATCCTTCATGGTGCTATGAGAATTTCATCAACTACAAAGCCATGAAGTCTGCCGACAATGTTAGACAGCAGCTCGCGCGGATCATGTCGAGGTATAACCTCAGGATGTGCAGCACCGAATTCGGCAGCAGAGATTACTACGTCAACATAAGAAAGGCGATACTGGCAGGATGTTTCATGCAAGTGGCTCATCTGGAGCGAAGCACTGGACACTACCTGACGGTCAAAGACAACCAAGTCGTGCACTTACATCCGTCAACATGTCTGGATCACAACCCTCAGTGGGTGGTCTACAATGAATGTGTTGTGACTAGCAGGAGTTTCATCCGGACGACGACAGACATTCGCGGCGAGTGGCTTCTAGACATTGCTCCTCACTTTTACGAGATGGAGAACTTCCCCGAGTGTGAAGCCAAGCGGGTTCTGAAGACGTTGTACAAGAAGCGGGGGAGGGAGATGGAGAAGAGCAAGAACAGGAGATGAGATGTTGCCCACCACATCCAGTCTCCCACTGTTTAAAGTATATTTATCTCTGTACGATGATTGCACTGCATAATTGTAATTTCAGTTACATCAAATAGTAGCTCTGTAATAACATTGAAGGCGCATCTTTCTGCAATAATGAAATACAGCAATAAGAAGAAAGCATCCAACCTCATACAGCAAACACATCTCCAGCAGTAGACTAGTCTTTAGATTGAATTGATTGTGGCTACTGTGTCAATCGTTCGTAGTAGAAGGATTCATCCAAATTCCCGGCGCTATTTAATGGAGCTAAAACGGTAGCGTTGAGTATCCGGGTTATATAGGTCGTTGGTTCAAACCTGAACCGGTTAGATAGGTTGGGTGTACTTCTGTTTAGTTAGTCGAGTTGTATAGTTAGTATATATAGGTCAAATAAATAAACACAGCTGTAAATTACTTTCTGCAATAATGAAATAATCGATTCTTCGTCTCAGTATGGGATAGAGAAATTTTGTTCTTGATTTTCTTCTTTTTCCGTTCCGCTTCTTTCGTCTTGCTACTTCGCGCATTGCGATTGTTCCTTTTCCAGTTCATCGTTCACGATGACTCGTACCTCTGGTCCACCGTCGCCGCCGCAGCCGCTCATTCCTCCGCCGCAGCTGCTCGTTCCTCCGCCGCAGCCGCTCGTTCCTCCGCCGGTGCCGGAATTTCAAGATCCAAATAGTCCGTTCTATATGCATGGCGAGAAGGGAGATCTCACTCGTATTTCAGATCTATGGGAGGAGATTTACGCTATGAAGCAAGGTACTTCGTCTGTGACAGAATTTCACACAAGGTTCAAAGTAGTTTGGGATGAATTGCTTGCTTGCACTCCCATTCTTTCTTGTCGATGTACTCCGCGTTGTTCATGTGGTATGGCTGCTCGGCTACGAGACTATCAATTGGCACAACAGGTCATGCAATTCTTGCGTGGTCTGAACGAGTCCTTCAAGCCTCTTCGTTCTCAGATTCTCATGGCGAGTCCCTTGCCTCCTCTGAACGAGGTCTTCTCGTTAGTCTACCAACATGAACAGGAGATGGCTCATCCTGGCTCTCTGGCTACCGTTCCTGCTGCTAATGCAGTTTCCTCTACTCCATCACAAGCAGACCTACTTGCTATGGCTGCTCGTTTCGTTCAGACGGCTGGTGCTACTGGTAATTCTGGCAAGCAATCCAACCAGCAACGACGAAGGCACATCTGCCCTCACTGTGGAGGTAAGGGGCATACCATCGGTGGAGGGGTCAATGCTGTTGTTTCCGATACTGAGACTGGTGATGGTGATGATAGTCAGAAGCTTCTGCCTTCTACTTCATCCTCCGCTCCCCTTTCTCCAGCCACCCCTCCTCCTTCATCCTCCGCTCCTCCTTCTCCTTCTAGTTCACTCTTTACCCACCCCTCCATCCTCAGCAGTTCTCCCAAACAAGAATCTGCCCAGGTATACCCATCTCTTTTCACCACTTTATGCATTGATGACTTAGATTGTATCTAGACTGTTCTGGGTTTTGACTGTTCTTGTATCCAGGCCAAGAGTGAAGAGTGTTCTGTGTTGTTTGAAGGAGAACCCCTTGATCTCAAGAAAGAGTTTGTCTCTGGTGGCTTGCTGCCAGACTTCTATGACGCGAATGTGTGTACCCCTGTTTTGTCCTTTTCTCTCAATTGAATGATGACTACTCTTATTGGATGTTGACTATCATGTTCTCGTTATTGCAGGAGAACAGAATTGTCAGCACTTCAACAGAAAAGCTGAACAGCTTTCTAAAGCATGTTGAAGTATGTTCTGTTCTACATGAATGGTATTGTTTTTCTTTTAGGTTGACAGTGTGATAATTTGTTTACGTGTTTCCAATAGGAGAATAAATCGTTGAACAGGGAGGGGCTTGGATATAGGAGAATTGGAGAGCTGATTGACCAAGGAGAAGAAGCCGAAGAAGCACAATCTTTCAAAGAGGGTGACGAATCCTCTTCTATTCTGAAGGATGAAGCAAAGATATTCTTTGTTTCTGGAGGTTTGCTCTCGGTCTCAGAAACCACACCTATCCATTCTGATCACAACGTTGAAGATTACATCAGCAGTTTGCTAGCAAGGAGGTCTGTCAACAGAGAAGGCCTGGGGTACAGAACGGAAAGAAGGGAAAGAGAGAAGGAAGAGGATACGAAAGAAAGACCCGCTTCAAAAGGGCATGTGGGAAAGACGATTCCTGGCTTTGTTTGTGGCGGTTTCCTGGTAAACACACAAGAAGTGAGTAGTGTCTTTGCTCTCAACTCTCAAGTGCTTTTGTGTAATGGATTGATTGAGTCATTCATTCTTGAAATAATTTTACATAATTTTCTCCACTTATACAGGAGAAGGTGGACACTTGTTTGGACAATTCAGACCACAAGGCAGAAGATTACATCAACTATTTGCTAGCAGGGAGGTCTATCGATAGGGAAGGCTTGGGGTACGGAAAGGAAAGGAGCGAAAGAGAGAAGAAAGTGGAGACTGAAGAAGCATCCAATTCTTCAATGAAGCAGGTGGAAAAGATCGATTCCATGGCGCAAAGGGGAAGTGCTTAATGACCCGAAATTTGAAGGGGGGCTCGGTTTTCGTAATTTCCACATGTTTAACCTTTCTTTGCTTGCTAAACAGGGTTGGAGGCTTCTCAATGAACCAGATTCTTTGTGGGCTCGCCTCCTTAAGAGCCTGTATTTCCCTGACTCTGATTTTCGCTCTGCAAGAAAGGGGAGCTCAGCCTCATGGATCTGGTCAAGCCTCTGCGATGCAAGGAAAGCGATGGACTTGGGAACTATCCGTGTCATTGGTAATGGAGATGATACATGGTTTGATAGGGACCCTTGGATCCCATCTTTTGAAGGCCACAAAATGTCATCAAGTAACATCCCCCACTCAAGAGTTAGTGCCTGGATCGATGAAGACTCGCGTCACTGGAATTGGAGTTTGGTCCATAATCATTGTTCTCCTTCGGAAGCGGAAGCGATTGCTAAAGTTCAGATTGGGCCAATCGAATCCAAAGACAAATGGGTGTGGAAGTTTACAACTAATGGGAGGTTTTCTGTGAAATCGGCCTACCATGGAGTGAGGAGACACTTCAGACAGCTTGGAAATCAACCCATGCAAGATCTTAATGCCCCATCTGCCGATGATTCTTGGAAATGGCTTTGGTCTCTCAACCTCCCTCCAAAGATTCGCTTCTTCTTATGGAGGTGCCTCCGCAATGCTCTGGCAACAAAAGCTAATTTGCACCACAGACATTGTGCTCCTGACCCTCGTTGTCAGATTTGCAATGCCGATTGTGAGTCTCTCATCCACTGTATCTTTCTTTGTCCTCACGCAAAGGAGACTTGGGAGAGGATCCTCCCGTCTTGCACCCCTCCTCTGAATTTCACGCAATGGTTCTTCTCTTTTAGAGATTCGGAGACTCTTTTGTCTCTCCGTCTCAAGGTCTTTTGCCTATGGAACATTTGGAAAGCACGGAATGACTTCATATTCAGAGGCAACAACTTGTCCCCATTGTTGTCCTCAATCACAGCTTTCCGAGAGGCTTCTGAACCTTCTCCTTGTCGTAGCTCTTCTTTCCCTACTAACCAGCCAAGGGACACTCCATCACAATCTCTTCCACCGCCAAGTGATGACCTTATTAGGATCAACTGCGACGGGTCATTCGACAATGTTTCGTCTGAGGCGGCTTTTGGGGTAGTTATTACTAATTCCCATGGTCAGATTTGTGATGGGAGGGCTGGCAGGGTTATTTGTTCGTCCCCGATTGAGGCTGAGGCCTTTGCTCTTGTTGAAGCGTGCCAGATGGCGGCCCTTGACAACTCTCCTACAGTTATCCTTTCGGACTGCAAGATTTTGGTGGATGCGCTTAAAGGTGATGAATCACTCTGGCCATGGCGGTGCTTTGCTCTTCTCTCTCGTGTGAAAGAGTTGCTCCTTCAGTGTAGATGGATTCATATTTCTTTCACCTGTCGTCGTGTGAACAAATGTGCCGATTGGGTCGCTCGTAATACACGTTGTGTTTCTCTTCCGCCTGATTGGATCTCGGTCCTTTCTATTGTGGCACCTTTGCTGTAAACCCATCCTCTTTCGGGATTGAATGAATGAAATCTTTATTCGAAAAAAAAAAAAGCAGGTGGAAAAGACGATTCCCGGCTTTGTTTCTGGCGGTTTCCTGACAAACACACAAGAAGTGAGTTGTCTCTTTCCTATCAAGTGCTTTTGAATGATGGATTGATTCAGTCATTCAGAATTTTACAGCTTTGTTTCACTTATACAGGAGAGCCTGGACGATTGTTTGGACAATTCTGATCACAAGGTGGTAGATCACTTCAACTGTTTGCTAGCAGGGAGGTCTGTCAACAGGGAAGGCTTGGGGTACGGAAAGAAAAGTAGGGAAAGTGAGAAGAAAGTGGAGACTGAAGAAGAGTCTACTACTACTGCTTTGAAGGAACAAGAAGGGAAGGGGTTGCTATAGGTAGCTTGGAGGGCACATTGTCCACGGAGAAGAACCCAGAGAGTAGTCAGCAGCTCCTTTTGGACCGGTTAACTAGCCACCTGTTAGGGATTTTGCTCGGGAACCATAATCAAGCCAGCCACTTTTGACACTTTGGTGATATTAACGTGTATAGTTAGACATACAGGAATGGCAGCTTTTGGAATCATTGGGTAAATCAAGCCATTTTGACACTTTGGTGGTAGTTACTTGTTTAGATAGACAGCGTCACAGTCACAGCTCAGAGTCACAGGGGTGTATATAGGAATTCGTTGTAGTGAATTTTGTTTGTAGTTCATGAGTGATTGATTTGTGGAGTCATTGAATAATGCGGATTGGTCACTTGTCTCTCTCACTACTCCCCACAATCCATATTTGGGATTGATGACCTGGTGCACTTTGATAATCGGTAGGCCAGTCGGTTCGGGTAACTGAACCCGAAAACCGCAAAAACCGAAAAACCGAAACCGGCTTCCACAAACCCGAAACCGAAACCGAGCCTTTGTTTTGCGGGTTGCGGGTTCAGAAACCCGAAAATAACACTGTTGGTTTGGATTCGGTTCGGGTGAACCCGAAACCGAACCGGTTTAATTTTTTTTATTAAAATATTATTCTTATTGCTGCAATTTTCCCCCTCCATCCCATACGCCCCATATGGCCACATCCAGCCAAAAAAACCAGAAACCTTGATTTGCGTTCCTCTGTTCAGTACATCGCATCTCACCATTAATCCACCATTCAATTCCTCCCCTGCTCTCTCCCTCTCTTTTTATCTGCCTATATAAATTGGAGGAACACCGCAAATTGATAAGCAATTCACCCCAACAAAAATGATGCGCGTTGATAAAAACAGAGCAGTGGTGGTGCTGGTGGTGTTGGCGGCGGTGGTGGCCGGAGTGGACGGCCGGCGGCACAGGGGGATTTTGGTCGGGGCGAGGAGCGAGGTCAAAGACGTGAGGACCAACAGAGAAATTCAGGAGCTGGGTCGATTCTCGGTGGCAGAATTCAACTTCCAGCAGCAGAAGCAGAGGATTGTGAAGCAGAGTGGTGGTAGTGAAGAGGAACAGAAGACTGCGGCTGCTTCGTTTGGCGAAGACGAAAACAGAGGCTCTGTTACAGAGCTAGGGCAGCCTGAGGAAGACTCTCCTTCCCAAAAACGACAGCGTAAGTCCCAGTCTGGCCGAGTATCTACTTGCGGGTTGCGTTTCGGTTTTGCGGGTTTCAGTAACCCGAAACCGACACAATTGATATCGGGTTGGACCCGAAAAAACCGAAACCGAGAATGAAAAAATCGGTTCGGGTTCGGGTTAACCCGAAAACCCGAAACCGGATTGACAGGCCTAATAATCGGTATTAGTTGCTGCATAGATTCAGCGTTATTGACCTTTGACATGAGTGACAACCATGTATGGTTGAAGTTTTGAAGCAGCTGACAGGGTATGAAAAAGCTCAAAACTACATTTCAATAAGACAATGTGGTATATTGTACTCAGACAGAAGCAGGCAATACCGGCACTGGTAGGTAAAATATTATCATCGAGAGTCCAGACAAGGAAATGTACAAGCTCACCCAGACGTTAAACGCTTCTGAAGGTTAGCCTGAAACGTGGGGTTCAGTCTGTAATATTTCTCCTTTTTCTGCTCCAACACTTACACATTTCTAACATATTTCTGATGCATACTTCCACTTGGTGCGACAATCTTCGGTGGTATGACATTTCCACAATGGGTTCTTGCTGTTGGGAATGGCCTTGCCCCTACTACAGCCTTGGATGAAAATTCAGAACGAATTTGGCTGAAGATTCCTCAATACTCAGTCCTACCACAAGCTGGTCACTCAATTCAGCCAATTGTTGATTTTGTCTTCCATGGATTGCTGGAGTCTTACAGGTCTGTCTCCTACCTTAAAAACCGAGCTATTGTCACATTGACCAATGAAACAGTGTCAATGATTAATGCTTCTATTCTTTCGTGCATTCCTGAGGAGACAGTGAACTACTACAGCACAGATAGTTTGTGTACTGAATCAACAGATAATTCAGCCCGGGATACACTATACCCTATTGAGTTCCTCAACTCTCTCTCCTTTAATGGGCTGCATGAACTTTGTCTGAAACTTTATGCACCCATTATGTTGCTTCGAAATATAGATCCCTCAGCAGGTATGTGCAATGGAACGCACTTGATGGTCACATATCTTGGACAGAACGTCATCAAAGGAATCATACTTACTGGTACTTACGAGGGTACAGTCGTTGCTATACCGAGAATAGCTCTCAACTTTAGTGCGCACAAATGGCCCTTCACAATGAAACGAAGGCAGTTTCCAGTCCGACTCTGCTATGCCATGACAATCAATAAGAGCCAAGGTCAAACACTAGACAGAGCAGGAGTTTTCTTGCCTTAACCTGTATTCAGCCATGGTCATCTATATGTAGCTATTTCTAGAGTTCGCTCGGCAGCAGGTCTTAGATTCCTCATACAAAATGATGATGGGCTACCCTCTGATTGCACCAAAAACATAGTCTACTCGGAACTGTATTCTGAGTTTTCTTCCCCTGGTAACTTTGCATGATCACTCCCTTGCATTATTAAGATAGGAACTAACCTTAATTCTTTCACATTCTTATAATAGCATTTTTCCTATTTCAGAACCTGTTGTCCCTGACCAAGTCAATTAGCATCTTGGGAAATAGACAGGTATGCTGTTTGTTTGCTATGCTTTTGGAATTTAATAATATGCAAACCACTATATTGCCTGCTTCTAACTTGCTATGTTGTTTAACCTTGACTATTTTTTGCTATGTTAGCTGTCGTTTGTGTGGAATAACGAGTCGTTGTTTGCAGGTAAGAAAGGCAAACACCATCGATTTTGGAGAGGCCTCAAATGTAAAATAGACCTCTAGAAGCTGTCATGATCATCTCTGGCTATCAGTTGGTAACAGTCTGGCTATTTCACCAGTCATGCTATTTACTATGTTCGGTTTAAAATGTCCCATGGCTAAGACTTCTGCTGAAATGTATGCAATTAAGCTGTATTTTCTGCAATTTAAACACTAATGTACATGTACTGCTGGTCTTGGTGGTAGAGCTTCTCTGCATATGATTATTAGTATAAACATGGATGCTTCTGAAATGTTGTTCTTTCCATTCTACATCAACGTTTTATTGTAGCTGCTTTCTCCAGTTGTTTCTGAAATAATCTGCAATCTATAAGTGTATTAAACGTTAGTACTTCAGTCCTGTAAATGTATTCATGCTTTTCATGCAACTGAATTAGCGTGGCCGATATATTTAGCCATCTTTGCACATGGAATGATGCAATGAACAACAGAACAATTTTATTCAAAAAAAGAACAACAGAACAATTAGAGTCAGAAAAACAAGGAAGGTGGTCAGGTCTTGGAAACTTGGAAAGGCAATTGTTGTAGATTTCAAGTCCTGCAGACCTTTGTTTCAACAGAATCCTGGCATTTATTTGTCTGATTTACTATAGAGTTTTAACATGCTGGTCCTCATTCGATTTCATATCAGCAGCCATGGTTCCCTGTTCCCAGCATATGATGTGCAGTCACCTTCATATTTTGCTGGCATTTTGCTGCTGCTGTTTGCGAATCTTGCAGCAGATAGGACTTCACAAGGTAAAGGAAAGTGGAAACCCAAAGAAAATGTAACTTTTTGACAGTACCACAGTCTCCTACAAGTGGTCATTCACTATTTGTCGTTTGTGACTTGGAGTAAAGAGCTTCCAATATTGAATATACACTGAGGTTCCCAATCCCATACAACCGGATTTGTGACCCAGCTCAAACCGAAAAGAGCTTCCCATATCCCTTTCCATCTCTCTGCTCTGCTAACTTACCTTCTCATCCAGATATCCACTGCAACCAACCATGCTTTTTGACTTTTGTATCCTCATCCTCTCACGACCTCACCCCAAAAACCCGCTACCTCCGCAAACCTACTCAAACACATCACCGCCCATAAATTTTCTGAACGACCCTTACTCTTCAATGGAATAATTCATCGCTCCATCGACCATCTTCTCATCTTCAACCTACTTCAGCACGCGATCCTCTTCAACACGCCAGCGTCCATAGAGGAACCCACCTCCCCGTCAACTCCTTTCTCAATACCCAGTCCCCCTGCCTCCATATCTTTCCATTTCCTTTTTCTGAAACCCAATATTCTTCGCAAAGTTTCTCCTCCTCTGCGTCTCTAAACCCAACGAAGATGAGAAAAGGTGAGCCCCGGCTGGTCATTGCCAAAAAATTTGGCTCAGTTCGCGTCAATCCAATGACAACATTGGATAGTATGCGCACACTTCCGTTGGAATAGAATATACAAGCACCGGCGGTAAGTGATGTTATGTGTTTTTTTTAGATGGTGGACGGATAGAAGCAATTTTAATCCTTTTTTATCGTTAGGTTTCTAACTGCTTCTTTTGTTTTCTGGGTTTGGTTTCAAACCGATTCTGAATGCTATTAGTTGCTTCATGGGTTTATATTTGGTTTGCTCTTTGTCAGCATCACTGCTCTCGGATACCGGCTGAGTCTAGCAAATACATTCTGAAGAAGTTTATGCTTTTTTTAATAATGCTGAAGAAGTTTATGCTTGATTCCCTCTAAATAATCATTCCAATTAGTTGATGCCTCACTTTACACGGATGGGTTCTGTTATATCGTTGGCTGCAAAATCTTATCATATTTGACATTTTGATTCATGTTTCAAGATACCAGATGGACTTGGGTAAAATATAGTGCGGTGGAGGGTTGTAGGACGAGCTGAAGGAACATTACATGATAAGTTTGTCCTTGAAAGGTTAAGAGTTAACCATTGCCTCTGTTTTTTTGTGATACTAGCATCAAAAGAGCTTTGTGTTTAAATTATTTCTTAACCTTTTTGTGTTTAAAATTTGTGTTCTTACACTCTCATTTAATCTTGCAGGGATCAAGCTTAGGCGTATTATACACTTGCTTTATGGCTTACTCATTGGAGAATTATATGGGATCATCAGGTTAATGGTAATTAAAATTACCATCATGCTCTTTTACTTATATATATATAGCTTGCTTTGTTATTCTACATGGTTGTTTTTCCTTTCCATAATATTGATACGCTGTTGAATTTACTTTACTTGAAGGATTCATTGGTGTCTTGAGCGAATGTGGTGATTGGATGGACCTGAATGAATGTCTACAAGTGTTGCAAGATTAGTAGTTGAGCTAACTACAGATTTTGTGGTGTATGAGGTACAATAGCACAAGTAAGTTAGTTTGGAAGAAGGATTTCTCTACACTCTTCACGTTTCTTAGGGTGCAGATGTCTTTATATTAGTTGATATTGTGGATTAACTACTGGCTATTGGTCCATCTTGGAGTCTGCTTGAGATAGTATTTAATAATCTCATTTCATTGCCAGCTACTACTAACTAAAGTTAAATATTGTCGTCATTGTAATGTTTAATACAAGTTGCATTTCTATGATTCTATCATCAAAACTCTCAATTGAATTTGCAGGGTCTGATTGCTATATCTAGGGCCGCTTTAAATGTTTATGGTGAAAGATGACCTTTTACTATGAAGAGAAGGTAGTTCATGTTCCAACTTTGCTATGCCATGACCGTTAACAAAAGCTAGGACCAGGCTCTCGATGGAGGTGGACTGTTCTTGCCCAAACCTGGTTTTTGTTACAGCAGCTGTATGTCAGCATTTCTTGGGTGTAATTAGTTGACAGCCGTCAGTTCTTCATACAAGATTATGACATTGTGTCCTACAGAATGTACCAAAAAATACGCTACAGAGAGCTTTATGTTGATTTGTACCTGCAAGGTAACTTTTCATCCAACTGTCTTTCATTGTAAGCCTCGATGCTTATGAAACTTTTTTGATGTTCATACCAAATTATTCTGTAGTGACAGGTTCTGATGTCCCAGCCTTGCCAAATTAGTGTTGTTTTGAACTGCATAGGTATCTCTTTACTTTCCCAGCAATTGGCAGACTACTCTATCATGGAAACAAGGTTCACCTGTAGTTAATAGCTATACATGGTTGTTACTTGCCTTCAATTTTGCTCAACACGTTAGTTAAGTTACATGAAGACCACATCATAATTTGAGGGTGCCGTCTATCTGGTTCACTCCAATGCTTGGGTTATATCTTTTTCACTTCAATGTTTCTTCCTTCATTCTAATTCAGACTTAATTCTTACAGATGAATCTTTGCCAGTTTATTGAGCTGCCAACACCTCCTATTTTTGGTGTTTGGGACACCTACACGTCGATGGATTTTAAAGAGATTCTGTCTTAGTCAAGGAGTGCTTCATTAGTCTACAATTCAATGCTCGGTGGTAGCTTATGTCTACTGCCATAGAAAATGGAGCCAGGGTAGATGGCATATACATGTATTATGATTTCTAAGCATCATGATTTGTCTGTATTGGTCTGCCTTCTTTCAAGTGGTTTCATCTTTTAACTCCCTACATTTAAGATGATTATGACCATTATTGTTTCCTCATTCCTCATGTGCATGGTTCCATATTGTCCTAAGTTTATGCACTTTCAGTACCTTGCTCAGTTGTAAGAGACGAGTGAGGTCATTGACTCATCTGTCATTCATATATGCTTCAGTGAACTTTTAAGTTCCTAGCCTATTCTTCAGTTTTTGCTGAAGTTAATGGTGGTTCAATCCGTTAATTCATATAAGGGACTCCCGCGTCATCAATTTTCATGATACATGCCTCTATTTTATTCGAAGTTGCTTCTCTCTTGGCGCACCTATTTCGCTCCAAGTCCTTGTCTATTTTTGTTTCCCATTGTAATCTTACTTCACCGATAAGTTCATGATTTCACCCTGTATAAAGTTACTGTTAGGAACTTCTTTTCGGTTCATCAATCAGATCTCCATCTTACTGCCTTGAGGAATTGATTGGAAGGAAAAAGAATAGTGCACTTCGTCAAGTTCTGTACTGAGTTACCCCTGTGGATTTGTTTTCTGTAAAAAGAATAGCACACAGATTGCCTATCAATGGTATTGCCTTAGTGTCATCTGCTCCTAGAAATTGTGCATACAAATGTACCAATTTGTCTGTCCCAAAAAAAAAAAAAAACGCCAGCTCATGTTCAGACCTTCTTCTTTCATGCAAATGTGTTTCCCGCCGCGTAGCTGCGGGTATTGGTTCTAGTGTATAAGAGTAGGGAGTATGCAGTGCTCACTCATTATAAAAAAAACCTCTTGGGATATATCGAATAAGCAAAATTAGATCATATTATTATTATTATTATTATTATTATTATTATGGTTAAATGTTTGATAACGCATTACCTCTAATGTTGAACCGTGTATCAATGAACTCTAATGACCCTTTTGAGCTCTCCTTGATTATCCACACGTCGACAATGAGGTACATACCTTGCATGATGATGCTGATGAAGACTCACTCCAACAGACAATTGATACTCCGGCTCCTGACCAAGTGATTCATCCCAGTGAACCTGTGGTGCGTAGCGGCCTTCGCGAACGTCGCCCATCACGACACTTGGTGGACCTGTATTACACTTGAAAAACATGATATGAACTAGTTAGAAATAATGAGCAAAATATCATTCCAACATAGTGTATACTAAATATGCGTGCGATCTTCATCATGGAAAATTTACTATACTTCTGTTTCAATATGCATATTAATCACACATATCATATACGGTACAAATTCTAGAATATCTCATTTATATTTTATTGTAGAGTTTAAGTTTGAGGTTCAACCATTTAGAATCATAAACGAGCCGAGCTCAAGTCACCTCGAGCCGAGCCTGAGCGAAAGTTTTACTAAACGAGTCGAGCTAAAGCTCGTCTCCTTTTCTAATGAACTGAGCCTAAGCTAGGCCAAAACTTGATTCAGCTCGGCCCTATTCAAAATAGAGTTGGGTGATTATCACACAACTCAACACTTAATAAAAGACGACCACCGAAGTTTAATTTTACAAATTTCAAGAGTATATGCAGAGTATACATAGAAGATTTGGGGCGACTGCAAAGGCTAGAAGGGTGTCATATTTTCAAGAATGATTCCATATTCTGAACGTTTCCATGTGTGGTATAAGAACACAAACGATGGTTCCAAATGGTAGCTGAGCCTGAGCTAGGCTAAAACTTGGTTCAGCTCAGCCCTATTCATAATAGAGCTGGGTGATAATCACACAACTTATCGCTTAGTACAATACGACCACTGAAGTTTAATTTTACAAATTTCAATAAAATACATTTGGACGTATAACAAAGTGATCATTCCGTCCATTTCAATCCAAAATCCGCTAACTGAGCACAATCAGCACGCCATGTAAAAAAAAAATTCAATAAACCAACTAACTAAAAACCTCACCGAGCCGGGATGAGATTAGGTGCTAACCCTTATAGGGGTTAGCACCGTGATAACTAGCAAAAAACGCTACTAAAAACAACAAAATCACTACGGATTATTATAAAATCAATACAACATCTAAGCTAAATCACTACTAATTCAAACTAGTAGTAGTTTTTTCCCTTGGTTAGGACGGTGCTAACTCTTGTACAATTAGCACCATAACTTCTTGTACCACCTAAAAATTGTACCCCATATATTTCTTGTGTTGGCCCATCAATAATAACCGCCAATTTCCACTTTTTTTTTTCCATTGATCGGGAATGAAATAGATATTACAGGACGTTAGATAACCAGACGCGACATTCGACACAATATCGAGCTGTCGATGAAAGGGCATTAGAAGCCACTAAGTGGGCAGCCCTGTAGTACAACCTCGGCGTAAAAGTACAAATAAAGAAATTAAAAGACACAGACGCCAAACAAATCTCTTTCAATATCGCTCCACCTGTCGCATGCGCCACATCACGAGATTGCATCATAATGGATGGATGCTTGTATGGTCAAGGGAAAACTACGTGCCCCTGCAAAAACAAACAAACACACAAGCGCCCATACTGTAGGACAACTAAACTCCACCGAATGGACTTAAACAAGCCATTGAGACTTAGTCGGATACTCCTAATCAAAAGCTAACAATGTCAAAAGAATAACAGTTTCTAATACTTTTTTTTACAGAAAAGTTAATGAAAAGTTTAAATATACGAGCAGTTAAGGAAAATAAAATTAAAAGATTTTAGAATTATATTTTTGGAAATAAATACATATTAAAATAAGGAGGAAAGAGAAAGAACAAGCGTATCTGAAACGGATCGCAGTTGGAATCGCCTCTGGATTTGTAACCGTTGCTCTGGAATTGTAACCGTCGGATCCCAAAACTGAAGCCTCCTACAGTGTAACTGCCGGCCGTCGGGATTCGCGTCGTCGGAAGCAAACTTCGAACGCTCGACGGCGGTGGAGGCCTTCCGAACATACACCTTCCGATCTCCTTTTACTCACTGGCAGAAACCCCCATCTTATCCCCTCCCGAATTCGTAAATCCACGATAACTAGGATCGAAACAGCAATGGCGTCGCCTTTCCAGGTGAACTCCAACGCTTTGTTCCTCTGCGGCACCGCCGACGCCGAGGGAGCCATCGCGGTGGTGAACACCGTCACTGATCTCCATTCCGCTGCCTGCCCCTCCGATCAGTGGAGCATCGTCGCCGCCGCCGTAACCGAAACCTCCACCTTCACCTTGCAATCGATTGCACCTTGGAGTTCAGACTTGTCCGCTTTAGAAGCTTTGAGGGCGCGCACTGCGTTGCCCTGAGCATCGATTGCAGATTGCTTCTGCCAGAGCTCTGCGGAGTGATTCCTCGGAGACTGCGTCCATCACCAGACTGGGATGGTTGACATCTCACTACAAAAAAAATGGTCTATGGCAAGGGTTATTTTTGTCTATAGCAAGGGTTATTGCAATCCTTGGATGAACCCTTGGCAAAGCTACCCCTGCTACGTGTAGCAAGGGTTTTGAGTGACCCTTGGTGGAAGTCCTATGCAAGGGTTGTACCAAGGGTTTAAAACCCTTGCTATACTTAACTACAATTAAAAGGGAACTATGGTCCCATAACTTCCATTTAGCAAGGGTTTTTAACCCTTGCTACGTGAACATCTTTCGTGACGACATTCTTGTTACTAAAATGAAGACATTCCGTCACCAATGTCAAGGTATTTTCGTCACTAAAAATCCTTGCTACATTAACATCTTTCGTGACGACATTCTTGTTACTAAAATGAAGACAGCTGTCACCAATGTCAAATACTTCAATAAATTGTAATATTCTTGTTATGGTATTCAATCTCACCATATCCATACAAATTGACTTTCCTAATGGTTCAACACCAAATAATAGTAAACAGAAACAAAAAATACTTCAACAAATTGTAATATTCATATTATGAAATCTCAGTTCCGTTCAACACCCTCAGCTGTTTATTAACCATCCCCAAGGCCATATGCTACAAAATGGATTCAAACCATTAGTACTCTTGCTGTATTTTCTGCAACTGCAATGTTCCAGAATAAACTAAGGTCATTCCTTCACAAGAGAAGTAACCATCCCCTGGTGCTCCAAATCTGTAGCAAACAAGTAGCATGCACAAATAAACCCAAATGCAGACGAGGTCTCGCCTTGAAAGTCGACTACACCATAATACAAGTAGCATGAATCTTCGAGGATGACTAACTAGCAACACATAATGCACTTACTAGAATCCTTAAAATGAACTAAATCGTTATAATATAAGCCATCCATCGTTCCAGTCACAACTAGTTCAGCCAAAACATCAAATTCCAAGTGTTGATCACGCAAGAATATCTCACTAGAAATGGAAATAGCTTGCAAACCCAATTGACACATATAAAAGATTCAATTAATGAAACATTCAAGTTAGCTGACATTGTTGACTATTATTTAGATCACTCAAATAACATATTCTAGATCTTATGGGTATGAGTTTGTTTTTTATACGAGTTATACTGCTTACGCTAATACCACCCAGTTCAGCATCATAGCAAGATCGCAAAAATTCCTAAATGTGTCGTAATGAAGAAGTCATGCTTACATCTTGGTAGACAAAAAGGCTGCTAACCAAATTCTGAAACTTCTTTGCAGCTTATTCCTCCACCAAGAATTTTGCCAAGGTCTGCACAAGATGTGGTAATGCAAGTCATTGATTCCTCTTCCAGATGAATATCCCAGGCATTCTGTGAACCTACCACAAATAAAAAGAAGTCAGTTTTAATCGCTTACTCAACGAACGCTTTGATAAAAACAAACAGGGTATCAATCAAAATATGTACTGTAATGGACTCTGAATTTCACTAGGCTGGATCATGCCTTGGATTACAAAAGACAGATCATCATGACATTAATCAAATCAAAGGTGGCAGCAAAACCATTAATGAACTGTCCCAAGACACATATGTATGATACTACTAACATAACACTGTGACTTGATATAAGCTACACCATTGATAAGTAACCTAAGAAATTACCTGGAGATACATGAGGGCCATAAGGCCATCGAAAGCCCTTACTTTGATGTCCAATATGATTTTCGGGCACCCCAAACGACCTTGCTAAGATGAATACTAGGACATCACTTTCTGTTCAATCGTGGAAGAAATGAAAAACCTTTTGTCTCTATTTGTTGTCTTTGTCCTAATCATGCAGTTGCAAACGTATGGCGGACCTGGACATGAGAGAAAGACATACATATTGTGAAGCAAGCACAATTAGCAATCAGACCGTAGGCTTGCATAAGGCTGGTAGAAAGAGAAATCGAAGAAAAGCTATGACAACGACAGGTTTCGCGTACCACCACTGAAAACAGTTGTTTGTCACCAAGAATGGTCCCCAAAAACAGATCAAGTGTTATCTCTTTTGAGTTTTTCCTGGGAACACCGGAAGAAGGTAGAATACAGAACACGATGACCAATTGAGATCAATTTATGCGCAAAGGGATATAGCTAAGCAATATCAATCAATAATAGTTGGAATTAGACTCCAACGTGCATTCTCAAAAGCTAAGCAATATCAATCAATAATAGTATAGCCTAAGAATGAATGCTATAGAGATTAGAATTGCAGAGGGGCACTCACCACATCAGATTCCTATTTCTCCTCTACTTTATCTTCCTTTGCCACAGAAGCAATTGAAGCACTATTAGCATATCTGAAAGTCTGAAACTCGAGAGGAGCTGACATTCATTAGTCACAAAATTGAAATTTTTCATGCTCTGATGTTGCTTAAGCCAGGAAGGCCTGGACGTTCTTGCGCTGGTCGCCCTGGAGCTGAATAACCTTCCCCAGCTCCTTGTCATTCACTACGTTGCCGTTGCAGCAGAAATCCTTCTTCACGTCCTTGAGTATCCTCTCGTAGCCTGGACCGTGGTCAGGCACTTCTTCCCATTCCTCTGCTGCACCCTGATGTGCACTTCCCGACGAGTCATTGGCCTTGGCGAAAGGGTCGATAGCAGAGGGGATCTGGAAGTCTAGTTCAACCATGTACTTTGCTTGTTTGAGAACTTGTTTCCTCTGCTGAACAATCATAGGAATAAGGTTGGTTAGCAGGAGAAACGTGCCCTAATGGGAGCGGCTTTTCATCGAACAGATAATCAGCAAAACAAATTCGCAGAGGAAAAGGAACCACCATACTGATCAACACAAGAATCCGAACCGTATTCAGCTAAGCCGATGAATGAAGCAATCAAAGAGGCAAGAACAGAAGAGGATCAACAATTCTCTTAACAATTTCTCAATAGGACCACGCCATCAAAGCAGCTAACAATCGGAGAGAAACGAAAACATGCCAAATCTAGTCATTTAAGCATATACAATCATTTTAACACACAATTCAAAGCTCCAAATAGACCAAGGAACGAGATGATCAAAGATAACAGGGCAGAAGATTGATCGCTAATATGAAACAAGCAGAGCCAAGGAAGGAGATATTGGTGGAAAAGAGAAAGCGAGCGAGTTGGGGAAGACCGAGATCTCGACAACTAAGCCACATCATCCATTCGGTGGCGGTGGTGACCCTGACAAACATGACAACTCCAATTCCCAGCGTGGCTATGAGAGGGATTCATAGCCAATTTCCACTCTTTCCCCCCCGCCGCCGGAATGGGACATAATTAAAATCCTTCTCCGAGAAGGATTCCACAAACCCCAAGTCCGAAGAACTCATCATACGTTATAAATAGATGATCCGCTGCGACCACCACCAATATCATATTTCATTATTCGTTCCGCCTTGTTTCAATTTCCAGACCGCCAATTCCCTCGTATCACTATGGCCATCGAGAGGAAAAGGAAGCTGGACGTCTCGTCCACTGTCCCCGCCGGCAAGCTCGCCAAGGTAGCGCCGACGCCAAACGTCGGAGCAGCTTCTCCCATGTTCGCCGACCAAGCCAGCGGGTCCATCTTCAATCCGTGGAATGGGAAGCCCTATTCCCAAAAGTTCCACCGCATACTCGACCAGAGGAAGACCCTCCCGGTTTGGCAACACAAGGAGGAGATTTTGGACGCCCTGAGGAAAAATCAAGTCCTCGTCCTCGTCGGCGAGACCGGAAGCGGCAAAACAACACAGATCCCTCAATTCGTCTTGGAGATGATGACGATGACGGTGGCGGAAACGACCCCAGGCGACGACAAGAGAAGAAAAAAGATGATGGTCGGATGCACTCAGCCTCGCCGAGTGGCGGCAATGTCGGTATCCCAACGAGTGGCCGAGGAGATGGATGTCACGCTGGGCGAAGAAGTCGGCTACACGATCCGTTTCGAGGACAAGAGCGGCCCTAAAACAGTGCTGAACTACTTGACCGACGGCATGCTCCTGAGGGAAGCCACGGCCGATCCGCTGCTGAGAAGCTACAGCGCGATCATTCTCGACGAGGCCCACGAGAGGACCGTGGCGACCGACATCTTGTTCGGGCTCCTCAAACGAGTGCTGAGGAGCCGACCGGATCTGAAATTGGTGGTGATGAGTGCGACATTGGAGGCCGAGAAATTTCAGGGCTATTTCGGCGGGGAGGCGCCTCTCATCAAAATCCCCGGCAGGCTCCACGACGTGGAGGTCCTCTACACCGCGGAGAGCCAGAGAGACTACGTCGAATCGGCAATTCGGACAGTTGTTCAGGTACATATGTGTGAAGGACCTGGAGATGTTCTATTGTTCCTGACGGGCGAGGAAGAGATTGAGGATGCCTGCAGAAACATTGCCAAGGAGATTGGGAACTTGGTGGGAGGAGGCCAGGTAGTTGGTCCCGCCACAATCATTCCTCTGTACTCGACTCTGCCTCCAGCCCTGCAGCAGAAGGTATTTGAACCTGCTCCCGGGACCAGGAAAATCGTGGTATCGACCAACATTGCTGAGACTTCACTCACAATCGACGGCATTGTCTACGTGGTCGATCCAGGTTTCGTTAAGAGGAAAGTCTACGATCCCCGCGTTGGAGCGGAGTCACTTCAGGTGACGCCTATCTCCAAGGCTAGTGCCGAGCAGAGGAAGGGTCGAGCAGGCAGGACGGCCCCGGGGAAGTGCTACAGGTTGTACACCGAGAAGAGTTTTGACGAGGACCTGCAGTCGCAGACCGATCCGGAGATGGTCAGATCGAATCTAGGGACGACTTTCCTGACGATGAAGAAGCTGGGGATTGATGACCTGGTGCACTTTGATTACATGGACCCACCTGCCCCCAAGACGCTGGAGCGAGCTCTGGAGATGCTGTACTACTTGGGAGCCATGGATGATGAGGGCAACCTGACGAAGCTGGGGCGGATCATGAGCGAGTTTCCGTTGGATCCTCAGACGGCAAAGGCGCTGATTGTTAGTCCACAGTTCAATTGCTCCAACGAGATCCTCTCTATTTGTGCCATGCTATCAGTTCCCAATTGCTTTGTCCGCCCTCCCAAGGGGGTGGCTCGAAGGAAGGCTGCCGCCGATGAAGCCAAAGCTCGGTTCGCACACATCGAAGGAGATCACCTCACTTTGCTCAACATCTACCACGCGTTCAAGCTGAACAACGAGGATCCTTCGTGGTGCTACGAGAACTTCATCAACTACAAGGCCATGAAGTCTGCCGACAACGTTAGGCAGCAGCTCGCGCGGATCATGTCGAGGTATAACCTCAGGATGTGCAGCACCGAATTCGGCAGCAGAGATTACTACGTCAACATAAGGAAGGCGATACTGGCGGGATGTTTCATGCAAGTGGCTCATCTGGAGCGAAGCACTGGACGCTACCGGACGGTCAGAGACAACCAAGCCGTGCACTTACATCCGTCGACGTGCCTGGATCACAACCCTCAGTGGGTGGTCTACAATGAATGTGTTGTGACTAGCAGGAGTTTCATCCGGACGACGACGGACATTCGCGGCGAGTGGCTTCTAGACATTGCTCCTCACTTTTACGAGATGGAGAACTTACCCGAGTGTGAAGCCAAGCGGGTTCTGAAGACGTTGTACAAGAACAGGAGATGAGATGTTGCCCACCACATCCAGTCTCCCACGATTTAAAGTATAATTTATCTGCATAATTGTAATTTCAGTTACATCAAATAGTAGCTCTGTATTAACATTGAAGGCGCATGAAGCTGATAAATGTAATTGCTAGGCTTTGATTGATAAGGTTGGTCATAGCGAGCCATCATATCATTTTGTAAGCATGAGATCTTGAAGATGCAGTCAGTACATGAAAGATTTTTCTAATTGGCGATCAGTCGGCATAAATGAAATCAGTTCCTGGACCTAGGACTTAAACAGTTAGGCTAGAGCACTGACCTACTTCCGAGAACAACATTTGAGTGACGTACTTCTTCGCCAATGGCGGCAGTGACCTAATTAATCAGAAGACCAAAATTATGAACTACTCTATACTAACATTCTGGACTTTTCCCGGTCAATTAAGAGCTCGAGTGTACGTGATCGGCGAAGGCCACAAGTGGGTAACCTGAGAATGGCTTCGCAGATGGATGGATTCTCGTAGAGAATGTCAAGTTTCATGGCGGGCAAAGCCGCCACCATGTCCATGAAGTCCTTCGCAATAATTGCTGGAGGTCTTGATCGAACAAATTGCAGAGGAAGGAGGAGAAGAGAACGAAAGAAAAGTCGGCAGATTTTATTGATTCGATTGGGGAAATTCCAGCGTCAATTACATAGCCAATATATATACAAAGGCTAAAATCCTCTTAAGTACACAAAGCAAAGAAAGTCCTATTTCTAACTAAACATTGCAGATAGGTCCTCCGATTTTACCATCCTCGGACAACAATAATCCTCACCTGAGGCATTTTATTTCCTTCCCAACGGACAATCCTCCTACTTCCGGCGAGGGATTTGATTGAGAAAATGGCGACGGAGGAGCGGCAAAGACAGTGGCGGTGCACCGGCGAGAGAGAGGGGCAACGGCCCGAGGCAGGGGAGCTGAGGCCTGAGGGAGTGAAATTTACGAGAGAACTCTCCACTGGGCTCAACCTCGTGACCATTTTAAAGACACAAGATGCAGCCCAATAGGTTTACAATTTCATGGGCCCAGGTCCAATGGCACCGAGTTGATTTTATTCTCCGACTCTGACTGAGTGCCACATGAAGGCCATGATTCTCGTCTCTCGATTAACGGTGGCGGAACATATAAATGTTAGGGTTTTTCTAAACGGAGCAAAGCTTAGCTGAGCGCCGGAAAGGGAGAGAAGAGGAGCGAAGAAGAATGGGCGGGGCGGTGAAGGACTTGCAGTCGAAGGCGGAGCTCGAAGGATTGCTGAAGACCGGAGCGCCGGTGGTTCTGCACTTCTGGGCTGGGTGGTGCGATGCTTCCAAGCACATGGACCAAGTCTTTTCCCATCTCTCCACGGATTTCCCAGGCGTCAATTTCCTAAGGGTTCGGCTTCCTTTCCTCTCTTCCCGTTTTAATCAGTCAATCCTCCAACCCAGTAATGGAGTTCGCAGGTTTGTTGTTGAATTGACTTGGTGGGATTTCTCTAATGTTCTGTAGGTTGAGGCTGAGGAGCAACCCGAGATATCTGAGGCTTATTCTGTTTCGGCTGTGCCCTATTTCGTGTTCCTGAAGGTGAGTCCGATTATTTTGTGCTAAGCCTTATCTCAGAATTTGCACTTTAAGGGTTGCAGTCGTTACTCGTTACTGAAATGCTGAGCTCTAGCGTAGTAAAAGTTGCTAGTTGTATAGGGGCGATGGCCAATTCAATCATTAGGTAGTGGATGGTGGGATGAGGACTATGGCAATGGCAGCAATATGGGTGGGATAGAAGAAAATGGATATGGGACAACTTTGTGATAGCTTGTGACTGTGTTGAATTGATTCAAAGTTATATTTGCTTCGTATTTGGGATTTATTTTAGTTTGTATCAATAAAGTGAAAATGTTCTCTGTGGTTAGCTAATTTGGACATCTGATTAAAGTCCTCTCTGTACTTAGTCGTTACCTGAGCACTTGTGCTGAACACTTGCTTCACTTCTTCAAGTAAGCAGAAAGTGATCTTACGAATCAATTACTTCATGATTTTGTATGCACGATTTAAGCTCTTGTTAGTCGTGTATGCTGTGCAAAGATTCAGTGCTATGTTCTGATAATTATTGACTCAAATTGTCTCCATCAGGATGGAAAGACTCTCGACAAGTTGGAAGGTGCAGATCCTTCCAGTTTGGCTAACAAAGTTGACAAAATCGCGGGCTCAGTTAATCCTTCATATCCTGCTGCTCCTGCAAGCCTTGGAATGGCTGCTGGCCCCACTGTGCTTGAAACGGTTCAAGAGCTTGCTAAAGAACATGGATCAACTCAATCTATCATTCAGAAAAAACAACCAGCTACGGGTGATGCCTTGAGAAATCGACTCCAAGATCTGATTGATTCCCATCCGGTCATGCTGTTCATGAAGGGAAACCCCGAAGCTCCACAGTGTGGGTTTAGCAAGAAAGTTGTTAACATACTGAAAGAAGAGAATGTGAAGTTTGGTACTTTCGATATTCTATCAGACAATGAGGTCCGCGAGGGATTGAAGCAGCTCTCCAACTGGCCTACGTTCCCACAGCTCTATTGCAAAGGCGAACTTCTAGGAGGGTGTGATATAGCAATTGCCATGCATGAGAATGGGGAATTGAAAGAAGTCTTCAGAGATCATGGAATTGATACGGGTACCGGGACAGCAGTCAAGGGTGGAGGAATCACAGAGTCTACTGGTCTTAGTGCCATCCTTGACTCCCGACTTGAGAGCTTGATTAACTCGAGTCCAGTCATGCTGTTCATGAAGGGAAACCCCGAAGAACCCAAATGTGGCTTCAGTCGCAAGGTGGTGGAAATCCTTAGAGAAGAAAAAATCGACTTTGGCAGTTACGACATTCTGACTGATGAGGAGGTACGCCAAGGGCTTAAAGTTTATTCGAACTGGTCAAGCTACCCTCAACTGTACATCAAAGGAGAGCTCATAGGGGGGTCAGATATAGTGCTTGAGATGCAAAAAAGTGGAGAGCTTAAGAAAGTTTTGTCTGAGAAAGGTGTGATAATTACACTGGAAGACCGTTTGAAGCATCTTGTTTCTTCTTCACCTGTGATGTTGTTCATGAAGGGCAACCCGGATGCTCCAAAATGTGGTTTCAGTTCCAAGGTTGTGAATGCTTTGAAAGAGGAAGGTGTAGCTTTCGGGTCCTTTGATATCTTGAGTGATGAAGAAGTGAGGCAGGGCCTGAAGGCGTTCTCGAATTGGCCAACTTTTCCACAGCTTTATTACAAGGGAGAACTAGTTGGAGGTTGTGACATTGTCCTTGAACTGCGGACTAACGGGGCGCTGAAATCGAGCTTGTCCGAGTAGAGAACTAGTTTATACGTGTCTTTGGTCTCTTGAGTTGATTGTGAAAGTCTGAGTTTGTTTTAAACAAAGTCATATAGAACCTTGGAAGTTGGATCACTGCCTAATGTAGTCCCATGGTTTCTGTCCTTAGGTGAACCAGTGTGTGTGTTGTTCCTGGTTAGACTTCTGGTCATTTCTGGATTCGCTGCTGCTATGCTTGAACTTCAACATGATTGTTAACGTACATGACAAGTTTCATCCTTTTGACATCTTTCAGTTGTTATTGTCGAATCTCGCCTATTAGCTTGTAGTAGTCAATTCATAGGGTAATCCATCCTTGAAAATCTATCTGCCAAACAATAATGGTTTAAACTTATCTCTTCTCTTACGATGATTTCATCTCAAAAATCTGTCACTCAAAAATGGATTCTCATAAGACATTATTTAGAGTATTGCTTAAGAACTATTGGATTGGAATTTGCTAATTTGTGCAAGAATGCAAGACCACTAGGGTGAGGTTTCATAAGATAAACCAAATATTAAAAACTATTAATCAATCGAAATCCTTGTCATATTATTGTGAACAAAGTTATTGATAATAATACATGAATGAAAAAAATCATCAAAGCGACGATTGCAAAAAGTTGCCAATTGAATAAAAAAAGTCATATAAAAGCAACTTCTTTGTCACCATTGGCAACTTAATTTGTCATAAGATTGACAAGAGAAGCCTAAACCCTTCCAATTAGACCCTAATTCTATGCAAGCTTAAATCAACCATTTTTAAAACTCCAAAAGTTAAAGGGTTTCATTTTCCCCCTCTTTTGGATAAACAACAAATAAACTTATTTTACACTATATGCAACTAATTCTACATTAACTTTAGCAAATCCTTCCATTTTTGACATGTTGGTCGTTGCTATTTCCCATGTAGTGACCCACAAAGTCCAACAACTTCACTTTCAGATCTTTGAACTGAGCGATTTGGGTTTGTAACTCCAGCTTCTCCTTCCTCAAATTCGAGTTCTCTTCTACTAGCTGCATACGTTGGTCGTGATTGAGACTCTGTCTATCTTCTTCGTTTGAGTTAGTTGCTGCCTTCAAATACGAAGGGTAAACACTGGGCTCACACCTCTTGCGAGTTATCTCCATGAGCATTTCTCGATTGCCTCTCTGGAACTTCTCGTGTTTGAACTCCCATCTTTTCGATGATGTCTTCTTGAATCCCTGTAGCTCATCACATAACAAATCGAAAGTTCGAATAATGGATCTATCTGTACAATTTCTATTTAGCGTACTTCTCTCAAATGAGTATTTGAGTATGCGTTCATAATGAGAACCTTCCATCAAATAAAGGTAAATCGTAGTCGTCGTTATTGTCAATTATAGTTTGTCTACTAGTATTAAAATTTATAAAAATAATCCTCCTCCCATAAGATCGATAGCATGAACTAAACACAAAAATTTGATCAACAAAAGCGTTGATATCATATGATCTAAGATCATATCCATGTGGTTGGAGTCATTGAAATTGGTCAATATTCTACTTACAAATTAAAAATAAAATAAGGTGCTACTTGCCAAATTGCCATGTGACGGATTTTACCTTGGAGAGATCAATTTGCATGAAATGTTTGGAAACTAATGCACGAGGGAAATTTATTAGAAGCTTCATAACAATTTCCCACCAAGTCATAACACATGTGATATTCCACCTACAGTTTGATTATGTTGACTTAATACTTTCTCCGACTTTGAAATTTATCATAGATTAATTGCAATTTGAAGACAAACTGTCCACATTCACATTGGTACTCTGCTATAGTGAGAAGTAACATGATTTTTATGATATCTTAATTAGCATAATTTTTTTTAATTAACCAAAAAAGAGAAAAAAAAGATATCGATCATGTGATGAGTTTAAAAAGTCAGTTAAACACTTGCAACCAAGATTTTTCACACAGATTTGATGTCATTGTTTAATAATCGACTAAAAAGTCGAGTTAATAGATTTGGTTGATCATACAAGTGTTCATGTGACAAATGACGCCATTATAAATTGTTGGATCATACTGCTTATACGACTGATCAATTGCCAAACAAGTACAATCTCTTATAAATGAAACAGTAGACTCACATCTTTAATACAATGAGTCATACTCCTACCTACCAAACTTCATGCCTCTTAGTCCCTTTTCCTCCCATCTATCTTCATGCTAGCAATTAAGGTGAATTTATATTTTACTTTTTAGATAACTTTTGAGAGGATAGAACTAGAAGAGTTGAATGGTAAACAGAAGCAAACAGTAAAAAAGTCCACCCACCAACAAAGGAACCGTGATAGACACGGAAGCAGTGAGTAATACTAGACAAAAAAAAAAAGTACCCAAGAGAGAATATTAAGTAAAAATATTAATTCGTGATTTCATATTCATGAATTTATGGCAATTCTGTACACGTTAGATTCGATTTAGTCAAACTAAATGAAAAAAAGTTTGATTGTCAAAAAATTAAAACGAAATATTTCTATTCGATTTTGATACTTATTTTGTTTTCATTCAGTATGATCTACACGAGAATTTATCGTTAATAAATAGTAAAAAGAGGTAATTAATTCAAATTTAATTTATACTCACATAGGTGTTGAGCTGGCGGATGAAGCTGGAGAAATTGTTGTGCTTGAAGTACCGCGGCAGCATCAGCTCCGAGAACTCCGCCGGCGACCACACCACGAACCCCGTCCCGTCTTCATTCCACGATATGATGCTCCCGCCGTCGCCGGAAGACGACGATGACGACGAAGGCCTTTCATCAAGCAAGTCGTACGTCTTCGACAGAAATGGAGCGGGGCCTTTCGTCGCCGCCGCCGCCGACCGGCCGGTCGAAGTAGAGCGGCTGATCTTGTACGGGGATCGATTGTTGCTGCTATCCACATCCATCGCCGCCGGCATCGGGAAGCCGCTGACCATAATAACTTCTGAGGGCCGGATTTTGTGGGGTTTGTGGCCGTGAGAAGGAAGAGTTAGCTGGTGCAGAAGCTCGTCGTATTTATATATAGGAAGGAAAATCTAGGGAAAGGAAAGGAATGGGAAAATAATTGATTAGTGATTTTTGAAAAAGGAAGCTTAATAAGGAAATTATAGTAAGGGGAAGATGCGTCACTCTCACTTAGAGTCTCGCCTTTGTTGATTAAATCGGGCTTACGTTTTGGAATTTGGGAGCCGACGCATGGCACTTTAAGCGTGATTAATCTAATAAATAATGATAATATTTTATATAAGCCGGATGAGAAATTTTACAATGCTATATAGTATTGGTGCTATAGGTTTTTGCCTTGATGGTACAACTTAAAATTGTACATTTATGTTATGGTACAACTTTAGATTGTACCAATACTTTTTGTACAAATTCTTTTATGGTACAACTTGAAATTGTACATTTATGTGATGGTACAACTTCAAGTTGTAAAGTTGTACCATAACATAATGGTACAAATTGCTTTATGGTACAACCTAAACTTATACATTTAATGTTATGGTACAACTTTGAGTTGTACATTAAAGCACCAATACTATATAGCATAGTAGAAGGGCTCTAAGCCGGATATGTTGGTATGGGTTATAATCTGGGGTGTTCGTTGGTTCTCTCCATCAAATTGATATTTGGACTGAATCGAATCAAGTCGAATATAATGATGACTCGGTTCTTGATTTTAAAAATTCTTTTTATTATTATTATTATTGAACTGTGGTTCTCATAGTTTGATTTGGTCCATACCTGATCGGACAATTACACATCGGTAAATTTGAGTGTATCAAATAAAAAATATACGAGATGAAATAACTATTATATATAAACATCCACGTCCTAGCTCCATTAGTATTTTGTCTTTTTGAAAAGGTGTCCAAAATTAAGTCTGAAAGTTTGCCCCGAAAACTTACAATATTTTACTGATAGCGAGTATCAGAACGCATCCGTTGATATCAAAGTCGAGTTTTAGAGGTCACAAGAATCTCCTCAAGGAAATCCTCGAGGCGTCTCCTCGAGGGGATCTCAAGGCATCTCAGCAAGGAAGTGCCAAGAACAAGTTGGTCTCGATAACTCGAGTTGTTGGGAAAGGTTCAATTGTGGATCATATATCATTTATTAACACACCCCCTCAAACTCAAGCCACTCGTGTAGGCTTGGAGTTTGCACAGGCACAGGTCCGGACATCATATGATTAACATAAACAGATGGGGTCATGGAATTCGAACAGGAGACCTCTCGGTCACAGAAGGATCTGATACTATGTCAAGAACCAGTTGATCCCAATAACTTGAGTTATTGAGAGATGTTTAATTGTGCATCATATACCGTTTATTAACCGGAAGCCCCTGACTTCCATATAAGGATAGTCGAACCTCCAAACTAGAGATCCTCTCTTCCATTTTCAGATTCATCACACAAGTTGTATGGTCCTCTCTCTAAGCCATATTCTATCTATTTTACATCTTTACATACACCATTGTTCTGATATTGTACTAATCTAGACTCGGAACGCAGATCACAGGAACCTCATGTCCTCTCCACAAATTCTTACACTCACAAGGAAATCGAACGAAGGGGTCCAATCAAAGCCCTAATCATCATTAGTATGATCTCCAAATCTAGGTGGAAACAATAGTAGTTGAACCCTCATTGTGTGGCTACACGATATGATCATCTGAATTATTTTTTTAGTATTTAATGGCTTTTCAAATTATATATATTTTTATGGTATAAACTATGACTCTGATCAAGTGGGAAAATTGCGTATTGTTTGGGCACCTCGTTTTAGAAATAGAAGGCGTGTCCAAATTCTCCAATGGCCAACAGACATGTGTTGATGCTGAGCAAGGAGTTCTATAGTGAGACCTGTTCCTGTCGAGAGAGGGCAAAGAATAGGAAAATTATATATGGAAGATCAAAGAAAAGACTATAGCTTGCTCCTCTAGTTTCTTACTCAATGACAAATATCTAACAATATGAGACTTTTAACAAGAGAAAGAAAACTTTCTTGGCTTTGAAAAATATATAGTTCACACTTAGAATACATATCGAATTTCAAGTCCATGTACCTAGTTAATGTTGTCGTGTTCGAATTGGTGCCTTCCAATAAATTACGCTCATGCGAGTTCCCAAAGATGAAGCGCTAATGTTTATATAAAAGAAAAATTCACTCATTTCTTTTCAACTCTTAAATATGAACCGATTTGTCGTTTGACACAAGGAGAATGAGATGAAATTTTCTATAATTAATTTTCTTCGGTATCGGTACCAGCAAAACGGAAATAGTGATAATAAGATTTGGCGAACATCTTTAGGTCTTCCCAACTGGTATACTGAATTAGTGAGTTTATTACAAGACTGGGATAGAATGTTTGTGCGGAGTTCTTCATGTACATCATATATATATATATTTTCTATGCAATTATGTTAAAGCCCAAAAATTGAAAATGAGTATTGAAGGAGAAAGAAAATACCAACAACCTACCTTGCTTTACTTTGCAATATATGCATGTATACTACAAATTCTTTCCCCTCTAGTCAATAAAAAAAGTTCATTAATTTTGAAGATGAAACCTCCTAATAATACAAGTGGATTATGGAGTCAAAATTCTTTCCGAAGACATTGGTTAAAATTTGAACGAAAAATTGATTGTATCATTTTGTATGGCAAAAATCAAATAACTTATAGATTTCGAAGTTGGCAACCATATGATATGATGAAAGATGAACATGTATTCAACTTTCGTGCGCTCACTAGCCGGTTTGGCTGACTCTCCACTTTTCCGAAGGCTCTGGTTGTCTCTCTCGTATCTTTGATGTTGCCGTTTTATGGGTGGGGCGCGGCTGTGGGCATTGTTCATGATTGAATTTTTGTTTTGTACGGCACCAAATAATAATAATAATATTCGCATCAATTAATTATTTTATAATGATAGCGGTGTCAACATTTAAAATCCGTTTGGATTAGATTTGATCATATGGTACTTAAGTGTTCAATTAGTAAAATGATACTATATATGCATATCATTTGTTTTATGAATTTTCCCGCTTAATGATGGTGGTTGTTGGGATGAATTCGTAATTTTCATTTAAAATGAAATGTTAAGAATGTCCTGAATAACTCGAGTTACGTTGTTGGTTGATATTTATGTATGAATGTATATAATTTCTTTACATACTTTCTCAACTCAAAGCAACTCACAGACTTAAAAGTTTGCATAGCTCCCGCAATACTATATCTTTTAAAACTAGTCGAATGTTATTACATTGAGGCCGTGAGAATTTGAATACGAGACCATCTCTGATACCATATCATAAACCGACCGGTTCCAATAGCTCGAATTGTAGGAAGAGATCCATACATGAATCTGTGTACAACTTCCCTTACAGTATGTTCCATTATGCTAACTCATATTACATATATTGGTGTTCGATTTACCTTATGACAAGGTAATCAATCGGGTGAGTTTGTGCACATATCAAGCTCAACTAGCTTATATTGAAACACAAATCCCATCTAGTTGAATCGCTCTGTAAATACCGTATTATACGACCTACAATAAGAATGGTAATTATAAAGCATCCCGTTTTTGAATCTTTCTCAACTATCCGAGTTATATATTGAAACGAAATTAATCTCTGTACTCGAAACTCTGAATTCCGAAAATGTATTTTATACCTAGCCAAAGAACATTGACGAAGCATTCTACAAGCATTCCCAAACCTGCTTGCGCCACTTTACTACACTCTTCCAGAAAGATATTAGAGAGGAGTCGGCAGCTAGCAAACTGAATTTGACTGCAACTGTTGCTGTATTATGTGTTATGGGGTAAATCAAAGCGTAGTAGGTGCTAACGTCTAGAAACTGGACATGTGCTCTAATAATAATGAACCACCCACTTGTCCAATTTGCCCGTTTCTTGCACTTATTTTTTTCCTCGTCCTTTTTTTATATTTTCTTTTATTTTGCTCCTTTCCGAAAGGTGGGTTCTGGTCCTGGAGAAGAAAAGGAGAACGAAAGCAATCATGCAATGGATTGGCATATTCATCCGATACAGACATATATTTTTTTTTTCAGCAGCTGGTTGAAAAAGGGTTGTCACTCTGTCAACACATGAGAAAATGACAAGTGAAGAAATTAATCTACATGTCAGTAGTAAAGTGTCTGTGAAATGGGAGTTTTTTCCCTTTATGGAAGTGAGAAAGATGGCACAAGGAAAAGAAATTTGAATATTAGGGCGGTATACGTATCTGAAAAATAGATTATTTTGTAATGTGATAATTCGTGTTACATGTTTTGGTGATTGTCGAAATTTTTATCTTTGGATTTTGATTTAATGGAAAATTGAACCAACAATCATTTTCTCATCTCGATAAGTCGCAACACATTCTTTTCTTAGTAAAGCATCAATGACAATGGTTAATTAGTGAGTTCACGGTCCAGTATTTTGGATTAAAATTGGTTTAGTTGCTACCGTAGAGAATATCATATTCTAAAAAAACTTATCAGATCGTGTAATCTAAATTACTTACTATCTTGATTGAATCGTTTAGCATGCATGATTGATCTTATTAACATGGTTGTCGCAATTTTTACCTTTTGAATTTTAATTTAACAGGAAACCAGCAATGATTTTCTCATCCTATAACTCATATTTATTTATTTATTTGGGTAAAAAATATCAATGACGATTGCTGATTGGTGAATTCACGCCGGCCCTAGTAACTCTTACTTTAATTTGTTAAGTTGCTCTAATAGAGAACATTATACTTTAAAATAAGTGATCAGATCTCATTGAGCCCGCTATCATAATGGTCGAAATTTACATTATTTGGGTTTTGATTTAATCAGGAAAACCAACAGCCTATTTCTAGTAAACATCAGTCATTCAGTCAACAATGCTGATTAGTGATTAGTGAGCTCACGGCCCAGCTAATCCATGAGACTGGGCCTCGGTGGCTGGCAACTGGCGGGAAAAGCCCAAATGTTTAGCCCATCTACATTTTAGCCCAAATGAAATTCAGCAAGCTAAATGGATCCAATAAAAATATAAAATAATACCTTCCTTTGGAGTTAGACTCAACTCTCAAGCATATGGAATTTATGGGGGTGAAAACACACACTCAATCCTATGATTCTCACAACGAATCAGTCCTTAAACTCCAGCAGAAGCTAACAATCGATCTTGTTCCTCCATAAATATTATGCATCCCGAATTCGATTTTACCTTACGTTGATTTTTCTCCCCCAAAATAAAAAAATTCAATCGGAAAGCAATATTAATTATCAAGCATGGCGGTGGCTACTTCTGTCCAAACCCTCACAGACAAGCTAAAGGCCATGCTGGCCGACGAAGAGCTAACAATCACACATCAACGGTCGACGGGACAAATCCGCCGTTGCGTCGAATCGCTCCAAAACCTCATGCTCTCCCTCACCCCCGATCAAGAGATCCACATTGTTGAAAAGCTTGAGAAAAACAGAGACCTCCTCGGCCGGATTTACGCCGCCGAGGACTGCGTCGACACCTTCACCGTGAACGTCCAACAACAACAACTCCACAGACGGAGAGCAGTCTTCTTCGCCGGGCCGTTGCGGAGAGCGTCGATCAGTAGACAGATCCGGCTGGTCGGCGGCCAGATGAAGGAGCTCGCCGGCAAAATGGAGGAGATCCTCGTGACTCTGCCTGAACTATCCAGGAACATAGGTGAGCCAAGTTTTCAGGACGGGTTTTAGTGTTCATATTTTGCATAAGGATAAAAATGGGGTGGGTTTAGTTGATTCCCGTAAATCATTCTCATTTCCACCTTCAAAATACACAAATTCATATCCGCTCAATATCCATGTCAGGAGGATTTGCAATTACATTCTCATATCCGTAGTTACGTTTTCGGATATCCGTACGTAATAAATCACAAATTTAGTATTGTTATACCTAAAAGTTAACATGTAGATCTTCTGTTGTAGTAAAACTAAACGGATTAAATAAATCACGAAATCAACAAAGATACTATCGTTCCTAATAAAGCATCAAATCGTACAAAACATCCATTAATCCAAAAGAAAAATATAATACCACGCAAATCATTCATCTGATCATCTCTGGCTATAACACATATACTAAGCAATAAACAACTAACATTAACAAGGAGAGAGAGTGAAAGAATGAAGGGTGAACTAAGGGGAAACAAATTAGTTTTTGGTTTGGATGACCAATCAATTGCATTTTGGTTCTTTATTTATTTTGAATTGTCATTCCTGTCATTGAGATGTTACAATATGATTTATATATGAAGCGATAATTTTGGAGCGTCGAATATGTGTACATATAGATATGAGACGGGGAGTCTAAAATCATATCTGCCCCATCCCATTTTTTTTAACGTATTTTACCCATAATATCGGGGGCGATCATGTACCTGCAATCACTACAAGAAAAGGGGTTTCAACAACCATTTTCTTAGTGACCATAAGAAAATTGTTGCTAATAACTAGGCTTTTGGATTCATAAAATGATTGGTGATGCCCAACTTTTGAGCAACCATCGTACGTGGTCGTCAATAGGTCAAAACTTCTGCAACCATTTTGCAAGTGGCTGCCACTACCTAACTCTTCAACAATTATAAATTAAATGGTTGTAAAAGAATTAATACTTCACCAACCATTGTCAATATAGTTGTTGTCTTGCTGGTACTTGATGTTTGCGCAACTATTACTTAAATGGTTGTCGATTGAGGAAAATGTGAGCAACGATTTGAAGGATGGTTGATGAAATGCCAATACCTCATCAACCATTACCAAAATAATTGTTGATAATTGATGTTTGAGCAACCATTACTGAAATGCTTGTCGATTGAGCAAACTTTATATATGACGGCGGTGACTGCATCCAACCTCTAGTCTCCTAGCTACTAACCACCTCCAACAGGTGAGGGCCATTTCAGTTCAAATCGATACCTAGTTTTGCTTCTTCTTCTCTGATTCACTACAGTTTTCTGTTGAGGTCTATCCTGTAGAGTTACTCAAATTTGATTAGTGATCGATTTCATCGCAACTTAGGCGCACCAAAGAAAACATCATTTTTAACCATCGTAACTTAACCACCGTATAATATACAATGGTTGTTAATGGACTAATATGGTAGTTAATAAATTTGTAAGGGCCAAACCTGAAAAGTACCGTGGTTATTTGTTTCTCATTTATTAAAGTTTTATTTTATTTAATTTTTTGTTGTTAAGGGATGTGTGACACCTTAGGCAAATCCCATTTTGATAAAGTACGAGAGAGATCCATTATTAATAGGTAAAAAACCATTTTTAATTGACAAAACGTATTTTTAGGTGAAATAGAGAAGTTCTTGTGAGAATTTCCAAGTTAAATATGTTTATTTTTTGAGAATAGGTAAATTACTACAAAATTGAGTTAAATAGACAATATTTTTGACTCTTTGCCCGTCTTTTTTTTTGGGTAATAACTAAATCCCACTCTCTTTTTTTGGTTCAGAACCCACTCTTTTTCGATGAGAAGGGAAAATATTCTTTTCCCACTCGTTCTCTCCCGCCTAGCTATTCTGCTAACTGTATAAGTTGTTAGTATATACTAACTAATATCCAAAATGTATGAACAAGTATCCAAGTATGCTGATTTTACTAAAATATCTAGATAGCACATACTAGTATTCAAAACATCACAAACTAGTATCCAGATAGCAGATATCAACTAATATCCACAATCAACCAACTAGTATTCAATATGGATACTCTCATGTATTATCTGGATACTTTTTATGTGTTAGGATACTAATTATGTGCTGTATGGATACTATTTTGTGTTGTCTAGATATTAATTTGTGAATTTGGGATAATAGTTAATTCATGATGGATATCAGTTAGCAAACCTTGAATACTAGTTTGTGATCTCTAGATACTTTAGTACTTAAAAATTAGTCATGTATTTTGTATATCAGTTAGTATCTGTTAACGAATTTTCAAGAGCATATTAACTTTCTTGCGTTCTCTTGAGAAACAAACTCTCACTGATCGAAAGCTCTCACTTGAAACCGCAACATCATCTTCTCCGGTCATCTCCATCAGCCACCGACGGCGGCGCTTGATGCATTCATCTCTCTGTCCCCGCTCCACTCAACTCAACTCCCCTGCTTAGAAGCAATGAAACCCAAAAATAGATAGGGTTAGTCGATCTGTTCGTTGATTTGGGGGAAGCTTAATCCAAGCATAATGAAACTAGAATGGAATTCGATTTGCCTCGCCTTTGTTGTAGAAGCCGAAGGAAACCCGGATTTGAACCTGAAGGCCGAGCATGACAAAGAAATTAGGGTTCTACACAATTTCTATCACTTCGGCTTATTCGACCCTGCAATGTCAACGTTATTCTCAATCGGGTAACCCCTCTTCCTTAGAACTTCCTCTTCGAGAATCTTCTGCCAAACTTGCTTAATCTTGTCGAACTGCCTCTCTCTAGCTGTTGCTCTCTGTTTTAGCTTCCATACTGACAATTCGCTATAACAAAGAAAACGAGTGTATTTTGAAAGCTCTGGTCCCAAATTGGTTCCATTCCATCCCCACCAACAAGATCCATTATAGTGTTGAGGAGGGCAACGAGGGTTAAAAGCTCAGGGTTTCTCTTCTTTCGGGTCGAGAGGATGCAGGGACTAGCACAAAACACCATATTGATACAAACAATAACTGACTTCATTAAAAGAAAATCATTTACACTATGTTTGGGAAGGGGTGCAAATGGAAGGGGGTGCAAGTTTGGAGGGGTAAACACAAGTTCCAAGGTGTTTACCCCCGTTTGGTTATTTTGTAACAGTAGGGGGGTGCAAAACGTGAGCGTAAATTCACTGTTTCGGCTTACCCCCCAAATTGGGGTGCAAGGAAAGGAAGGAAGGGAGGGGGAAGGAGGAGGAGGGGAATTATGAATTTTTAATTAGATTATAATTACATAATAATTAATATTATTAATTTTTTCTTATATCTATATTAGTGTAGAAGTTGTTTGGGGTTGACCGTTTGACTAAGAGAGCAAGTTTGTCAATGTTCGCCTCGTCAAATCGATATCTCTTAGTTGACCCGAATTTGCATTGAAAATTAGAGATAAGAAGCATTTGTTGAAAAGATAGAGAGGAACAGTTTAGTTAACTCGATTTACTTTAATAAGTAGTTAAAACTTACAGATTCGAACGTGTTTGACTAAGTTTGACCATATTCAATTTAAAGTTAGGCACGAGAACCCCCTTAGGATGACCAGTTACGAGTTGGATTTCGAGTTTCGAGGTTGCTCGACCAATGATTATTATTGTTGTTATAAATAATTATATTTGAGCATTATTATATAATAATTATTTTTATTAATATTATTAATATTATTTTTTTGTATTATTATATATTGAATTTTCATGTTATTATTTTGTGATAATATTTTATAAATTGATAAATCTATTTTATAATAATATAATTATTTACTTTTTACTCTATTTGCACCCCCCTACTTTTTCATCCAAACAACAATTTACCCCTCCACTTACACCCTCCACCAAGTTGCACCCCCCAACAATTTACCCCTCAACTTGTACCCCCCTCGAACTTGCACCCCCCTTGTTGCCAAACATAGTGTTAGTGCATTAGGCAAATGTATACCATAAACTCGAGTTCCACATTTTTTTTTTGGTATGGATTCATAATGTTTTGGTATAGAGATTTTTTATCGTTTAGATATGAAAGTTTACTTGTTGGTATGCATTAATTTATTGTTGTTGTATTACTAGTTTGAATATATAAGTTGTTTGTTCGTATACATACAATTATTTATAGTATCGCGATTCGGGAAGGTGAATTTTTCGTACGGACTCGACTTCAACACATTTGTATCAACCATTAGGATGTTGGCACCCTAACTTATCCCGTAGAATTCATGATTTCTCTATATTAGCCCTAATAGATTCGCCAAAATGTTTCAGATGGTCAGGATCCAGAGAAAATGCCTGCTCAGATGGCAAGTGTTTCAGAGGAAAAACTTGGCAAAGAAGAGAACCCTACTGTTGTTTCAAACCAAAAACAAGTACCAAAGCAAACAGGGAGCATGTCAGAGCGTTTGGACGACGAGCAGGATTTGGTCGGACGGAAGAAGGAAGAAGAGGATCTAACAGCAGCTATCCTTAGACGAAGCACCTTACACTTCCCCATTACGGTGGTGGGGCCAGGGGGATCCGGCAAGACCACCCTCGTGAGACGAGTTTACAACAACAAGAAAGTGGCCGAAAGTTTCCAACTCCGAGTATGGATCGTACTAGAGACAGAGTTTGTCGAGAAAGACGTTCTCGTCAAGATTGTCGAGATACTGAAACAGATGGCTTTTCTCAAGGACGTCGACGAGCGACTTCCTCCCGAGAAACTGCAGGAGAGGGTCTCCGATGTGCTGATGCGGAAAAGGTACCTTGTGGTTTTGGATTACGTCAAGAAAGCAGCTGACTGGAACCGTCTCAAGGCAGTCTTTTCGAACTCGTTGAACGGAAGCAAAGTGATTCTCACCTTCCGTGACAAGGGAGAAGCACAAGTGATTACTAGTCCAGGGGTCTACCAGGTTGAGCTCAAGGACTTGAATGATGAAGATAGTTGGGCTTTGTTTATGAAGAAAGCCAGGAAAGAAGAAGATGGGTTGATTGCTGCAGAGTTGAAAGCCAAAATACTGGAGAAATGCCATGGTCTTCCTCTGGCTTTGATCATCTTGGCAGGTTTGTTATCATCAAAAGCAGTGGAAGATTGGTCGAAAGTGGTAGACCTAGCAACTTTCCAAGAAGGATCTTCTCAATCCATTGTGTCTCTAGCTTACTGGGAACTTCCAGCAGCATTGAAGAGTTGTCTTCTTTACTTGGGCATTTTCCCAAAAGAATATGTGATCCCAACAAGGAGATTGTTGCATCTATGGGCTGCTGAAGGGTTTGGAGATTATCACTCTGATGATAAGTTAACTCCTGAGGAAGCTGTAGAGTCAAGTTTCAAACAGCTGGTGCAGAGAAACATGATAGAAGTTGAGAGATGGAGGCTTGATGGAAGTCCACGGACCTGTCGTGCTCCAGGGATTCTCTATGATAACATTTTCTCAAATGCTGTTGAGGTAGGGTTCTATCACTCTCATAGGAAGCACAACGACCACAAGTCGGATAATTCTACAGCAACACAAACGGTTCGACGAGTTGCTGAGTATATTGATGCTAGTGACTATGAAGCAGATCATTTGCGCTCCTATGTTTGCTTCAACACGAAAAAGGGAGACATGCCTACAAAAGAAGTGGGTGAGTTTATCAGCAAAGTTACCAACAAGGGTTTTGGAATGCTCAAAATCCTTGATCTAGAAAACATATACAAACCTGTGCTGCCTGAGGATATAGGAAAGCTTTTGCTGCTAAAGTATTTGGGATTGAGATGGACATTCCTGGATTCCATTCCAAACTCTGTAGGAAACCTTCCTAGCCTGGAAACTTTGGATCTCAAGCACACAAACATCATCTCGTTGCCCATCTCCATCTGGGATTCAGAGAAGTTGCGCCATCTTTACCTGAACGAGATTCATCTTGATAAATCTGTTCAGTCAAAGCAACTGCTAGCTCAAGGATCACTAACCAACCTTCTGACACTCTGGGGGTTGATGATTGGCAAAACGGTCCCCTCAATGGAGTGGCTGAACAGGTTGAAGAGTCTTACGAGACTCGGTTTAACATGTCATTCTAGATCACTTTCTGCAATAAGTGGGTGGATCTCTCAATGCACTAGTCTCCAGTCCTTGAAGTTGAGATCGATCGACCGCTTCAGTAGGCCTTCTGATCTCACACTGCCGGACATTTCCCGTCATCACAAGCTTTCTGACCTGTACTTGCTTGGAAAGTTGTCGGAAGAGACAAACTTGGGGACACTTCCCCAGAGCCTGAAGATCCTAACGTTGTCAATATCAAAGCTGAAGAATGACCCAATGGAGACTCTGGGACAGCTGCCGCAGCTCAACATCCTGAGGCTATTTGGTCAGTCCTATTTGGGGAAAGAGATGACCTGTCATCCGAAAGGGTTTCCCAGGCTGCGAGTCCTGAAGCTGTGGGTGTTGGAGGAGCTGGATAAATTGACAGTGTGCGAGGGATCCATGCCTGCACTGAGAGAGATGGAGATCAGGCGGTGCATGAAGCTGAGAGAAACCCAAGGGTTGCAAAACTTGACCACGTTGAAGGAGCTTATTCTGACCAATATGCCACCAAGTTTTATCTCAGAGACTAGAAGGAGCATGAGGGAGAGGCAAATGAAAGGGGAAAGTAAAGTGATTGTGACTGTGAATGACTGGGATTTCATGCCCTTGCCACAGGTACTTGAACGTTTTCTCTCTTATTTATTCCAATACATATTATGGTCATATCTAAGTCCTTAATCCTTTGTATGAATCGTGGTTGTAGGAATCTTGAAGATAGCAAGAAATCCTGCAGGGCAAAGAGGATGTATGTCATCAGACATCAATCTAATCAATTTCTGCTTCAATTGTGTATGCAAATCAGATTTCCTAATAAGTGAGCTCCTCGCTCTTGGTCTGTATTCCAAATAAATGGGAAGTAGCTAACAATTGTGTATGCAAATCAGATTTCCAATGGGCAATTTATATATGTTCAATTTATACATCGTTCTTTCACTTCACTTGGACCTAGAATGTACATATTGATGCTTTATAAAGTGCTAAATGCATACATTTTTATATTTAACAAACATTTTACTATTATAAAGTATAGATTCTTAGTATACATATAATTTAAATACCCATTCATTGGTGGAACGCTTGTTACACATAGGCAGACGATTGTTCCAACAATGTTTCATCTTCCATCCTTAGTATACATATAATTTAAATACTCATTTATTGGTGAAACATAGATAATGAATTCAATTAAATATACGTAACTATGGTACAAAGTAATTGGTTGTGGAATTTCGGTTCACATTACGAATGATGTTTGGCTTCCCACCACCCCTCCTTCTAGGCCCATTCTGCTTCCTGGGGTTGTCTTACCTGACTCATTTGTTTCATGCCTAATAAATCATGGTCAAGGTTCTTGGAAGGAGAACGTTCTTTCATATCTCTTTGATACTGCCACTGTCCAGATCATCATGGCTATTCCTCTGCCGATTTTTCCTGTGGCTGACCGCTTGGTTTGGCATTATGAAGTTTCAGGTGAATTTTCTGTGAAATCTGGTTATCGTTTAGCTGCGGCTGAGTACATTGCTGATTTTTCCACGGTTCCACCGTCCTTTGACTTCCGCTCTTGGAAGTTTCTTTGGTCACTTCCTGTTCCCCCAAAGTTAAAATTTTTTCTTTGGCGCGTGGTTAAAGGTTTTCTCCCTATTCGAGATGTTCTACGTGATAAGGAATTGATAGTTGATGATGATATTGAGGCTTACGCTTGCCCTGTTTGTGGTGGTGAGGCAGAGACTCTTGCTCATTGTTTTTTGGATTGTCGGATTGCTTTGGATTTGTGGGATTTGTTGGGGGTACAATCATATTCTTGCTCAAATTCGCTTGTGCCATATTGTGATAGGTTGGCGTAGGCTATTTTTTTTTTTATGCAGGTTTATCCAAAGTAGAGATTTCACGGTTGGTTTTTCTGTACTGGAGGCTCTGGAAGTCCAGATGTTCGGCTACTTATGATGGTATTCAGTATTTCTCTCACGTTTTATCACGACATTATTACTCTCAGGTTGCTGAATTGGAGCTAGCACAGGCTCATCCGGAGAGATCTTTGCCTCGCTGTTCTCTTGTTTCTAGTGGGGTTTTACCTCGTGATCACTCCCCTCCTTCCATACCTCCCGGTTCAGTGTTGGTTCACTTTGATGGTGCCACCAAATCTTTGGTCGGATGTGCCATTGGTTTTGTTGGCTTTGCAGAGGCTAATAACTCTATATTTGCTTGGGGGCGTTTTATTCCTAATATTGATGACCCATTTATTGCAGAGCTCCTGGCCCTTCGCGACTCCTTACATTGGTGCATGGCTCACTCGATCACTAATGTTTTGTTTTGTGGGATGCGCAGGTGATCGTTCGGATGATTAATGCGAAGGACTCGGCGCACGCGGTGGGCGGAGCTCTCCTGCAAGAGATTCAGGTGTTGCGGGCTTCTTGCCTTCGTGCAATGTTCCATTTCGCTCCCCGTAGGTATTATAGGGCTGCCCATATCGTGGCAAGATAAGCCCTTGGAGCGATGGTGCAGACATGTGTCAACCATCGTGTTTTATTTATTTAATTTTCCTAGCGTGGTCTTAGGAGGCCTTGTATTTTGTCGTATCTTTGTTGCTCCCCTCTCGGGATAACTTTGGAAAAAAAGTAATTAGCATTAAATTTATTCGAGTTAAACAATATTTAACCGTTTCCCAATTTTTTCCTACCCTATTGTACTTCGTCCTTTGATTGGGGCAAAAAACCATATTTGGGCCTAAATTTTCCACCCTTATTATGGTGCATTCTAAATGCTCAAGTATAATCTTGGAAAACATGGCCCTTCAGCCTTCAGGCCTCAAGAAATGTAATGGAAATTTAACTAAATTTCTCCCATTTCATAACTCTAATATATATATATATATATATATATATATATATATATATATTAGAGTTTTGTACAAAACTTTAAAGGCCTAAACTTTAATGAGTAGAACTCTAAGACTCTTCTCTCAATTCTAAACTCTAAGGTTCATTAAAAACAGAGAACGATGATTCTGATTTGTCAAAATACGAGCAATGTATCATATGCAACAATTTAGGGTATAAGGTCTAGAGATCAATTATAGGAGCTTATGGTTGACGCATTACAGTTTATCATACCCAAAATTCTTGTTAATTCATGGTCTAGATAGTATCATTAGAGGTGACAATTCTCAATCCAATCCACCAATCCATTAAAAATATTCACCTAATCCAATCCATTTAAATACAATCCATTTGATCCAAATCCAATTGGATTGGTGGATTTATGGATCAATCCATGGATCCAAATGACAAATTACATTTTGGTACCTAAAATTTAATTTTTTATACGAAAAATATCATAGGAAAATTACGTTTTGGCTCCTAAATTTTTTCATTACGACATTTTAGTATCTCAACTTTTCACATTTTACATAATGGTCCTTGGTTGAGGATGTTATTTGGATTCGTGGATAATCCACCAATCCACTTGATCCAATCCATGAATCCACCAATCTATTTGATCCATGGATCCACCAATCCATGTATCCAATCTATTTGCCACCTCTAAGTATCATCTTATTAATAACATACAATACTACTCATAATTTGATTGTTGGATGTACTTGAATATATATATCGACGACGAATAAAAACATCGATTATCAATTAGGACTGATTATTTCAAACCTTGAGCCAATATATATAATATGAATTACAAACCCAGGTCAATCCACGCATGCAGAACCATATATAAAGTTATGAATTACTAAACAATAAAAAGGAAACAAAAGCTCAAACTGAAGAGAAGAAGGACGAGACATATATAGCAAAGTGGACTCCATTTTTATTCCTTGTTGTTGTGATAATATTAAGAGGAGTCATAAAGAAGTTAAAAAGTTTAACTATCTCTTTCCTAACAATTCGAGTTATTGGGACCAAGTGGTTAGTTCGCTGACATGGTATCAGAGTCTAGAACCGGAAGGTCATGGTTTCGAATCCTCATGACGATCCCCATTTTCAACCATTTGTTTAGCACAAGAGATGATATGTCCAACCTGTGCAAACTAAAGTCTCGTGGTTTGGCATAAGCCTGATGAACTGAGCTGCGTTGAAGCGACGCCGTATGCAGAACCTAGGGCCGCAGATTCATCGTGAGCCGCCTTTCATTGCGATGATCGTCAGTCCGCCGACATCACCTTTTTCCGTCATCGTTGGTTGAAATAAATTAAGTGTGATTGATTGATTGATTGATTAATTGATGAGAAAGAACTACAAATGCAAGGACGTGTGTGCATGTGTTTGTGTGTATATATATTGATTGACCAAAACTGTAATTATTAACACTTTAATTTCCACTTTTGTCGTCTAATCACATACATATAATTTTTTGGCGGAGAAGCAATGAATATATTACTTGTGATTAGAGGAAACCCAGCAGCCCGCAAGCATAACTAATTTAATTCCTTGCGAAGAACGTAACTTGGGCAAAGAAAATGGGAACTACTATATGTACGTACATGAGTCATGACCCACACATCTTTTCCTTGCTAAGAAAAGTATATACCTAACTTATAAGAAGAGTACATGATTGAACACGTAAAGTCATTTAAAATCGAATATGATGAAAGACAAGAAGTGAAAGATTCATTGATAACACGTAGTATACGTAGGAAAATACGGTATTGATAAATGAAAGACATAAAGTTAACGAATGACACATTACAAATTCAACTATTGTTGACTTTTTGTCGACGTGAAAAAAATGTGACTGCTACGTCATTAACAAGTATAATTATTTATATTTTGAAATTAAAATAATAAAAAAACAATAAAGGACAGAAAACGTGAGTGCTACGTCATTGACATATATAATTATTTATAATTTATCTCTTAAACAATAGTTGTGGTTGAAACGAGATAAAAAAGAATTGAACTATACCCAAGATTAAAAGTTCAGATATATAATTATTCGCAATTCACTCTTTAAGTGGTGGTGATGAGAACTTATTATTTCAAACCTTGAGCCAATATAATATGAATTACAAACCCAAGGCCAATCCACGCAGAACGATAAAGTTCATAAACCTTATGGTAACTAAACAATTAAAAAGTGAAACAAACGCTCAAACTGAAACAGAGAAATTAAAGTGATTCCTTCTGCTAGAGATAGATTAAGAATAATGTTATATTTCTTTTTGTCCTTTTAGTATAGTTTTTAATAGTTCTGCTTTGTAGTATTGTGATTCTCTTTACAAGTCTTCTTGTATTATATATAAACCGTTTTGTGGTTTCATAATACAAGTTACAAATTATTATTCCTAAAACTCTTGTACCTTTCACTATACGTCGACTCCATTTATTCCCGCGAAATGGGAGAAGAAGGACGAGACATAGCAATTGAACGAGAATGAGGCGGCGGCGGCGACGGCAGCGGCGGCATAAACTTATGAATAGGGTTGACAACTTTGCCCATACCCATGGGTTTCTTACTATCCAACCCAATTGGGTTGGGTATGAAATCCAAATAGATGGATATATGTAGAGTTTGATGGGTTTGTACCCATACCCATTTACTTTGGGTTGAGTTGGGTTTATATCAAATGGATTTGGGTTTGTACCCATGCCCAAATACAAATTACAGTTTGGTACCCAAACTTAGTAGACATGCATATTTAGTACCTAAAATTATTTTTTTTCATATAAGTCCTCAAAATATCGATGGAAAATTATGTTTTGGTACCTAAATTTTTTCGGTCTTACATTTTGGTACCTAAACTTTTCAAGTTTTACAAATAGGTCCACTTTTTGCATGTGTAGTTAAAACACCCTCAAGTAAATGGATATCCATATCCAACCCATACCCATTTAGATTATGGAAGCAATATTCATACCTTACCCAAACCCATATGCACTTCACCCATACGGCATACCCAACCCATTATCAATGGATCTACTTGGGTTTGGGTATAATTACCCATGGGTGGGTAATTTGCCATCCCTACCTACGAAGAACAATAGTTTTATAAGCAGGCACCAGGGCACAATCCACGTGGTAATTGGGCCATTCATTGCACTCATAACATTTGTATCCGACCGAGTACCCGATTGCGCCGCAGTCGCCGCACAAGTACTTGTAATCGTAACCAAACGGCATGATGACCAGATTCAGACGGTGATCTTTATACCTTAGCACAGTCGGCAAGAACTTGTGGTGAAGGTTCGTCTGCATCAGGCAATCGTGGCAGTCGTCCACGGCGGAGAACTCCTCCTCCTCCTCCACGTCATCGTCATCGTCGCGGCAGTTCCTGCATTTAACCTTGGAAGGAAATTCGTACCCTTTTGGTCGGTGGTGTCCTTTCAGATACGGCGGGCATCTGTTCAGAAGGACCAGAACGTTGAGTGTTTTGTCCGGTTTCTCGGCGCAGTGTTTGTGCAATGCAAAGTCACAGTCGGTGCACTGGTAGTAAGACGTCACCGTCCCGATCTGAACGGCGTCGTTTCCGTCCTGGCATGCGATGCACGCCCAGCCTTCGGCGGTGTTGCTGTTCATCGGTTGCTTCTCCACCCATTCGTGCAAGTGGTCGTTCTTCCTTCTCTGTTTTCCTTTCGCCACCACCTTACTATTGTTGGACGGCGTCGTGGTAGTGTTATGCTTCTGTTGACGTAAAAGTAAGCGAATCTTGGACACGACACCTTCGGCTTCCCTACTGTCGAATGTCTCGGCGTCCACGTGGACCGATGAGATGCCATCGTCACCTTTGGCAGCAACGGCGTCGTCTCGATGGTGACATTCGACGGCGACGAGGCGAGCGCCGGAAGAAGCCGCGAGTAGTGGTCCCCACAAGTTGCCGATGGTGGCGCCAGGGGGGAGCGGGTGGGGCCCGTTGATGATGACGGGGAACTTCAAACTGAGCTGCGTCGAAGCGAAGCCGTATGCAGCATCTAGGGCCGGAGATTCTTCGGTGTTGTTGTTGTTGGTTTGAGAGGAGGAGGGTTTTTGAATGGCTTGGTGGATGTCGTGAATGTCGATGAGAGGGCATTTGAGGAATCGTGCTAAGTTGAATGCTACCTGTCTGTTCCTAGATAATGAGTCGCCTTTCATTGCTATGATTGTCAGCCCAAGATCATCTTTTTCCGTCATCGTTGGCTGAAACAAAGTGTGATTGCTTGGTTGATTGACGAGAAAGAACTACGATGCAAGGATGTGTACTTGTGTTTGTGTGTGTATATATATTGTTAGCAAAGGACAATTGCTTAAGCACATATGCAATTTGATTCTCTTATAATGTTTTTTTTTCCAGGAGAAGCAATGAATATATCACTTACTTGTGATTAGAGAAAACCCTATAAGCAAGCGAGACAATATAACTAACTCATCTTTTCTTTTCAAGAAAAGTATATAAGGTACTTGATTCTTGATTGAGCATGTAATGTCATTCAAAATCGAGTATAATAAAAGACATAAAGTGAAAGATTCATCGATAACATGTAGAAAAATACAATGTTAATAAATAAATGAAAGATAAGTAGTTTAACTAATCAAAATTAGGGCTAATACCACTACCACACTCTAACCATAAAAAAAATGTTAATAGTCACCTATTTTATTTGATATTTCATTATGTCCCAGCGAATGATACTTTTATGTCATTTGTGTTCTAATGTTTTGGTTGACCGTTAGAGAGATAACAGTTGATCGGACAGAGCGATTAGAGGAAGTACTCGATGACTTAATCTGTCTTTCATGCTGCACACCTAAAGAGAAGACCTAATTGATCAGTGGTAAAGGCTCCATTAACAAAATTGATGACCTAACCGACTCAAAATAATCATAACCCTAATGACTCGGTATGCCTTCATATATTCAACACAGGAGCAACGGGGTGCACAAAGACAGAGGCGTAACGGTCGATATGTGATCAGCTCATTCCAGAGAACGCGAAACTTGGTAAAGAACTCGCTTACAGACTGATTGCCCTGCTTGATACTGTAGAAACGTTCCTTGAGATCGCGCCACAGTACGGCGGAGGATTCGTCATGGATGCGCCGGAGATCGAAGCAAAGGCGAAAGAATCAGAAAACCCTAGAAGGGTGAAAACAACGGATCACGATTTTTAGTCAGACAATCTCTAATTTCCTGTTGAGAGAAAAACAGTCCGATTTTTATTTCATAAAACGGTAAAGTTTACATTGTTTCCTTATTGCATATATATCTGTTCAGGAGCACTTCTACTATGCTATATAGCATTGGTGCTTTAATGTACAACTTGAAGTTGTACCATAACATTAAATGTATAAGTTTAGGTTGTACCATAAAGGAATTTGTATTATTATGTTATGGTACAACTTTACAACTTAAAGCTGTACCATCACATAAGGTACAAGTTTAAGTTGTATCATAAAAGAATTTGTACAAAAAGTATAGGTACAATCTGAAATTGTACCGTAACGTTAAAGGTACAATTTCAAGTTGTACCATAAAGGCAAAAACCTATAGCACTAATACTATATAGCATTGTAAAATTCCTCATCTGTTCAGATAAACTAAATAAAAGTCTATTACAAAATAGTACATATATAAGAAACAAATAGTACATTTTAATATTTAATCCCTATACTCTAATGTGAAGTACTGAGGCATAAAACCAAGAGGAGGAGAAGGTGAACGAGGAGGAGGAGGAGGTGACAGCAGGGCACATGCCACGTGGAAATTGGGCAGTTCGTTACACTCGTAACATTTGTATCCGACGGAGTAACCAAGTGCGTCGCAGCGGCCGCACGGGTACTTGTAATCGTACCCAAACGGCATGATGACCAGACTCAGCCGGTGACCGTGCACGTGATCATTCATTAGCACAGTCGGCAAGAAATTGCACTGGAGGTTCGTCGTCGTCAGGCAATCGTGGCAGTCGGCGGAGAACTCCTCCTCCACGTCGTCGCGGCGACAGTTTTTGCATAAATACTTGGAAGGAAAGTTGTATTGCGGTCGGAATGCTTTCAGATACGGCGGACAGTACGTGTTCGCAATCACGTCGACGGGCTTGTTCGGTGCCTCGGCACAAAGTTTGTGCAATGTGAAGTCACAGTCGGTGCACTTGTAGTAAGGCCACGGAAACTTTGTGAAGTGGACGACGTCGGGGCTGCAAGCTATGCAACCAGAATCATCGTTCGGTGGCTTCTCCACCCATTGGTGCAAGTGGTCGTTCTTCCTCCTCCTGGTCTGCTTTCCTTCTTCTTTTTTTTCTTTCGCCGCCGGAGCCACCTTGTTGGTCGTTTTAGTAGTACTAGGGTTGTACAACTTCTCATCATGTTGACGTGAAAGTAAGTGAATCTTGGACACGATATCTTCGGCTTTCTTCCTGTCGAATGACTCGGCGTCCACGTGGAACAACGAGATGCCATCGTCGTCACCTCGGCCCGCGTAGTCGTCGTCTCGGTGGTGTTGGCGCCCGACCTCCTCTCCCGGCGGGTGGCATTCGATGATGACGAGGCGAGCGCCGGAAGAAACTGCGAGTGGTCGCCACGTGGCGCTCGGGGGGCCGTTGATGATGACGGGGATCTTCAGATTGAGCTGCGTCGAAGCGAAGCCGTATGCAACAACTAGGGTGGCCGAAGATTCTTCGGTGGTTTGAGAGGAGAACGACGAGGAGAATGATTTTTGAAGGGTTTGGTGGATGTCGTGAGTGTCGACGAGAGGGTATTTGAGGAATCGAGCTAAGTTGAAAGCCACCACTTTGTTCCAGTCTTGTGAGCGGCCTTTCATCGCCAAGATCGTCAGTCCGACATCACCTATTTCCGTCATCGTTGTTGGCTGGCTGAACAAAGTGTGATTGATTGGTTGATTGGTGTACGGACGTGTGTGCGTTTGTGGGTGTGTATATATATTGTTAGCAAACGAGCAATTGATTAAACATATACATTTGATTTTGTTATAATTTCTAGGAGGAGAATTAAGCAATGAATATATTAAACCCCACAAAGCAAGCAAGCATGTATATAACTAACTTAATTCCTCCCGAAGAACATAACTTGGAAAAAGAATGAGATCAATGACTATACATGACCCACACATTTTTCTTCCAAAGAAAAGTATATAACTATCTTATTAGAAGAGTACTTGATTGAACATGTAAAGTCATTCAAAATCAAGTATAGTGACGAACAAATCTTGTTCTCTAATACATATATATGTCTCATGAATCGTGATTGAGATACATGCATGGAAGCTTGTGTGTTTGTGTGTGTATATATATTGTTGTTGGCAAATGATAATTAAATAACTAATCCAACAAATTTGATTTTATCTTTGTTTTTTTTGGAGGAGAAGCAATTCATGTCGTAATGGAAGCGTACAAACGATTATGCAAAGAACAAAAGCAGACATAAATTTAACGTGATACACTAACATAATATGTGCTAGCTAATTTACGGGCAGGGAAGAACAAATTTCATTGATTTGTGGAGTGCACAGATAACAAAACGAATTATATGAGCACTTCTACTATGTTATATAGTATTGGTGCTTTAATGTACAACTTGAAGTTGTACCATAACGTTAAATGTATAAGTTCAGGTTGCATTATAAAGGAATTTGTACAATTATGTTATGGTACAACTTCACAACTTGAAGTTGTACCATCACATAAATGTACAAGTTCAAGGTGTACCATAAAAGAATTTGTACAAAAAGTATAGGTACAGTATGAAGTTGTACCACAACGTTAAAGGTACAATTTCAAGTTGTACCATAAATGCAAAAACCTATCGCACCAATACTATATAGCATTGTAAAATTCCTCCGAATTATATATGTATCAACAAACCAAACAAACTAACCTGATAGACCTAGCTATATATTAGGATGATAAAGAGTATTTATAGAGCCTTCTCCTAATATCAAATAAAAAACAAACTTTTTCTAAACCGAAAAAGAAAAAACAAAAACAAAACCCAAACCGACTACGCCCAAAATACAAACACACATAGAAAAAGCGGGAAAAAAATCAAGTGATATCCTAACATATATATTACTTGTGATTAACAAGCAAGCTTCTACATTTAACTAATCTAAATCCTCAATAAGAACGTAAATTTGGACAATAAAGAGAATGATCCTACGAGCATGACCCGTACAACTTCTCCTCATAAAGAAATTAATGGGCGGTGGCTAAATATCTACACAATAATGAGAAAATTTGAAGCCCCATTTCAAATTTCCTGCATCCAGAGTGAAAGTAGGAAGGGTAGATTCGTCTTCACAGTTATTTATTAACTTCGTATTTACAGAAAAAATACATCAGTAATGAGATTTGAACCGTGGTCTCTTCGAACAAAGATAAGAAACATAGCCAGTTATAATAAACACATTTGTGTGACCTTTTACAATTAAAAATATACAGGAAGTTTAAATCTAAAAAATCATAGGACTTTTCCACCATGCTTAGCAACCGAAATGTCATTGATTCAAATATTGCATACCGAATTGCACTCTCGAATGTCTAGAAGCGATGTAGAATTCTTAACATAAACTTAATTGTTATAACTTCCATAAAGTAACAATATTTTTAAACACGGAACTTTTGAGTGAATATGGGGCACATATGTCTTTAAGAGAGGGGTACATATGGAAAGGTTAAGTGATGTTGGTTTGCCGAACGTGGATGGAAAAGACACTACTAATGTAAACGAGCCCAATTAGTGCCCCGACCCACTAAACGCTCAACCATCGTTGTCTCTCCAAACTTTCCATCAGACTCAACAGCCGCCTAACCTCCTCTGCCTCTATTGTTACGCTAGAGCAATTTAGATGGGTAAATATGGAAAGATTGAGTGTTGTTGGTTTGCCCAACGTGGATGGAAAAGGCGCTACTAATGTAAACGGACCCAAATAGTATCCGGCCCACTTAAAGCTCAACCACCCGGGTTACTTTCGCTAAACCTAATATAATTGTGAAATGGGAAAGGTGTTTCCCCCATTAGAAAATCCTTGCATCCATAGAAATATTAGGAAGGGTAAATTCGTCTTCACAGCCATTTATTATTTTCTTATTTACAAGAAAAATACATTGGTGATGGGATTTGAATCGTGATCTCTTTGAGAAAAGACAAGAAACATAATCAGTTACACTAAACAAATTTGTTTAAACTTTTGAAATTAAAAACATACAGAAAGTATAAATCTGAAAAATCATAGGAATTTTTTATCATAGTTATCTAAGCCACTAACTCTACCCTAAATATATTTTTGGTATTTGATACTTCTATTTGATACTTTGATTATTTTAATTCGAATTTAATAATTATTTCAATTTCTATTTATCTTATAAAAGGAGAATAATTTTAAAATCGCAAACCTAATGTCATTGGTGCAAATATTACACATCGAATTGCAGTATTGAATGTGTAGAAGCGATGCAGAAATCTTGACATAGACTTAAATAGTATAACTACCATAAAGCAACAATATTTTTGAACATAAAAGTTTTGATTGAATATGAGGCACATGTGTCTTTAAAAGAGGGGTAAATATGGAAATGTTGAGTGATGTTGGTTTGTCGAATGCGGATTGAAAAGACGCAACTAATGTAAATGGGTCTAAATGGTGTCATGACCTACTAAACGCTCAACTATCGCCGTCTCTCCTAACCTTCCCACCGGACTCGACAACCGCCTGACCTCCTCAACCTATATTGTTACGCAAAGCAATTTTCGGAGGGGTAGATATGGAAAGTTTGAGTGTTCTTGGAGAGCTGACTGGTGGATTGTTTAGCTTCTTTGACAGTAATGTGTGATCTCTTAACATTAGTTCATTTGGTTGATCTTCTAGGTTGACTTTTGAGTTGATTAAAGATAAACAGTGTCCCGCGCTCCCGGCCTACTAAACTCTCAACCATTGTCGTCTCTCCAAACCTTTAAATCGGACTCGACAACCGCCTAACCTCCTCCACCTATACTGTTATGCAAAGCAATTTTCGGAGGGGTAAATATCGAAAGGTTGATTTTTCTTGCTTGGAGAGTTGACTGATGGGTTATTTAGTTTCTTTGAGAGTAATGTGTGATCTCTTAACATCAGTTCAATTGGTTGATCTTCTAGGTTGACTTTTGAGATGATTAAAGATAAATAGTTATACTTTTTGTTGCGTTTTGTTATGATACTCCTGTTTAGTATCATCAATTTTCCGATTTGAAATCTTTTTGTGGTTAGTTTTTAGTAAACAATGACTATTCTGATTAGTGTTAACATAGGGAATAGCTTCAATCGTACCACTTTTACACAAAATTTATATGTAAGAGTTGAGATCATTTCCGAATTAAACTATTCAAGCTATAATGCTAATCTTCAACATATAAAACATGGTTTCTTTTGAGTGAAATAACCTCATGATTGCAGATAAGTTTTTACAATATGATGTTTTGTGACAGTGTCACTTGCTTCCAAATTTAAAAGTGGGGTTCTAATTACTAAAATACAAAAAATATGAGTGATGACCATAATTTAATTCCTTGCGAAGAACGTAACTTGGGCAAAGAAAATTGGAACTACTATATGTACGGTACATGAGTCATGACCCACACATCTTTTCCTTGCTAAGAAAAGTATATACCTAACTTATAAGAAGAGTACATGATTGAACACGTAAAGTCATTTAAAATCAAATATGATGAAAGACAAGAAGTGAAAGATTCATTGATAACACGTAGTACACGTAGGAAAATACAGTGTTGATAAATGAAAGACATAAAGTTAACGAATGACACATTACAAATTCAACTATTGTTGACTTTTTACCGACGTGAAAAAAATGTGACTGCTACGTCATTAACAAGTATAATTATTTATATTTTGAAATTAAAATAATAAAAAAACAATAAAGGACAGAAAACGTGAGTGCTACGTCATTGACATATATAATTATTTATAATTTATCTTTTAAACAATAGTTGTGGTTGAAACGAAATAAAAAAGAATTGAACTATACCCAAGATTAAAAGTTCAGATATATAATTATTCGCAATTCACTCTTTAAGTGGTGGTGATGAGAACTTATTATTTCAAACCTTGAGCCAATATAATATGAATTACAAACCCAAGGCCAATCCACGCAGAACGATAAAGTTCATAAACCTTATGGTAACTAAACAATTAAAAAGGGAAACAAACGCTCAAACTGAAACAGAGAAATTAAAGTGCTCTCTGTTTTAGCTTCCATACTGACAATTCGCTATAACAAAGAAAACGAGTGTATTTTGAAAGCTCTGGTCCCAAATTGGTTCCATTCCATCCCCACCAACAAGATCCATTATAGTGTTGAGGAGGGCAACGAGGGTTAAAAGCTCGGGGTTTCTCTTCTTTCGGGTCGAGAGGATGCAGGGACTAGCACAAAACACCATATTGATACAAACAATAACTGACTTCATTAAAAGAAAATCATTTACACTATGTTTGGGAAGGGGTGCAAATGGAAGGGGGTGCAAGTTTGGAGGGGTAAACACAAGTTCCAAGGTGTTTACCCCCGTTTGGTTATTTTGTAACAGTAGGGGGGTGCAAAACGTGAGCGTAAATTCACTGTTTCGGCTTACCCCCCAAATTGGGGTGCAAGGAAAGGAAGGAAGGGAGGGGGAAGGAGGAGGAGGGGAATTATGAATTTTTAATTAGATTATAATTACATAATAATTAATATTATTAATTTTTTCTTATATCTATATTAGTGTAGAAGTTGTTTGGGGTTGACCGTTTGACTAAGAGAGCAAGTTTGTCAATGTTCGCCTCGTCAAATCGATATCTCTTAGTTGACCCGAATTTGCATTGAAAATTAGAGATAAGAAGCATTTGTTGAAAAGATAGAGAGGAACAGT